TATTTCGCTATCAATGCTTTTTACAGTTTTAATATATGCCCTTGTGGCTTACGTAATGAAACTTTGTGGTAACACTTTCAGGTATCTATTCCAAACATTAGATTTCACGATCAACCTCTTATATGTTTGATGCTCGAAATTACTTTACGTAAAAGTGGTCGCAAACTCAAAAACGCGGTAACGATATTAGTCTAATTGAGTGAACACACTTTACTTTGATTACTCTTCAAGAGTATCAAGAGTGTACAACAAGGGCTATACAATGAGCGAAATTATGGCTTAGTCGTTCGGGATTGAAATTCTCTCAGAATAGAAGTTTTCTCAATTCAGAATAGCACCAAGGGGCAATCGCTCTACCAGGGGTTGAGCCTAGCGTCGTTAAATGTGTGACTGTACACAGAGAAGACAGGTGGTAACCCTCTATTTATCATTTTATAGGCATCATCACATCTCTCGGTACATCCAGTGTGTTACCAGTACCATTGGACCAGCTAATAAACCTGAAGTTGAAATAGGTTTGAATTATTCCTTTCGTGTTTTCCGATGTCGATCGCGTGGAAAAACTCCATTCGTACCATGATCTGCACGTCTGGTCCATCAACAAAAACTATGAAAACTACGGAAGCCTGAGAGTAACTCTTTTGGAAACCTCTTCTATATTGTACTCTTGGTCAGTAATATATAGAGAAAATACCATTCTGTTGATTGGAGCAAATTCGTTTAGCTGAGGGCTTCTTACAGTGAACTAATGTTTTTTGTTATCTCTTGGTGCAACTGGTACATTATCCTCAGAGTGTCCTGGAAGTCCCTGTTATATACACCGTCTCCCAATTCAATGTGTTAACGACATCTGGATAGCTGGTCTTCTTCAATAAGGATTTCCTGAAGCAGGCTTGTCATATAAAGGTTCGACTCTGCGAGCCACTCAAGAAAGATCACTGGATCGCAAAAGAGGATATTTTACCTATCCCATCGGTTTGAGAATACTAGAGCTCGACTCCAAGAACGACGAAGTAGAGGTGCCAGTACAAAATGTAGTTTCCACAGCCTTGAGCTAAAGGTGTAAGCTCCAAGCTAGCGAAAATACAGGATCTCAAAGTGCGATTACGACCCCCGCAAATGCGACATCCATTTAGCACAGGTGTGTGCATTACGAATGCATCCGTACGGCAGGTGTTACTATCCGCAAGAAAAGTTCCCAAAAACAGAAGAGACCGTTACTCCCCAAATCTCGCGCTTCCGTTTATTGGCTTCCCCACCCCCACTTTAGACATTCATCCAAACTGTCATCTCGTTAGTGGAGGCCTTGGCCCCCTCAATTTCCTGACAGCCTCATGTTCCTCCAAACTACTATAAGTAGGAGTCATGCCGCAGGAGTCAAGGTTCACAAATATCTTTGAACACCATGAAGAAACATTTGGGCTTGACTGGAAGACCATTAGTAGCATTGCTTACAGTAGGATATGGATTATCTTTCTCGTGGTTTGGGTATGACCAAGGTGTCTTTTCGGGAGTGTTGATCTCGGAAGACTTTCTTCAACACTTCCCCAAGGTTAAAGAAAATCATAATGTTTCTGGTATCACCTCTAGTTGCTTTTCGTTAGGTGCTTTTGTTGGAGCCATCTTTGCTTTCACCTGGGGTGAAAAAATCGGTAGAAGAAGAACCATTATCATTGGTGCTTTCTGTAATCTTGTTGGTGCAGTTTTACAAGTGGCTGCTTTTCAGTTACCTCAATTAATTATTGGAAGACTTATCAATGGGTTTGGTATGGGTATAACCTCTGCCACTTTTCCCATCTACCAGGCTGAGTCGATAAAGGCCAAAAACAGAGGTCGTTTTGTGGTTATTGGTTCAGTTTGCAACACTTTTGCGTATATGTTGGCTAACTGGATGAACTACGGACTTTACTTCACCTCCGGTCCTCTTTCATGGAGATTTCCATTGGCCTTCCAGTTGTTGTTTCCTATTTTGTCGATCCCCATTATGTTTGTTCTACCAGAGTCTCCCCGTTGGTTGATTAATCACGGCCGGCTCGAAGAAGGGTTGGAGACTATTGCTGCTCTTTGGGGAAAGAATCTTACTATTGAACACCATGAGGTGAAAGCCGAGTACTATAGTATCAGAGCTGCAATAGAAGAAGAAAGAGCTGGACAAGTTCCATTGATGCAAGTTTTAACTGGTAGAGACAAGCACAAGAACTTAAGAAGAGTCATCTTGGGAGCTGGTACTCAGTTCATGCAACAGTTTACCGGGGTGAACGCTCTTGGTTACTATATGCCCACGATTTTGACGGTCCAATTGGGGTTCAGTGCTGGAACTGCAAAGTTATTGGCTGCTTGTAATGCTACTTCATACTTGGGTGCTGCCTTGGTGTGTTTGATAATCATTGATAAAGTGGGAAGAAGAATCTTGATGTTGTACGGATCCATTGGATGTTGTATCACATATATTATTGCAGCCATAGCCATGAAAGTCGGTGAGACCAGAGAAACCTACAGAATGGGGTCATTGACGGTGGCCATGTTCTTCGTTTACTATGTGATCTATGGAACCAGTTATGCCAAGGTCCCATGGGTTTATAGTTCTGAAATCAACTCCATCGCTTGGAGAACACGAGGTGCTGCTGTTGCAGCTGCTACTAACTGGATTTGTGGGTTCTGTATCACTCAGTATACTGACATTGCGGTTACCAACATGAGATGGGGTTTCTACTTATTGTTTGCAATGATTGTGTTGTGCTACGCTCCAATTGTCTACTTCTTCTACCCAGAAACTGCTAAACGGACCTTGGAAGATATTAACTACATGTTTGATGAATATGACACCATCTTCCTTGGAAAACATAAAGAGTTGAGACAGCTTTCGAGACCTCAAGCATTTATTGATGCTGAATTCGATAGACTCAGTGCCCTCAGGCTTGTGAACAACGGAAAGGATTATGACGAGAAGTTGGATACTGACCATGTTGAAGACATCAAGAGTTCGAAATCTAAGGAGTCTGTTGAACATGTCTAGGGTAGTTTATGTATGAATAAAATGTTTATTGTATCTCATCCTCTGCAAAAGTTGGTGTACGAAAATGATGTAGCTGAGTGAATACCACTACATATTCAATAAGTTTATACCACATCGGACTCTAATATTTTTGCTCTGATGGTCAAATTGACTGAGTACAATTTTCGGTGGGTGTATGGGTCATTGACTGAGTACATTTTTGTCAACACTTTATTCTTCTATAAACTCTTTTCTATCTCGAGCAACTGATTGAACACTGGAAGATACTTGTTCCAGACGGCCACGTCGATCTCCTGGGCTAATGGAGGTCTCCCGTACACAAGATCTCCAAATCCCAATTTATGCTTGAGCCCGTACTTCAACCCCAAAATGTTCAACACAGCAGTCATTTCATTAACCGAAGTCACCAAGCCTTGCAACTTCAGGGACTCAGCAAGCTTCCCAGCCTCAAAGTCAGTATAGATCTTGACCATGGCCTTGGGGAAAATGTTGGACAAACCATCAATACAACCCTCAATTCCAACTGAGAGAGCAGGAACAAACACTTGACCTACACCCGCCAAAACCCTGAAATTACTAGCTTTTATCTCCAGACTTTGACCCAACAATGTATAAAGTGGGAAGTTGTAATGAGTCAACTTGCAGGCAACAATATTAGGATGTTTGGCTAAAGTCAAGTATGAGTCGAAGGTAAGATCGATTCCGTTTTGCACTCCCGGATAATTGTAGATAATGAGAGGAAGGGTGCTCTGATCAGCTATAGAAACAAACCAGTCGATTATTCCCTGTTGCTTTGTCAACGTAGTGCCAAAGTACCCAGGAACCAACAAAACAGCATAGTCAGCACCCAATTTGCGTACCTCATTAATGTCTCTCACAATCTCTTTAATGGACACGCCGACAATACCTGCCAACACCTTGAAATTCTTGTCAGGAACTCTTTTTCTCACTGCTTCTACAATGGTGTATCGTTCTTCTCTTTCCAAGTGGACAGCCTCACCGTTGGAGCCTCCAACTAAAACTCCAGATACTCCTGAGTTGTGAATATAGTCCAAGTGCCGCATTTGGGTGTCGAGGTCCAAGGAATAATTCTTGTCATTTTTGAAAAATGTTGGGAGTGGGGTGTAAACGCCTCTGGGGGGAGGAGCAGTCATGATAGTGGAGTCAGATAGGATAGAAATTGGGAGTTTATAAGGGATTTACGTGGTAGTGGTGGAATCCCCGATTGGGAAGTGGGGGTCGATTTCCCCGGATTTTAGCCCAAGTGGGGGACATGTATTTGAAACCTCCCCATATGGGGGTTCTGAGTGCCCCTCCATGTGGAAAGTCTCTCGGACCCCATGGCTGTTAGTGCTTTCATGTTGGATTCCCATCGTTCACACCCAGTTTTCCTACTTACAAAATCATTAGGCAAAGTTTATATTCATATTGTTTATCTAATAAGACCCTCCCCTCCCTTTGGAGCTCTCTTGATCTCTTCACCCACCTTCGAAGTCCAAAAGGTTCCGTTCGGATACAAAAACTTGTCGATGGCTCCAGGAACATATCCAATAGAATACCCAGGATCCAAAGGAGTCACATAGTGAGCATCCTTGATCACACATGGGTGTGCAAGATTCTCTCTGTAGCTTTCTGCTGCTTCGAGCATGGACTTGCGGCCACTGATAGCAATATAGTCAATTGTACTCAAGTGCGAAGTAAGTTCGGTCAACCCCATGGCTCCATTATGAGGAACACATGGAACGTCAAACTTGAGGGCCATCAACATCACCGCCAAGCACTCGTTCACTCCTCCCAATCTCACAGCATCTATCTGACACACATCTATGGATTCTGCTTGCAAAAGCTGTTTGAAAATGACTCTATTTGCAGCCATCTCCCCTGTAGCCACTCCCACTCCGAATGGCTTCAACGCCTTTCTGATGGTGGCATGGCCAAGTATATCATCGGGGCTGGTGGGCTCTTCAATAAACACCGGCTTGAACTTCACCAACTGTTTCATCCACTCAATGGCCTCAGGCACCGACCACACCTGATTGGCGTCAAGCATGATTTGATACTCGTTGTCGTAGCCAATAATGTCTCTGACAGCCTCCAACCGCTCCTTGTCGGCCTCAAGATCACTGCCGACCTTGAACTTGAAGATTTTGAAACCAGCATCAATGGTCTCCTGCAACACCCTTTTCATCTTGTCTCCACTAAAAGCCAACCATCCGGCACTGGTGGTGTAAGCCGGGACCGCCACGTTGTCAAACGCCTCTTGGATCCGCGCTTCCTTGCCCACCTGGGTCTTTTTCAACATCTCTACTGCCTCTTCTGGGTTGATCACATCAAGAATATACCGGAAATCCACACACCTAACTATTTCCTCGGGTGTCATGTCGGCCACGATCTTCCACACGGGCCGGTTTGTGGCCTTTCCCCACAAGTCCCAAATGGCATTGATGACAGCGGCCGTGGCCAAATGGGTGATACTCTTCTCGGGTCCAAGCCACCTGTACTGCGAGTCTGATACCATGTATCGCCATGTCACCCCCATATTTTCCACTAACGAGGCCAAGGTCTTGCCCACGACCCGCTCGGCAAACGGCTCGATGGCGGCGCACACGAGGTCCGAGCCTCGCCCGTTGCTAAAGGCCATTCCTTCTCCAATGACATCGGAGCTGGTTAAGAGCTGCAAATAGGGATGGGAGCCATTGGTACCCACATGCATGGCATCACTACCAATACCATCCAAGCTGGTAGGGAAACGTATATCATACACTTTGAAGCCGGTGATCACAATTGAATCCAAGCTCATTTTTTACTTGAGGTGTCAAACTGAGAACTGGCGGTGGTTATATACCCCAGATTTGGGGAGCGCGCAGGAGATGGGGCGCGAACCCAAATGGGGCAATTCCCCCACCCCCATCACACCCCCCACCAAAAATGGGAGCTGTTTCCGTGTTCGTGGTCGGCCACTTCAAAAGGGCGGTGTCCCCCATTTGCTCCGATCAAATCACAAATTTTTCATTCTTCTTCAGCAAAAATGGTTTACCCCCAAACTTTCGAAGGCTACGCCGTCACCGACTCGGCCACTTGGAACAAAGTCGAAAAGATCGAATTCACTCCTAAGGCCTTTGGCCCAAAGGATATTGATATCAAAATCAGTGCCTGTGGTGTTTGTGGCAGTGATGTCCACAATGTCCGTGGGGGCTGGCACAAGCCCCACTTGCCGGTGGTGCCAGGCCACGAGATCATTGGTACAGTGGTGAGAATCGGTGACGATGCCACCACCAACCTCAAGGTTGGCCAAAGAGTGGGTGTTGGGGCCCAGGTCTGGTCATGTTTAAAATGTGAAACCTGCTTGGAGGAAAACGAAACCTACTGTCCTGACTGGGTCGACACCTACAACGACTTCTATCCCGATGGGTCCAAGGCTTGGGGAGGTTACGCTTCGCACATCCGTGTTCACGAACACTTTGTGTTCCCAATTCCAGACGTATTGGACTCCAATGATGTAGCTCCTATGTTATGTGCGGGTATCACCGTGTACTCGCCATTGGTGAGAAACAACGCCGGCCCCGGTAAAAAAGTGGGAATCATTGGTATTGGTGGATTGGGCCATTTCGCAATCATGTTCGCCAAAGCGTTGGGTGCGGAAGTCTTCACCTTTTCCAGAACCAACAGTAAGAAGGAAGATGCCCTTAAGTTGGGATCCGACCATTACATCGCTACCTACGAGGACAAGGATTGGTCCACCAAGTACGCCAGAAAGCTTGATCTTATTGTGTCGTGTGGAAACTCTTCCAAGAACTTTGACTTGGATGGGTACCTCAAGTGTTTGAGAGTTCACGGAAAGTTGGTGAGTGTTGGATTGCCCGAGGAGCCATTTACCGTCAGTCCTGGTACTTTCATTAAGAACGGATCGTTGCTTGGTTCTTCACACTTGGGAAGTCGTCAAGAGATGTTGGATATGCTTAAGTTGGCAGCTGAGAAGGGTATCAAGTCGTGGCACGAGGACCTCAAGGTGGATGAAGAGGGTATCTCAGAGGCCTTGACCCGGTGTTACGAGAATGATGTCCGGTACCGGTTTGTGTTGACCGACTATGAAAAGAGTTTCAAGTAGGCATAAGCGATTCGAACTGCTCGAAGAGTAGGAGTGAAGATTTGTAGTCTTTAGACAATGCACAATGCTATCGATCTGGCCTGCCCTTTATAAGTGTACTATTTTGCTGAACTATTTTAGTTCTCACTCTTCTAGGTGCTCTACGCCAGGAAGTATTAGTCGTATATTCATAGGCTAAATGCACTATCTACGGACTATATTAACACTCTACTAGCCCCACCACTCGCAAGTTGACGGGACTGCACTGGGTGTCAATCTGTTGGTCGTACAAATTGTAGAACTCTCCCGATGCACACTGGTAAAACACCCTCTGCGATCCCAATACCAAGTACCCGTCAGGGTCGGCTGCCCAGCCGTTGGCGTAGACTGCTCCAAACTGTGGAGTGGGACCATCAAACTGAAACTGTCTGTTTGAGACCATGGTTCCAATTCTGTTACTGGAGTCTCTAAGAATACCTCCAGTCAAACTCATCAGTAAGGTCGAGTTGGTCTTACAAGAAACCATTTTAATATCAAAAGTAGCTTCGGCTGGAGCAGGGGAAACAAGCGAGACTTCTTCTTCTTGGCTTCGAACCTGTCCCACGGTGTTCTGAATGGCATTGAAGTTGGAGTTCGCAAACTCACCTTCGTCCACTAACGACACAACAATACCAAAATCGAAGTCAAGGGTGGGGATTCCGGCACCTGCGTCCTCGGGCTTCAACAAGGTCCAGTCGTCTCCGTTCGCGGGGATGTAGATGGCGGCCACCATGGTGGCCAAAAGAACATTCATCAAATGCATTTTAAAATGGATGTTTGTGTAGTGGGAACAATTTCGCAGCCACAAACTGGCGCATTAAATAGTCGGGACTGGGACGGAGAATACCACTTTTATTTCTATTGTGAGAGCACTTGGGGTATAGAAACCATGTGTACATGCTTCATAGTGATCCTGATGGTCAACGGTCCTTTCTTGTGGGTATATAGGCCGGTTTTTCCCCCAAAAGCGCCATTTTTCAAACACAAATGGCCATTTCAAGCCTATGTGCACTCCCAGTGTGCTATTCTTGACTCTGACTCCCGCAAGCAAAGTGCACCCCTTGTGGTTTCCCAAATAGTCTATCATAGTGAACAATTCAAGATCATAATGAGAAATTCACTGTCATTTTCAGAGTTGGAGTCTCCACATAATTTTTACACTATAAGAACCACTGAGTCCCCCTCTATCCATCCCCAGGAGGGTGATGATGACATTAGACCAGAAAAAGAACCGACATCGATTGAAACCAATGAAACCACTCTAAATATCTGAGTCCTCCTCGCGCTCCGCTACGAGCCCCGTTGGCGAAGCCTCCCAAAATCGTAGAATTACTCATTTTCCTTATCGGGCGGGCGCGCCGTATAAAAAGGCAGCAATTTCCCCCCTAGCTGCCAATAGCAAAAATCAAACAAGTCGACTTACTTTGACTGACATTTGATATTTAACGTCGATTAGAAAGCAAATCGACGTAGCAACCACCAGATAGACGAGACAGCATGGGACCAGTTAATACACCAGCAGTCAACATCGCACTTTACATCGTGGGATGAACTATTTCTAGACAAAACCTATGGTTTACTACCAGTCGAAGATGACTTATATTTATTTGAAACCACCGACTCGTCGTCGAGTCCGGACTTCTTGCCACGTGACGGTCTGGAGACCGGTGGCTCGTGCTCCGAAGGCACGGCGAACCAGAAGCTTAGGTGGGTGGATGAGTCTCAAGGCTTATTCGCAGCCGCCAAGGCCTCTGTGGCGCCGGCCGTGAGCGCTGGCGATGTCGACAGCGTGCGGAAGCGCATGCGCAAGAGAAAGCGAGGGCCGGTTGACGACGTGTCCGAGTCGTCGGAAGCCGACGTCAAGAGAGTGAAAAACACCATGGCTGCGAGACGATACCGGGAGCGGCAGCGGAAAGACGTTGAGATTCTCGATGCGCGGATCAAGCAGTTGGAGGAGGAGCTAGCGACGTCGAGGCTCGAGGTTGTGTGGTGGAAAATGGAGGCGGAGAAGTGGCGGAGCCAGGCAGAGAAGAAATGAAGTAGGTAGTAAATAAACCAGTGCTAGAGATTGCGTAGAGGCTTGGGCGGAGAGTAGTATCAGGGTGTGGCAGTGGCCGTGGCCACGATGCCTGGTGCTTACAAATCGAAACAATGCGCTTCGGCGCAAACGCTTATATAAAGTTGAACTGACCCTGGGGTTGGCTGGTCCTTGTCCATCTGAACGATGTATGTAACCTGCAAAAGCTGAATGTTGCATTGGATAATGCCGACTACGCCCGTCTGTAATCTAACGCCCCAGGCACAATCTTGGTCTCTTATAGTTGCATCTGACAAATTATTTTCTCAGTCGGAGTAGAATATCTGCAATGAAAATCAACCCACACCGATCTTTAGACAGGACCATGCAAGATCAAGGGACGTATTTGGCAGATAACAACGGGCGGATACGTATCTCCTTCCTGGTAGATCATGCCTCATCCATCACTTATCAACTCTCAACTTTTTGTTTAGACTTGCATTAGACTCCCTACCTTTGACTTTCACGGCCACCAAACGCATCTCTCACTCTCACCAACCGCATCTCTCACTTTTCACCTCGCAACATCCCCTCCCAATAAGGTTTATAATTAGCGATCTCAGATCCAATTTGCGCACCATCCGAGCTCAAACATTCCATCACCACACCACGACCTTCCCATCCTCCACCACAACCCCTAACGCATAGCCCATCCTCCCGAGCCCATCGGCCCATTGTCACCAACTACAATGTCGGTACCAGCCAAACAAACCAACCCTACAACCTTCGGTGCGTCCCTGCCTATTTCGGCTGCTCACACTATTGTCTGTTCCCTGGCTTCGTCGCTATTGTCTAAAATTGCTATTTTGACTCAAATAAGAACTTTTTAAATCCAGATTCGCTCACCCAGACTTGCTCCTCCCAGCATTAATCTGTTACTCTTCCATTTTCTTGTATATGTTCTCTTAGCTGGGAAATCCACACACTTTCGCCTCCCCCTCGGCTATTTAAGGCCCCGGCTTCCCAAGTTTTTTTCCACATCTCCAATGTTTGATCTGATCCTCTTACAGTTGACAGCAGTGTTGGCAGTGGTGCTCATCGCCCAACAACTTTATCATCGGTATCTTGCTCGCAAATGGGCTTGTGGAGATATACTAAAAGTGGACCAGGATTACTTTGGCATCTGGCAGGCCAGAAAATTGTTCGCCGACCGAAATGATGGAGTGGATTTGCAAGAACAAAGAAACCGTTTTAACCGGTACCATACTGAGACCTTCCGTGAGACCCTCATTGGTAGAGAGTTGTACTATACCAGTAACTTGGAAAACATCAAGGCCATTGTCAACTTCCAATTCAATGACTTTTCCATCGGTTACCGGTACCCTGCTTTCAAGCCTTTGCTCGGTGATGGCATTTTCGCAACTGAGGGCCACAAGTGGAAAGTCGCCAAAGAGGTGTTAAGACCGCAGTTTGTGCGTGAACAGATCCGGGACTTGGACCACTTGGAGGTCCACATCAAGAACATGGCTGCCATCATCAACAACACCCACGGCCAAGTGTTTGACATCCAAGACCTTTTTTTACGCTTGACATTGGATGCTTCCACAGACTTTTTGTTTGGTGAGTCCGTCTCATCCTTGACCAAAAGTGAGTACGAAATGGGCAAGTACACCTTCGAGTCGGCCTTCAACAAGGTGCAGAAGTACATTTTTGCTCGGAGTATTTTGCAAAGTCTCTACTGGACCTACAATCCCAAAGACTTCCGTGAGTGTCTCAATGTGATTCACACCTTTACTGACACATTTGTGCAGAAGGCATTGCTGTTGACGCCAGAGGAGTTGGACGCCAAGTCCAAGAAGAACTACACGTTTTTGTACGAGCTTGTGAAGATCACAAGGCACAGAAAAACCGTGCACGACCATTTGTTGAATATTATGTTGGCAGGTAGAAACACCACTTCAGCATTGATCTCGTCGCTTATGTTGGAGTTGGCCCGTAACCCGGAGTGCTACGAAAAATTGAAAAAAGATGTGTTTGAAAACTTTGGTGATGGGTCCGACCTAAGTTGTGTCACGGTGGAATCGATGAAAAAGTGCAACTACTTGAGGTACTGTATCAATGAGGCCTTAAGAATGTATCCATCGGTGCCCCAGAACTTCCGGTGTGCGAAAACCGCCACCACCTTACCTCGAGGCGGAGGTCCTGATGGTCAGGATAAGATCTTCTTGAAGAAGGGCCAGGCGGTGTTCATGTCCTTCTACACTTTACAAAGATCGGAGTTATACTACGGAAAAGATGCAAATGAGTTCAACCCCGATCGTTGGGCCACCATCAAGAACCCCGGAGCATTCATGCCGTTTTTATCGGGTCCTCGGATTTGTCTTGGTCAGCAGTTTGCCATTGCCGAAGCTTCTTATACCATTTTGAGAATCGCGCAAATGTTCCCCAACATCAAGTCGTTTGAAACCGAATACCCTCCCAGAATCCTGGCTAATGCCACCATGAAATTGAGGGATGGAGTCATGGTTTCCTTAAGTTGATACTGTCAACGGGTAGTATGACATTTTTATATTTATTAATAATACACACACCAAACAGGTTTAAATCCCATCTCTAAGTCGGCAGTAATCCAAGTACCATCTGGTGGTCTTAATTCTGATAGTTTTCCCGTAGTATATCATGACGGCTGCAAACATCGATGCCACAAACTCAATCACCGCAAGAATAATAAACGTATGGGTGTTACCCATTGCATCCAACCATGGGGAACAGGCAAAGGTGAAGATCATTCCAATGTAATTGTTGATAACCGAAACTCCACACATCATCTCGATAACCATATCGGGGTAGGCGTCCATAAGATATCCCAATGCCACATCCCCAGCAGCACCGAACCCGAACCCAATCAACACCAACCCAAAGTATGTTGGGAACCAAGGCCAGTGTTGATCGGTTCCTACCGCAAATAAGATAAGTCCCACTGGTGACAATACCCCAGGTACAAATAAAAAGTACAATCTGGACTCAGCTTCCTGAATACCGTTGTTTCTCCTGGCCATCCAGAGAGAAAACTTATCCGAAAGCACCCCAGCAAAAAAGCATCCAATGATAGCTCCAATTAAGCAGGGAATATTCATTAATGCCACTCCCGTATCACTATAGCTGTAGGGAGGATCGTAGTACTGGTCGTCTTCCACCGTCAAGTAAAACGTCAATAACGCATCTTGCAATCCCCAGATAAACCCTGAGAAGATCACCCCGGGAAACAAAAACACCCTGAACATCATAAACAACAACTTCATGTACTGCTTGAACCCGGTTCCTATTACATTTGGGGCTCTACGGACCAACTTCTTGTCGTACCAGTAGGAGTTTTTTGTCTCCTTTGCCCCGTTCTCAGATACAAACGATTCCTGGTAGGTTTCAACCACATTTATTTGGCCCTGATCTCTCGAATCTGCCTCATGTTCTTTGTCATTTTTGGTGTCCATATTGTCAACTTTCCTATGCTCATCCAAAAGCTTCTTATTGTACTTGTTTCGGTCAAAATAGGTGTTGTCCATCAAGAACAAAATTGCTAATAACACAAAGAATGAGATGATTATAGCAACATAACCAACCCATCTGAACCCACAATATTGGGTGATGAAGCCTGCTATCAATGGTCCCAAGTATGTTCCCACCGATGTGGCCAAGATGTACACCGTCAACACCGAACCAAGCTGGTGCTGGAAGTATAAATCACTCAAACTCTGCTGTACATGAGCCTCAGCACAACTTTCACTGGCTCCCACGAACAACTGGTTCCAGATGGTGTCGGCTGTGTCTTTGGAACGTGACAACCACACGGCCCCCATCATGCCCACGAAGATACAGAAGAAGTATGAAACTTTTCTTCCATATAAGGCAGAGGCTGGAGCCGTTAAAAGTGTATTGGTTCCAATAGCAATGAACAATACCCCAGCACCGGTGTTCATCGAGTCATAAGTGATTCCATACTCCTCGTTCAAGTCATCCTGGGTGGCCCCGGCGTCATTGGAGGTGGCAGCCGTGAACCCTGTGATGAATGCTAGAATGAAAAAGTTTAAAAGCTTTCTTTTGGTGGAATAGTTTAATGGGTCATTAGGCGAATCTGATGGCTGCGGTACCAAGATAATGTCTCCGTCCATCTTGAGCCTGTTGTCGGCCACCAGGTCAGCTCCTTCGTGTTTGAGACCCGACTGGGTGTAGATATTAAAGGTTCCAGGAATAAAGTCGGCGTTGTTTCTATCGTTGATTTCCATCGTGAGAGGCAGATTAAAAAACTATAATATGAGTTCGAAACACACAACTAGTGGTGGATGGGTGTAAGGTCTTAGTCAGTATGAATATGCCGTCAAACAGTATTATTTAAATATCCCATCGAGATCAGCGAATTTTTTTTCCTATCTCTGCAAACCTCGATAAGCCATTCGCACTGGATTTTGGGTTTGAGCTACCCAATCCGGCCAATTGGATTGTGTATCTTATCGCCTTCACTTTTCAATGACACCCTGTCAAATGCGACATCATTAAGTAATTGAGTTTTATAAGTGGCGATGACCCTTGTCTATCCGGCTGAGGGCTGGTATAGCTACCAGAAACTAGTGAGATTGAAATTGGTGTTAGAAAATAATGATAAAACAATAACATCTGGTACGGCGCTTTGTGACACCTCCTCACGCAGCGGCCATGGCTACCCATTTTTCGGGTCTCCTACTCCTAGTACGAGAAAATCAGTTTTGACGCGGGGTTTGGCAACCGAACTACCGATTTGAGTATGTCGCCAGTTCACAAAAACGTATATATGTTGGACATACTTATAAGACTAACTACGGTAGTGTTGAAGCTCTAAAGCTCAGGCCAAATAGGTGGAGGATTGGGGACGTTGAACCCTTTCACCACCTCGGCAATCGAGATCATATGCTTCAACCATTTTCTCACTAATGGGAACTCGTCATACTCAATTCCAAGACGTGGTAAGATGGGTAAGAAAGTCACCACACAGACGTCAGCGATCGAAATATGATCTCCCACAAAGTATGGGCTGTTAGCTGCGTTCCGCTTTAAATATTCTTCGACAACCCCATACAATCTGCGGGTTTCGTTTCTGTACCGTTCTTTCGCAACTGGGACGTCATCCGAGCTGAACAATATATATAGCATGGCCTCACCCTCCATAGGTCCAATTCCACCTACCTGGAAGTAAGCGATCTCCAACTGTTTGTAGTACTCCTTAGTTCCTACCTCGTAGCTGAACTTTCTGTCCTTGTCGTACTTGTCTGACAAATATGTCATAATTGCAGCCGATTCAGAAATGGTAGTATCAGTAGAAGAATCCACCAAAGTTGGGACCTTACCGTTTGGATTGAGGGCCAAGTATTCTGGGGACTTTTGCTCGTTGTTGCCCATATCTACGGTTTTGATGTTATACTTCAACCCCAATAACTCAAGATAAATGGATACTTTCTTCGCATTAGGAGATCCCGCAGTGTATAATGTGATATCTATAGGTGTTAGTAGTCAATTTAGAAGCACAAGAATTTCATACATACTCTCTGACATCTTTGTGTACGTTCTGAGTCCTGGCAGTACTGTAGACTTGAATGTTTTTCTGCCTACCAGGAAAAACCGAAACATTTATAGTACAAATATCTGCCTCGCCAACACTTCACTGCTGAAGGCCAATTTTACAAATGATGAGTAAGCATGGTTCACCGGATTTACTTATCTTCCGAACACATAATTTAAATGACGTAAGGATAGTTAGAATGTTAGATGTGAAGCTGATGAGATTTGATGATGTAGGTGTGAGACATACATATCCGGGTAGATCCACCGCTGAAAAGCCACAGCCAGGGGAGATTTTGCAACCTTGGCACAAGAGGTACAAGTAGTAGGTCATGGAAAAGCTCTCCTCTGCACGACCCTCCTGCCGCGTCTGTCCCTACCAGTGCCCGCTCCATTGAGCCAACTATATGCATTGAGCTATAGAAAAATCACCTGATCTACACAAAGTCAGGCCAAGACCTGGGTGCACTAGGAACGTTGAATCCCTTGACAATTTCTGGCTGCGAAAGCAAATTCTTGATCCATTTCTTTACCAATGGAAACTCTTCAAACTCAATCCCTATCGATGGTAAACTAAGTGACCAAGGTACCGTACAAATGTCGGGAATTGAAATATGGTCACCCACCAAGTAGGGCCCGTTGGCCTCATTTATCTTCAACCAATCTTCAAGAACCCCGTACAATCTACGGGTTTCCTCTCTGTACCTAGTCTTTGCAAAAGGTAGATCCTCCTTAGAATACTTGATAAAAAAATGGGCTTGTCCTTGCATGGGGCCAATTCCAGCCATCTGGAAGTACGTGAGCTCTAACTGCTTGTAGTACTCCTTGGTGCCGTACTCATAACTGAACTTTCTCTCCTTGTCGTAGGTATCTGCCAAGTAGGTTATAATGGCAGCTGTCTCACTGATGGTGATACCAGTGGACGAGTCAACCAACGTGGGGATCCTTCCATTAGGGTTAATAGCTAAGAACTCGGGTTCTTTTTGCACATTGGTCAGAATATCAAGAGGTTTGACATTGTACTTCAATCCTAATAATTCTAGGAAAATGGACACCTTTTGTCCATTGGGGGTTCCCCAGGTGTATAAAGTAAGACCTTGAGGCGTTAGTAAGTCAATCGGGTAATGGGAAGAAAATTACATACTTTCCGACATTTTCGTATAGTTTCTGTGTAATCTTAAAGCACTCCTGGTATATAAGTGGGGATTGTTAAACACTGAACGAAACATGTTGAGTTTGAGGGTGAAAGTTGCCTCATTTGCAACTACCACACTTTGTCGGACACGACCACATAATTAAAGGTGGTTGAAGCTCGTAAAAACCCTGGGGAAAATGGCCAGAAAATAGAGTTGGGTAGTGGCGATCAAGTGTCTATTCAGACTGTGTCTTTGATGAATGGGATTGTTATTTTTTAGTAACATGTACTTTTGTATTAGGATAGAGTTTGCGAAATTTACGGAAAGGACAGTCATTTTGCAATTGGGCACTAAAATCACCTAAAATGAAAAAGATGAGATAGTCACGGAGAAAGTTCAAAAGGGGAAACAAACGTACTGAATGTGAACACACGTACATCACACCAAACCTGGAGACTGCACTCATGTCTATGACTACAGTGTCTCCTATCTCTTGTCATGACGTAATTTCCGCGTTAATGACCGCTCATCCAAGCGGAATCCGGCAGTAAAACCATGCCGACGCGGCGTGGCCCATCACGAACTCTATCTTGAAGATCTATTTACCGTCTATAAATAAAAGCCCCCAACCCCATGTATTCATCTAAGCTAAGTCAATGTACAAATTCACAAGTATCTTGGAGAAAGATGAAAAGTTCTCAAAGCAGGCTAACAAAGGTGTGCCCACTATGAATGAAGTGGTGGCTCATTTGAAAATACTTTTCGCATTCAAAGAACTCAGAGCTCAGATCACTACTGGCGTATCGGATTCTGCCCATGCCGAGAAACTCTGGCAGTGCTACGTTACAGTTGCAGTACGGCGGTTCAATGTGTTTATCAATGCTTTGATAGACCAGAAGCATCCCCTAAAGAATTTCGAATTGCTTCCTCCGCTTGATGTGCTTCTTGTGTGGCATTCGTTCTTGTTGAACCCCCGGTCATATTATGCCAATTTCACCACAAACCTCTTTCCCGAATTTTTGTCTGTCCCATTCCCCTTGCACCACGTGCAAAAGTCCATAGACGATACAAAATTTGTGTTTGCACCTACTACTGACGAGAGCGACAAGTTCTGCGTTTTTATGGAGTCGTACTTGGTGAAAATTGGATCGCAGGAAAGGTTCACTTATGATTCATACCAGCCATTCGACCCATCTACCATGTCATTTACCATCACCTGCCCAGTATGCAACAGCGAGCTTGGAACTGTTCCGTTGTCCACTGACAATCACACTGGTTTTGCGGACGCAGAATTCGCTTTTAAAGCCAAGCGGTGTGAGTGCAGCCAGGAGATGGTGGTGGACCATATGGAACTCCGGTTCCGGAAGTTCACTAACGACGTCAAGAACACCATGACATTGACACCCGTGTTCAAATACTGTTCACCTCTGCTCACTAAGAGGGAACTCTCCATGTCGCAAATGGATATGAAAGTGAAGAGATTGCAGCCATTACTCAAGCAAAAGGAAAAGTTTAAAAGTATTCATCAAGTATGTCCAAGTACGTTACGGATGGAACTATTGGTCCTCAGAGAGTACATGGAGGTCAACCCGGTGTATATGACGATTCCCACTTCTACTCCATTTGCCATTCATGAGGACTTGGTTGCGTGTGTTATTCGTCAACAAACTTTCATTGAAAAAATGATCAAGCTCGACTGGATCCACTCCCAGTACATTGACATTACGGTAATGGAGGCAATTAAAAGGTATAAGCAGTTCTTTCTGATCATGAAATCAACACAAAATCCCCTTGTCCCCACTTTAGATATTGACTTGGTATGGCATACGCACCAGCTTAACCAAGAACAGTACATCGGCTATTCAACCAGTATCGCTGGCTACTTTGTGGACCATGATGACAAGATTGAAGAAAATCGGTTGAACTACTCCTATGAAAAAACCTGTGAAAAATTTAAAAGGATGTTCAAAATCGATTATTCCATTTGTCTCTGTAACTACTGCACCTACAATCGGAATGTCCACAGAAAACGGTTTTCCACCAAGCCCAAAAAACCGGTGGTGACGTCTGGTGACGAGGCCTTGTCTCATATAAGCAGCCACAATGCTGTCTTCGTTCCCACTATGCGAACTACCTTGGTTGCAACCAAAGCTGCCGATAAGTATAACTTGAGCTACATGCAACCTCCACCCTGGAACGAAACCCGCCACGGCAAGAATACCTATGTGACAAACCCAGGAGAACCAGTGCCCGGAATAGACCCCCAGCATCTCGAGCTTTATAAGAATGGCATGTGTGGAACCGTTGTTGATACTGCTAGTGCTTGTGGGAATGGAGGATTAAATCCCAAAGATGTTGGTTGTGCAACACACTCGATTGCCTCTGGCATGTGTCAGACCAGCGGCTGGTATATTGAAAAGAACGGGCACTCCAGCAGCAACGACCTGTGGGTGAGCAGCTGTAGAGGTTCGGGCGCAGGCTTCACGCCCTTTAAAAAGAAAGGGAAGCTGAGAAGATGGTTTAGCAGCAAGGGCAAGAGTGATGGCGTGTACTTTTACGGTAGTAGTTCTGGAGGTGGATTTAGTGGTGGAGGTGGATGCAGTAGTGGAGGTGGATGTAGTAGTGGAGGTGGATGCAGTAGTGGAGGTGGAGGCAGTAGTGGTGGTGGAGGCAGTAGTGGAGGTGGATGCAGTAGTGGAGGTGGATGTGGTGGTGGAGGCGGAGGTGGTTGATGAGAGATGCGGCTGGACCCTAGCTAGATTATGTTTTTACTGAATATAAAATTGTATGAGTTCGTGGTTGCAACGCTCCAACAAAAAAACATTCGTCCTTAGAACTGCACCATGTCCACGACACGTATTCGCCTCTAATAAGAAAAAATTAACCGGTTGGTTCCCCTCTACATGGCGATCACCTAAATGTTATTGCGAAAAACTAATCGAATCCCTGCATTGTTAAATCCGGGGTAAGGAGCTGATTACCCCACTCAAGTTATCCACCTAATATAGAACAGGTAGGCGCAAGTGACCTGATGGTATGCGAGTAGTAGCCGATAGCACAAACGGTGCACGGCTTCCAAGTATATAAATGGTTCCAGCTGCTAATATTTTGAAGGACAATAATGAAGTATTTTGAGATTTGGAAACCTGGAAAACAGGTCAGTATAGCCGTTGCATTCACTTGTGAATTGTCATTTATCCTTTTTGGAATCGAACAGGGAATTGCTGGAATCATCATCACTGGTGAGGATTTCTTGAATCAGTTTGGTAATCCAACTGGAAGTTGGTTAGGGTTCATCGTGTCTATTTACACCTTAGGATGTTTTTTTGGATGTATTGTGAACTTTTTCACCGGTGATATGCTAGGAAGAAGAAAGACAATTGCGGTAGCTATGTGTCTTATTATGGTTGGTGTCACCTTGCAGTGTACATCATTTTCGGTTGCTCAATTAATGGTTGGAAGGTTCATCACCGGATTGGGAACTGGCATGGAAACAAGCTCAGTGCCCATGTACCAGGCAGAATTGGCAAAGCCTCATTTGAGAGGGAGATTGGTGTGTTCTGAAGCTCTCTTTGTGGGTATAGGATTGGTGTTTGCCTATTTCTTAGATTTTGGGTTTTCTTACATCAAAACTCCTGTTGCCTGGAGGGTGCCTCTTTCTATTCAAATTCCTTTCGCCTTCATTGTATTGTTGATGACGTTTACTGTACCGGAGTCTCCAAGGTATTTGTATTTCAAAGGTAAGAAAGAAGAGGCTAAGAGGATCTTGTCTTATGTATTTGATAAACCTGAGGATCACCCAGATATCGTTAAAAATTATCAGGAAATCGAAGAGGCTATAAGTTTGGAAACCCAAGACTCGGATTCTTCCTGGAAAGCTATATTCGTTGCAGACCATGCAAGAACAAGATATAGAATCTTTTTGGCTTACATGTCAATGTTTGCCCAACAACTTGGAGGTGTCAACATTATCAATTACTATATAACTACTATTTTGATCGAAAGTGTGGGCTTAGAACACACCTTGGCAATGATCCTTGGTGGTGTTGCTGTTATTTGCTTTACTGTTGGTTCAATTATTCCTTCGTTCTTTGCAGATAAGTTGGGAAGAAGAATGCCTTTGGTATATGGATACGCTGGATGTTTCATTTGCTTTCTTATGGTTACCATCCTTCTCAATTTTCAAAGTAACGCTGATTTGAAAGCAAGTACGGGAGCAGCTGCAGTGGCTTTCTTCTTCTTGTATCAGCTTTGTTTTGGAGCCAGTGGAAATTGTATTCCCTGGGTGTATGTTCCTGAATTGATTCCCTTGAAGTATCGTGCAAAAGGAACAGCAATTGGGATTTCCAGTAATTGGTTGTGGAATTTCTTCTTAGTGGAGATTCTGCCTGAGTTGATTTCGGCTGGTACTAGGAGTCACAAGCAGGGGTTGAGCTATCTACCATTTGTATTCACCAATTTCATCTTCATTTTCCAGTTTTACTTTTTCTACCCGGAGACAAAGAATTTGACACTCGAAAAAATTGATGAGTTGTTTTCAGAAAACAGAACCATTTTCATGGGTTTGGTAGATCAGAGAAGGTTCAGGGAAGGTATCCTTTCCACTGCTCAATCTGACATTGAAAAAGGTACTACTCCTCAATCTGACATTGAAAAAGGTACTTCTGAACACATTGAGATTGAGCTGAGTGATTAAAGAATATATGTTTTAGTTGAGGAATATATAAGTTGAATAAAGGTCGAATTGCTTAAAGAGACTTGGTAGACAACCAAATTATTAGGTTACGTTTTATACTTCTGTTTAAAAATCTTACAATCACAGTGTTGATTATATTATTGAATGGATAATGTTGCGAGTAAATCGATTGAGCTAAAACAGCAGGGGGAGCTTTTGGCCAATTACAAGCAAGATTGCGATAAATATAGCTAAGGAATTTAGTCTGATGTTGATTTCCAGTTGTTTTTGATATTCCCCACATCTAGTTGATCTATCTCCTATCACACTTACTAGATTATTTCCCACCGGGGGCACATTCATCGTTTTAGGGATCTAGAATTTTGCAGCCGACATCGCGGATAGCCCCCTTACATTTCCCCGGCCCTGAAATTCTCTTTCCCCTAGGAGTGGGAAACACCAAGAGGAGAATAAGCCTCTGCTACTAGCAACAGTTGCAAAAAAGTATGGGGTAAAAACCCGCGAGTATAATTCCCAAATGGGAACAGGGTAGCCGCAACCCCCATTATAGCCGCAAAAGATTCAATGGAATAATTGCCGGCAAGAACGCGTACAACCGACCCACTATAAAGTCGTAGTTCAAGCCAGAACCTACAAAATTACCCACAAACAAACCATACTATTCTGATCATGACAGTTCCAGAATCGTTACAAAATCGAAGCCAAACTCACCAATATGTGTTAAAGATCTTCAGAGTTCTCATCGCTGATCTAGTTCAACAGTTCAATGGGGGGCACCCTGGAGGGGCAATGGACATGGCGGCCATCGGAATTGCCTTGTTCAAATATGTGATGAAATACTCCCCTTCTAATCCCGATTATTTCAATCGCGACCGGTTTGTTCTCTCCAACGGACACACTTGTTTATTTCAGTATGCGTTCCAACACCTTGTTGGCTACAGCCATATGACTATGGAGCAGTTGAAGACGTACCATTCGTCGGAGTTGGAGTCGTATTGTCCTGGCCACCCAGAAAATGAATTTCCAGGAATTGAGGTGACTACTGGAGCCTTGGGGCAAGGAATTTCCAACTCGGTAGGTTTGGCCATAGCTTCAAAAAATTTACTGGCTACTTATAACAGGCCAGGATTTGAAGTCAGCTCTGGTCATATTTTTTGTATGGTGGGAGATGCTTGCTTGCAAGAAGGAGTTTCTCTTGAGGCTATCTCTTTAGCAGGTCATTTGGGCTTGAACAACTTGACAGTCATCTATGATAACAATCAGATCACTTGTGATGGTTCTGTGGACTTGACAAATACAGAGAATATCAAGAAGAAGTTTGAGGCTTGCAACTGGCAGGTGTTAGAAGTTCAGGATGGTTCCAACGATGTGGACGGTATAATTGAGGCTTTGGAGACTGCTAAAAAGTCCGAGGGAAACCCCACTTTAATCATTGCCTACACCCAGATTGGTATCGACACAAGCGTGGAAGGCCAGGCAGTTGCCCATGGTGCTGCTTTTGGCCAGTCTGAGGTCGATAACTTGCACACTTTGTACGGTTTTGACCCTGAAACCAAGTTTTTCGTTCCTGAAACCGTGTACCAGTTTTTCGCTGACGTTGTTCCCAGAGGAAAACAGTTGGAGAAGCAATGGACTGAGCTTGTTCACGACTACAGCCTTCAATATCCTGAGTTGGCGTTGGAGTTTGAAAATAGGCGTTTGGGAAAACTTCCACCCAACTGGCAACTGTTTATCCCCAACTCGTTCCCAACGACCCCCACTCCCTCCAGAAAGTCGAGTGGATTGGTGTTCAATGAAGTGGCCAAAAACGTCAACAATTTCATTGTGGGAACTGCTGATTTGTCCCCTTCTGTGAACTTGATCTGGAAAGGCAAAACCGATTTTCAGAATCCTCGAGTGAAGACCTCCTGTGGAATAAACGGAGACTACTCAGGAAGATATATCCACTACGGGGTTCGTGAACATGCTATGGCCGCCATTTCCAACGGAATAGCAGCTTATAGCCCCAAAACGTTCATTCCAGTGACATCCTCATTCTTCATGTTCTATCTTTATGCTGCTCCAGCTGTCAGATATGGAGCCTTATCACAACTCCAAGTCATTCATGTGGCCACCCATGACTCTATTGGTATTGGAGAAGATGGCCCTACGCACCATCCAATTGCGTTGGCAAGTCTTTATAGATCCATGCCCAACATGCTTTATATAAGACCCTGTGACTCTACTGAAGTGGCAGGTGCCTGGGAGCATGCCATAGAGGCAGACAATACCCCCACCATCATCTCCCTCTCGAGGCATAACCTTGAACAGTATCCTCAATATTCAAGAAAAGATAAGGTTCGGTTGGGTGCTTATAAGTTCATAGAGAATGCTGGGGCCGTCATCAATATCATTTCCACAGGATCGGAGATGCAGTTTGCGGTGGAAGCATCCCAGGTCTTGGCTCAAAAGGGGATCATTGCCAATGTGATCTCGTTCCCCTGTCAGAGGCTCTTTGAGAAGCAGCCTCTTGAGTATAAAAGAAGTATTTTGAACAGAGGGAAAGTGCCATCCGTGGTGGTTGAGGCATACGCTGTCAACGGCTGGGAACGGTATGCTACTGCTGGAATCAACATGTCGACCTTTGGAAAGTCCTTACCAGGGAAAATGGCTTATGAATATTTCGGGTTCAACTCCGAGCGTATTGCTGCCAAAATTGAGAAATACTATGAGGACTGGAAGCAGGACGAGAGTTTACGTTTCGAGTTCCAGGACTTGAACTAGGCAACTTCTATATAAGAGGTGTTTTTAGTGTTCCTTTTATATACACATTGGTCTTTTTACAACTATGTTGGTTTGAAATGGCCCAAGTTTTGTTACAAAATGCCTAGAGTCTGTATAATTTGAAACCACAAATAGTTGATTCGTGAATGACAAAGTTTCCCACAGGTTACTACATCCTCTTTTGTAAATATCCCCGCTTTGACAGATGGAAAGGTGCATAGCCTTAAAGTTTCAGGCCAAAGAACGATAGACATACACATACCTGGAATATTGGGGTGACTGAGGAGTCACATCACACGTCCCATAAATACGTAGCTGTTGATATCCATGTCGTTGCAACTTTAATAAGCTGGTGGTATACTCGTTCATCATACACCACCATCACCAAACACCTCCAACATGAATCGGAGTTTCGCAGTAGTTGTGTGCCGTTACCAAGCCCGACCGTTTGTCTCCCGCGCCAGATTTTATAAAGATGGAGAAAACTGGAGAAAACATACCTTCAACTCAACATGGGAATAACCCTGGCTTCCGTCACACAGAGAGGCAAGAAGAACCGCTGTCGTACCGGGTGTCTCAACTGTCGCCAGCGCCACAAGAAATGTGACGAGTTCAAGCCCCGGTGTGGCCTTTGCTCCAAGAGAGGTGAATCATGCGTATGGCCCACCACCAAAAAAGAAGTGACCCAGGACTCGTTCAGGTTCTTCAAGGCTGCCCGCGATGCCACCAAAGAGACCACCTTGGGCTTGAAAAAATACTCATCCCGCCTTCAGGAAACCCTCCAGACCACCTCTCCCACCCTGCCCAAATCAGCGTCTTCAATGTCTCCACGCCTACAAAACCTCATAGACATGGTTAGTCATGAAGTAGACAAAACTACAGAGAAACTGCCGCCCAAGCAAGACACTAGTCCTGCCAGCGACTCGCTTTCCGCCGACTTAATGGCCCCGTTTCTCAACTATTCCCATCTCCACCGTACCTTCAGAGACTATATGTTCACCAACGTAGTCAACTCCAAACCCGAAGAACCACAGGAAGCTGACTTCCGTAACATTCTCCAGTCGCCTATGCCTGAATTTTTGAATCACTCCAACTCGTCCAAGAATCTCCAGGACCTTCTCAATGATGACGACTCGCTCTACATGTTTTCTCAACAGATGCCTACACACCTTGAAGATGAAGCCAATGCCTTGGTGAAGCCGGTAAGTCTCACTGACACCGACAAGATTCTGCTATACAAAACGTACCTCTACCAAGTGGCTCCATGGCTCGACATGTTCGATACAGCCTCGAAGCAGTTTGGTACGACGGTGCCGTTGTTGGCTGCGAAAAGCGATGCTTTGCTCAACTCCATCTATGCGATAGCTTCTCGACAAACAGAGCAGACCACAAAGGACTATCCTCCAGAAATAGCCATCAACTTGTATGAGAACTCGTTGAAACTCTTGATCCCCACCGTCAACAGAACCCTCGATACGTCCATTATCACCACCTGTGTAATTTTGTGCGTATTTGAAATGATGTCGTCGTCTCCCAAAAAGTGGAGGTACCATCTCGAAGGGTGTGCTGCGTTGTTCAAGATGCATGGAATCAATGGGTTTTGTGACGAACTTGAAAGAGGGTTGTTCTGGTGCTATGCCAGGATGGATGTAAGCTCGGCCGTCATAGGCGAGCAGTCTACCATTATTCCATCTGAGTTATGGCTACCTTATAACTGTTCAGTGTATGAGCTGAAAAAGGTTTTTAATGAATTTGGCAACAAGGAAGATATGTATGCTAATTATATGGTGTATTTGTGTTCGAGAGTGTTGAACCTAATAGCCAATGCCAAAGAAGACTATGAGAAGGACTGGGAGTTTCTTTGGGGGGAAATCAGTGATTGGTACGAGGATAGACCGTTTGAGTTTAAACCACTTGTGTCTTTCAACAGCTCGCCGTTTCCTGGGATTTTGTTTGTCAACGGGCCTGCTATATCGGCCAACCAAATGTACCATATGGCCATAATCTTGTTGATTCAGAACAAACCAAGACTCCATAAACTCGTATACCTGGACCACATAAAGTCCCCTATATGGCACGCCAAACAAATTTGTGCTATAAGCTTGTATAACGAACACCCTGGATGCTGGAACAATTCATTGCAGCCACTCTGGATTGCTGGACAATTACTCAGCAGTGACCAAGAGCATGAAGTGGTGCTAAACTTGCTCAGCAAGATTGAAGCCACCACCGGCTGGCAAATGAACTTCAGAGCAGAAGACTTGAAGAAACATTGGAGACAAGAGGCTGCTATAACGTAGTGATAGAAATTAGGTTTTGGTATTTGAATAAATAAGCTATATTTTTTGAAAGTCTTCACTAACAATAGAAGACTTTTCACACATTTGTTTAAAGATCCCGCCTTTGATGTTAAACAAATTCCAAGGAGTATCAAACTCCTTGACTTCTCCTCTGTCAAGAACAAGAATTTTATCATAGTTGATAATAGTCTTCAATCTGTGGGCGATACACAAAATAGTGCAATTGCTAAACTCCCGTGCAATGGTTTGTTGGATCTTTGAATCAGTTTCATAATCGACCGAGGATGTGGCTTCATCCAAAATCAAGATCTTGGAGCCTCTGACTAAAGCCCTGGCAAAAGCTATCAATTGCCTCTCACCCAAGGAGAAGTTCACCCCATCGTCCTCAACTACTTGATCAAGGTGGAACTTGTGTAAGTCAGCACTGTTCTTATCTTGTTTCTTGACCATTTCCAACTTGTTCTCTTCGATCAAACCGGCCCTTCTCAATGCATTCCACATCTTCTCCGAAGTACTTTGTCCAAATGGATCCAAGTTTCTTCTGATGGAACCTTTGAACAACACTGGATCTTGAGGAATAATAGACAATTTGGATCTGAGATCATTCAAACCGATATTGGAAATATCCACTCCATCAATAATAATCTTTCCTTTCTCGAGCTCGGAAAGTCTATAAAGAGCAGTCATTATAGAGGATTTCCCAGCCCCAGTTCTTCCACAGATACCGATTTTTTCCTGGGACTTGACATTGAAATCCAAGTTCTTCAATACCATTGGCAACCCGGGTCTGTAGGCCATAGATACATTGTCAAACAAAATCTCCCCTTTCTGGGGCCATTCTGGAGCTGGCTTTGTTTCTGCTATGCGATACGCTGCTTCTGTGTTTAGGTCGTAGGCGAAATCACAAAGTCTTTCCACTGAGTTCATACCGTTCTCCACTTGAGTGAAATTTCTAAGGAGCATAGAAAGCATACCGGTGATTTGTAAAGTAGAGGATAACAACAAACCCGAAGCTGAAGCACTAATACCAAAAGTTCCCGTCACACACAACAAGGCAATCACCAAGTTGAAACAAGCAGCGACAATCGAAAGATATACTGTCAACCAACGTTGGGCAGCAATATTCACCAAATATGGTTCGTTTGTCTTGTTGAGATAAAAAGCATTGGACTCCAAAAACCTCTCTTCTGCTCCATAGGCCTTGATGGTATCCATACCGTTCAAACTTTCGTTGAAGTTATTGTAGATAAATGATCTTTGCACCGATTCAAGTCTCTTTACTTCCCGACAAGTAGCCCGGTACACACTTCCAATACAACATACAGCAAATGCCAAAGGAGGAATCGAGAGGGCAAACCATGGCATGAAGCAAATACACAACACAAACACCCCAACTATATTACCCGATGTGAACACAAGGAATCTTGCTTGTTGTCCTATTTCATTGTCTAACACATCGGTGTCCTTGGTGAATCTGTTCAAGATTCTTCCCATGGGGGTGGTATCTAAAAATGACATTGGAGAATAAAGTACTTTTTGAACGGCCTTGATGTTCAAGTTGGTGGCAGATGTGTTGGTGATATACACAATCAACACAAACTCAACCATGTACATGACAAATGAACAAAGGGCCAAGCAAACGTACACACCAATGTAAGCACCTTCAGAAATATCAAACTTCTTCTCGGTCCAGAACGACAACCAAGTGTTGGTGAAAACCAGACAGAAAGAGGCTAAACCGGTGAATAAGATTAACAAAAAGAGCATAAAAAGAGGAGGAAGAGGGCCGGATCCGTTTTGGAAGTACCGTTTGACGACCCAGAATCCAATCCCATTAACCGATTTGTTCTCCAGCAACACCAATCTTCCGTCAGCAGCTTTGTCAGTATTGTAGACCTTATGGTCTTCTTCCTGCTCTCCTTCAGAGACTGTAGTTGCAGCTGTAATCCTGGAAACCTGCCTTTCAATATTGATTTTCTCCTCCACTTTCACTTCCTCGTCTTCTTCTTCAATTTCAGTTTCAGTGGCATTGTTGAAGGCCATCAACTTTCTGTATCCTTCATTCGAAGCCGCCAATTCGTCTGGCGTACCAATAGAAATGGAGCCATCTCCGTTCAAAAAGATGATTCTACTGGCGGACCCAATCAAAGAAAGCTGGTGAGTAGCAAGAATCCTGGTTTTTTCACTCAACATCCCCAAAATACACTTCTCCATAATGTGTCTACCGACTCGAGCATCGACGGCCGACAATACATCATCAAACAAAATGATTTCTCGATTGGCATAAATGGCTCTCGCCAAGTTGATACGGGCTTTTTGACCTCCGGACAAGGTTATACCCCTTTCACCAATTTCGGTTCTATCACCTGCCGGCAAAATAGACAAATCTCTTTCCAAAGAACAAGCATAAATGACATCGGCATACTTCTTTTCGTCCAATTCGTGTCCAAAAATAATATTGTCTTTCACAGTGGTATTTTGAATCCAAGGCTGTCCACATAACATCAAAGAACCATTGATACTGACGGTCCCTTCGATACGCTTCATGAACCCGGCCATGGCATTCAACAACGACGACTTACCGGATCCAATCAAACCCGTGATCACCAAGAACTCTCCTTTTTTGACTTCAATATCGATGTTATTTAAGCCTGGGAACAGGGTTTTCTCGTTGAGGGTCCCATCAGAGAGGGAGTCCAACAGGATGGAAGAAACTGGGGTCTGCGGTTTTTCCTTGGTGACAGGCTTCTTCTGGTCATCATCGTCTGCCTCACCAAAAACCTCCCACTCGAAGGAAGCATGGTCCACCTTGATCAGAAGACGGTTCTGCTTCATATACTTCTCGGCCTCCGGCGATGGCTTGATGGAGATGTCCAGCTCGGTGTTCTCTGGACTCGACAAGAAGGCCCCCACTCTGTTGATTCCCACCAAAGCATCGGAACCGGCAGCCAAAGCCATGGGCATCAAAAACAACACCTGGGTCAACACGTTAAACACCGCGAGAGACGAGAAGATGTTGGCAGCATCGTTGGTGCCGTCCACTGCGTACAAGATCAAAAAGGTGATCATCGAGCACACCAAACTCAAGTTCATGGCAATGGCTGTAACAACGTTTCGCACCACCTGGATGTAGTAGATGATACCCATTTCCTTCTTTCTGACGCCAGAAACGTTGTCCATGTACGGAGGCTCCCACGAATAGTACTTGATGATCCGCAAGTTGTTCAAGCACTCTTTGAGGTAGTTGACTCTCGAGTCGGTATACACGGTGGCCAATTTTCTCCTGGCAAAAACCATCTTGGTGGAGTATCCCATGAACACTACAAACACCAACATGATGGCAACCCCCACCAACGCCACAGGGCCGATGTTCACACACAAAATCACAATGGCGACAATCATGGGTATTGGGAACACCACAAGAAATGGCTGCAAACCCAACGCAAAATCGATTCGCAGCAAATCGGTTCCCATGATAGAAGTGATTTTACCCACCGGGTACCGGTGTTTCGACACCGCGTTCAACCGGAATGACTTCTCTAAGAGTGCCTTCGTAAGCACTGCTTTCACCAATGCTCCCACCGACATCGCCCGGTAGAATGCCTGATTTAATGCCACCCCATTCAAGAGAATCATCACCGTCACCCCAATCGAGTACCCCACGCCCTTGCCGAGACCCGTCTCGATGCCCATGTTCTTCAATTCCACATATTTGATCAATTTTTTCACAATTAGCGGATTTAGCGTCTGTGCCAACTGCGCAATCCCCAAACTGCAGCAGGAAATAACGTATCTTTTTTTAAACGTCAAGAAAAGAGCGTAGATGGTGTCAAACCGCAGGATCTTAAACTCACACATGTCCCCGTCCCACTGGGGATGTTTTTGCTTCATTTCGGTCGTGTACTTGGCTTGGGCCTTTTGTGTTCGCATCTCCAAATGGTCGTAAAACAGCTGTGCCAACACCTCGACCTTTAAATCGTCGGTCATACAGTACATGTCGTCCGGTACAAGTGTCCGTTTGTAACCCACCTTCATTATCGGATGAAGCCACGTAAATAGGATTCTCTGGATGAAGTTGGCGTTGGCTTCCTGGAATGGAAGTCTATCCTCTGGCGAGGGGATGGGCGGTACCTTCTTACTGAGGAAGGGCGTCATGAGCCGCTTCTGGAGGCGAAGGTCTGGCTGGTCTTCCAGGGATTGCATGATAATATGGATTTGTTGAGTCTGGGGCATCTGACATATTTATAGTCGAGGCCGCTGGAGATTAAAGGAATTAGCATATCAACTACCAGAAGACGGGTCTGTGTTATCGGGAGAGGCAACGGCAGGACAGTTATTTATACGACGCGGGGTACGACTGTTCATTTCTATATAGACACAAGACGGGAAACATACCAGCAGGCCATATAACTGGCGACAAGGCTCCTGATGCATGGGAACCAGCATACTCTATCTTGTATTCCTCATGATAAAAATTATATGGCGAGGTGCGAAAACCTGTCAGAAGGCTTACCTCAGCATATATCCGGATAAAAAGAGGTGTTATCTGCCGCGCACCTGCCTCGCGCAGCAACGGCCCATTACTTGAACACTGATAAGTCTACTTTCCACACCTTGACTGCCCCGTCAAACCCCGTGGATGCCACCACCCCGTGACCAGACCCTTCGAAATCGTAGTGAAGCCACTCGACCCGCGAAATCCCCAGCTGGTGTGCCAATGGAGCCTGCACCACCTTGGAAATTCTCTTGATCGAGTACACCAATAAATTGCTATCTAACCCACCACTCAAGAGAAACTGTGAGTCAGGGCTCCATTTAGCGTCCACGATTTTGCTTGTGTGATACGTCCATCGGGTGGTTTTGATACTGGCATCAGCATTGTAGATAATGTATTTTCCAGTCGAATCTCCGAGAGCCACGTACTGCTCATCGGGAGACACCCTCACAAGCGAAGGACTTCCTCTAATAACATCGAATTTCAAAGACGCAGACTCGATCTTGTTGTCCAGCAAGTTGGTGAGCAACAACTTCTCGGCCAAAACGTCGACATCACTTGAGTCGTACTTCAACACGGTGTCGGTACCCTTTTGGATCAGCTCGGTGATGGTGAAGTCTGTGAGACTATTCTCAAACAATACACTCACCGATCCATTCTGCTTCACCAACTTCTTGGGCTGCGCTACCAAAACTGTCTCCGACACCAGGGTGCCGTTGTCAAGGTCCCACACCTTCAACTTATCGTCCCAGCCCACAGAAATTAAGTTTTTATCGTACGCCAAGTCCACCACGTAGTTGCTGTGGCCACCCACAAACTGCGGCACCAGCTTCAACGAGTCCCCGTCGATGGTCCACTTGTAAATACTCCCGTCTGAGCCTCCTGTCACCAATGAGTGGCCCACCACGAGGGTCGCGGTGATGGCACTCTGGTGGCCCTGCACCACTTGCAACGATCCGTCATCAACATCGAAATAGTTCAAGTTCCCATTCAACGAAAGGGCAATAATATACTTGTCAGTTACCACAAGCCCCACCAACTGGTTTTCAACAGTGACTGCATCTCCTACTTTTAAGGTCTGTGTCAGTTCCCATGATTCGACAGACCACACCTTAACACTATTATCAGCAGAACAGGTTGCAAACTTCTTTGAATCGCCAAACCACCACACGCCGAAAATACCTCCTTCATGGGCGTTCTCGATCTTCGTCACAAACTCGCCCGTCTTGCCGTCGTACACCACTACCAACCGATCGGAACCCACACTTAAAAGGTATTTACCGTCAGGAGAGAATTTGACGGCTCTTACGGTGTTTGTGTGGTGATCCCGGATACTTTTGTCAAACTTGAAAGGTGGCCCCGTGTAGAACACCACCGCCTTGTCGTTGCCGGCGGTGGCGGCACGGTACGGCCGTTGTGCCTTGATGTCCACCGTATTAATCACGTCCGAATGGCCCTGGATCTCGCCAATCGAGTTTCCCGAGTCCCACGTGAAGCAGTGGCCAAACTTCTCCTTTCCTTCGCCTACCGCAATCACTCGCGAGTTGTCGGCATCCCAGGCAATCGACTTGATGGCTCCTGAAAGAATGGGAAAATCACTCTTGACTAATGGCGCCTCTTTCAACACATCTTTATCTCCATACACCGAAGTGTCCCAGATCTTGACATGGCCACTCTCATCACCGCTGGCGATGTAGTTGCCGTTGGGGGCGAACGCTGCCACGGTGGTGGGTGCCGTGTGTTTCAGAAATTGGAATGACTTGACGGCGCTGTGGGGGTCGACGGGCCTGACGAATATCGACCGGCCCATGGCGTACGCAACACGGCCATTGACCTTGTCATACGTGAGGGATGTCGCTTGAGCACGGACCGTCGATGGGTGAGGGGGATACAATGCAATTGGTTCAATGGACATTCTTTAGTTGTTCTTATTAGTATTTGTGTATTGATCTTAAATCGAGGGTGGTCGTGCGGGCGTCGCGCGCGCGCTCCAACCGACACTGAAAAACTGCTCTCTCAATCGTGATTGGATTGTATATATCATGTCAAGTAGATCGTGTGCTGTGCTGGCACGCCGGGCGTTGACCTCGTCGGCCAAACGTTTGAACGACGTCAAGAAGCCCGTGGTGCCTCCACCCAGACCAGCGGTCACCACCCCCAAACCTGTCATCACCAAACCCGTCACCACCCCGGTCCCCAAACCCGTCATTATCACCAAACCTTCAATTCCACCTCCAGTGATTCCTCCTCCACCACCACCAAAAAAGAAGTTCTCCATTCCCCTGTTCTTGTTCAAGATTGTACTTGCCGGCGGTGTTGTATACGGAGGTACCATGTATGCTGCCACCAAAAGTGATACGGTGATGGACTTTGTTATCGACCAGCAATTACCATACTACGAAGAGATCATCGACATCTACGAAAAAGGGTCAATTGATGACGTCAAGGACTACTTCGCCGGCTTGGGCAAGAAGGTGTCGAGTTGGGAGGCTAAATTGCCCTCCAAGGACGAAATAACTTCCAAGGGTGAAAAGATATTCGAAGAAACAAAGAACAAGTTGAGTCCGCCAAAGCCGGCTGCTCCCGTCGACGTGTCCAGCTTGGGCCAGGACGCTACGCCCGCCCAGCAGTTGCAGAAACCAGTCGAAGCCGTCAAAAAGACTGTGGAGCATTTCCCTTTGATCCAGTTGAACAAGTCTGTCAGCTCTGCTGTAGATGCTTCTGTGAAACAGACGGTCGAATCGTTCAACGATTTGATAAGATCCATAGACGTGGATGCTCTGAACACCCCCGGCAAGGATACATTGATCAAAGCCATCAACGAAAACGTCTCCAAGTTAGCTACCAAATTGAGCTCGTTGACAGTCAGCTTCGAAGAAGAGGTGCAGAGTAAGTTGAGAGATTCACAGACCGACTTGTTATCATCATACACCAAGAAAGAGTTGGAGTTGACCGAAACTTTGTTGGACCAGTTCAACCTGGAAAAAGCTCAGTTGGAAGTTAAGTTGAACAATCGCTTGAAACACGAGATCGAAGCAACCAAACAGACGATTTCCCAGGCCGCCGTCAACGCTGTATCGATGGTAAGAGTCGAGCAGACCAAACAGTTTGAGAAGTTGATCAAGGACAGCATTGACTCTGAGAGAAACGGTAGGTTGGCTGGGTTAGAACAATTGAATGCCCGTGTCAAGGACTTGGAAGAGTTCTCCGAGACCTTAGAAACCCAGTTGGTTGCCAACCACACCCGTTCCGTGCTCCTGAAAGCCGTTGGAAACTTGAAGCATGTGTTGGCATCGTCCAAAGAAACAGACAGTCCCAAGTTATTAATCCAATACTTTGATGAAATCAACAAGGTGGCCGGTAGCCTCAACAGTGAATTACTCAACGTCGTCTTAAATGACTTGAAACCTTTGATTGTCAACGAGTCAAACCATTCTCTCTTGACCAACGCCCAATTGTTGAATAAATGGGAACAGTTGACTCCCGAGTTGAGATCAGCTTCATTGTTACCTCCAAACGCCGGATTATTGGGGCATTTGGCGTCGATGGTGTTCTCCAAGTTGTTGTTGCCTGTGAAGGGAAACAAGCCTGATGGTAAGGATATCGAGTCTGTTATTGGCAGAATCGAGTCTGCTTTGACCAGAGGTGACTTGGACGTGGCGGTGGAGGAGGCTGCCAACTTGAAGGGATGGCCCAGAAAGTTAGCTGATGACTGGGTCAAAGATGGAAGAAAGAGATTAGAAGTGCAGTTCTTGGTGGGTGTTGTCGACTCTGAAACCAGAATTGTATAGCCATATTCAATATATTTAACTCGTTGTAATCTTCGCGCTTTTTGGAGCGCTCTTTTCTCACCGTTCTTTTCAACACAATCATCATGGCATCTGCTAATAGTAACGCCAATGTCTATGGAGGAGACGAGATCAACGCCATCATTCTCGACCCTGGCTCCTTGAGCACACGGATTGGATACGCGGGTGACGATTTCCCGAAGATCATCACTCCTTCTTATTATGCTGCCAACGGTAAGAAACACATATTTGGTGATTCCATCAATGTTCCTCGGGCAGACTTCGATATCAAGCCCATATTAAAAGACTCGGTTATTGAGGACTGGGATGCTGCCATCGAGCAGTACCATCACTATTTCGATAAAGAGTTGGCCTTGGACTATAAGGAACAGCCCATATTCATCACAGAACCCATATGGACATCTGCCAAACAACGGCAAACATTGGTGGAAAACATCTACGAGAAGTTCGACTTTCCTGCCTTGTATTTGGGCCGAGCCCCCACCTGTGTATCGTTCCAACAAGGCCGTCCCAATTGTTTGGTTGTGAATATTGGCCATGATACCGTGAGTGTTACCGCCGTGATTGATGGGATTTCGCTCTTGAAAAACTCCATGAGAACGCACTACTCGGGCCAGTACTTGAGCGATCAATTGTACGATTTGTTCTTGAACAAATTCCCTCTGTTGACATTGGATGCCAAGTACAAAATCAGGACCAAGACTCCTACAAAGTACCCAGAACCCCCCGTATTCACACCCAGAGAACTCCCCAAAAACATCACCAAGTCGTTTGATGACTACCAAAAAGAATTGTTGTTCCACGAGATGAAAGAGACGTTGCTCGAGGCTCCCGACAAGCAAATCACCGATGAGAACTCTGAAAGCTATTCCAAAGACGAGAACAGACGGGCGTTTGAATTGCCCAACGGCCAGTCTATCGAGCTTGCCATCGAGAGGTACGAGATGGCCGACTCGTTGTTCGAGCCAAACAACTACAGCTTCACCAACGAAACATTGGCCAACAAGTACTCGGTTGAAAACGGTAGTTTGACCATCGACTCCAACCAAGATGACTATAGACCGTTGAAGAGAGCCCGGAAAAATGAAAGCAACCAGTCCACGCCTCCACCCGCTGCTACAGAACCATCGGTGGCCGAAACTAGAGGCTTAACTCAGTTGATCTCTCATGTGTTGTCGACCATCGACATTGATTTGAGAGCTTCTGTTGCCCACAATATCATTGTTACCGGTGGAGCCTCACTCATACCACAGGTGACCGAGCGGCTATACTCCGAGTTGTCTTCGTTGAACCCGGGTCTCAAAATCAGGTTACACGCAGTAGGTAACTCCAGTGAAAGAGTTAACCAGGCATGGATTGGGGCCAGTGTGTTGGCATCGCTTGGTACATTCCATCAGATGTGGGTCACCAAGGAGGAGTACGACGAGGCCGGGCCCGATAAGATCTTGAACCAGCGGTTCAGATAATAAACCTTTGTACTATATATAATCTTTATCTTTACCTTTATCTCAATATCATAAATGTGAACCCTGAAAAATATTTGTTGGACTGTCTGCGAACTTTCCCATAATTTTTCTTGCTGTCAGGTGCTGGTTCTTTTTCAAAGAGTCTATTAGTTCTTTGGTATTCATTGACTTATCTTGCATACAAATACACAGTCATCCTCATTACCATGTCCACCGTTAACCATGCCGAGTCCTCGCCCCAAGCCCTCGTCAAGGGCGCTTTGGATTTGGATCCGTGGTTGGAGCCTTTCCAAGGAGAAATGATCAAACGTCAATTGAAGTTTAGAGACTGGTACAATAAGCTCCTGAACACCGAAAATTCTCTCAGTGACTTTGCATCCTCCTACTTGACCTACGGGTTACACGCTGACTGGGACACAAAACTGGTTTCCATCACTGAATACGTTCCTGATGTCGAGAAAGTAGCGCTTGTTGGCGACTTCAATAACTGGGACATTCATGCCCACCTGCTCCACAAAAAGAACGACTTTGGTTTGTGGCAGTTGACCATTGCCCCCGTTAACGGCGACTTTGCGGTTCCCCATGACTCCAAGTATAAAATAGCAATGACCTTGCCGTCTGGGGAAGTGATCTATCGTATTTGTCCTTGGGCCCACCGGTGCACCCCGTCCGCCGACCCGTCGTTGTACGACGCGCGGTTCTACAACCCGCCACGTGAGCTCCAGTACCAGTTTAAGCACCCTCGTCCCGAGTTACTGGAGGATGGTGGTGTTCGAATCTACGAAGCCCATGTGGGGATTTCCACCCCTGAACCAAAGATCGGCTCCTACAAAAACTTCACCCAAAACATTTTGCCGGTAATTCACCGGTTGGGTTACAACACCATTCAGCTCATGGCCGTCATGGAGCATGCGTACTATGCTTCTTTCGGGTACCAGGTGACCAATTTTTTTGCCATTTCCTCGAGATTTGGAACTCCCGATGACTTGAAACAGTTGATCGATGAGGCTCATCGTTTGGGGATTCGCGTGTTGCTCGATGTGGTGCACTCGCATAGCTCCAAGAATGTTGAGGATGGGTTGAATATGTTCAATGGAACCGACCATTACTTGTTCCACGGAGGAAGCAAAGGGGTTCACGATCAGTGGGACTCAAGGCTTTTCAACTACTCCAACTACGAGACGTTGCGGTTCTTGTTGTCGAACTTGAAGTACTTTTTGGACGAGTTTCGCTTCGATGGGTTCAGATTCGACGGGGTTACCAGTATGTTGTATAAGCATCATGGGTTAGGTTTTGGGTTCAGTGGAGACTACAACGAGTACTTCAACCCCCAGTGGGTGGATGACGATGCCATCTTGTACTTTATGTTGGCCCACCAGCTCTTGGTTGATAAGGGGGAGAAGGATAACTTTAGATACTTATCGATTGCTGAAGATGTAAGCGGAATGCCTACGCTTTGTTTGCCCATCAAACAAGGAGGTATTGGGTTTGACTACAGACTTTCGATGGCCATTCCTGATATGTGGATCAAGATTTTGAAGCACTTGCAAGATGAGGAATGGGATTTGGGGAACATTGTTCACACTCTCACGAACAGAAGACACGGAGAGAACTGCATTGCTTATTGTGAGTCCCATGACCAGGCATTGGTGGGGGACAAATCCCTTGCATTTTGGTTGATGGATAAGGAAATGTACACCAACATGTCGGTGATGTCAGAAAACACTCCTGTTATCGACAGAGGTATAGCTTTACATAAGATGATCCGGTTGATCACTTTTAGTCTTGGTGGTGAAGGATACTTGAACTTTGAAGGTAACGAGTTTGGACACCCTGAATGGTTGGATTTCCCAAGAATCGGAAACGGTGAATCCTACCACTATGCCAGAAGACAGTTCAATTTGATTGAGGATGATTTACTTCGTTACAAGTTTTTATTTGCATTTGACTGTGCCATGCAGAGATTGGATTCAAACTATCATATTTTGAATTCGTCCCAAGCTTACGTATCGCTTAAGCATGAAGGAGATAAAGTGGTTGTGTTCGAAAGAAATGGGCTTTTGTTCATCTTTAACTTCAACCCCACTCAGTCTTTCGCAGACTACAAGATAGGAGTCCATACTCCTGGTACCTACAGGATTGTATTGAACTCGGACTCTCCAGATTTCGGAGGTCATGACCGGGTTGGTCCCGTGAATGCTCAAGGAGAACCATTGAAATTTTTCACAAACGATGATCCATGGAACGACAGAGCAAACTCATTATTCATCTACGTTCCTTCAAGAACCGCTTTAGTTCTTCAGTTGGAAGAAAAAGTTGTTAGCTAGATGCTGGCTATTCTTCCGTTTTTTCTATATCAATTTCGACATTTATTGAAAAACTAACTACTCTTTCAACTCTTCGAACTTCCCTTCCTGCTGCCACTGCTTCACCGGATTCTGGAAATTCTCAAATGTCCCTAGCTTCTCCATTCTTTCAAACAACACAAACAACTTTTCTGCTTCTCTCTCCTTCTCTTCTTCCGTCAAGTCATCGACAGAGCCACCACCCGATTGGTCGGCTGGTATGTTACCGAAAACACCGGCTCTTTTGCGGTTATAATCATCTGTATCAAGGTACTTTGATGTGGGCTCCTGAACACTTTTTATGTCTATGGATGGGTCAAGCACAATAGAATGGTTCTCGAGGTACTTATGTCCAAAAACATATCCCACAAGTTCTAAAAAGTTGTTTTGGTGCTTGACAATGTCTTTGTCGTATGTTAAACTGTACAAGATGCTGAGAATCAAATCTTTGGTGAAACCAGCATTCTTGAGATCAAAAAAGGACAGCCCATCAGCACCAGAAAATATCATGGTGGCCACGTACTGAATGAACTCATTGTAGACAAACTTCAGACCATCGCTAGGGAGAATCAACAGTGCTAATTCTGTCAAAAGTTGGTTGAACTTAGCGGACTCGGGATTCTGTTCAACATCACGTTTCAACAGACTAGCCATATGGTCCAAAACCACCAACATGTTCACGGCAAACCCACAGGCAACTATACTCTTCCCTGGCTCACGTTTTATGGTCTCCAAGTGCTCTTTTAAAAGCACATCCAAATTTTTGAAAAATTCAAGGTACAACTCTATCAGGCCCGTGTAAAGGTCTATGGATTTAGACTCTTCTCGCTCGCCATGCAAAAGCAACAAGAAGTTGAGGGTGTTTTTGATGATCAAATGGCCGTTTTCCGTGTGGCGTACACCCACAAACTGGTTGATAATTTTCAAGCAGTCGTCCGAAAACCCTTCGTCTTGTACCAACTCGGACCCAGAGTGGTACTTATGGTGTAAAGTGTACAAACACTTCAAGATTTCCACCACCAACAACTGGAACATAGGAACATTGCTATGATCGTCCATAATTGCCACATAGCACTTAAACCCATCAAGAAGTATTCCAAACACGTCGTTGATTATAGCATCGCAAATCTGCTCCAACCCTCCGTATAAGGTCAAAAACAATATCCGATAAATCGGCACCAAGCTGGCAAAGTCATACCGGAAGTCCAGCTTCTCGGCCTCAAACTGCTTGATTAATTTATCACAATATACAAACAGCCGTTTGGAATATCGAGGAATAAAGTATGTCATGTGGAGGTGTCTATTGACAAGTACGATATTGGAAATGGTGGCGATGATCTCAACTTTTTGGTCCAAGCCGGTTTCATAGTTAAACAACACATCGAATACCTTGTCAAGTTGAGACTCAGAAACACTGTTGCAAAAAGCCTGATCTCTCCCAAGCCTTCTAAGGCTTTTGACGTCATACAGGACAATCTTCCCCTGGTTGTCTTCAACAAACCACAGGTTGAACATGCTGAGGTGATTTGAGGTTTGGGTATTAGGAAGATCAGGAAAGAACTTTCAGGTTGGTTTAAGATTTCAGGATGTGGTGGGAAAAAGAAACAAGAGGAATAAGGTTGGTGACGTATGGAAGCGAGGTGTGACTGGGGTAGGGTGGTGCGACTTGGCCGCGCCGCATCATGGCGATGCCGATTGTAGGCCGAAACCGCCGAGGACCGTGATACTATATATTTGACCATTGGAAGCATGATGCAGTGTACCAGAGATATGGCACCCGGATAATTTCTACAGTGCTATGGACTTTGGTGGGTTATCCCTGCCATACTTTTTGACAAATGATGTGTCAAAAGCAGGTTTTGCAATGGAATAGGGAGAACTGAACTTCCAAGTTCAGGACTTCCGTCCTACCAGCGGGAGAACCGAGCACGGAAGTAGAAGTAGTGATGAACGAGAATATTTATTCACTAACTAGCCACCTTAGAGATGCGTACTTCAAACTTCTCTCCAAGACTTTCATTAAAATAAGCTTGGTCTTCAAGCTCCTGATTGGAATCTCTAGGTTCTGGAGTGAGCTGTGAAGCAGTATACATATCCTCCGTTTCTTCCATTTTGGCTAGCAGAAGAAACCTACTCTGCAAATAAACTTATCAAAGCGTTTCAAACGAATTTGAGCGTCTGTAGATTTTGCAGCAAAATTGGCCAATAGTGCACTACACAATTGCCCCAGTTGCGACCGGAGTTGTTTTTAAACTTTTGTTGCAACCATTTGCTGAACAAGTTCACTTGGTTAGTCAGGTTCACTAGGTGTGTAACCAACACTGGGTCATAATACCAAACCTGAAAAATCTATTATTTCACCATCGCTTCTGTTATTGAACAATTCTTGGAATAGTACAGTGTGGTTCATTTTTTCTTAGAAGCATAAGCTACACAAAGTCTATTTGTGCTATTGTAGGAGTATACCAACCCCAGATTTTATCACAACTCGGTGGCTAAGAAGATTTGTCTTATCCAATAATCTTCTTGCTCTGAAAGATAAAGTGACAAGTCTCTATCACTCTTTTCATGAAAAATTCAAGCTCCTTATACTCATACTCATCGTCATGGAGGTACCGAGACACATATCTAATGGTATGGATATTGATAGGCCACAAATACGTATTCAAATCATAGGTGCGAAGAATTCCAATAACATCCTTGGCAAGCAACTTGGCATGATTCCGTGGAATCTGTTTTAAATACCCTTGGACTTCAGGTGAGTTCAAGTTGGTCTTTTGGAGAAGCCCTTGGTACAACGATACCTTAGTCAATTTCATGTGCAAGGCAATCATTGCCGCTAACTCGTCCCTATAGTAGATTGTGGGATAGTACGAGTCATTAGGATCGTTTGAACTTGGCTTGTAGATAATCGGTTTCAAAGCTTGGGGAAGATTTCTTTCAAAGTCCTCAAGCGTCTCGTTAATTGCAAGCCAATCATGGAAACTTTTATTTGTATTAAACTCCTTTTCAGTGAGAACCACCACTTCAGAGTTAAATTCATTGGCGATACTGAAGTCGAAAAGAACCCTGTGTAACCACCACACTGCATCTTTCTGGGAGATGAACAACACATCATCAGGTCTGGGACTAATCGCAGGGTACACGGGGCTTGTGAATTGCTCAACAAACTGGGGATCAATTTGCATCCAAAACTGCTTCACAGAGAACATCGCTGGGAGATTGAATTTCAATGACAAGATCAAGTCACAGATAAACATGGCCCAGAAACACATTTGAAGAAACTGGGAGTTTTTCAAGGGACTTTGATCATCACTCTTGGCAATTATGGACGTTAACAAGCTCACCGCCCCCTTCACGTACGTATTGTCGGTGGCCAAGAAGAACATCTCATACACTCCCAAAAGAATCGTGCTCACAAGACACCTAGCAATGATTCCCTCATTGTCGTCACCACTAGGTAAGCTCAAACTGTGCAGAATAGACTGAATGGTCAGGTGGTAGTAGTCAATGGGAACAGACAGTTCGATCAGGTCGGGGTCGATTCTCTGCAACATCAAGGCACTTAAACTGAACATCGAGCTCATGATCATTCCTGTTTCATCAAGAAGAGCCATTTCCGGCACAAGTTCCAGGAAAAAGTTCCCAGCCATGAACATGTTCATGCTCTTGGACACCTCGTGAATGAACAAGTCAAACAACCGTTTCTCTAGTTCGCTTCCCACGTCAAAAAATGCTGGCAGAGCCCCACTACTATTGGGTTTCTCAAGCCTTAAGGCACTTAAAAACTCCTGGTAGACGGCATCCCCCGAGGGCTCCAGCTCGGTATTCTCCCTGGTACTTCCCTTTTCCTTCTGCACAGAGCCCGACTTATCCAACTTCTTAATCCGCGGTTTGGAGTTCTTCTTTGGCGCAAGTGGTTTATAAGTCTCTCCGTATTCATTCAGGTATTCCCGACCAAGAGTGGGTTCTATATTAGCGGCATATCCCAGAGGCAAAGGGCTTTGGGAATGGCTGGCTCCACTAGGAGCACTGGATGGAGTGGGCACCTGGGTTGTCAAATGCGAGGCTATGGGTTGTAATTGGGTAGGGGATTGGCCAGTGGCCATGTGGTGGTGCTGGGGTGGGGCTGGGATCGATACAGGCCCGTCCGTGTCGTAGGACCGGCTCAGAAATGGCCCTACATACTGATGGTACGGGAGCTGGTACGAAAGTGGTATGAGCATGTTTCCAGTTGGCATTAGCCCATAAACAGGTCCTCCAGCAAGAGCACCCATGGGTTGGCTTGTACTTCCGCCATTATTCTGGTCACCAAACTGCTGGGGTAAGCGTGGTGCGAGGGTCTGTAGAGGTGGCATCATTCTCATGGACTGGGGAAGTTGTTGCTGTGGGAGCTGTTGCTGTGGGAATTGTTGCAAAGTCTGATGTTGTTGTTGGGAATGGATATCCGGTGGCGGTCTCTGGTACAGAAGTCGAGGATCGGGCATGCTACCCATGGGGAGCGGCTCAGAGTCTTGCACACTGGTAGAAGCAAGGCCCGGTAGGCTGTTGAGGATTCTGGAGTCATTATCTATTGGTTGGGTCTGGGATACATTTTGGTAAAATGAAGGGTCCGTACTGGTTATCTGGCCAGACGGATACTGCGGGTAGTATGCATCGTTTCCGTAGAGATTATATGGCAAGTTCATCGGAAGGGACACGGGTGCTGGTGGTCTATTAAAAGGTATTTGTTTGCTGGTTATGTTCGGTTTGTGAAAGATGCGCGGCCGGCGTAAATAGTTGGGTATGATCAGATATTTTGCAGTGAGATATTTTGTTTATATTTCGTTAATAGGAGGAGGTTTGGGACGGTGGGACGGTGGAATCTCCCATGATGTACCGTGGTTGTGGTGATGACTACGGGTCCTAGAGAGAGGAATTAGATTTGGGTGGGGCAAATGTATTTTTTCAGTGGAACCAATTGGTGCAAGTTGTAGCGATCACAATAGATTTGAAGTATATTATATACACTACAAGCCCACCAAAGACAGAGGTGAAAAAACCTATGTTTAGAATTATAGGAGCTGTGTGTGTTTTTGAACCGTTTTTCTTTTGTAATTGCTACTCGGTCTCTTTGTTTATGCAAATCCGAGGTGCCGTGCAGGGTGGGATCCACAATCAAAATCAAAACCTTCATCTAAGCGAGACACCGAAAATCCGCCTAAAGTGTCCTCAGCCGATTCTTCACGCTCGTATATCTAGTAGTACTATGGCTTTCACATTGCTGCATAGGGTAAGTACCAAGTGGACTAAAGTTCATTGGCCTGCCCTAACACCTATCCAAGTCCTGATTCATACACCCATACACAATGTACACTATAATTCCCATTTCCCAGGCCCTGTGCTCTGTTGATTATTTCAAAAGTCGCGAATTATATTCACAAAAGCATGTCCAAAGAGTTAACAACATTTGTGGTTGACTTGGACCGGGAAATGGCTCGTGAGCTTTCCCCCGGCCAGTCACATCTCGACTTCGGCTTGAAGTATATGTATCATTTGCTCATGGCCAAGATCTTCAACACTCGAGTCACAGACTTTGTTTCTGTGATTGCCTGCCACGCGCCCACTTCCAACGTGGACTTCTCGGAAGATGATCAATTGAAGGGTATTTACAAGGTCCTTGGTAAGACGTCACCCGGAATACGCCACTTGAAGGAAGTCGAGTGGTTTTTGGTCCCAAACACCGCATCTTCACCCGACGATGGTGATGTTATTCACGCGCTTCTGGTGGCAGTAGCTTTAATGAACCAAGACGCTAAAGGTGCATTCATAAGAAATATAGTGGTGATCACCAACGGTGAGGGAGATGTAAGGTCTTTTGGCACCGAGTTGGCAGACAGCACTGTGGCAGCGGTCAACAATATGGGTATCAATGTTTCTGTTGTGGGAGTGAATTTCGGGTCTGACACTTCACCTACCCAGGTGAAAAATGTGCAAAGTTGGAGAAAGTTGGTGGCCCAGTACAACAATGGCCACGTGTTGGATGCTAATGATGTTGCCGAATCGATCACGAAAAACCCACCCTTGAAAAGGGTGGATCCTCGGGTAGCATTCAAAGGTTCTTTGCGATTGGGAACAGACCCTGCCCATCTTGGTAGCAGCGGAAAAGATACCAGTCAGATTTCTTTGGATGTGGAAATATACCCTGCAGTGATGCCAGAAAAACTTCCTGCCGGCCATAATTACCTTGTCAAAGATGGTGAAGTAAAACATCTAACCACTGAATACGGCTATTATGTGGAGCTTGACAACAAAGATCATGAAAACAACCCCAAAAAAAAGGTCCCTTTGGAAAAAGGAAACTGGACGGATGGGTATAAGTACACCAACAATGATATTATTGCTCTTGATTCCAAAACTCTCGCAGCTTCGAGACTTGCAGGGGAACCGGCTATAGATGTGGTGGGGTTTATGAAAATTGACGATTTACCAGTAGCTTTCTTCACGGAGGAAAGCAAGTACTTGGTGCCGGCTAAGCTTCTGACAAATAGAAACCTTTTGGGCTATAATTGTCTTTGTGAAGCGCTTCTTGATTCACGTATGTTGGTGATTGGGCGGTTTGTTCAGAAGGAGAACGACGAAGTGAAGATCTGTGCGTTGATTCCTTCAATAACAAAGATATCCACTAAAATCGTCTACTCTTTGCAGCTGGTTCGTCTCGCCTGCAAAGAAGATGAAAAGTCCGGCCGTTTTCCCCAGTTGTCCACCGAAGAAGCAAATTCAGAGGACTTGAAGTTGATGGAGAAGTTTATCCTCTCGAGGGATTTGGATGCCCACACACCTGCCCAAGAAGCGAACATTGACCAGTATTGTATCAATAATGGAAAGGTGACATTACTATCTCACCAAACCCTCGAAGAAAGAATTAGGCAAAGCAAAGAGGCAGTTAGTACTGATTTGAAACTCATGTCCAACAACCCTGCTATCCACAAATTTCATACAAACTTGTTCAAAATGCTCCGGGAAGCTGTTGATAAAACCGAAGTTGAAGAGTCTCCCGTGTTTTTGACGAACAATACCATTCCCGACATCCCCACCAACTTGTTCAACTTATCCAACATTCTTCTCAACGGATACAATTCCTTCCATAGTAGTTGGTTAAGCCAGTTGAATAAAACCGATGGAACGGTAGAGAAGTTGGCGAAAAAGACTATTCCTTTCAGGCCCAAAACCAAGAGAAGAAAGCTTGACCAAGAAAAGGTTGGAGCAGGCACCTATGGAGAGAACGAAGGAGAATATGAGTTTATCGATATCGAAGATATTCTCACCTAAATATGTACATGATAATGATAATGAAACCAAACTTCTGTTACTACAACTTGCACCAGATATCCTCCTAAATATGTACATGATAATGCTACTTATAACTTGAACAACCGATTTCTGATATCAAACTCTCTATCTTTGGCAGTTCTACTTCTCTTTTTAGACATCCCCGTTCCATCTTCTCCCAAACTATCAACAATCTTCTGGTGCACATTCATAGAACGAACCCTTTCCTTTTCTTCTTCAAACATCGACCTCACCTGTTTTCCACCCACCTCTATAATCGTCTCCAACTCAAATAGACCTCTGTACTGCTTGCCCTTGGCTTGTCTCCAAAGATTCAACCAATGATTCGCCATTCCAAGCTCATCGTAAGAATCATCTTTCTTCAATTTGTTTCTGGTTTTGGCGATATTGAACAACAACTCATCTACTGAGTTCGTGGGATGATCCATGTACTCACTATAACGAGCACCAGGCTCGTCCTGTAGGTTCAACAAATACAACAAATAATCAGCCTGAATCACCGGATCCACAAACGACGAATTTACACACCCCACCAACGCCAACGACAACATCGTCTCACTGTTCTTTACAGTTGGAAGAAATACCCCGGGAGTATCATGCACAGAAATCTCGGGCCACTGGCTGATTTTGATGATTTCACTGGTGTTTCTCGTGACTCCTGGTTGTCCACCAGTCTTTGCAACCTTACGTCTTTTGGTAGAAATGGTATCGGTTAAGTGGTAATTATATCCAACTTCTCTTAGAGTATTAACCAATGTAGACTTACCTACGTTAGGCATTCCCACGATCATGAGCCTCATTCCCAACGGTGGGGGTGGGTTCATCTTATTGTACTCTTTGGTCATTCTATCAATAATTCGTTTAGCATCCTGCTTACTTCTAGCGTCTATAACCATATACTCCTCATTGTGCTTGTTGTGCCATTTTTCTAGCAACGGAGTGCTTAGTACTGACAAATCCTTTTTACTGTACAAAACCACTTTGGGCTTTCTGGCTAGTACTCTCTCAAGCAACACATTTGTGGTTGCAATAGGGGCCCTACTATCCCTGACTTCAAGAATATAGTCAATTTGCGGGGCCAAGTGGCCAAACTTCGTCAAGGCCTTCTGATGATGGCCCTTGAAGTTTGCCAAAGTGATGTTAAATCCAGGAAATATCCTTCTAGGCACAAAGGACATGCTTAAAATGAGATCGAGTTTCGCGATGCGATTTTTTCACCCGATGCCATTGATAACGTTTACTGGGTTCCCATGTTCTGGGAAGAGCACCTGGGCCACCAAGCTCATAGAGGCGTTGGAGCAGAAAATTGAGCACGCAAAAGTCGATAATGGGCCTGGCCACAACTACAACATCAAGTACCACACGGACGATAGTTTGGGAATAGCGAGAAAATCATACCGTGAAAGCGTATCTGAAAGGCAGGCTAGAGGAAACCAGATTTCGGCTGTTAGAAGAGACTTATCGCGGTCAACGTTTGTGATCCTTGATTCATTGGCGTACATCAAGGGGTTCCGGTATCAACTTTTCTGTGAGGCCAAGGGAGTTTCCACTCCCCATTGCGTGGTCCACGTTATAAACTCCAAAGAAACCGTCAAAAACTGGAATAGTTCCGTCACAAATGAGTCCCACATATGGGAAGAGGATCTTATTGATCAGCTCTGTATGCGTTATGAGGAGCCAATCGACTCCAACCGTTGGGACAGTCCTCTTTTCACCATTGCTGCTAGTGAAGAAGACGAGCAGCTCCCCATTGACGAAATCTGGGATACTCTTGTTCTCAAAAGACCTCCTCCTCCTAACAATGCCACGTTGGTTAAGCCCACATCAGGCAACAACTTCATGCAAGAATTGGAGAAACAAACCCTGGAAGTCATTGGCAAGATCCTTCAACATCAACAGTTGAGCACCATAGGAGGCAAGGTGATAATAGACAGAGATAATGGGGTGGTGATCGAGATGCCTGCCACCACCGTCAGCATCGCACAGCTACAGAGAATAAGACGTACATATATCGGGTTGAACCGAATGAGGAGCGTGGCCAGTGACCGTATCACTCCTATGTTCTCAGACTATGTTAATAGAAACTTGAACAGCGATGACTAGAATTAATGCATTTATTACTATGGTACAGAGGACATAGATACCTCTACCTCTTTCTCTGGATCTTCCATTTGAAGTGGATGTTCCCGGACCCATCCACCACCTTCTTCTTATTACCCTTTTTCATCAACTCTTTCTGCTGCTCCATTCTACTTTCCACTTGTTTGAGCTGCTGTTCTCTTTCCATCCGACTTTTCAACAACTTGTACTGCTTGACCTTCTTTTCGTTCAATCTTTCTCTCACAACCTCGTCTATGTTGCTTTCGATGATCTTCTTGTTACTTTCCAACTGCTCAATTCTGGGCCTATTCTCTCTTCTACTCAAAAAGTCTTTATCGGTGTTGAAGTATTCTTCTGGTGAAAACCTCTCTTGTTCTTGTTTGGACCCGACGAAAACTGTGTGTTTTCCTTTGGCCTTAAATGCCAAACTCTGCTTTTGCTTGTCTATCTTGTTTAACTCATTCAATCTCATCGTACGAATATAGTTTGAATCTTGAGTTTTAAGCAACTTCACCTGGTCAACAGATAACAGCTCGTTTCCTCTATCCGACACGATTATTCCTCTGTCATCGGTTCTCTTTCTGGTCATGGCATGGTAGTATTCATCAGGATTGTATTGCGATGCCTTGTTTCTAAGGGCCTTTATGGCAGCCTGTTTTTTGTGGAAGTCGGCGGCTCTCAACCGATAGTCCTTCTTCTTCTCCAATAGCCCATACCTTTCTCTATCTTTCGTCTGAGACCGCTCCTTGTGCTGCTTCTTCTGGATATTATGTACCAATTTTGCCATCTGTTGTAGGTATTTTTTTTGCGATGCGATCAAGATGTTCGAAAATGATTCAAATGCTCGAAAACTTCTCACTTGCGATACCTATGATCAGAATCCCAGCTCTAAGTAGAAGAGGTATTATACGCTCTGCTCGACAAGTGAGCCGTGTGTACGCCCTTCCTGCATTTAGATCTTTCCACTTCACCAACGTCTTAAAGCTAACAGAGCCAATCCGTGCTATTGACAACAGTGATAATACTCCTTGGTATTTAAGAGAAGAACAGAATATCTCCACCAAACCCGCTGATAGGCCGCCCATCCCTTACGTTCCAGAGTCTGCTCCTAGTACGGTTACGGAATTTCTCCGTCTCTTGGCCGAAGAATACGGTCTTCAAGAGATTCAACTATTTGACCTAAACACATTAGATGCAAGCCATCCTCAAAGTGTGGAAAACCAGCCCTTTGACTACATAATAATCTGCACCGGAAAGTCCGAAAGACACATATACAAAGCGGGACAGGAGCTCAAGCACTATATCAAACATAATTTCCAAAAACAGGTCAAAGTCAACGGTTTGGTATCAGCAGCTCCCAACGCTGTAGCAAGAAGACGGATGTTGAAGAGGGCTAACAAGGCTCCTCTTGCAACCGATAATGACTATGGAAAAACGGCGAACTCGTGGGTTATGTGTGAGACGAGTGTAGATAACATTTGTATTCATGTTCTCACCAAAGATAGGAGAGCTGAATTGGACTTGGAGTCTTTGTGGGTGGAGGAGAAGGCACCAGAACCGGTGGAGAAACAGGAAGAGAGTGTGGCTATCAAGAACGTTTCCGATATACCTGAGTTCTTTCTTACCAGAAGAAAATTACACACCTCTACGAGGTACATCAACCATGAGTTGGCTACATGCCTTACTAACCTTATGGAAGAAGAAGTTGACAGCTTAAATTCCCAGAAACTAAACCAGTATATCACCGAGTTTGAGGCCAGCTTTGTCAATCCTAACGTTGAAGACCACAAGTTCCGGTCCATCTTCTACAGCATATTACATTTCATAGACCATAGTGTGGTGAGCTTGGAAAAGGTAACAGAAGTTATGCTTGACAAATATGCTGATTTAGCCATTGCTATAGATGAGTCGGTGAACATGAAGCACGAAAGATCCAGTGATGTCACCACTTATATGAAAGTTCTTATCGACTCTCCTCAATTACAGGCCAGTCTTGAACCTAAACCAAGATCCGACAAGGCTTTCGATATGTTGGCCCAGTTTTCCATGAATGTCTACCGGTTTTCAGGAGAAACTATCGATCCTGAAGCCAATCCTGAGTTCATCCCACTTTTGTGGAAGCTAGCATTCACATCCACAAACAACGGAGAATTGGACCTTGGCCCTTCAGTCATAGACGAAACTCTCTACGACAACAAAGACTACTATCATCAGAAGTTCTCCACGTCTGTACAAGCAGAAAATCGTACAAGAGATATGATGGAGGTATTGAACTTCTACTTGGGACTCAAGTCTGACAGCCGTTCATTTAGCAGGTCTTTCAAGGAGTTGCAGTTGTTTTCTCTCGGTAACTCTGGCCGCTGGGATGAGTTCTGGAACCACTGGGATGTCTCCATGAGTCTTTTGGACGATAAAAAAGACATTCAGAGATGGGCCAGACTTATAGTATATTTGGCTCTTAGAAACGATGTGAGGGCCAACAAAATTTTTGTCCAAGAGTATTGGAGCGGCACTCACAAAATGTCAGGGTCATTTATGGAGCAGTTTCAAGCCAGGTCAGGTGACTTGAAGGAGTCGGAGACTCACCATTTGAAAGTATCGTTGGGTTTAATCCTAGAGTCCCAGCACAAAATATTGCCCGATTCGGCCCTCGATGAGATACGAACTTTCGCGAGTACTTTGTAAATAGAACAGGCGCGTTCATATATTCAATACCATGAAAACATGTCTATAGATCAAAATCTAACACAGGTGAAAAAGAAGATCAAGGACTGGGAGCACGACTTCGTCAAAGTACACTCCAGACCACCTTCGAAGACTGACGTTAAAGAAGATGCCCACATCCTGAAATTGTATAAGTTATACCGGGCCCTCAAATTGAAGCAGCAAAAATTACCAGACAAGCCACAGCAAATACCGCCCAAGCCGGCTACGGACGTCGACATTGACAACTTGAAGGGTCTTTCCGATGATGAGAAAGAATTGGACGGTCCTCAGGAGGTGTCGGCGTTCTACAACAATTCTGAGTTGGGGCCCACTCCACAAGCAGGAGGTAAAGTGTTATCGATATTTGATATCAGAATGACGCCCCCAGAGCCGTCTCCGTCGAAGAGGAAGGTGCCTCTAGTGCCCCATAATGGCCCGTCTGAAGATTTGGAGTTTAAGACACCCACCAAGCCCAAACTCATCACCCAAGTCACGCCATTGAGGTCAGCATCCAAGTCATCATCCTTTATGCACCGAATTGCCATGGCTAGTCTGAGCAGCCCCACTAAGACGCCCATGCGAACACCAGTGTCAATGGGTCTCGGGGCGTTGGCAGCGGACACTCCACAGTATCTCAAACGAAATATCCTGAAGTTTGAGTTGTCTCAAACCGACAAATCTCCATTTCTTTCCCAGCCATCGTCGCCGGTTAATACCAGGTCTCCTTCAACCCCCACCTCCAAGTCGACGATTAATTTTCTGGTTTCTCCGTCACCCTTGAAGTCTCATGGATTCCGCCAAATGGGTAACAGAAGTCTACTTGATGTCTACCGAGACCATAAGAGCATCATCATCTCGCAACAAGAACATGACAAGTACGGGGTGGATAGTGAGTCATCTGAAGAGGAACAGGCCCTCACAGGAGAGCTGTATGTTCCTAGACGAAAGAAGAGCAAGACACAGAAAAGATCCACCAGACGGTACAAGATTAAGCCAAACATCGCGTCTGTTGAAGATGATAGTATGGGCTCGAAGAACTTGCATAAGGTGTTGGAGGAGATCAATGAGAATGAAGAGAAGAGGTTGGAGAAGATGGCACAAGGAGTGGAGAGCAGTGAAGGTGAAGAAAGTGAAGAAGATAAGAAGCCAGTCAAGCCTGCAACCAAATCGAAGGGAAGAAAAGTTGCACCTATAAGTCACAACTACAAGAGATTGAAGATTCACTACAAGAAGAATAAGAACTGGGGGAGAAGGCGTTAGTTATGCACTAAGATTGCACACCGTATTAAATCGTCCACCTAATTGTAAGCACATATAATACATAATAAGTCATTCACCTGTTAATACATACTAGCAACCAATTCACTCAGGTCCCCACCAGAGCCAAATTGAACTCGTTTCTTGAGCGGGTCCGAGAAGTCTTGAGATTCAACTTTGACTTCAGCTTTGCCTGCCACATACACAGGTTTCTCCCACTTGTTGTTATCGGCTTCGTAATCCCACACGTTTTGAGTTGCGATATCTTCATCTTTTCTCTTGCTTTGTTTAAGATCGTCTTCCAATTTCGTGATTTCATGGGTATTCGCTTCGTCGTCGTCATCATCTCTCATCGAGTACTTTTCTACCATCGTCACCTTTCCATCTTTTATGACCATTTCAACCGTCTTTTGGCCTTTACCCAACCGTTTCTGTTCATTCTCTTCATATTTCCTGAATTGTCGTTGCTGCTTCTTTAACCTTATCGCTCTCTCGGCGGCAGAAAGCCACATATTACCACTGTTGGAAGTGGAGATTTCGTAGTCGGCTGCGTTGTCTATGATCTTGGTTCTTTCTTCTCCATTGTCTTGGAAGTCTAGTAATGTATTGAGTCTTTGTTGAGCTGCCACTAGATCAGGATCAACTCCGCTGATATTATTGTAGTACAGAATCTCCTTCTCCTGCTGTGACTGGGTTTCTCGGGAGGCAATTTCCTCCTCTAGTCTCTCGTGCTGGATCTTCCTCTCGGCTTCGGCTTGTTTCAAAGCAGCATCTTGAGCTTTCCAGAGATTTTCACCGGCCTTTAAACTAACCACTATCTTCTTGGGCTTGGTTTGAGGCTTGGGTGATCCCTGGTACCTTTCTGGTCTTACTGGTTTCCCGTCCAATTCTTGTTTTTCTTTTAGTAACACTTCTTTTATCTCGACTCTATCTTTAACAGAAAGAAGCTCGTAGCCACAGAAAGAACATGGCTGTAACCCCTCTCTGGCACAGATAATCTTGCCGCAGTTCAAGCAGTTGGGGGCTATTTCGAATAGTGGATGCCTCGTAGCATTACAGAAGCAAACTGTGCGTGAGTCATCATCCTTCTTCACTTCAAGTGAATTCAATACCGCCTCAAGATCTTGAAGGCTCTCGAGCTTCTTCTTTCTTGACTTTCTGTTCTCTTTGGGGGTTTCCTCCTGCTTCTCTTTGATCAACTCCGAGGTGGTTATGGGAACTCTTTTCAGAGGTTTAATTGGTGCTGGGGAGCTGGATGTTTCTCTAGATTTGGTTGTGCTCCATGCATTTTTAGAGTCCCTTTTGGGCTGGGGCTCAATTACAGATGATGGGGATGGCGTGACCTTCGGCTTGTGTTTCAAGCTGTTTTTCACATCGATGAATTTCATCAAAAATGCCGAAGTGGTATCGCTTTCTCCAAGAATGTTGAGAAAGTGATCTTGGATAGCACTGTCGTTTGGGAGAGTCAATCCGTACTCAACCATCTGAGAGCACGACTCGGGATCCAACGGGATGATTTCCGCAATAGCGCCGGCTAGTTCTAGTTTCTGTTTAGCAGAGATCATAGTGATGTCTGAGAAATGTTACTGATAACATTTTTTGCGCGGATATCAGTTGCAAAAAAGCTGCAAACAAAATCCACAAACCCCTACAACTTCAACAGAGGAACTCATTTAAATTCCTCTGAACAAACAAACAAGCCCCCTCTAAATCAGTACGTATCACGTACTGAATTACTACACGGAGACAACCATCTCCACACCCCAGTTCTTCCAGCCCCAGACTCCCTCGTTGATCAAGAAAATTATGAGTTACATGCGGACTCAGAAGCCTTTACTCCAAAAATACCCCCAGGAATGGGTCAAACCCATTGGATGGAAGTCTGTATTCGAAAACTACTACCTCTATACTGCTATGGGATCTGGCAGCTTCGGAGATGTGTATCTTGGTAAAACCAAGATGAATTCCAAGATATTTATTCGAAACGACATCAGAATTTCCACTCTATTAGAACCTTTACATGATCACCACCGGAACCGACTGCCATTGGTGGCTGTGAAGATCCTCAAGACTCCCATCACTTCTATGGAAGAGTATAGACGGAGCAAGGAACTCAAGTTTATCTTGTCGATTCCTTCTCACCCCAACTTGGTGGAGGTGTATGATCTATTCATTGACCCTAGCAGCCACCAGGTTAACATCGTGATGGAATGTATGGGCCAAACCCTCTACCATTTGGTGGTCGCTAGAGGCAGTTTGAAGTTCAGTCCCGTCACCATGAAGAGCATTTTGAGTCAAGTATTGAACGGAATCAAGCATATCCACAAATATGGGTTTTTGCACAGAGATTTAAAGCCCGAAAACATTCTCTTGATTGCCACCATTCAGTTTTATGGGGACAAGGAGAATATTCCCCCACACCGCAAATGTGACAGCTATATCGTAAAGGTCGCTGACTATGGGTTGAGTAGAAGCGTAGATGACATGTCACCATACACTTCATATGTGGCCACCAGATGGTACAGAGCACCCGAGATCTTGTTGCAAAGAGGATTATACGGCAGGGCTGCCGATATGTGGGCATTTGGGCTTATTGTCATGGAGCTTGTCAATTTCGCAGCATTATTCCCCGGGGATAATGAGGTAAACCAATTGTGGTTAATTGTCAAAACCCTCGGAAGCCCGCTTTTGCCAGAAATAACCTACATTGGCACTAGTCCGACCTATTTAATCCCATTGGGAGGGTTTTGGAGAGAAGCTCATTCCTTGGCATCGAAATTAAAGGTTCTGTTTCCTTATGAGCGAGGAGTGACTATTGGTGAGTTGTTTTCGACCGATAGGTACCAAGGAGTCGCGGAGGTTGTACAAGGATGCCTCAAGTGGGATCCAGACACAAGGTCAGATGCGAAAGCCTTAAGTTCAATGAAATACTTCAAAGGCACTTGCACCTATGAGCTGTACAGGCCTTCGACCCACTTTCGTCAAAATAATCACAACCTTTTCTCGGCCGGAAACTACGGTTCAAACAGCTGCAAAGTAATCAAACCCAAATATCTTTACACAGATTTCTATGATGGGTACGAAGGCCAGTTTATGGGTTTCAACCTGCCCTTGCTTCCTTTTCGCAACCGTTCGTATTTAAGCAAACCCACCACGGAGTTGTTGGACGAAGATCACGATGAGAATGTATATGACCCAGAAGTCCTGGTTGACGTGGAAATCGACGAAGAGTACTTTGATTCGGATGCGTACGACTCTGACCGGTTAGAAAAGCTCTTATCCAATGCCGACAATGAGAACGAGAACAGTTATCACTGGAATGGCCCCGCGGAAGACATGATCCCCAAACTCCATCGGCACCATACTAGAACTAAGACCCCGTTTCACTCGAAAGACCAGTTTCTCAAGGTCCCCAATTGTGGCTAATATGTGTACTTATATTATTGTCTTAAATGTAATGTGAAAGAAACCCTCACCTGCGCGCAGCACCCCACAAAATATAATCTCCACCATAAGCGTACATCTTCACAACTCCATAAAAATGTGTATTTTGTTGGCAAGCACCGAAAGCCCCGACTACCCGTTCATTCTATTGTCTAACAGAGACGAGTATTTCCGCCGGCCCACCGAAAATGCCCGGTTCCGGCCCCTCAGTAACAGACACATATTATCACCTGCTGACTTGGGACGAGCAGAGCATGGAACCTGGATAGGAGTCGATACCACCGGTAAACTCGCAGTTCTTGTCAATTACCGGGAAAGTGATGATCTCAACGTCATCAGTGAAGTGTCTCGAGGAATTATTCCGGTTGACTATCTTTCCAGTGACTTGTCCGATGAGGAGTGGTATGATAACCTCGAGAAATCTTTGGCTTTACGAATCGTGGGGAAAAAAGTGGATTCCATTCCGCTCAGAAGAGTAGGCGGATTCTCGCTTCTCTACGGTCAACTCAAGTTGAATGACCTGGGGAAGATCAACAAATTAAACATCATCAGCAATAGAGGTGATAAGGGAACCGTCTTTGATTTTGATTCACCTCCAGACCATTTCCACTCTAATGACACGACCATTGGACTCTCCAACTCTCTCTTCTACGAGCCGTGGAACAAGGTCCATTTGGGCCGCCGGGCATTACATGAAGTTATAAATAAGTCAACAGAACAACACTACACCCAACAACAGCTCGTGGAAGAGCTCTTCAAAGTGCTTTCAACAAACTCCTACGACCAGTCGTTTGCAAACAAGTCCATGAAAGACAAGCTTCTCGGATTAAGAGATACAATCTGTGTACCTCCGTTAGAAACTCAGTTTACTGACAAAGAGTTGAACGACACCATTGGTAAATACTATGGGACCCGGACCCAAACAATCATTTTGTTGGATAAGCATGGGGTGTTGCACTATTATGAAAAAGTTCTTTACTCCAGTGACGATTTGGCTGCACCAGGCCTGGGGTACCAACACTTCACGGTGAACGTCGCAAAGCAATAACAATTAGCTTCAAGGCTTTGAGCGCGAAGTCTTGAAGGAAAATAGAGTATAGAAGATATATCAAATTAATACAAGATGAGCCTTGAAACTTTAGAGGAGTATCCATTGACCAGTGTGTACCGCAAGCCTGCGCTCAAGCCACTGGCTGTACCTGAATTGTTGATTTTCATTCCTGGGAATCCCGGGTTGGTCGAGTACTACATCACCTACTTAGAGTTGATCCAGCAGGCGCATCCTACGTTTGAAATATACTGTATTTCCCATGCGGGCTACCAAACTACAGGCGACTACGTGAAGGAAGGATCCAAGAAGTATCCGGTTTACTCGTTGGATTTCCAAGTCAAGCACAAGTGCAAAATAATTAATGACATTCTTCATCAAAAGGGAGGTAAGGCCAATTTGTATATAATGGCCCATTCGGTGGGGGCATTCATTGTACAAAGGGTGTTGAAGATATTGGAGGCAAACAGGGATGTCCTCGTCAAGTTTGTGGGTTTGATATGTCCTACGGTGATAAACATAAAAGAGTCGACTTCGGGTCAAGTATTGCTGAAGCTACTGACGTACTTACCATTGGTTCAATTGGGGTTGGTTTTCAGTTACGTCCTCGGTTTTTTGTTCAGCAACAATGCTATCAAGTGGATGTTTCGGAATTTTGTGTTTTCAAGTCCTAAAAGTGCTACTCGGAATGCTGCAGAGGCATTGGAAAACTCAGTATCTGCGTCCGTGAAGTTGGTTACCTCGGGTCGAATTGTCAAACAAACGTTGACAATGGCAATTGAAGAAATGGAAATGATTTTGGAAGATGATGAGCTCAATGACTGGTTTTTTCAGGAGTTATCGGCTCAAGGGACCAAGATATGGACATATTTTGCATTCACTGATCATTGGGTGCATGATAACACTAGAAATTACATCTTGTCAAAGTACCACGACGAGTCAAATCCCAACCTTTCGTTTGAATTGGGAGATGTAGACGATGGGATTACACACAGTTTCTGTGTAGACCAGAGTGAAGAGTTCGCAGAAATCACTTTGAAGATGATGAACCAGTTTTTGTAGGGTATTTATAGAATGTTGTTGAACAGAGATGCGTTGCTGTTATCTAAACCTAGTTGCGATTTAGATACTTTCTTGCAGCCAAGCGATGCGATGGACCAAAAACAATTTAAAAATGCGAAGAGATAAAAAAACTTCTTTACCACTACTATGTCTGCCACTGATAAAGCATCATTGGCGTTCACTGAACAACATTACTTCTCCTCGTATGACCATTTCGGAATCCACGAAGAGATGTTAAAGGACACCTCCAGAACCTTGTCGTACCGGTCCGCCATGTACAAAAACAGACATCTTTTCAAGGACAAAATCGTCTTGGATGTGGGATGCGGTACCGGTATTTTATCGATGTTTGCCTCCAAGGCCGGTGCCAAACACGTCTACGCCGTCGACATGTCCAACATCATTGGCAAGGCCAAGGAGATCGTCGAGTTGAACGGATTTGCTGACAAAATCACCTTGATGCAAGGAAAATTGGAAGATATCACCTTGCCAGTGGAAAAAGTCGACATAATAGTATCCGAATGGATGGGATATTTCTTGTTGTATGAATCCATGTTGGACACTGTTTTGTATGCCAGAGACAAGTACTTGGTCGAAGGTGGGTTGATTTTACCCGACAAGTGTTCTATGCACATTGCTGGTATCGAGGACGGTGAGTACAAGGATGAGAAAATCAACTATTGGAACGACGTGTATGGCTTCGACTACAGCCCATTCATCAAGGTCGCTATGGTCGAGCCCTTGGTCGACACTGTCAACAAGAACTCGTTGATCACCAGCTCGCACGAGTTCTTTCAATTCGATATAAATAAGGTGTCTAAAGACGACTTGACGTTCTCCAGAACCTTTAAGTTACACCCCACCGCCAACGAATTCTGCCACGCCTTCATCGTGTGGTTTGACTGTGACTTCCCCGGTTCCGAGAAAGTCTCGTTGAAAACTGGCCCTATGGACCACTACACTCACTGGAAACAAACTGTTTTCTACATGGACCAGGTGTTGAATGTCAAGGAATCTGACACCATCAAAGGTACTATTTCCGCGCGGCCCAACTCCACTAATCCCCGTGAAATCGATATTGAAATTTCATGGGAGTTGGTCACTACTGACAAGTCCAGACATCAAGTGGGTAAGTACAACTATTTCATGCGTTAATTTCACTATATTCGCCGTGACTCGGCCGCAGTTATGAGTGTGACGTCTTTTTTTACCTCCATAGATAATTGATAATCAAGTCATTCGCAATGCGAGCATAAATTCCGTGCGTTTGTATGTACCGACTCCTAGCCACCCGATTTTTCAAGACCCCCACCACCCGATATTTTGCTAGAAACATGTCAAAATCAGAACAAGAATGGAGAGCGTTGCTCTCACCCGAACAATTTAGAGTCTTGCGCCAGAATGGTACTGAGGCTCCCGGTACTGGAGAGTACATCAAGACTCCATCCGACACCAATGCCATTTATACGTGTGCTGGGTGTGGCAACCCGCTCTACGAAGCCTCCACGCAATTTGATGCCCACTGTGGATGGCCTGCGTTCTACACAGCGATTGCGGGATCCATTGTCACCAATGTTGATGCTAGTCTTGGAACTATTAGAGAAGAGATGAGATGTGCCAAGTGCGACGGGCATTTAGGCCATATCTTCAAGGGAGAGGGCTACAACACGCCTACGGATGCCAGACACTGTGTGAACAGTGTGTGTTTGAAGCTAGAAAAGAAGTAGGACAAATAAGTATAAATATACTAAGATGTAGATATAACTAGGATATGAAAAACAGCCACTAGGTAGCAATAGATAATAGCATACTTAGCCATAGATATGAACAACAGCCATTACACCCATATGAGTCACTCAGAGGAGGTACGGGATCATCACCTTTCGGTTCAACTTCCGGTACTCATTACCAAATGTCTTCAAGTACCGCTTGTGCTTACCAACAGCCCACACATACATCTGCACTCCCCCCACAAGAATAAACACAAAGTAGCTCCAGTTTCCACTCATTACCCCCAACGTCAAGAACGCCATCACCTCAAAAAAGTAGTTGGGGCAAGTCACCCAGTTGAACCCAAATCCGTACGGGATCTGGTAGTTCTTGGGGTCTCTTTCTCTGATCAAACTCAAGTTTCTGTGGGTAACATAGTTGGCCCCCTCAAAGAACACGAATACCAAACTCAACAAAATCACCCAATCTGCCAGCAAGTCGTTCGTTCTGAATAACAAGCGAACAATTGGATTCTTGGAGTGATGGAGGAATGGCGGACCATACACGAACACGCTGCACATCACTCCGTTCAACAACCAGTAATGCCCACAGTTCTTAAAAATGTTCAGAACCGGCATTGTGGCATTCGAAAACTTGTGTACAAACAACGTCTCGTACTCTCTCTTGGTGAAATGAAGCAAACTCAAGTTGTACAACACAAGCTGGGTGGTTGTAATCTTGAAATCACCAAAAAAACTTCTGAATCCATAAAAAAACACAGAGTGGAGCACAATTGGTCCCAAGTACTCGACCAAGTATACCCCTCTCCATGAGATTTGAGGCCCCAAGTCCTTCACTTGCAATTCGGTGTCTCCGGTTATGTTGTAAACCTTCAATTGCTTGTTGATCTCCAAAGGCACTCGTTTGCCATCTTGCTCAACCGTCAATCTGATTCGGTTCTTGGTCAAGCCACTTTCCTTTGAAATTAACTCAATAACATCGTTAGTGAATGAGATTGGTGAAAACTCGTCGGTGGAAACACTCTTGATGCTTTTAGATCTGCTTTTGATATCTAATTGTAAGCTCATACTAGTTCTGGGTTTGTTGGGAAAGATTCCAATGCGCAAAAAAAAGACGTGAACGCGGGTGCGGCTTGGCAATCACATTCTACTCCACCACATCTCACCTATAGTAAGGGGCAGTTGTAATTGATCAGCCTTAATGACCAGAAACCCTCCAGTGGAAGAGTACGAGATGACTGACAACCTCTTGAGTGCAGACATCTCGGGGTCTGCGTCAGTCGATACTCCTACTGGCCCTGAGGCTGAATCTGATTCAGACCAAGACAGTGTCACATCCACGATCTTTGATCAATTGGCATCCACCAGCGACGAAACTGACTTCCACAACGACGAGGTGTTCCAAACAGTGTTACAGCAGTACAAGGGGGTTACTAAAAGTCCAAAAATGTGTCTAATAATATCTGGTATTGGATTTCTTGTGTGGGTAGTATCTCTTATTGTGTACGCCAACGTTAGCGTCAGCGACATTACTTCCAAGTGGAAGTGGCAGACAACCGTCCAAATGAGCGGCTTCAATGTCACCCTAAGTCCGTACAGCCCCCAGCGGAAAAACCTTACCATGACAAGTATGAGAAATGGAGATGTGTTGCCAACGTTCAAATATGTTCGATGGTTGAACAGAGACCAATATCCCACCTCCAAGTCCGGGGCCGGCTACTTCATGACAAGAGGTCCCAAAGGGAGCTACGTGCTCCAGAACCAGAAGACGGCCGAAACCGATATGTTCATTGAAAACATCCAGTTTGCCTATGAGAATAACTTCTTCTACGTTGAAGATGTGATTCTAAATCCTGCCAGACCCATCAATGATCCGCTGGCCTATCATGTGTTAGTGACCGACTCGGTTCGCCAATGGAGGCACCTGTCGTTTGCGCTATACTGGCTTTACCGACCTGCTACCGATGAGTATATTCCCATTCAGCCTGCGAATCTTGTGCAATCCCGTTCGCTAATAAAACTACACTTTGTAGAGTTCAGTCCCGATGGACAGAAGGTCTTGTTTGGTGTCAACCATGACCTTTATGTGTATACCTTGGAGACCAAGGAAATCACAACCATAACCAATGATGGTTCTCCAGATATCTTCAATGGGAAGCCCGACTGGGTATATGAGGAGGAGATTCTAAGCTCAGACAGATCCGTCTGGTGGTCTCCAGATAGTGAAAACATTGTGTACTCATGTATCAACAATACGGGTGTTTTTGAGTATGAAATCGATTATTATGTTAAAGATGCAAATGACATTGGAATGACTTATAGCCTTGAATCCGAGCACAAACTTAACGGGGTAAGCCAGTACCCTATCAAGAAGAACTATAAGTACCCCAAACCAGGAACGACAAACCCTGTGTTAGGCCTCAAAAACTTCAATTTCAAACTGCAGAAGCACACAATTCTTAAACCTCGATCGCAGTGGTCAGACTTTATTCTTTATGATGCTCTGTGGATCGATAATGATCACTTCCTCGTTAAGATCTCCGACCGAACCAGCTCAATACAATCCAAACAGGTTTTGACAATCTCCACCAATAAGTTCAAGGAAATAGATGAGGTCGATGCGGCAATTGGATTTGGAGGCTGGTACGACAAGTATTCTACCATTGTTCCTGTCAACGGTGGATACCTTGACAAAATCGTCCACAAAAACAGGACCCACTTGGCGTTCTATGAGACTCCCTTGGCCAGAGCTCCAAGAATGCTCACATCTTCTTCTACCTGGGATGTACTTGATCTGGCACCCGTGGTATATAACGCCAACGAACAGCAGGTTTACACTTTGGCCAACATTAAAGGATCAATGGACGTGCATTTAATCGGTGTGACATTAGACTCCAAAGTGGAGTTCGTGCTTGGTAACGACAAAGAAGGAAAATATTCCTTCACTAGCGATAGGGATGGCCAATATATTCTATTGGAGTATGGGGGTCCCGAAATACCGTACCAGAAGATCATAAGCACGGGAGACCTCAACGTACATGACAACATGAACGACTACTTATCAGAGGTGAAGATGGTGAGTTTTTATGACGACACCAAAAAAGCCGTTGATCTGTACAACTTGCCAACCAAGGTCTTCAGGACCATTCAAGTGAACCATGTACCTATTAATGTCTTGGAGATCCTTCCCCCCAACTTCAACCCTAAGAGAAAATACCCATTATTAGTTAACGCATATGGAGGACCCGGGTCCCAATCTGTCACCAAGAACTATGAGGTTGGCTTTGAAGAAGTGGTGAGCTGCCAGCTAGACGCTATTGTGTTGAAGATTGATCCAAGAGGAACAGACGGATATGGCTGGGAAACCAAGACTTATGGATTGAAGCATATTGGACATTGGGAGCCTAAAGATATTATTACTCTTACCTCGGAGTATATCCACAAGAACAAATTGGCAATTGACAAAGAAGCGGTTGCAATTTGGGGATGGTCATACGGAGGGTTTACTACGTTGAAGACCCTTGAAACCGACAAGGGCAAGACGTTTAAGTATGGGATGGCTGTTGCTCCCGTTACTAACTTCCTCTTCTACAACTCATTTTATACCGAAAGGTATATGAAGTCACCCAAAGACAATCAAAACTACTTGACTGAATCATTGATATCAGACTATTCTGCTTTCAAATCACTCAACAGGTTTTTAATCATGCATGGTACAGCCGACGATAATGTCCATATTCAGAACCTGCTTTGGCTTCTAGACAAGTTTAACTCCAACGGAACAGAAAACTACGATGTTCATTTCTTCACTGATAATGACCACGGAATTAGCTTTCATAATTCAGATGTCATCGTGTACGATAAGCTCTTTCATTGGGTACAAGATGCATTTTCGGGTAAGTTCATAGATTTTGTGTAAATAGGTGATGGGGGTTTTGTATAAATATATTAAAGGTTTTAATCTATCCAAGAGTATTATCTGAGCGTGTGAAAGAAGCTGATTATTTCAGTTTGTTCAAATGGTATTATCTCATCTCTATATCATCGCGAAGTCTCATCGCGTTTTAAAAAAAAATTTATATAGTATCTTCATCATCTATAACCATCATGGCCAAAACCAGCAAATCGACCAAGAAGTTTCAAAAGAAGCACTTGAAGCACACATTGGATCACAGAAAGGAAGTCCAAAAACATATCAAAAAGGTAGGCCCCAGAAAGAAAAAGACTGGAGATGAGGTAGAAGCAGCTGCACCAAAGAAAGCAAAGGAAGTATTTGAAGACATGTCTGTTGATGAATTCTTTGAAGGAGGCTTCGAGGTTCCTAAAGCTAAGACCCTGAACAAGAAAAAAGAAGAGTCCGAAGAGGAGGAATCAGAGCAATCTGAAGAAGGCGAACAATCATCAGATGAAGAAGATTTTGACATGGACGGGTTGAAAGACAAAGATCCTGAATTCTACAAATACTTACAAAATAACGATAAGGACTTGTTAGACTTTCAAGGGATCAATCCTTTAGATGCAATCAGTGAAGATGACATGGATGAAGATGAAGTGAGTGGAAGTGAAGAGGAAGAAAAACAACATGATGAACCACAAGAGGAAGAAGTACAAACTCCAAAGACTGAAATCACCCTCAAATTGGTCAAATCTTGGGACACCCAATTATCCAAGAAACCTTCGGTTCAAATCATAAGACAGGTTTGTATTGCATTTAAATCCGCTGTCAACGTAAATAGCGAGTCCAAAGAGTATAAATATGCTGTGACCGACCCCAAAGCTTTTAATGAGTTAATGTTGTTGGCCTTGAAAAAGGTGCCCGATACAATCCAACAATTGATACCGTACAAGACCAGTGCCAGTGGAGTTAGAGTGGTTCCACAAAAAAATGAACATGTTAAGCATATTTCTAAGGTTTTAAAGTCTCATGCTGGAACCTTTATTACCTTATTGAATGACATCAACAATACTGAAACCGCTACTTTGGTGTTATTTTCATTGCAGGAAGTGTTCCCGTACTACTTGAGTTTCAGAAGATTATTGAAGGAGCTCTTGGCTTCGGTTGTGAATATTTGGTCTTCCACAGGTGAGGTCCAGGTGCAAATTGCAACATTTGCATTTTTGAATAACGTGGCCAAGGAGTTCCCCAGTTCAATCTTGGAAACCGTGTTGAAGTCCACGTACACCATTTTTCTCAAGAATTGTAGAAAGACCAACCATTTCACCATGCCTTTACTCAACTTTTGCAAGAACTCCGCTGCTGAATTATATGGAATTGACGAAACTGTGGCCTATCAGGTTGGATTTGAATATGTCAGACAATTAGCCATCCACTTGAGAAACAGTATCAATGCTACTTCCAATGCAAAGGAAGGTTATAAAACCATTTACAACTGGCAATACTGTCACTCGTTGGACTTTTGGTCAAGAGTGTTGGCCCAACAATGTAACCCCGAAAAAGAATTGCAAACCCATAAGAGTAAGGAAAGTCCATTGAGACAATTGATCTACCCATTGGTCCAAGTCACATTAGGGGCTATCAGATTGATTCCAACGGCCCAATTTTTCCCCTTGAGATTCTACTTGATCAGATCCTTGATTAGGTTGTCGCAGTCGACGGGAGTATTCATTCCTATTTTTCCATTGATAATAGAGGTTTTAAACTCCACTGCTATTACCAAAAACCCAAAGAAAACCAACTTGCCACCTTTCGACTTTGAAAACAACGTAAAGGTTAACCAACAATATCTTGGAACCAAGGTGTACCAAGACGGATTAACTGAACAGTTTGTTGAGTTGACGGCCGAATTTTTTGTGCTTTATTCCAAGAGTGTGGCATTCCCTGAATTGACCACTCCTGCCGTTATCTCTTTGAGAAGATTTATCAAGAAGTCCAAAAACAGCAAGTTCAACAAGCAGTTGGGACAGTTGATTGAGAAATTGAATGAAAATGCAAAGTTTATTTCTGGAAAGAGATCGAACATCGAATACGGACCCTCGAACAAGCAAGAAGTTGCGTTATTCCTCAATGATTTGAAGTGGGAGAAAACTCCTTTAGGACAATATGTTGTTGTTCAAAGAAAGGTGAAAGAAGAGAGATTGAGATTATTGAAAGAAGCCATTGAACAAGATGAAGAAGCCAAGAGCAAGAGAAATGATATGGATGAGGATGAAGAAGCGGAAGCTGCTTTAGACGAAGTGGAATCGGATGAGGATGAGGAAGAAGAATCCGACGAATAAATCTAAATAGTTTTAATGATCAAAATCGTTTTTTATGTAAAGTTACATGGACCCTCTAAGGATCAATTGGAATAAAGTTTCCTACTATACAACTGGGGATGTTATATCTATCCCTCCGAATGGTGAAACTAAAGCAGCAACTTTTGCGTTTGATTCCATCTCTTGTTCTGAGATTACAGCTGGTCAAAACTGCCTTTTGCCCTTTGTCGAAAGCAATAGCCCCATACTTTTCCCAGAAATTCACCGCACTTTCCTCACTCATCAACTCGTAGATGGCAAGTTTACCATCTTTAAGGTCATCGGTAGTAACTCCCACCAACGAGGCAAACTCCTTATTCCCTCTATATATCTCCCCCGTTCTTCTCCATAAACATGCGGGAATAGCCATCGACGTGAACACTCTATCATAGTCTAAAAGCATCCGTTCGAAACTTTCCTCCACAAGCACCAAATCCACATCTTTCAAGGTACGGGCAATGGCCCGAAAGGCAGGACGGAACACCGACAACGGCTTCAAGATCCGTTGACGACTGGTTGAGTTCATGTAGTTATCCATATAGTTTTGCAACCTTCCATATCCCTTGGCATAGTTATAGGGTTGCAACAAACCTGCTTCCAACTTGGCCTTGATGACCTGTTTCAATCTTTCTTCGGGCGAGATCTCGGTCGTGGGATCGGCAGCCGTTAAGAAGAACTTGTCTCTAGCGGCATCTGAAATTACCGGCTGGTGAGCATCTGTTTGGGACTTTTGTGAACTGACAGGCTGTCTCTTTTCTAGTGGGGTTGGGGGTACGGGGACCGGGGCGATCTGCTGAGGTGACTGCTGGTACTGGCCCGAAAATTGCTGGTAGGCTGAACTGTTGGGTGAATATGTCAATATATTCTGAATATTGTCGGTGCTAGCAGAATTACTACCATTTGGAGGATTAGGATTCGGATTCGGCTGGGTGTTTTCAACCAACCCGAAGTTGAGAAGCCCGGTGCTGTCGTTGTTTGTACTGGTGGGAGTGTCTTCATTTAATGCCCCGTTAACCAACTCAGGGTCATCTATCATCGACAAAAAGTCATTGAGTGAACTAAATTCACTTCCAGCGTGCTCCGAATAGAAAAAGGGCTCGAGGTTGAAGGCCATGGTTTGTGATAGCACGGACTTGTTGAAGTTCTTGGGTTGGCCGGCGGTATCGCCGGCTGAGAGCAGATGTTGTATTGAAATTGGTTGTTGTTGTGCTTGGATGGGAGACTGCGAAATCAGACTCAAAGACTGCTGGATTCCGTAGGCAGGTGGACTGACAGAGGCACCGGGGGGACCAGGCGATGACTCACTTCTCGATAGCTCCAGGGCCTTTTTCTTTTGTCTGGCATTAGAAGGTTCATCATAGCACAAATGGCCAATACCTCTTTTTATACACCGCAGACAGGGTCTGGAGTTGTCACAAATCATATGGGACCTTCGGCAGTACACACATGCAATGTCTACCTTCTTCCTTCTCTTTTTACGGGTGGATTTATCGGTCTTGGAGGAGGATTCGGAGATATCACCGACGCTGTCATCGATTTTGTGGATGGTGTCAGAGTCTTCAAATTTTATCGACATGACTGGTTACGGGGAGGCTTATTTTTGTGGCTGTCAACATGTAAAGTCAGCTGGTGTGATGTACAACGTTAGTTGTGAAAGCAAATAAGTGTTGCAGAGGATAGTGTTGAGTATTTGAATCGTTCTGAAGCTTTTTTTCTGTAAGCTGATTGGGACGTCACGACATTAACCCACACGACATTGGCTCTGGTAAAATGCGGAGATCGTCCGAGTTTGGCCGGGGCCCTTGCTGGGCTGCGAATATTGCAATTTGGAATTACTATACAACTATGGTTCAAACTGTGAGAGATTTATGGTAGCTTCGTCTGACACAGAGGAAATGGTGGAAATGGAGTCCACAGGTGTAGTCCTTTCAGAAGCAGTGGCAAAAGTGCTTGAACCGGTTTGAATAGATGATTGGTCGTTGAAGTGGGTGTTGGAGGTGATAAACGACGATATGGTATTGGTCGACACTGTGGACTGGCTCGTTGCTGTCAACAAGCTACCTGGGTTCGGAGGAGATTCGTGTGGTGGGTGGTTGGGTATGAGTTCGGCGGATGGGCCGGAAATCGACAAATTTTCAAACGGCTCTGCCGTCCCTGTAGTTATAATCTCATTCACGGGGATGGCGATGTTGGATTCCTCATCACTAACACTTCCATATGACTGAACTCCCAATTGACCAGCAATTAGGGTTGTGGAAACGTTTTCAAATACTGATCGGTTGCACAAGGGACAACTTCTTCTGAAGTTGATGAGCCAATTGGACAAACATCCCTCATGGAAAAAATGCTTGCAGTCTAGAACAAGAACACGAGACTTCAACGGTTTGAACCTGTCAAGGCAAATGGAGCATTTGAAAGAAGGGTAGAAATCCTCATTCATGAGTAAAATACCCAACAGCTTGACATTTCTCTTGAGGTCGATGCCATTGACCTTGAAATTGTTCATTGAGGCATTCAGAGACGACGGAGTAGGTTTTGCAACGGGTCTTTCTGAGTCATTTGCAGCCAATGAAGAAGACGAAGAGTTCAAGCTTTCGCTCAATATTTGTTCCGTTTGGCCAGTGGTCTTCAAATACTTATAAAAAGTCTTGCAATGGATCAAGTGGTTCTTGTTGTAGATATAGACTGGAAGGTTCTTGACAATCTTTTGGCTCTGGCGACTTTGACGAACCTTTCTGAAATGCTGGAGTACTTGGATCAAGCAATAGAAAAATAGAATTAAAAGCGGTGGTGATAGCATCATCAGAACCATGATATTTACCCAGCTTCCTAAGGAGATGGTTAAGATTCGAATCACCAAGTTCTGGTCTTGAAACCGTTTGAGTGTATCATATGATTCCTGGGTGATAAACATGATTGGAACCGTTAAAGACCGGTCCTCATTGAAAGTGTTGGAATACATGGTGATAAGTCCTCTTGATGGCTCATCATTAGCAACAATAATGGCTTTAGGATCCAAGTCCGACTTGAGGATATTCTCTACTTTTCTGACAAAAGTACATTTTCCTCGAACCACCACCAACACCTTGAACTGGTATTCCTGCAAGTCCAAACCATTCAACTCCGTGCTATTACAAGCATCTATAGCTAGTGTTTTATAGTTCCCCATTAAGGGGAAGTTCAATATCGGACTGAAAGATGCGTATCTTGCTACTAACTCATAGTAGTCTGAAGTAGTATTCAACTCGATACGAGAATCAATGGGGAATACCGAGCTAACAATGCTGTTGAGCGGGTATTGAATTTCGTCGTAAGAAGGGCCAAAACTGTCGATGCTCACTGAATCCGTAGGTCTTACATCCGGTACTTTATGGTGCTTATTGGGAAAGTATTGAGCCCTAAACTCTTTGAGGGAATTTTTAGTCAAGAAAAAGGCATCTTCCATATTGATCTGGGCTTCCGAAGACGTGTGCAAAACAAACACCATGGCTCCCAATATAAACAAGAGCACGAATCGAGGCCCAAAGGGCCGGTGATACGTACCTGTCATTATTGGGGGATATGAGTATTTGTGAATGATCTAGGAGTAAAAAAGATGTGGGGAAATTGTAATCTTCCGTAGATTTGAAGGTTTGGAAACAGGTAGATGGGTAGGACGCGTGTCTGAAATTTCACTGACTAAATGAACAAGAATATGAGTTTGACAGGCAAATCCAACAATGAATAATAGGTATAATAATAAGTGTATCCCCTGTGGCACCATCGCAAACCACGAGAGAAAAAGTCGCGTGCGCGCCTCGACCGAGCATCGGTTTGCAACAGCAAATGTCGAGCGACATTCCTCGGGCGGCTTCTAGTAGAATATTTGTTGCAGAACTTATCACCTGCACTTCAGGTAAAAGGAGGAGCCACGAGTTTATTAACCGAGAAGTCAGGTTCCTTAAAGTACTATTGTTTGCCAGTTGATGGTTATATTTAGCGGATATGAAGGTTTGACTTCATCAGGCGGCGCCTTGGTGCGCGGGCTCGACGGTTGCAAATTTACAATAACGCAGTATAGCTCCCTGAAGGGCTAGTGAAATAGATCCAAATATAGATGGTAGTATAATCAATATTTGCCGAATCCGTCAACACCTTTTACATGTGTATTTTACCAATGGAGGGTGAATAAATGCTGTTTTTCTGCAAGCTGAGCTAAAATTTGCAACTTTGCGCATAACCAGGTTTGTTATCAAAGATAATAAAAAGATTCCACCTAATACAAATTATTCTCTACTCTTCTTGGTCTTTTTGCATAAGTAGATACTAATGTATGATAGAAACAACTTTTGTTAGGATACTTTCGGTGCTAGTACTCATTTAATGTGGAAAATACTGTGGCGTATGTATCGAGGGCTATGTGCCCACATCCCAAATGAGACATTACAGCCGCTTTTGCAGCTCATATAATTACACCCGAACACAAACACATACACAGTAATCCAGTCAAACCTCAGTATAACTCCAAGCGTCTACTGCATTTCCGACAAAAAACTACCTTCTATTCAGCTAAGGCCATTATTTAATTTGTGTTTTCTTCATTAACCACCATTGGCATGATTTATTATTATGTTCCAAACCTACGCTAAGCGCTTATCACGTTAGCTTGCACACCGTTTGGTTGATTCCAAACATGTCGTAGTGGCCTTGGCACTGTTGAACTACAGATGCCCTGTCTCGGAACCATCGGCAACTTTCGTCAGTTCAAATGTCTTCATCTGTTGATGCGAGAATAATGGAGCTCATTCGCATCTTGACGCGCTTGCGGTAGCAGCGTGAAAAAATATGCTGATGGAGGCAGTGGGGACTAAGAGGTGGCTCCGCTGGAGGAAACACATGCCCCATAAAGGGCAGCACCCCCCTTGCGACTACGTCCGAAGAGGAAATTAACATGCTCTTGTGCGTTATTTTGTACGGTTAGCCGCAGAAGAAAGTCGCTTATGAAGTGGAAAGTGTCCTTCGGTTCATGGGCCGCTGTAAAATACAATTTTTTATTCCCGACAACAATTGTATTAGTATGAATATGTTCACACCACTAGATCAAACATCTTTTGTATGACAAACCTACCCGCTACACTTTCCCCAAAAAAAAACTCATGAGTTCGTCTGGTTATTGTATGCATATACTATTTACACTAGAAAACGTCTCCCAATCTCAACCTAGGTGCAATGTTCATTGATATCAACTCCTGGAACAATAACTTGGCGGCATAGGGAATGGTCATCTTGATCACGTGCTCAGAACTGTTACACGATGTACACCAGTTGTTGTGGCCCATTAACCCGCACTTATTACAGACATCCACCTCAAACGCATCGGATGATAACATCAATCTCTCCAATAACAATTGAGATGCACCGTAAGCAATCACACAATCTCTTTCCATTTCTCCTAATCTCAATCCACCGTCTCTCGATCTACCTTCGGTAGGTTGTCTAGTTAAAACAGCTCTTGGACCTCTGGCTCTGGCATGCATCTTGTCTAGAACCATATGCTTCAACTTCTGGTAGTATATGGGTCCAAAGAAAATATAAGCCTGGAGACATTCTCCTGTTATACCTGAGTAGAGCATATCTTTCCCGCTGTAATTGAACCCATTTTGCACCAATATTTCAGACATATCCTGCAAATCAGATCCACCAAAACAGGTTCCATACTCCAATGTTCCATTCAACACACCAGCTTTCCCACTGATCAACTCGATCATTTTCCCCACCGTCATTCTCGAAGGGAACCCATGTGGGTTCATGATGATATCAGGAGAAATACCATCGTCGTTGAACGGTAAGTCTTCTTGTTGCACAATGATACCACATACACCTTTTTGGCCGTGTCTTGAAGAAAACTTGTCACCCAATTCGGGTCTTCTTGTTTGTCTCAAAAGCACCTTTATCAAGGCCTGGTCGTTGTCACTAACAGACATCATCACTTGATCCACATAAGAAGGTTCGGGTCCTTTGTAATAGGCAGGTGTTTCTCGGTGACTTTCAGCAGGTTGTTCATTGGCACCTGGTCCGTTCAAAACAGTTTCTCCAGCATTTGTGGGAACACATTTATTCACATAAACTTGTCCATTCTCGAGTTTCATACCCACTTCCCCCAAACCATCTGGTCCTAGTGATGAGTGTGGAGGGATGGGCTCGTTATTCTCGTCGACTCTCATACCACTTAAAATATCCTTCGTGTGGTTAGGGTATCTTTTCAACGTGATGGTGTTCTTTCTTAAAACTTGACATCTTCCGAATCCTCTATCAACAGAAGCCTTGTTCAATACCAAGGCATCTTCGATATCATAACCCGAATACGACATCACTGCAACAGTTGCGTTCTGACCGGCTGGAAGCTTATCGTAATCAATTAATTCGATTGTTTTAGTCTTCACCATTGGTTGTTGAGGATATACCATTAAATACAACAAAGTGTCGATTCGTCTGAACTGGTTGTATCCAATAGCTCCAATAGCTTGTTTACCCATAGCACATTGATAGGTATTTCTTGGAGATTGGTTATGGTGAGGATATGGAATTAAACCTGCAACTGCTCCCAACACAGTAAAAGGTTCAACCTCCAAATGAGTAATGTTCAGTTTGGTAGAATCCGATAAATCTCTTTCGTAGATGGCAATCAAAGAGTCGTTTTCTTCGTTGACGTCTAGGTACTCTACCAAACCATGTTTCAAGAAATCATCGAAGGCCCACTCATCTCTTTGCAATTTCAACAAGTGTTTAGCTTTGACCTTGGACACATTGTTTTTGTCGACAATAATCAACGGACGACAGATTCTTCCCCCGTCAGTAGCAATATGCACAGCACTTTGATGACTGTTTGTGTAGATGGAAATAAATGCAGATATTTTGCCAGTTCTTCTCAAGTTACGGAAGTCACCAACAAACTTGGCAGGGAACCGAGTGGTACCTATCAAAGTACCGTTGAGATATATCCCATAGTTGCCTTTGGCGTGTAAGCTTGCAGAGTCGACTTCAAGAATATCCTCACATCCCAAAATAAAACATAACCTCTTAATGGGTTCTTCTTCATCATCAGTGGTGATGTGCGTCATTAAAGCCAAGTTCTTCACCAACCCACAGGCTTCACCCTCAGGAGTATCAGAAGTACACAACATCCCGAACTGTGAAGGTTGCAATGCTCTTGGTCCCGAGACTTTACGAGATTTTTCAAACTGGGAGGAGATTCTGGTCATCATTCCCAATGCTGAAATATATGACAATCTGGATAATACATGAGTGACACCTGCCCTTTCCATTTTAAACCGCTTTAATGACCAGTTCCCGGTGGAAATGGCTCTGTTCATACCCATGGTAATATTATTAGAGTGGATGTTGATGGACAATAACGCATCAAACTCAGAAGCTCTGCTGGGCTTCTTTAAAATCTTATCAATATTTGCCTTGAAGTCTGAGTTGAACTTCTTGAATAAATCTTCAAACAACAACGACATCAACTGGCCAGCTAACTCTAATCTTTTGTTACCCACATAATCACGATCATCGACCATTTTAGGGTTTTCCATCGTCATTAACACTCTTCTAGTCATCATGGCAATGTAAAGGGCCTTTTCTCTGAATTGAAGGTCTGAGACGGTGATGTGAGCAATAATGGTAGTTGCAATGGCCTCTATACCTTCTTGAAGCTGAGACAATTTGGGGGCACCAGCTCGTCTGATGGTCTTCACTCTTTTTCCCACATAGTGAAGTGCTTGTTGCTGAGTGAAGATTTCCAACTTGGCAGCTTCTTCAAAGTTGATTGCAAACAAATCCTGGTAGTTAGGATCATTCCCACAGACCAATTGTAAGATTTCTAAGTCAGAGGTAATACCCGCAGCCTTTAAGATGATTACTATGGGAACATCTTCACTAATGGAGTTATGCTTCAAGTAGATCTTATCGTTTTTGGTGATGACATAGGTTTTGGACTTACGTTCGTGAGTGGAAGATGTGACTGAGGCCTGAACTATACCCTTTTTCTCGTCAGCTTCCACGATGATTCTATTCTTGGACAACTGTTCTTGCACCAATATCACCTTCTCTGTACCATTAACGATAAAGTATCCACCGGGATCAAGGGGGCACTCGTCGTATTTAGCCATTTTCTTATCGTCAATGCCATCTAACAAACACTTGTTAGACCGTAACATGATGGGCATTCTTCCAATTTCCAAGTCTCTGTGAACAATAATCTTTCTTCCTCTTGTGTACTCTACATCGACGTATATGGGGGCCGAGTAGGTCAAATCTCTCAATCTACAATCATGAGGCACGAGGTTGACTTCCTTGGAAAGGCCCTTAGCGGTAGAAGTAGAAGACTTGCACCCGACTCTGATGTCAAGATACTTCAAGTAAAACTCGGGATCCACATCTGACAACACCAATTCATTGGCCTTGATAATCTTCTTCAAGTCGGTATCGACAAAATAATTGAAAGAATCGAGATGCTGTTTGACCAAACCTTTGACTTTCAAGAACGCTGGCAAAAGATTCCATTTATCTTCGGCAGTATTGATTTTATCGGTGAGTTTTTTACCCTTGTACACTTCTTTCAACAATGGCTGGAAGGCCTCGTCCGTACTCACGCCATCACTAGCTATATGAGAAGCTTTCCTCTTATTTCCCATAGCTAACAGTGTTTGTGTCTGACAAATTTTTTTCCGCTTCATCGCACTTAATAAGCATCGCGAATTTCGATCTCCAGCTTCTACAATCCAAACCATGTCTACAGGGGATTTGTTTAAAGTCACTGTCATCAACCACTTGGAAAGTTTGGATGATAACACTCAGTCCCGATTGTATGCGGCACCTGCGACGTGCTTGTCGATATATCGGTTGCTACCGCCAATGGCCAAGTTTCACATCATGCTGATGCTTTTCTACGAGAAGAACGTAGCCATCAAAGATTTGGAGAAATGGAGTAAACCAAATACCAGACACCTCCAGATCGAGTCCTTGGAGAGAATGAGATCCTTACACTTGGTGCAGTTGTCGGAGTCCGGAAAGTATATTCGTTTGCACCCTATCTTCAAAAAGAACTTTGCTGATTGTTTGACAGGTAATCAAGCTCCTGATGCATTTGGGAACTTGGACACAACTGTTGAAAAACATACAGTGGACTTAAAGTTCTTGGACACATTTGCATCAACAAAATGGGAGACCATTTTGCACTATATGGTGGGGACGGAATTATCTCTGACACCTAGTAGGTCAGTATTGAGATTGTTAAAACTGGGTGGATTAATGGAAGGAAATTCTGACTATGCCCAAGAATTAAAGATCACAAACAAAGGGTTTCAATTCTTGTTGCAGGATATTAATGCACAAATATGGACATTATTATTGCAGTATTTGGATTTGACTTTGGAGTTGCAAATGGATGCAGTGGATGTTCTTAATTTCATATTTTTGCTTGGATCTCTAGAGCTAGGAAAGAGCTACAGTGTTTCTGCCTTGAGTGATACTCAGATTGAAATGCTCTCTGATCTAAGAGATTTTGGATTGGTATATCAGAGATCTGCGACCTCAAACAAGTTTTATCCAACTAGATTAGCCACCACTTTGACTTCTGATTCTAATTCTTTACAAACTCCTTCCATGGCCATAGACAAAGCCAACTCGGGTATTGATTCAACCGACTCCAAGCAGAGACAAGAATCCATCATCATCGAAACCAACTTTAAAGTGTATTCGTATACCCAAAGTCCTTTGGAAATTGCCATATTAAATTTATTTGTTCACCTAAGAACAAGATTTGCTAACATGGTGACCGGCCAAATCACAAGAGAGTCGATAAGGAACGCATTATATAATGGTATAACTGCCGGACAGGTCATTAAGTTCTTGGAAACTCATGCCCATCCTCAGATGAAAATGCTAGCGCAAGAAAAGCTTGATAAGAAGATAGAGTTTGATGCCAGCAACAACATCAACACTGCTACTGGCAAATCTACAGACGCTCCGATGCAACACAAACTTGAAATATTACCTCCCAACGTTGTTGATCAAATTAAGTTGTGGCAGTTGGAGTTGGACAGAATTCAAACTTTCGATGGGTATTTGTTCAGAGAATTCAACAACCAAATAGACTATGAGTCCTTGAGGAACTATGCCAGCGAAATCGGTGTGCTTGTTTGGTCTGACGATAAGAAAAGAACATGTTTTGTGACAAAGGAAGGATTAAAACAAGTTTCTAATTTCTCTAGTAGAAGAAGATAAATGGAGTATGGGGTATAAGTATATACAGTATTACATGGCTTCTATGTACAATTAATAAAACACGCATCAGCCAGAACACGAGTCACAAGGGTTAGAATCGTCGATTTTGCAGTATCGGATAGTTTCATCGTAAATATCAACGTCATCTTCCTTCTTGGGTGTCATTACCAGTGAAATGGGGGTGATACTCTCATATTTAATTCTTTTGGCTGGTGTGGTTTCTATAGTTCCACTGGTTTCAACATACCTCTTTCTTCTCAACGGCGAAAGCTCATAAGCAGGGGTGCTGACTTTATCGTTTGTTCGCTCTATTGTAAATTGAATTGCTCTTGAAGCTGCCTGGGTTCTGAGATAGTACATTCCAGTTTTCAAGCCCAATTTCCAGGAATAAAAGTGACAACTGGTCAACTTGGAGTATGTGGGGTTCTTCATATAAATGTTCATACTTTGCAGCTGGTCAACAAACCGGCCCCTGTCAGCAGCCATTTCCAAAATCACCTTTTGAGATATTTCCCAAACCGTCTTGTAAAGCTCTTTTATTTCCACCGGAATCTCAGGAATCCCTTGTACGGACCCCTCAGCCAAAAGGATTTTGTCTTTCAAGTCCTGGTTCCAAAGTCCCAACTCTATCAAATCATTGATCAAATACTTATTCACTACTTGAAACTCTCCTGAAGTGACCCTCCGGCTGTAGATGTTGGAAGTGAAAGGCTCAAAGCATTCGTTGAAGCCCAAGATTTGCGACGTGGATGCCGTTGGCATTGGACCAACCAACAACGAGTTTCTGAGTCCATACACCATCATATTCTCCTTTAAGTCATTCCAGTCGTCAAAAAGATCCGAAGGTTTGTGATTCCAAAAATCAAACTGAAGCATTCCTTGGGAAGCAGGAGAGCCTTTGAATGTTTCGTATGCTCCATGCTTTTTAGCCAATTCGATTGACCCTTCAACAGCAGCGTGGTAGATGGTTTCAAAAATCTGGATATTTAACTTCTTGGCTTCTTTTGATTCAAATGGTATTCTCAAAAGGGCAAAAACATCAGCAAGTCCTTGGACTCCAATAGCTATTGGTCTATGTTTTCGGTTCGAGGTTTCAGCACCTTCATCAGGATACCTCGTTATATCTACAATTTTGTCCAAGTTCTTTCCAAGAACTTTTGTCACCTCATGAAGTTTCATGAAATTGAAGGAGATGCTGTCTTTATCTTCGTTAACGAAAGATGGTAAGGCCAAAGACCCAAGATTGCACACAGCGGTTTCTTCTTTGGAAGAATACTCCACAATCTCACAACAAAGATTCGAAGATTTAATGGTCCCCAAGTTCTTCTGGTTAGACTTCGTGTTGCATGCATCTTTATACATCATATATGGGCCACCAGTTTCCGTTTGTGATTCAAGAATACTTTGCCATAATTTTTGGGCTTTGACCACTCGAACCGCATCACCGGCTCTTTCATACTTCTCGTACAACGCCTTAAACTCGTCACCATAGCAATCAGATAGCCCAGGACTCACATCAGGACTGAATAAGCACCAGTCCTCATCATCCTTTACCTTTTGCATGAACAAGTCTGGAATCCAGAGCCCATAAAACAAATCCCTAGCTCTCAATTCTTCTTTTCCATAGTTTTTTCTCAAGTCAAGTACTTCAAACACATCGGTATGCCAAGGTTCAAGGAAGACTGCAAACGCACCTGGACGCTTGTTGCCTCCTTGGTCAACGTATCTGGCTGTGTCGTTGAACACTCTCAACATTGGCACCAATCCAGAGGATTTCCCACCCGAAGTGGACACTAGCGAACCTCTAGCTCTAACATTGTGAATGTGCAAGCCAATACCACCCGACGCTTTGGAAATCAATGCGGCTTTGTGCAACGTCTTGTAGATTCCATCGATCGAGTCATCCTCCATCGCGAGCAAGAAGCAAGAACTTAAGAAGTTATAGTCGGTGCCAGCACTGAACAACGTAGGCGATGCGTGCATAATGTACTTTTTGGACATCAAGTTGTACGTTTCAATCGCATCTTCCACATCTCCGCCATGGATACCCAAAGCAACTCTCATGAAAAGATATTGAGGAGTCTCAGTGGGGATTTCGTTCACCTTAATCAAGTAGGATCTTTCTAGAGTCTTGATTCCAAAGTAAGAAATTGTGAGGTCCCGCTCACTTTCCACTGCCGTGTCCAAGACATCCCTATTTTTCATCGCCACGTCGTACACCTGTTTGCTAACAGAAGGAGTATGTTTGTTGGTCTTGGGATGATAGTTGTAGTATAATTTCAGCATAGAATCACTGAATGAGTTTGATACCATCTTCTGAAGTTTGACAGCCTCAACACGCCCGGCCAACAAAGAATAGTCTGGGTGGCTGGTTGTTCTTGCAGCCAACAGCTCTGCCGTGTACTCAAGGAGTTCATTAACTGTAGTCTTATCGGCCATTGACAACGCAATCTTATCTAATATCTCATCTAAATCCGATAGCTCCAACCTGAGGCCCCGTTGAAGCCATTTGAGCATCTTCTGAAGCTTATGCTTCAGAAAAGGAGTCTCTGACCCGTCCCTTTTAACTATAGTAGTACTTAGGTTTGTCATCATTAATTAGGCTCAGTTGCATGTGTCGCGAGAAATGGAACTTTCAATATCTCGAAACTTTTCTAGTCACCATGTTTCTAACCAGATCGGTTCCCACATGGGTACCACGGGGATTTAGAAGCCTCGTATATAGTGCGGTTCTACTGGATAGCAGGAGATCAGTGCCCCGAGCAAAGCCAGACAGGTCTGAATCCAAAAATCGATTTGCCAACCGGTTTTCCAACGAGATGAGACCAAAGTTCCACTCTCCAGAAAGAAAACCACCCAGATTTAAACTCGATGGATTTACCCCCAAAGCCCAGAGTGCTCTCAATTCTGTTATAGAGAAGGTCAAGAACGACAACCCTAGTATGAAGGTCAAACTTGTGAATAAAGGAAAACTTCAAGAAAGGCATCTCGCCGATATCATCAACGTATTGGATTCTCAAACAGAGGGAATCCAGCTAGTTCCAAATAATGATAACCAGTTTCTCATAAAGCACGTCACCGTGCAAGACATGATAAAAGGGTACACGAACGAGTTGGCAAAGGATATGGAACAAATGCTTTTAAGTAAGGGTAATGTTACTGTTTCTAGAGTCTTAAGACTGAGAGATAAAGCCGACAAAAAGAAATCTTCTGCCAAAACTGTTTCATTGAAGTGGAGCATCAGCTTAGGCGACTTACGTCTACAGAAGAAAGCCGAAATTGAGAGGAGAATCAGCAAAGGTGAACGGTTCCTGATCCATGTTCATGGTAAAAAGAGACCTGATCCCGAAAATCCTGATCACTTCACTGAATTCGACGCTAATTTGGATCCTTTTGAGCTCAAGAGACGCCAGGTGGTTGTAGACGAACTCCAAGGTTTGCTAGAGCAAACAGAAACCAAGTTTGAACGGAAGGGTGGTCTCAAGGGACTTTTGATGTTAACCTGTATACCTAAAGACGTTCCCACTACAACTGCTAAACCTTCAGATAAGAAGCAAAAACCGGTAGAGAAAAAGAAGAAAGAAGAGCCCGAAAAGGCCCCAAAGGTGGAAGAGGAGGATTTGGATGCATTATATCTGTTTAAAATTGAAAACTAATAGTGCACACTTGTAGATAGTAACCCAATATTTGTACATTAAGAAGAAATAAATAAACCAGCAATGATCATAATCAGACTATACTGCCGTAGTTGGTGGAGTGACCACCTCTTTGTATGCTTCTCCCTCTCTCCACCAGTGACTTTCTATGTTCTCGTAATTTTTTCACTTTATAGCCATACCGATGACTGTCAATTACATTGTCCACCACTGGATAGTTGATGAGACGCTTGATCTCCGATTGATCTAGGCGGTAGTTGTTGATCTCCTGGTACGCAGCATGATATAAAGCTTCATCATCATCTAGCATTTCGTTGTCGTAATTAAACTCGTCGTTATTGAGAGACGCAGCAATCGAGAAGCTGCCGAGTTCTTCGGTTGGTGATAGTTCAGGAGACAGTTCAGGCGATGCCAAATTCTTTGGAGAGTTCGATACTATACCTAGGGTGGAAGTACCAAAAGAGTTGATGGAAGGAGCGCCTAGGATTTCGTCTCCAATAGTGGCATTTTCCACTATCGATCGGTTGTCCACAGATAGTGGTAGCCAGTACTTCTGTTTACCATCATAATGATATCTGAGTCCCTGGTTGATTTTCTTCATCCGAGCCTTGGAGCTAGGATGGTGAATTAGGGCATTTACCGAGTCGAATGTCTTGAAGTCCTTGTAATAATCCCCGTAGTATGTGAGTTTGAAGTCTTGGATCAAGTCCTTGATCCCCACCATATCTCGCACCGCATGGTAGAAGCTTAACCTGCTGTTGGGAATATATTCCAAAGTAAAAGGTTTATAAGAAAATGATAACCAATGGCCTATTGCAAAGGCTATAAGCTCCACACACAAAAGAGCATTCTGAATAGATATACCGATATTGGAATTGTTTTTAGACGTATCTCCAGATCCCGGCAATACGTGAAAATAGTTCAAAATTGCCAACAACACTCCTTGCCAATACGAAGCAAAGATAATAAGCTTAACACATAAAAACTTCCCCACCGGATTGAAAGGCTTCAAATCATCCCACAAGATTTTCCAAAATATCGCCAAACAGTACAACGACACACTGACACTGAGATTGTAAAGCACCATCAACCAAAGATATATGGACTCGGCCCCCATATTGTTGACATTATAGACTCCAAGCAATTCGGTGAACATGGTCCCCAAACATATTAACGGCTTCAACCACACATACTGTAAAATCCCTCTCTTGATGACAAGAAATGACGTCGAGTCAGAGATGTCGATGGGAGGAAAGATGTATTTCAAACTGCCGGGATGGTCCACTGGTTTCCTGCCACTGGTCGTAATAATGATACTTCTCTCACCTCCAAGCATATCTGTGAGCAAGGAGAAGAACGTATATATCACAAATGCCTCGTAGATTTCTCTGACCGGTTCCAACACCAACCGGTTGATCTTGGACTCGGAGTCTACCAACATCGAGTAGCACGAAAGTGCAAACAATGGCACAATCAATTGGATTCTGATCATTAGTCTTTGTTGGAACGGTTTGCGATAGTTCAAAAGATGGAGCAATATGGACATAAAGATAATCACTGTTGCCGCTATACACGAATAGAATGAAACGGTAGTTACCCAGCAGGGTAGCGTGAATTCTTCACTCGATATTTTCCCGCTCATGACGGATATATTCTGTTTTGCTTGTAGTAACAATTAGTGTGATATAAATGCGAGCAAGTATTTACAAACCTAAAAAAATAGTGTGACGAGAAGATGAGTAGCCGGTTTTTATGGAAGCATACAATTTTTGAGCAAAGAAAGGGAGTTGATGAGGGGAAAGCATGAATGAAGTGATATGGTTTCAGGTGTAGCAAAATACTACTAGGGTGATAAACTTATGAATTTGTATTGGTGAAAGCACAGCTTTAAGTGAATCACCTGGGGAAAGGACCGATAAGAAACTTCCCGATATCGGAAAACCGTCAGAAAACCTTTAAAGCTTACCAGAAAAAGCTTTTACACACATACAGTTATCCGACCAAATGGATGACTGCAATCTCCTCGGGGGTATGTCCCTTATTCATTATTCTCTTCAGTTCTGACCCATACACCCACCGAAGTTCTGACCCTACCCATCTTCGCCAAATGGCTGCGAAAACTAGAGACACCTCTATTAATGCAAATAAATAAATCTATAAATTCCTATAAAACCAGGGCTACCACTTGGCACCCAATAGAATGGCATTGGGATCAGTTGGCTTTTCAACTTCTTTGAACCATGTTCTGAACAATCGGGACTCGGGCATGTCGAACTTGCTGGTGAATGCTTGACTCCAGCTGATCAAGTCAGGCACTATGGAAGCAAGAACACCTTCAGAGTCTAAAGAAAGCAAAGGGATCAACTGATAGTTTTCCACTGCCTTCAAAAGCCAGTCCTTCTCTAACATGTCCTCGGGGTGGCTGATTTGACCTCCTCCATTGATACACCCATTGGGACAAGCCATCACTTCAACATAGTCGCATTTTGAAGCGTCTGCCAACTCTTCTTGAATTGAGCCCTCACCACTGGGTTTCAGCATTCTCGCTCTCCGTCTGGCTACTAACGGGTTGACCTTGGCGGTGGCCTTCTGGGGAGCACTTGGTTTAAACCTCCTCACGAGATTCTGAATATTTCTGAACCCGTTCACAATAGCTGCACTTGCAACCTTCTCATCATTATACATGAGCCTGAGCTCGTAAATGTCTGTATTTTTACCGTAGATGGTTTTGATGGAGAAGTTGTCCTCCACGAGTTCGGGGGATTTCGTCATCAAGTGGTTTTTCATAATCGTCAAATAGTTGTGAGAGTATCCACCGGAAGCGGATCCAGAGTCATTGGACCATGCGTACTCCACCAACGGCCAGTTCACAGGGGCAACTTGCTTGTAGATCTCCTGGATAGAGACCCGAGAATGTATCACATCATTCACATCATCGGGAATCAACTTGAACGTGTCCGGGTGTTGGTCCAATAATGTCACCAATTCTTTTGCAGTCAAAACACAATCCACGTCTTTGTATGTGGACTCCTCTTCACCCTTCTCGGGACGAGCACTCTCAAGCTTCTTGTCAAAACATGGCATTATCGATAAATGGTAGATGTTACTCTTGTCAGTACCCAACTGCTCTGCCATTATGTTCTTCAACAAACAACCAGTTATTTGCTGAGGTGACTTGATGTCAGACATCTTGGGCAAAATATATGGATGGGTCTTCTCAGCGTATAAGACCCACCCGGGGCACACAGATGACAACAAGGGACCTTCGAAGTTTGACTCCTTTTTGTGGATGATGTTGTAGGATTCGCTGATTAAAGATAGTTTTCTGCCCAAAGATGTACCAACCACCGCTTGGAAGCCCATCTGATTGACAAATAAGTTGATGAGAAGCCTGTCGGCTTGCTCCACTGTCACGCCTAGGGCGGTGGCCAACGAGGCTCGAGACTGGTGAGATACACTTGCAACAAAATGGGTATTAGTGTCACGCTGATTTAATGCTTTCAACAACTCCTGGTGGGAATGTTGCGCCACCAAAATCTCTTCGGCGGAAGTAATACACCCCGAGCACGCCAAGCAGTCTGCAAGCGAAATCTGGGCTGGCGAAAGGTTTGACGTAGATCCATCGATCTTTGACACCTCTAAAGGGTCTCCATCCATTCCGATTTGCACTTCAACCTCGCCGTTGTTGGGGTTCTCTTTCTGGGTAGGGGGCTTTATACACGCAGCCCCGGGCGTTATGAAGTCGTTCAAGTCATCTGCTGATAGTATGGCACTCATGATCCGAAGGTGAAAAAGAAAAACACTAGCAATAGATGAGATTAAAACTTCTGACTAATAAATCGCGACACATTACCAAGCTGATGATTATCTCAATTTTTTTCTTCTACAAAAAAACTACTCGCGCATTGGCTGCAAACTATGGTCTATTGTTAAACTCGTTATGCCAGTACCGTCTCGTCATCAGAGAGCTCGCTAAGCTCAAAATTGTCGACCTCATTGGGGTCCACGCTGTGATAGTCGCTCGTATGCACATGGAGCTCCCCATCCTCGTCGTACCCTTCTAGTCTCAAGTACAACTGAATCACAAGCAACATCCAAAGGCAGATCGTAAACCCGGCAGCCACCACCACCAACACATAGGCGGCGTATGTGGACCCCAAATCATGGACCAAGATCAACTGCTCTTCGGTGGCCCCCATGAACAACAACCCAGACAACACAAGACACAATGGGGGGAGATACTGGAATGAGACAATGTCACCGTTTTCTCCAAAGTACTTGTCTTTCAACACAAACAGAATCTCGATGAGCCGCGTGAGCCCAGCACTCATCAACACCAACCCGAACATCGCATGGACTTTGGTCGAGATCTCCAACTTCTGGTGATGCTGCGACATTGACCACCCGGTATACACCAACAAGAGAGCGGGAATAAACGACCTCTGCTTCTTTCTAGACAACCAAATCCCAAGAAATCCCCCACATGCCCAGATGATCCCCATCGACGTATGGTCGTAGTCTCCCATCCCCCATGGCTCCTTACCCCATCTGTGTTCAGTAAAGGTGTTGACGATTCCCCATGCGCACATCATCACCGAGTCGTAGAATTCCTGCGGCCGTCCGTGCTCTCTCTTCCGCAACCATGGCACTACCAACACCACCAACAACAAAAACCCGTACGCGATGAACGACGACCCCATTATCCCATGTGCAATGCACTGGCCGGTGTGTTTGCCATAACAGAATCCAAACATCGAAACCGGGGCAATCGACACCCTGACCCACCCGGTCAACACACACATGAACGATAACACCTTATACACCTTCAACGTGAAGCCAGGAGACGACTGCTTCTTGGACGCCAAGTGTGGGTAGAACTTATTAATGACGATGTTCGAGCCGTTGAGCACGGTACCGATGAAAACTGTCAACCCCAATAAACCACTCAAAAAGAACGAGGTACCAGTAGAGGTTTTGTTTTCGTGGTCGTTGGTGTTGTCCGGGAAACTCAAGCAGAGAAATTCGAACACCGAGTAGGCTGTCAGTACCAACTGCATCACGACCGACCAGCGGACCCGGTTAGCTGAAGCAAAAGCAGAAGCAATTGACGGTAAGATCAATAATACCACCAAAGTCACGATCCAGTGGAACGACTTGGATCCTGCGTTCTTGGGGTGGAACTCCTTGGGGCCATCCATGCCCATGTCCATGTCCAGATGAGCATGGTCGTGGTCGTCCGCAGTGGCCAATGCCGCCATTGCTATAAGTGTACCAATATACCTGATGGATTGCATTATGGAGCGACAGTTAGTTTTCCGAGCGCGAAATAGGCGCGACAGATTGCTTGATGGCTGCAACCTCGAAGATGTGAGGAAGGGTTCGTATTGTGTTTGGTTTAATTTGTGGGTCGTAGGTAGTTACTGAGTTATCTGGAAGTCAATGGGAGTTGTTATTCTGGGATCAACATTTTTCTATTCGTTTCTTTTAAGGCTTGGCTGAGAGTGGAGAATGGCGTAGATATACTTTTTGCGTAGGAATATACTTTCCGTAAGAGTCCGCACAACCAGTTGTGAAATCTGGCCGTTTGTCTGACAAATACCTTCCTCCTGGAGCTGGAGCTTTGTCCCCCTCCGTTAACTATTCCAGACCCATAGCATAGCTATTTTTAACCATTTTTCGTGCTGCTTCCTAAAAGTGCGACTCCACCAAACTCACTAGAAAAAGACAGTTCCCACAATCGCACACACCTCCACTCACACTGATGATTTTTAGAGTGGACTTGCTTCTCGTGGTGCTTCACGCTCTCATGAGCACCACTGGTGCCTGGGCGTCGGAGATTCCTGCTCGAGACTACGCCAACAAAAACTACTTTATGGTTGAGTTGGACACCGCCTCAAGCTCTGATCCATTGACCGCTTTCATCAATCAACACAAGGATGTTTACCAGTTTGAGCACCAAGCAAGAGGTTTTGATGACCATTTTGTGTTTTCTATTCCCAAGGGTCACGAACATAACCAGTTCTTGGGAAATTACAACTCCAATAACCATCATCTCATGCAAAAACGCCAGGATTTCGAACAGGAATATGAAATGTTGGTAACAAACCAAAATTTGAAGTCTATCCACATGTTGGTGCCCCGAGTCCTCGAGAGAAGAGCGCCTGTTCCTGTGGAGCCTGAAGAATATAATATGGCGAGAGGCATTATTCCTATTGACTCGTCTCAGTTGCCGATAAAAGATGCCGGTGAAAAGTTGGGGATAAATGATCCTATTTTCGCCCAGCAATGGCATCTCATCAACACACAGTTTCCTGGAAATGATGTTAACGTTACTGGATTGTGGTACGAAGGAATCACTGGTGAAGGTGTCGTTACGTCCGTGATTGATGATGGGTTGGACTATGAAGATGCCGACTTGCGAAAAAACTTCAACAAAGAAGGGTCTTGGGATTTCAATGACAACACAAACCTCCCCAAACCACGTCTATTCAATGACTACCATGGAACCAGATGTGCTGGGGAAATCGCAGCTGTCAAAAACAATGTTTGTGGAGTAGGAGTGGCATATGATTCCCAGGTCAGTGGAATCAGAATCTTATCGGGACCTCTCACACCGGAAGATGAGGCTGCTGCCATGATCTTTGGACTTGATATAAACGATATATACTCGTGTTCTTGGGGTCCAACTGATGACGGTAGGACCTTGTCAGCTCCCGAAAAAATCGTCAAAAAGGCTATGCTTAAAGGTGTACAAGAAGGTCGGGAAAATAAGGGGTCTATTTATGTATTTGCATCAGGAAATGGAGGTCGTTCTGATGATTCGTGTAACTTTGACGGCTACACCAATTCCATTTATTCCATTACTGTGGGGGCCATTGATTATAAGGGACTTCATCCTTTGTATGCAGAGGCCTGTTCAGCTGTCATGGTTGTCACCTACTCGTCAGGATCAGGAGAACATATTCATACTACTGACATTCACGGCAAATGCTCCGCTCAGCATGGGGGAACTTCGGCCGCTGCTCCCTTGGCTGCTGGGATCTTTTCGTTAGTTTTACAAGTCAACCCAGATTTGACTTGGAGAGATTTACAGTACGTAGCAGCATTAAGCAGCGTGCCTGTCAACGAAAAGGATGGACATTATCAGACCACTGCCTTAGGAAGACAATACTCTCATAAGTATGGGTATGGTAAAGTCGACGCTTACAGAATGGCTCATTTTGGAAAAACGTGGGAAAACGTCAAACCTCAATCCTGGTACTATTCGGACGTTATACCCGTCGATAAGACCATCAAGATTGACTCTTCTGGTAATGGGGACAAGGATAAGATCATCAGCTCCACTTTGAAGATTGGTAAGCAGGAATTGGATGTAATGAACTTGGAAAGAGTTGAACATGTAACTGTTACCGTCAACATTCAATCGACTTTCAGAGGCCAGGTTGGAGCTCGATTAAAATCTCCGTTCGGCGTCACCAGTGATTTGGCATCTTTCAGGCCCCATGATATTAGTAGTCAGGGATTTGTAGATTGGACGTTCCTGTCAGTGGCCCATTGGGGAGAATCTGGAGTGGGAGATTGGACGTTGGAGGTGTTCAATGCCCCTGATTCTAAAGGTAATGATATCAAGTTTGTTAACTGGCAATTGCGGTTGTTTGGGGAAAGTCAAGCTGCTGAACAAGCTGAAACTTATGATATTGACAAAGACTATGCTCAGGTAAGAAGAGACCGGTTGGAGAAGTCCGTGGCAGCTCCAGTTGAACCCTCCTCTTCCTCCTCTTCCTCCTCCACCTCGACAACTGAGCTCCAGACTTTCACCACAAGCACCAAAGCTGAAGAATCAGTTGCATCAGATGATGAAAGCAAGGAACAAGAAGGAAAGCTTCCCGACCTTGTTAGCACTACTTCTGCGGCTGCCTCGACCACATCTTCTGCTACTAGTGCCCCAGACGACACTGAAAACGACTCGGGAGACGGCAAAAATGCCTACGGTAATGGACATAGCGGACTCTACTTCATGGCATTGATGGCCATCGGGTTTATCATTATTGCAGCCATTATGTGGTTCCACAAAACCCCTGGAAGTTCGCGCAGAAGACGTAGAAGAGAAGAATACGAATTCGATATCATTCCTGGTGAAGACTACAGCGACAGTGAAGACGTCGACTCGCACGACTCGTTCGACTTGGGCCACCATAATGACGACAATTTCAGTCTCAATGAAGAACGGGATCGATTATATGATGATTTAAACGGTGAGACATTACCAGATTATCACGAGGATGAGGAAATGTTCAAGATCGGAGATGAAGAAGAAGACGCTAAAAAACCGTTGGGCAAGAAGGTAAACTTTCAAGATGATGTAACCTCTGGGTCCGTCAGTGCCCCCTCTCCTGGGCATTAGACCATAGTCATAGTAAATGTACACATTAATAGAGCCATGGTGAATGGTGCGCGCACTACGCTTTAAGAATGCTCGCTCGCAAGTGAATCACCGGCAACGGCTAGCACGCCATCTACGTCCTCCGCAATTTCGGCCGTACTCCAGATCTAGACATGTTCGGGCAACAGCAAAAGCATGAAATAAGGGCCATTCAAAAGTGCCATTCCCCACTGTCTTGCCCGGTGATTATTTACGTGACCGGAGATTACTCCGGATATTCTTACCATGTTCAGCGCACGGATAATACGCATCCTTCGCTGATAAATCATTTATTCGTGCAGTTAGTAATGAATCATTAGTCAGACCCAAAAAAAAACTTTGCCGCAAATGACACAAAATGTCCAACGACCTCTGCGAAGCCGGATTTTGGAAAATGCGATAAAAGCCCAGCACTATCATCAAACCGAACGGGCCTATTTTTTTTCATAAAGTTACTACAGGGGTTTAATTTCATCGTACCTGTGTTTAAATACTCAATTGACTTAATCTCAAGTTGAGCAATCAATATCGCTGTGCACCTAGCCAACCGTTTATTTCTACTTAGCGATCACCCGAAATCAATCAACCTCGTTTCTAGCAATCATGTCGGACTCTTTTGGAGAATACACCAGCATTGTCGTTTTTGGGGCCTCTGGAGATTTGGCCAAAAAGAAAACTTTCCCAGCCTTGTTCGGATTGTACCGGGAAGGTCATTTGCCTAAAACTGTCAAGATTATTGGATATGCCAGATCAAAATTAACAGAAGAGGATTTCAAGGACAGAATATCTGCCAAATTCAATGTTGGCGGCGAAGAAAATAAGCCAAAAGTTGCAGAATTCTTAAAGTTGTGCTCCTACGTTCAAGGTCAATATGATACCCCCGAAGGATATAAAGAATTGGACAAAGAAATGGATGCATATGAAAAGCATAATGAATCAAAGGCAAAAAAGGAACGGTTGTTCTATTTGGCGTTACCACCTTCAGTTTTCGGTGTGGTGGGTAAAATGATCAAGGAACACGCCTATCCAACCGATGGCCGTCTTAGATTGATTGTGGAAAAGCCCTTTGGTCATGACTTGGAAAGTTCCAACCAGTTGCAGAAGGAATTGGCTCCTTTGTTCACTGAAGAAGAATTGTACAGAATTGACCACTACTTAGGTAAAGAGATGGTCAAGAACCTCTTGGTGTTGAGATTTGGTAACGAATTATTGAATGCTGCTTGGAACAATAAGCACATAAAGTCAATTCAAATCAATTTCAAGGAAGCCTTTGGTACTGAAGGAAGAGGAGGATACTTCGATGAAATTGGTATCATAAGAGATGTCATGCAAAATCATATTTTACAGGTGTTGACGTTGTTGACCATGGAAAGACCTTCATCTTTTGACCCAGAAGCTATCAGAGATGAAAAAGTAAAGGTGTTGAAAGCTATTGAGGAATTTGACACCAGTGATATTTTGTTGGGACAATACGGGAAATCCGAAGATGGTACCAAACCAGGTTACTTGGATGATGAAACCGTCAAGAAGGGCTCAAAGTGTGTGACTTACGCTGCTCTTGGCTTGAAAATCAATAACGAACGGTGGGAAGGTGTTCCTATTGTTATAAGAGGTGGTAAAGCTTTGGATGAATCCAAGGTGGAAATCAGAGTCCAATATAAACCAGTTGCAAAAGGAGTATTCAAGGAAATCCAAAGAAACGAGTTGGTGATTAGAGTTCAACCTAAAGAAGCAGTTTATCTTAAAATCAACTCTAAAGTCCCAGGTATTTCAACTGAAACGTCTTTAACCGATTTAGATTTGACCTATGCCACCAGATATTCTAGAGACTTTTGGATTCCAGAAGCCTATGAAGCTTTAATAAGAGATTGTTACTTTGGTAACCACTCCAACTTTGTTAGAGATGATGAGTTACAAATCAGTTGGGCTTTGTTCACGCCTTTGTTGAAGTACCTTGAATCAGAAGATGCGCCAACTCCAGAGATTTATCCATATGGTTCCAAGGGCCCAAAGAACTTGAGAGCTTACATGAACGCTCACGGTTACGTGTTTAGTGACCCGGGTACCTATGAATGGCCTTTGACTACACCAAATGTAAAAGGCAAGATTTAGTCATCTCTTTACTAGTTTTTAATGAGAAATATAAGTTCAGATATTGGAGTTCTGTTTGATCGCAAGAAAAACAAGTGAGTTATTTAGTCAGACATCCATGGAAGGTCAAAAAGCGGTCACCGACATACTAAGATGGGTTCTTTGTGTATGCTACCGAGGAAACTGCGAATGTTACACGGAAATTTCATCATTTAAATAACTCAAGTTGTTGTTCTTGACTTCAAAAACTTACACTTCAATCCACTTCAAACTGATCTCTCTAGTAAATGCTTAATTGATTGCATTATTGCAATTATGTAAAAACAAAACAATGTGAATCAGAACTGTAAATTACTGGCAAGTAAAAGCCGATCCCAAGTGGTTTTAAAAAAACCAATGAAATCAACATATTTTCAGCCCTGTCGTCATAGTCGTATCAGACAGGCAAGAAGATACTCCATTTCATCAGCTTCACAGCGTGTTGCTTTTGCTTGAAATAATGATAATAATATAATCACTAAGCCCTTACTAAAAAGTCTTGTTGAAGTGGTTAGCTTTTGGAAAAATTTTGTAGACGCCAGGACGATGCTTTATATCGAGTGTGCGATGCTGTTTACCCGGACGGTGGGCTCCAGCAAAAAAACGAGGACAAAAAAATGGTCCCTAGCAGGATCGAACTGCTGATCTTGGCGTTACACGAAGGATTTCCTGCATATTAGCACCACGCCTTAACCAACTAGGCCAAGGGACCACTTAATGGGTGACAAGTTAGACCGGTTTTTCAACATTTTCGTGTTAATTTACAATATTAATTTTTAATATATATACATTTGGAATCAATAAACCTGAAGGTAAGTTGAAATGTCGTCAATGATGGAAATTCATTATGGTTGGTAATCAGTTTTATGCTGAAGAAGTTTGAGGATACATATTGATTGCTTCTCAGGTATTAAGCCCAATGAATATGTTTGTAAGTATAGTTGGTGATTATAACCAGGAACCACTTATTTGTATATACTTTCTTTATTGGAACACAATATAGTTAACTCCCCCGCTGAGAAAGATAACTCAGGGAACAATTGGAAGGTGTACTTTGGTCAGTTGATAGATCCATGTTCCACGTATCAGCGGGCGTACAATACATGTGTTTCGATACACATCTACAAGGGCGTGCCAAGCCCAGTTGCAGCCAAATTCAAATCACATTTCTTTCTTCCACTGGGGACTATTTCGAAGTATCCAAACTTCAATTCCAATCTAACTACACCTGATATTTTAGTTTGCTTTTTCCTATATCATCAGGTCCTTCAAACATAATCTGATACCACCTTTCTCTACAGGTTGAATTCTCGAACATCGCGATCTTGAAAAATTCCCATCTCATCTCTTTTCCAGATATGAAGGTTTTAGTATCTTCCGACGAAACAGGCCATGTCAAAGAAGTAGTATGCCTCAAGGGAACCGACACCTCCAAGAAAGATGGCGTGAAGCCGATCTCGGTGAGTAAGGTGTGCTTGGAGCCTGCAGCTTCACTTAAGTCCAGAGTTCTCCATATGATTATCTTCGAAGACTACTTGATCACATTGAGAATTGACGGGGTAGTGTGCATCTACACATTGAGCGACTACACATTGGTCAAATACATAAAGTTGACGCTGGTAAAACCAGTATCCTTGATAAATTATTCACAATTCGGATGCTTTATCGCAGCTTTTGAAAACAATAAGGTATTTATAATGACTGTGGAAGACGAACCCGTCGAGCTCAACTTGCCAGTTGAAGACAAAAATCCCACTATAATTGCTACCTTTGCTCCTAACCCCTTCAAAGACGGAGAGTTTGCATTTGGGGGAGAAGAGAACGATATAAAGCTTGTTTCTCTATTTGAAAAACCAAATAAGAAGTTTATGAGTACCAAATTTGAACCCAAGATTGTCTTCACCGCCGAAAACGTCCCCAATGACTTCTTGGACTTGAGAGTCCCCATAAGTGTCAAACATATCAAATTCCTCGAAGAGAATAAATTTATTTCGGTTACAAAGTATGGACAATTGCGTATCTACGACACCACCATCAAAAACCAGCCTATCCATGATTTCAAAATTGGACCTAAACCCATCATCCAGGTGGCTATAAGTGAAGACAATGCTATTTTGAGTGATACCACCAGTTTGATCGGAAAGTACTCTTTGACAAAAATTGACTCGAATGCTACCCGAATCAATTCTGCTTCTGCGGGAGAATTGAGAAGACCTTCAGTTAAATTGTTAGGGAAGTTCAACGAAGGAACAAACACTGGTGCAACACATGCCATCTATAACTTTGAAAACAAGTACGTTGCCACGGGTGGGTTGGATCGATACCTCCGGGTTTTTGACATAAAAACCAGAAAACTCGTGGCCAAGGTGTATCTTGGGACTCAGATCTCCAGCATCATTGTTGTTGAAGATGACGAGGAAGAAGAGGTTGTCAAAAAGTCCAAGAAAAGACACGATAGTGACAACGACGAGGACGATGAAGAGGATATGTGGACTCAATTAGAGACCAACACCAAAGAACCTGAACCCAAGAAACTTAAAAAGAAGTCCAGAAAATTGTAAACCCAATAAATAGCATCAATGAACAAATTACTACTGAGTTTCCAAGTCCTCTTCAGTAACCCTATTTGGGTCTCTATTGCTTGTGTTGATAACACTCATGCACTTCCACTCATTACGGTAATTACACTTCCATAGCCTCACCTTCCCATCATCACCAGCACTGCTCAAAATAGTTCCCGTCATGTTCCAGTTCACTCTCCAAACTTCACCATTGTGGTCGTTCAAAGTAGCAATGGTCTCTATCTTGAGCTCCTGATCATTTTTCTCCACTGCTTTGAAGATTCTCACGTACCCATCTTTACAGCCGGTGGCTATCAAATGATAACCTCTTCCCATTGATGGGGCCCAGCTCACAGATCTTATCAACCCGTTGTGTTCAGGGAGATTACCGATTTTCTTGTATTTGATCGAGTCATCGTCACCATCAGCCTCATCGCTCTTGTTGTCTGCGAACGACGAATAAACAAACCCTTGGTCCAACGCTATTACAATGAACTTTTCACTGTTGGAAAACTTGGCAGGACACCACTCGATCGAAAAACTGCTCTGCAAGTTTTTGGCAGGAAGCTGCAGACTCAAGATAGGTATTTCTGTGGTCAAGGTCCAATTGCTCAAATCGGACGGGTCAAGTGACTCGTATATCCTGAAGATCCCGTCACTTCCAACGCATCCCAACTTGAAGCCTAGGTGATTGGGAGCAAACACCGCGTCATAAATGGGTCCGTACGATTCTATAGCCAAAGTGCTCAATTTCATCCATCTTCTTCCTGAACCCTGTAACTCGTCGGGTTGTTCCTGCCAAATTTTCACCGTACGGTCGTACGAACACGAAGCAATGATCTTGGAGCTGGAAAACTCGGGATGTGCCCAAGTAACTTTGACGATCAGGGAATCGTGGGCTTTCCACAGATCGTTTAGCACCCATGAATTGGTGGCTGAGTGCAAGTCAAACACCTTGATGTGTTGATCAGATGACACGGTGGCGATGTGGCGGCCATAGAAGTCGTACTTGATGTCGTGGACCAACTCTTCGTGACCAGTGATAAATGGTTTCATTGTAAGTAGAGTGCTGAGAGTCAAAATTGTTTTCGCGGCTCGTTGGTTTCGGGTTGGAAAAGTCGATTGTTGCAAACGTGTGAACATGTTTGGCTGGATCAAGCTCTCGCTATTGGTGGCATCGCTAGCGATGATCACGCCCAATAGCCCCATTAAGACGTCGGTGGCCTTCTCTGTTATCGGGTATTTGATCACCGTCACGTTGATTCCCCGTGTGGGTGACCTGTTCATCAAAATCGGATTGAAAGGTAAAGATATGTCTAAAGCAGCCCCAGCCCACGAGATCCCTGAATCAATGGGTGTGGTTAGTGCCATCACCTATTTGTTCATGATGTTTGGTTTGATTCCGTTTGTGTTCTTCAAGTACTTGGTATCATACTCCAACTTGTCAAACGAGTCTTTCCAGTCTAAAAACTACTTGGACCAATATAACTCGGTTGACGACACCAAGTTGTTTCCCCATAACAAGTTGTCCCAGTACTTGAGTGCTATTATTTGTTTACAAGGGACAATTTTATTGGGGCTATTTGACGACTTGTTTGATATTAGATGGAGACATAAATTCTTTTTACCGGCAGTGGCATCCTTACCTTTATTGATAGTATACTATGTCGATTTCAGTGTTACTTCCATTGTGATCCCCACGTTTGTTTTGAACCATCTCCCCTTTGGTGACGTGCTACTTAATGTCATCAACAATGTCATTAAGTTGGGTAACCATTTGGTAACTTATGTAACTGGACTTTCATTCAGCACCTTGAACTCAGACTACTCGGTTCCTCAGGGAACTCCTAAATTACTTGATTTGGGGATCTTCTACTACATTTACATGTCATCCATTTCGATCTTTTGCCCCAACTCCATCAACATTCTTGCGGGTATAAATGGTTTGGAGGTGGGACAGTCGGTGGTTTTAGCTATCATCTTCCTTATCAATGATATGTGCTACCTTGCATCTCCAGATGTCACCAATGCTGCCTATGACCTGCACTTGTTTTCAGTGATCTTCTTATTGCCATTTTTGGGGGTTTCTCTAGGCCTATTGCAGTTCAACTGGTTCCCATCCAAAGTGTTTGTGGGTGATACTTACTGTTATTTCAGTGGGATGGTGTTCGCATTGGTGGGTATTCTTGGGCATTTTTCCAAGACCTTATTGATCTTTTTCCTTCCGCAGATCCTTAACTTTGTGTACTCAGTCCCCCAGCTATTCAACCTTGTGCCTTGTCCAAGACACAGATTACCCCGTTTCAGTACTAGAGATGGTCTCATGTATCCTAGTCTTGGAGACCTCAAATCTCCCACACCCATATCCAAGACCATATTGAGCGTCCTAGAATGGTTCAAGCTAATTAAGCTTGAACGGGAAGATGGCCAGATTGTACGGTTTTCCAATATGACCATCATTAACCTCAATCTCGTGTGGTTTGGTCCAATGAGGGAAGATCATTTATGTTTGCTTATTCTTGGGCAACAATTTGTTCTTGGAACCACCATGGTGCTTGTGAGACATACCATTGGTCCATGGCTATTTGGCTATGACAATCTCAGCTGGAGAATAAAGTAGAGTATAATATATAACAATTCGCAGCCAGGAAATTTGAAATATCGAACCCGCGACCATCACCAATTCACAACTAGATATCTCAGTGGCTCTTTTATAATCGAACACCAATTATGCCACCACCACCACCGCCTCCACCTCCCCCTCCCCCAGGAGGCTTAGGGGGTCCTCCTCCTCCTCCTCCTCCGATGCCCAGCATGTCAGGGTCTGCTAATTCAGCAATGCCTCCTGCTCCTTCTGCTGGGAGAGACGCTCTTTTAGGAGATATCAGAAAAGGAATGAAATTGAAGAAAGCGGTCACCAATGATAAGTCTAAACCGATTCTTGACGCCAAGATGTCTGTATCTGTATCACCGACACCGGCGTCTCTGTCGTCAATGCCGTCTATAACGGGCTCTCTGCCAGGTCCTGCAATTCCTCTGCTCGGTGATATATTTGCTGGAGGAATGCCCAAGTTGAAACACAAGGACAATCGAGCAGGCAAAATCCCTCTGTCGGCGCCACAGATACCTATAACCGCACCCCCTTCGGTGTCGGTGTCTGTCCCACTGACACCTGTACCACTGATGCCTTCTGGAGGAGTACCCAAACGGCCTCAGGTGCGTGGTGAAGTGCCACCACCTCCAATGCCTTCTAGTGGTCCTCCTGTTCCACATATGCCTAGCAGCCGTCCACAAAGGAAGGTTTCAGCCCCATCTGTTCCTTCTGGACCACCTCCGGTACCTGGATCAATTCCCCCAGCCATACCGGTGACAGCCCCACCGACTCCTCCAGCTCCTTCAGCTCCTCCAGCTCCTCCAGCTCCTTCAGCTCCTCCAGCTCCTTCAGCTCCTTCAGCTCCTCCAGCTCCTCCAGCTCCTCCAGCTCCTCCATCCATGCTTCAAGTGCCCAAGATGCCACCGTCTCGTCCTCTGAAGTCCGGTCATCTTAGAAGTGGCTCGAGGTCTTCTGTGTCGTCATTTGAAGACTCAATTCCAGCTCCACCACTTCCTTCGTCGAGTGCTCCGCCATTGCCAACTCAGATGGCGCCTCCTCCACCGCCGTTACCAACGCTGGTTGCTCCTCCGGCACCACCACTACCTTCGAGTTCAGCTCCTCCTTTACCATCCATGGCTGCTCCTCCAGCTCCTTCAGCTCCTCCAGCTCCTCCATTACCCACAACTTTCACCCCTGCGGCTCCACCACCTCCACCTTCTACAAACACGCATTCGTCGCCTGCTCCTTCACCCTCTCCAATGGGAGCAAGTGGGTTACCCTTTTTGGCAGAAATCAATGCTAGAAGAAATGAATCTTTTGTGGTAGACTCTTCGAGTGTTGATGCTGCCAGAGCTTCTCCTCCGTCTTCGACTTCCAAGACTCCACTGGCTGTTAGAGTACCTCATCCACCGGTTCCAACAGCCCCATCATTACCTTCAGCGGTGCCTCCGAAAGCTCCACCATTACCTTCAATGGTACCTCCGAAAGCTCCTCCATTACCTTCAATGGTGCCTCCGAAGGCACCTCCATTACCTTCAATGGTCCCTCCAGCTCCATCTCTGGCTCCTACTATACTGCCTCCTGTTGCTCCTCTGCCAAAGCTTCCGTCTAAAGCACCACCAGTACCTTCTACTTTTGCTCCTCCGGTTGCTCAAGCACCTCCAAAGACTTCTCCTTTTTCCCAAGCACCTCCAAAGCCACCTATGTTTGGTGCACCTATGCCAGCATCGTATGGCCACAGTGACAGTGAAAATGAATCAGAGTCGGGATTCGAAACAAACCTGGATGAAGAAACGTCAACTCCCCCGGCTCCACCGGCTCCATCTTTCCCAACCTTGCAACCTCCTCCTCCTCCAATAATTCCTACCCAGGAACCTCCACACATCCCATCATCCGCTCCTCCTGCTCCTCTGACTTCCACGGTCAAAGTTCGCAGAAAGGTGGCTCCTCCACCTCCACCCCCATCATCTGCTTTGGAGCTGCAACAGCATGCTGGTGAGTCGTTGAGAAAAATCCTGGCTCTGGCGTACACTATAAATTCTTCTATAAGAGGAAATGGTACATCATCTCTGTCCTCGAGAATAAAAATTCCTGATTCCAATAGGTTTAAGTTCAGTAATGCTAAAGCTATACCCCATCCAAGAAGATTCGGTGAAAAAGGAAAGGTTAAGTTGTATCCTAGTGGAAGAGGTTCTTCGGTTCCATTGGATTTGAGTCAGTTTGCTTAGTCTTATTCATTATCAAAGTATTTCTATATAAACATTTATGAATTGGGATCCCACCGTTGAACCACTTTATCGTAGAATGAGCAAGTAGTGATTCCAGAGCTCCCCCAATCCCCTCCATAGCACATGCTTTCATGGTCTGCCTTGAAATACTTGGTGACCACAAATTGGTCTTCCTTCACATCCACTATACGTGCTCCATCGTACATACAGCAAGCCAATATTCTGTTGTCATTTGGAGCCGGTGAAGGGATAAGCCTCCATACCCCTCCACCTAGATTCTCCTTCTGGTGCACCACTGGTATATATCCTTCAATTAAAGCTGGGTTTTCTTTATCCATTACTCGAAGATCAAGGATTCTCAAGTTATCGTCATAAGATCCTGTCCACAACTGGTTTGGGTTCATCGAGTTCCAAGTCTTGGATGCGGGAAGAATAGACACCACACCCGCTTCATGGTGTCGAGTACCGGTCGCCCATATCTTAGTATTTGTTCTTATATCATGAGCAATTAGCTTGGAATCATCACCTCCAGTGAATATCACATTACACAATTCTCCCAACTCTCCAAAAGCACTGATCCAGCACTCAAGGTCATGTGTGGTGTCGAAATAGTTTATATCTCCCTTTTCCAAATCTATCGAACACGTTTGTCCATTTGTACAAGTAGCAATTATGATATCTCCCTTGTGATTAAAGTTGACGGATGTAACTGTGTCTTCAAACACTCCAAACTGCTTTATTTTCAGTAACCCCATTTCTTTACTGTTGAACTTCCATAGTATTACACTTCCATCACTATGACATGAAGACACAAGAGAATCTTTTATTTTCAAGTCCAAAACTGCAGTTGTGAGCTTTCTGGTCAATAGGTGTAAATCACCTTCACCATTATCATGTTGGTAAATGTCAATTGATCCATGCTTTTCCCCGTTTTCTTCTAGTTTGTATGAGCTTATAAACACAATGGATGTATCATTGGGATAATATTGGACACAGCAAGGAGGTAGATCTGTGTTGAACACTTGTAATCTTTTGCAGCTATTGGGTTGAGACATGAGATGAGACAGAAAAACCTGAGGTACTGCGAAATTGAATTTCAAATCAAGCAGACTACTATGAGTCTTTATCAAAGATGGATGAACTTACCTTTAAAGGCAAGGATATATATCGGAGGGTCGACATTTTTTGCTGCACTTGCTGCTGACTATGTTTTAGGGCTGTTAGAAACAGAGGTAGAGGCCAGAAAACAAATTGAAAAAGAGCTTCAACTGACCGTCAAAAAGTGAACTCTTATTGGGTAATTACTTGTAAATATTAAGAATATGTATTCAATGGCTGGCACCGTCATTAAATAAATAAAACATAAAACATTAGGAAAGACACACGCTATAAAAATATTAAACTAATTAAGGAATCCTTTCTTCTTGTATTCCTTTCTAGTGGAAGAAATGAATTCAAGGAATTTGGCAGGGTTAGAATCAATACCTCTCGAGTAGACAAACCTGGAAGCCAAGTGCGTTGCAAATAAGGCCTTTAAGTAAGTTTCAGGAACTCTTTCGAGGATCTTTTCAATACCAATTTCCTTCAATAATAATGGAGGCAACGAATCCAATAACACGGCATCTCTGAATTCAGTGTCCTCGTTCCATAATTCCTTAGAATTGGCCAATTCGTCAGCTAACTTGTTGATGGTAACCGACAACTTATCAGACAATTCGGTGAAGGTTAAACCAGTGTCTTTCTTCAAGTTCCATAACACTTGAAATTCATTCTGGGCATTTTCGACAATAATCTTCTGCACTTGTTTAACGTATTCTTGATAGAATTGTGGGATTTCATGGGTTTTGGAATCAACACACATATGAGTCAGGAATCCCTTGTCATCAAAAGACAAAGATGCCAAAACCTCCAAGGAAGAAGACGTAACACCACCCTTGTTTGTAGAAGCATCTTTGAAAATAACACACCCAGCTTGTTCCAAAATGATTTTAGCCGATTGGGTGATAAACAAGTTAGCACCTTCAACAATGTATGGAATAACAGATTTACCAGTCTTTCCGTCAATTAAATCATGAACATTATTGGTGTCAATGGCAGATGGTCTTCCACCACATGGAACGAATAAATCAACCAAATTAACACCAAAGACCTCTTTGATCTTTAAGTGGAAAGTGTTTCTGAATGACACACCGGAAGTGACAAGATATCCGTTTGGTAACTTAACATCAACATCATCAACCAACACTCTGTAACCAAGATCTGATAACTTGGAGGCATCGAAACTGTCAATCATCTTTCTTTCCTTTGCTAATCTCAATAACTCCTGCTTGTCTAATCCGTTAGGATCAGCAATAACACCAGAACCATCAACAATGCCAACGTACTGTTCATCTCTTGATAATAAGATTTCATTGCTTCCCAAATCTCCATCTGGTCCACCAGTTTGAATCTTTTTAATAGAAGCACTTTCAATCTTTAATTGTTCATAAATTTTGTTCACATATGCTCTTACAGATAAACTGGTCATACCATAAACATCGTGTGGAATACCACCAATGGTTGGGGATTTACCAGTCAAGAAAGATTTCCACCATGGAGCCCCTCTGCTCTTTGCATGTAAAGTAGCCCAATCAACGTATCCAGCGGTACCTTCATCAGGTCCCAAGAATAAAATTTCGGGCTTATTGTACAAGTCAATGTAGTTATCCTTAACGCCTGGAATATTTTGCTTCAATAACAAGTCGATCAAGGCATCGATGTATTTCTGAAAGTTTGCTTCAGGTCTTTCTTGGGAACTACCAGGATCCAATAATATGACCCCCTTGGAACCACCTTCAGGGATGTCTTTGTTCTTTCTTTGTTGAGTACTAGCCAAGTTATAATTCTCATCAAACAAGTTTCTAACGTTGACATTGTAGGCATCATCGGATCTAGATCTAACAATTCTGATACCACCTCTGGCAATATCTCTAAATCTAATGTGGAAACCTCTAAATTCATTACCTACCACAAAGAACATACCGAAAGGAGTATCAGGGTATTCCGATTGGGGCAAAAATGAAGGGTCCAATCTAAAAGATAAAGCAACCTTGGTAGAGGTATAGAAGTTGGTCTTCAAGATGTGCTTGTTGAACACATATAAAGCTCTCAAGACCAAAACATGGTGTTCGTTCTGAGAACATTCCCGGCTCAAGATTGTTTCAAACTCTTCTTCGTTAGCAAATGGAGTGATTTGACTAATTCTTTGGTAAGACAAAGTCTTTTCCATAGAGGATCTGATATAATGAACATCAGCAAATTGACGATACAACTTCTTGATGATTTCCTTTCTGGATTCAAACACTTCTTTAATGTAATTTTGGGTGTAGGTTTCAGCTCTCAATCTCTTTTTTAAACTACTCAAAACCTCAGCATGCTGAGTAGACTTGGAAGGATCCAACAAAGAGGTCAACTTGTTATATTCTGGACCCAACCGGTTCAAGAAATGGGTGACAAAGATCACCCCACAGTGGGCATAGATAGACTCTTGGATCGACAAATCACCCTTGATAAAGTCGCTGTGGAAGTAGTTGTAAGGAATTGAGTACAACAAAGAAGCCTCTTTAATCACCTGGTAAATCGACAAATCCACTGGACTTCTTTGATGCTTCGAAGTGATGTACATAGAAATCACCGTGACCCCATTGGCAAACTGCTCCACGTACTTTCTGGTGACTTGCAAGTGATAGTAGTTGGTCAAGTCCGTCAAGGCCGAGTTGTACCGTGAAGCCGACTTCTGCTTGAAGCCAATGATCACTCTGTACTCCTCCGAGTCCTCAATGGGATAGTGTCTAATCACCGGACCCGTGGTACTAAGCACACCATGGATGATCTCCTGGTACAACCTCTTGGTGTTTTTCGAAGCGATCTTCAAAAACGTCGAGTCCCCGATCTTGGAAATGTCTGTTTCCAGTGGTGACACCGACTGGTTATCGTAGTTGTTTTTATAGATAAAGTGACATCTGACCAACTGGTTCTGAATCAGGTGGTTCTTCTCGTAGATACCTGCCAAAATCGGGTCGGTTTGGTAGTTCAACCGCGCCGAGAAGAACTCTGCCCGGTAGCTGTTGGACACCGACGACGATGGATCGATATACCGATCATCGATTCGGGCCTCAAAACTGGATCTTGAATCGCTTCCATCCACAGACGCGGTATCAAAGAACACCGCGTGGTCTTCGGCTTCGCGCTTGTACTGGATCAAAGGCTTGTCAGCGATGTCATTGGAATACGCCTGAACCTTACACGCGTATAATGAGTGGATGTGGCTAGCAATGCCTTCGGCAGACTCTCGGGCAAAAAACACGTCGTCGATGCCCAAGGATTCATAGAACCACTTGGTTTCCGACTCGATTAATGGCTCTGGGATGAAGCCGGTGTTATCAAGAATATCCAATACCTGGTCAAACTGTTCCTTTTTACCGCTGAAAGGCCGGTCGACATAATCGTGTTTGGTGCTTACCACAGACGAGGTGTTGGAGAGGGTTCTGTTTAAAGACAAGTGTTGAACGTCTTTATCTAAGGAGGACATATTGGGGGATAGGTCCAAAATCGTGGGGGATGTTTCGTAGGTGTGTGGAAACTGGAGTTATTGGTGACAAGTGAGATGGGGAATTAAGGTATATTTATGTTTGCGTATGAGTTTATGAGCCTTAGGCTGTGTGCAGGACGCTCGTCCCGAATTACCTGACGCCGGCTATCAAAGGCAAGTTGAAAAGTGAGGCGTAAACGCCAGGGATAGGATCTAGATACGAGCTGATGATGGGGGTGGTGGAAGGATTGTTATGGGATAGGTGAGGCGAGTATGAAGAACTAATATGTCAAAAGGTGTTGTTTCTACGAGATTTGAGTGTGTTTTTGCGGTTGCTCGAAAGCGATGGGGCACCGCTGTGGATCGACCGGGGATAATTGTCCGACACTATACGAAGGACAAGCCCAATACCATCCTAAAATAGACTTTTGTGTGTGGCTACCCGGCAGTGGATTGGTTGTCACCGCCAGACCCCGCCATAATTCTGCCCGGAAATTGCAACGGAGAGTGGTGGCGGGTTTGGAGTGCTCATCGCAATTGAAAATGCCACTTATTTCCCCGGATTTCGGTAACTGTGTGCGAGGAGGGGAGAGTTGGTAGGTCACCTGGAGACAGCTAGTAGGTCACCTGGCAGTGCTGGTGAGAGTGTTTATGGCCACGGCTGGATTTGATTCTAAGTGAAGAGTGTTATACGGTGTCGACTTAGATATGTTTTGTGAAATTTACAGAAGCCACAACATTTAGCAGGTGTTGGACAGGCGTCCATCAAGACGTGCGCGGTGAATTTTCTTTGGCATTGGTCTTAGACCATTGCAGTTTACTAGTATTTATTATCACAGTGTCTACCGCTACAGAAGCTCTACCGCTCTAGTAGTATAAACTACCACCCATGGTCAAATAACATCGACACAGATTCTCCATTGTGGATTCTCCGAATGGCCTCCGCTAGTATTCGCAGCACGTCCAACACCTCCAACTTGTCTCCCAAAATCGCAGCCGTATGCACCTGTGGGACCGAATTGGTGGTGATGACCTTGTCAATCGCTGACTTCGAGATCCGGTTGGGCGCATCTCCACTGAAGATCCCGTGCGTCACCAACGCATAAACCTTCTTGGCTCCTTGGTCTTTAAGTAACTTGGCTGCCCGGGTGATAGTATAGGACGTGTCGACCAAATCATCGATCAACACACAAACCCGATCCTTGACTTCTCCCACAAGCATTGTTGTGGCCACCATGGTGGCAGAATTTCCTACCACCGAGCTGGCACTGGCATGGCGCACCATGGGCGATGCCTGGGCCGAACCCGACGCCAGAGGGGAAGTTTTGGTGATTTTGGCCCGTCTTTCCTTGTGGATCAACGCAAACGAGCATCCCAACGCATCGGCTATCGACGTGGCTCTCTTGGCTCCTCCACTATCGGGTGAAACAATCACACAGCTTTGGTAGTCGGGTATATAGTCGATGATGTACCTCTTCAATAATGGCTTGGAGTACAAATTGTCAACCGGCACGTTGAAGAACCCCTGGAATTGTGGGTCATGGAGGTCCATGGTGATGCACCGGTCGGCCCCGGCCGTGATGAGTAAATTGGCAATAAGAGTCCCGTTCTGGGCCACCCACTGCTTATATCCACTTTCAGTTCTACCATAGGCATCGACAGAAGGAATATTGACGGCCGCCGAGTTGGTTACAATTGCCGTGGGCGTGAGCGAAGGGATTTTACCGCTTGTCCCACCAGTAGGTATTCTGAGATTATTCAAAGTGGCCTTACTGAGTAGATCGGTACTCGAATTGGCAGACGGGGTCATAAGACTTAGTGGAGGAGGCGTCGACGCAAATACGTCGGTTGTATCATCCCGCAACGGTTTGGGGGTTCCAGGTGCACTTTCGTATGTATACTGGTCTTTTTTCACGGTTAATGATGGTGCACCCGTTAAGGAAGCAGCATGAGGCACATCGGGTTGGCGGGAGTATGGGAACAACGGGAGCACGGCGGTGACCCTTCTTGCACTGGCGGTCTTACAGGCGGCAATGGCGATCAACAACTCCATGAAATTATCGTTGACTTCACCACATCCTGATTGGACTATGAAAACGTCCTTTTCTCTTACTGAATCTTGAATCTCAATCGATGTCTCGCCGTTGGAGAATTTCTTGGATGCAAGCACTCCTTGTTCAACGGTGAGGTGTCGGCAGATACTCTTGGCCAAGTTCGGGTGACTTGAGCCACTTAAAACAACAATATCTCTCATTGGCAATGGGGTGGGACAGAAGAAATGTGCGAAGATTTTGATGAGCCTTTTGGTGCGGTAGATAGATTGTATATTGGCAATATTGTATTTCATGGAACTTGAATTTGGCACTGACCACTTAGTAGCGTATGTCATAGGACCCGGACTGCGACCGATATTTCACCCATTTCACCGTTCGGTAATTACTCTTCTCTTGGATTCTAACATAGTTGACTGACAACCCCGAACAGGAAAACATATCGATTACAAAATCAAGTTTGATAGGAGGACGAGACCAGTTGATCATCAGGTGCACCGAGTCTTCTGAAAGCTCCACTTCTGCTGTCAACACATGCTCTTGGTCTCCGAAGAACTTATTGAATTTCCATATAATGAGGTCTTCCCCACCCGAAAACTTGGCCTTTCCTGATGATTCGCTAGTATAATGTTTTATAACACCCTGAGGGGTTGGAATCAGAATCTTGACTTCGGTGGCATTCAATTTGGCCGGAAAAAGAGATTTGATCAGAAGCTTATACTGAAGTCTGGTAGAACCCACTTGTTGAACCTGGGGAATCACCTTGAATGGCAAATTGATGTTCAGTACGCAGTTGTATGTCATGAGCTGGAATTCTCCATCCGGTGGAATGAACTGAATCACTCTGTTGGTGTCAAATGTACTCAACTCTACACATTGATGGAACTTGCAGTCTTCGAGAACCACATTATTCTGGTTACTACTACCAGTATGTTCTGCACCTAGCTTGGTGGTGCTGGTATTGATCACCAACCCATCATCATTCAACCCAAACCGGCACTCGGGTATCCCACTTAAATGAGTTTTCAAAACTATTTTCCCGTCCACGTAAGCTCGTAATATTTCAGACTGCTCATTTGTCAAGACATTAATCTTCTCATCCACGTTTACAAAAATCTCGTTTCTTCGGTATTTGAGTCCTTGCTGTCTCCAGGTTATACTCAGCAATGCCGCATTAAGATCACCACTTCTATTTGATTGTAGCATGAATGATCCGCCATTGGACTTTCTCCTCGACAATGTATTATTCAACTTGAACCCATCCCCCATACTTATTCCCGGTAATACCGCCTTTAAGTAGGTGGGTTCAAGGTTAATAGGGTATCCAAATTGCACAATCTCGTCGAGCAATTGATAGATTCCAAAGAAGTTATTGATGATAAGTTCATCAGTGATCACTGAATCTGCATTGAATGTGGACTTGAGCAACGTTTCAAACTTGTAGAGAAACTCAAGAATAGCAGCACAGTCTTGATTGGACCGGGTCACGGCCACTAGCCAGATCTTCCCAGATTTGATGTAAATAAATGATGTGGAACCTAGGGTTAGAATTGGAGATCGTACCTCTTTACTACTGCTAGTTTTATTGTTGGAAGAAATTACTTGGATTCGAAACACATCAGACACGTTTCCTTTAACACCATCTTTATAAAGCTTTGACATGAGTACATCTCCCTTGCCGTCGAAAATAAATAGTCCAGTTATCATCGTCAAGGTAGTCTCGGATGGAGGTTTAGTTTTTGAAAACGCGATCGCAACTATCTCAAAGTTTTGGCTGCAATAGCTAATAATCTACATATATTGCCTATAATTCTATAACCCAGCAGTTTCGAGCTTGCTCTTCTTGTTATGCTGGCTCTTTCTATTATGATTGGCCTTCTGAGCTTTGTTCTTGTCGTTGTAGTGATAATTTGCCTTTTTGGCATTCTTGTCCTGAGGCTTAGACTTGGATTTATCGTTATTAGTCTTAATATCGGCAGGAATTCCATGCTTCTCATTTGAAAGCGTCAACATCTTACCCCAGTCTTCTATTAAATTATCAGACCAGCCGGTATGTTCTTTCATGTACTTTCTGATGGACTTTCCTCTGCAATCAGCTTCGAAAGGCCTGATTCCTTCACTTTGGTAGACCGCATATAAGTAGTCATTGTTGTTTGACTTCAACGGCTCTGTTGAAGGATCCGTATTTTTAGAGCCCGGCTTCTTTGTGTCAAAGTACTTTTCAAATTGTGTGTATATCTCCGGGTCAGCTTCCTCTTCATCTTCAAGACTGCTCATGGCAAGTGCCATGGTTGCTTGTTTGAGCCTATCATCGAGTTCACTAACATTAATGTTCTCATGTCTGTTTTTCCGCTTGAAGGCACCAAATTCCTGATTGTCAGATTTGAATCTGCTAACTTGCTCAGAAGTAATCTTTACTTTGGGGGTCAGAACTGGTTTAGGTTGAGGTTTAGACACCTTTATATCATCAATAAGACCAGGATTTTCGAGTAGCATATTGATTACATGTTCCACATCGTTTTCGTTTTGCTGGAGTACGGCTTTAGCTTTGTCAGGGGTAAGATCTGGGAATATACTTATAAGGTTGTCCAATCCTTCCGGAAAAGGTTCTTCTCCAGCGAAACTATCTTCTGGTTGCATGTCTAAGACATCAGGAATCAAGAATCCTAGCTTTTCCTCAGTTCCAACAATCAAGTCACCAAATTCAGGCGATATCACTATTGAACATAACAATGGACTGAGTATCATCATCGAGGGTTTGGTGATATCTTTACTTTTGACCAATTTGGATATCTGGGTGGCCGGTAAACTGATTAAAGATACTATCATTGCGTTCTTGGCAACACCAGCATGGAGACCCCTGCCGTTTGCATAAGCCTTCTCCAAAATATCAACCCATTCGCTGTTCACAAACTTTTCAGCAAACTCTATAGACTTCTTCTTGTTAACCACGCGGTCAGACTTGCCGCTGTTCAAATTCACAATTGTCTTGGTTGATATTGACTGGCCCAAGAGCACCGATAAGGTGGTGAGGTCCTTTTCGGTGAACTTTCCATTAAGTATAAGCTTTTCAAGATGACTGTGAACGGAGCCAATGGAACTGATATTCCCCGACTTTTTGTTGTCATTCAACTTGGACTTGAATGACCCATCGACAAGCCCTCTCACAACTGTATGGTTCTTATTGACGTAGATCCCAATGAAATACCAAATAGATTCTCCGATTAAATTGAATTTAAGTAGACTGTAGAGCCTGATGGCATTGAAAACCATTTTCTTCAACTCTGCTTCATTCTTCTGGATGTCAACATTGATGGCCCCAAGCGAAAATATCTTATTCTCCTCGTCAAACGTTTCAAATAAATAACTCTTTAAAAACTGGTACAACTGTTGCTTGGATTTGATTGTGAGATACTGGAAGTTTCCATCGGCGAGAAACTGGAAAAGCTTCACGTAGCCTTCAAGAAGATGCACCCAAATAACTGGATCTTTGTCGATCAACGAAGACCTTAACGTGAACGGCGGATATGTCGGTATAGGTAAATTGATCTCTTGACTCATCTCTGGGACAGATTTAGAATCGCGACATCGAAATGCATAGAGAATAGGCAGGATAGGAGACAATACCAGACTTCAAAAGGTAGGATGGCCCTCAACGGTAAAACAAAAAGATTCAACAGGAGTATGCTTCTAATTTAGTCTAGAGAGCATACCAGTTTTCACCAATGCCTTGGCTATGTAAATTACATGGCATGCTGCCCAACTTCTGATCTGCTTTGGCATCATAGAAAAATGCGAACATAAAAGAGGCAATATTTCCACATCAAATTGCTATGGGCTGGTTTTCATTCAACTCCAAAGCATCGTCCAGTACTTCGTCTAACAACCGAGTACCAGGACAGGTTGAACAACGGTCGCATCAACCGCTAGGTCTTGCACCTGAGCAGTCCGACATCTCACATACGTTGAACCAAATCTCAGATGACCAACAGGCATTAACGGTTAAAGAAGAGAACGCTAAATCAATTCAAGATTTCCAAAAGGCTGTAACCGAGTTTGTAAATAAGAGACCTGACAACATGTTTGTGATTGATGGAGAAAGGGAGATGAAGCAGAGTATCATCTGTACAAACAATGAAAATGGCGGAAAGACCTGCTTGAAATTGCAATACAACTCGGTGCAATTATTCAAACAAATGCAAACCTTGGAGTACTTCTGCTCCTTGCCGGACGATATTGATGCCACCTACTTTGAGTGTCGGAAGATCAAGTAAGCTGGCCAAACCCCAAAAGTAAAAGATAGTGTGTGTGTATTCAGATTTAATGAGAGATAATAAAACATTGACAGCATCAACTAAGCAGGCCACAGCCGACTCTAAAGCAAAAAAACAGCGGCAACTCCCAGCAAAATAGCAGGGATAGCTGCCCAGCCTAAGCTATCGGCATTATTTTCACAGTCGATCGTAGAAAGATTGGTGAAGTTTGAGTAGTTACTTCCGCTATGGTGATGGGTTGAGTTTGTGCAATCAGGCACATCACCAGTTTGTTCGGTATCGTCGTCATTATCGTCTTCATCAATCTCGGCATATTGGGAAACTCCCAAGTCTCTTTTGGAATGAGCTTCTGCAACTTCAAAGACTTCCTGTCCTGGAACAAACTGGTAGTCATTGGCCACAAACAGCTTCAACTCATTTAAGTCATCGTTGCCGTTTCTGGAGTATTCTTCCTCCAAGCTCTTTAATCTCACATCTCCAGCCACTTCTATGTTAGCACAGGCAAACTTTGTCAAGTTTGCAAAGTGGAACACAATGGCTTTTCCAATGATGTTGGATTTCGACTTGGTGTTAAGCGACAAATAGGGGTCATCATACTTGGTTTCAAAACAAGTTGTATCGATCCAACCATGCTTACCACTCAAGTCCCCAACCTGGCAGAATGCGTCTGTCTTCTGCGAATCACAATCGGGTGATGCCTTGTATGGGTTTAAATGTGTACCGGAAGCTTCACAATCCCCATTGGCACCAATAGGTTGTTGATGGATATGGTACTGGAAGGGTCCTCCTTCCTTTGGTAGTTTAGTAACGTCAATGTAAACATTTACAGCCTTACCTTTCTTTGCTGTGAACACAACATTACCTAGGATTTTTTGTGGACCACCAGAGGGGAAGTCAGCAACAGCGACAACATCTGCTGGGTTCTTCTTGATCTTGGGAGCTTCGCCTGCAGTCACAAGTGCAGCTGCTAAGGCTAAAAGAATGGGTTTCTGGAATCTCATTGTTTTCGGGAATAGGTAACGAGTTGTTGTATCTTATAATTCTTTACGGGAGAAAAAAGGTTACAACCACAAATCCCCAAACTAGTTTTTCGCAGCTACAGTGTTTGCAGCCGTGCGATTTTGGCACCAGCGGGCGTGCGCGCCCCACTTCCGATCTCGGTGTTGGCTGCTGCTGCTGCTGCCGGCCTACATTTAGATGTACTAATGCTAGTGTATTGTAAATATATGAGTAAATCGTGAGTTTCTATTTGTCATAAGCAGAAATAGTATAGATGTAATAAATAATAGTGAGGATGTGAATGACTCATGGAATAAATGCTAAAATTTGTAGGATGTTGTTTGTTAGACCATGAAGGATTCACCACAACCACAAGTACCTTTGGAGTTGGGGTTCTTGAAAATGAATCTGGACGATAACTTATCTTCCAACCAATCCATTTCGGACCCGACAATTGAGAAAAGGGCTTTGGAATCGATAAAGACTTTGACTCCATTTTGCTCCACCAATTCATCGAATTTTCCAGCTTCGTTCACGTATTCCAAGTTATATGTCAACCCGGAACACCCTCTGTTCTGGACTCCAACTCTAATGTATTTTCCTTGAGGTTTTTCCATCAACCCCTTTAAATGGGTGACTGCGTTCTCACTTAGCGTTATGATAGCTTTTCTAGGCTTCAACACTCTTCTTTTTTTCTTTGGCTTTTCTTCGCTGATTATGGGAGTAGCACTGGTAGCCTCTACAGGCTCTTGTTTGATTGGCTCTGGGCTTCTCGTGGGCTCTGGGACGTTAAGAATTGGTTCGGGAATGACTTGCGGTGAAGGGGCAGCAGTGGATGTAGCCATCAGATCCTTAGGAATCGACCCCTTGATGGCCTTGGTCTTAAACCGTGAAGCCCGAGACCTTCTCAATGGCGTCGTTTCCTTCTGCTCATCTTTATTTAGCTTGTATGGGTTCCATTTGGATCCTTGTAATGCACTGGTGGTATCGACCGAATTTTTAGACTTGATATTGGACATGTTGTAGTTCAAGCTGGCATAGAAATCATTGGTCGGCTTTCCTGTAATTGGGATGGTCTGAATGAATCGTCTTCCAGCTTTTTCTGGGGAATTCGAAGAAGACACCGATGTGGAGCCGGAGGGTGCTGATCCAGCTTGCTCATGAGATGACGAGTAACGCATCAAGCGTCTTGCCGTGGGAACTGTGGATGAAGATGTTGCCATGTTTGTGCGTAACATGAATCGACCGATTCCATTCGTTACTGTAATGGGACGTATCATATTTGAAGAGCAATGTATTATTAATGTTTCGTTTGACAATATTTTTTCCTTTACCTTTTCTACCAAAATGTGAGAAAATGCCGGGGGATTGGGGCACGACCGGTCATAATTCTGGTAAGCAATTTTTTGCGAGCTGCGATTGGCTGCAGGTTCAGGTACTTCTGGTAATGAATGTGCACTGATAGGACAATATAGTGATTTATAAAAAAATCATATATTGGATTGGAAAGGATGTTACATATACAAGAGATGATAGTAAATTCAAAGTTATAGTTAAAATTTCAATTAGATGGTTAAAAGTCAAATTTGTTGCATTCCCTATACCTTAAATAGCACTAGTTTCCCTAAATAACCAGCAATGAGTTACTGAATCTTTCACAAAGAATCCAGAGAGTTCTGTCCAAATAGTCCGGTGATAATCGTTAAGCCATACTTTTTCGTCATGGGTCAACATTGAAACTTCAATCAATTTCTTGCAGAATGGAACCTTGGTCAAAGTTTCAAACTTGTAAAACTTCTTTCCATTGAAGACCTTATCGGTTTCTTTAACCACCATGTCATTCTCCAATCTGATTCCATACTCTCCTTCTTCATAGTAACCTGGTTCGTTGGATATTATGTTTCCTGGCTGAATTGAGGTGGTGAATGCAGCAGGTCTCAACCCTATACTGACAGGACCTTCGTGAACGTTTAAATAAGAACCAATTCCATGAGATGTCCCGTGACCGTAGTCCAAGTTGTACTTCCACAAATGCTGTCTTGCAATAGAATCTAAGTAAGCTCCTTTGGAGTTTTGGGGAAATTGTAAATCAGACAACCCAATTAATCCTTTCAAGACCAACGTATAATTTCTCTTTTCCAAGTAAGTCGGTTTACCTAAATGGACGGTTCTGGTAATATCCGTGGTACCTTCCAAGAAATGGGAGCCCGAATCGTTCAAATATATGGTATCTGGATTGATTAACGAATAATTAGTAGGGGCTGGCTTGTAGTGGATAATGGCAGCATTCGCCCCAGAGGCACTGATTGTGTCAAATGATAATCCCACAAAGTTCTCTTCTTTCTTTCTGAACTCAGTCAATTGTTTATCAGCTTGAACTTCATCGATCATCTCATTTTTCCGGAGTAATTGGTCTTCCAACCATGCAAAAAATTGACATAATGCTTTACCATCCTTGATGCCTGCCAACCGAGCTCCTTCGATTTCCACATCATTTTTAATGGCCTTTAAGTCCTCGATAGGAGAACGAGGCAATTCAGTGAAGGTGCATTTTAAATTTCTCACCAATTCCCAAGATGTGTTCCTAGTAATCAACAACTTCTTGTTTTCTAAATTGAAATCCTTCGAATAATCGAATATATGTGTCCAGAATGAATTATAGTCCAAGACAGTAACATGATTTAACGTCAAATACTCCGAAACATCTTCATCAAACCTTGAAGAATCCACAAACAATATCACATCTCTGTTGGCATTTATGATCAAGTAACTGTAAAACAATGGGTTATACATGATGTCAGCTCCTCTCAAATTCAATAACCAAGCAATTTCATCCAAGGCTGTTACCACCAATGCATGCCCGTTGTTAGCCTTGATAGTTCTTATGATCTTATTCAACTTATCGGTGAATTCCTCGCCACAATACTTCAAGTCTAATCTCTTAATCAAATTAGTAGGCGCCGGAGGTAAAACTTCAAACTTCTCCCAAATCTTCGAAATCAAATTATCCTTTACTGCAGTCAATTCAACCTCAGCTTTGGAGTTCTTGTGTAGTCTGGCTTTTATCTTCTCAGTAATCTTCAAGTATTCACCGTATGTCACCAATTTAGGGTCAACCCCGATTCTAATCTTGGAGCCGGAATCCAACGACATCTGCACGGCGTTGTCAATGGCCCATTCTTCCCAGCTTGGTTCATTAACAGCACCTTGTCTTAACAAAGACCAGTTGAAATCCAACTCGTTGGCAGCCTGACTAAAATACCTGGCATCCGTCGACAAAGCGGCCAAGCCTTCAGGGCATGAGTTCATACACGTGACATCCCTAGTGATGATGGCCACTCCAGCACTTCCTTGGAATCCCGAAATGAACCCTCTCTTTTGGTCAATAGCTGACACATACTCGGACTGATGTTCATCTTCACTGGGAACAATGTAAACTCCCAAGTCGTACTCTTGCATTAAAAGTCTCAAATTCTCCAACCGTTTGGAAGTGTTTATTTCCTTGGTTTCCGGTTGGCATAAGGTTGAAGCATCAATAGAGAAAACTGACCCTTTTCTGCTGCCCAGTTTGCTGCTTGTACCGGTTCTTTTCAAGTTGATTTGTCGGGCCATCATGGAACTTCTTCTGTTTGTTCTCGATAATAACCCAGGAGAACACGTACAGTTGTTACACTGCGCTCTTGATACTCTGCGATGCATTATCATTCCACTACTTCCTTGGTATAAATAAAACGATTGGCACCATTTTTGCTCGCACTTTTTGAGCCATGTAGGTCGTGTACGTTCCCGTCAACTGTCATGCAATGCCGATGAGGAGGTTTTAGGTGATGTAAAGAAGGGTTATTTATGGAAATTGAACAGGTGTAGTTTAAATTAGAGTTCACTTACATGTCTTCATTATTGAAATGAAGCTGGAAGTTAATCCTACGGTGGGAAGGGTAGTTTGTAAATATTTGGTTCATGCACGTCCTGGACCCTTGAAACATCTTGATATTCCCAAGAGATTTTGGTTTCCAAAAGGAGTTACATAGCTATTGGGATCTTCTGGAACACTGTCTGTGATGGTTTGAACTATATTTGTTAGTGGATTAGTTCTATACTTGTATCTATTGATTGTGTCCTTTGTTGGCTGGCCAGTCTAATAAACACAAAAAATTCCTTTATGGCAACCGTTTTTCTTCGAAGAAAACTCTAGCCCACTTTCAGACATTATGGGGTTGATATTATTTATCCCAAATGACCGTTCTATGCTTCCACACTCCCAAAAAATGCTCCTCTTCTTCGTCACTTTTGCAGCCAATTCGCACTCTTTACTTCTCGCAAACAGGCCAGGCCAGAAAAGATCGCTATGGACGTTAACCTCATACAAGTGCAACAGGTATGTAAACACCAAAAACGCACTTTCCAAGGTTTTACTAACAAAAACAGCACATAGAGAGGTTGTACTCTACCAGGGACCCCGGCGAAATCCAATCACTTCAAAGCGTCCTTCTAAACTTACAAAGGCAAGATGATGGCCATTTAGCGAAGTCGCTACTAGGAACAAACAGCAAGAACTGTCAGTATTTTGGAGCTTTAACGTACACTGTCGTCATAAATAATATCAGAGAGTTTGATGAATCCCATCTACAGCTGTTAAAAAACGACCTCATATCGTCTATTGGCAACAATACGTATAATTGGCTTGTGATCAAGAAGCTAATATCCAACTACTGTCTATTATTCATATTCAACTATAAGCAGTTCCAAGCAGATCCCATCAATAGTTTGTTGGTCCAGTTGACCGGTAAGTCCGAATTGGACTTTTCCATTTTGGATGAAAGGTCATTTTCAATTGTGTTAAACTGCTGCTCTATTCTAGTGGAGGAATTGATCAAAAAAGAACAGATCAATGAGCTTCATGAGATTATGTTTAGCCAGTTGTTTCCTTATGTCTACTCGACGTATGAGCACTTGAACTCGTGTTTGATAAGTTCCATCCCATATTCTGTCCATATACTAGGGTTAGACTGTCTAAATTCTTGGATCGGCTACATTTCAATGTCAGAGACTCAATCGAAGATACGATATACCGACACGCCAGAACTCACTAGGTACGTGTTTAGCTTCTTGGAAGGCTTGCAATTTGACAGCAGCGAATCTCTTGAACTAATCAACAAGTCGGTTTCTGCCATCACAGAAATATTGGAAGTGAACCCAAACATGTTGGACTTCAACAAGAAACTATATTTGAAGTCTTTATTATTTGAAGAAACTAAGTTTGGTGGTCGTTTTATCAATGAAATAGTGTTGAATGTCAATGTTAATGAGGAGTTCACTGATGAAATTAGCAACTTTGTGAACTTGTGCATCATATTTCTCCAGAATGGTTTGTTAAACATGGCGAAACACTTGACTGAACCCACTAATAGGTTTATATTAAACTTGTTGTTGAAGCTAACCAACTATCCAGGAATACCTAAGGTGGAAGAAAATGTAAGTGACCAATTTCTATCCTTTTGGGAGGAGTTTTTCAATGTATTCATCGATGACGAAGAAGCCTTTGACTCCCTATATAAAGATGAAAATACAAAGTTGGAGTTTTACTCGACGAGGAATGCCATTTGTAACGAAGTTTGCAAGATATATTGGGAAAAAATCAAGCTTCCTGCTCCTGAACAGCTCCAACTAAATAGGTCCGATTTTTTCTACTTCAAGTCTACTGTGGGTGATTTCTTTTCCATTGTGTACTCACTCTTGAAGCTACTGTTTTATAAGGATTTAGTTGAACTAGCGGGGTCTAAATTCAGTTCCAGTGAATTGGACTTAAATGGGTTGGAATCTGCTCTCTTCATCCTACACAAAGTTAATGATGATTCCACCTTTTACGAAAGTCAGAGTAATTTGCTCATAAATCCTATAAACTCATTAATGGAAGCGGGACTACTTAAAATCCTCCCCAGCTTGACTCCTGCTATCCCCAATTATTTCAATTTTGTTTCGACGTTCATAAACTTTATCTCATCGATTCAATTTTATTTGAAGACCGACCATGGTCCTAAATACTTGGGTGATATATTAGAGTTTCTCTTCTCTATTATCATCAACTCCAAAGACCCCAAATTGTCTTTGACCTCATCCAAGACAATTCTTAACATTTGCCAGGAATGTGGTCCCCATTTGGTAGTATTTTTGCCAACCTTGAAGAATTTGCTAAATGAGATGATTCAAAATGATCAGATTGATAACTTGATCAGAGCTCGGATGGCCAATTCATATATCTCAATTTCCCATTCTGCTAATTTGAAGCTGCCTCGTGAATTCAGTCTGGTTTTAATTGAGCTTTTGAGCGTCATTGAAACAAGAGCTGGAAATCTAATGGCTAATGTCTCTATTTTAGAAGAACACGCTGAAGACTACTTGATATCATTATTATCTTGTGTCACTGAGATTGGGAAGTCAAGTGTTTTACCAGGAGAAGTAGAAGATTTGTACACCCAAGAAGAAGCTAATGCGGTGTCTGACTTTTGGAAAAATGACACCACTGTCAAGCCGTTGATATTGAGCATCATAAGAAAGTACTCCATTGATTTTCAGCCTTTTCTGAACAAATCAACTATAACAGAAATATGCTGTCAAATCTTTAAAACAGGATTGAATGAGCCAATACATAATCCCTTCAAATTTGACTTGCCAGTAATCTTTGAATATTTGGCATTGAAAATCAGGCATTGTGATGCAAACTCATTGTACCATATCTTCAAACTAATAGAAACCATCACTTTGACCAACTACAAATTATTGGATGAACTTACAGTTAATGACCTATTGACTAATGTGTTTATACCCCATTTCAAAGACCATGATAGCAACAGTGATCCGGATATGTTGTCAAGCTCAACTGATGTTTTTACTAGCATGTTAGACAAGAAGCCATCTTTGCTCCTTTATTCCAATGTTAATCTTTTTGTTGAAGTTCTCCATTATAGCGTGAACCTTTTCAAGTCAAATGAAGTAAGCATAATAAAGTCATTACTGAAATTTTGGACTGCAGTAATACTCTTGAAAAGAGGCAGCCAACAAGATCAAGAGTTGGTTCAGAATATATTTCAGCAGAGCTTAGGTAGATTGTTGCTTCAAGAGTTACTCAGCTCTTTTTTGAATAACTCCCGGTCTTCTTTAGAATGCTACTATTTGGTCTTTCGATCTCTCATCTCCAAATACCAACTATTCGTTAAGAATTGGTTAATGGAAATATTACCAAATATGAATTGGAAACACGTTAATGACCATGACAAGAAGTTGTTTATTGACAAGCTCCTTTTGACTAGAGGACAAAGGCTGGCGAACGAGGTTTTAAAAAAATTCTGGTTACAAGTTAATGGACTTGTAGAGTTTAATTCTAAAAACTACTAGGTTTCCCATTCGAAAACATTATCATTCATCAAGTAAACATATAAACAAAATGAACCAACAAATAATACAATTTTTTTCGTTTTGACTCTTTTCCTCTCACATTCACAAAACGGCCTCCAACTCCTTGACCAAGAAATCACATTCAGCAGCAAAGTCTATATCGTAAACAGCCATTGTTTGGTATCTGATTCTAGATTCACCGTTGTAGCTGTCTTGCCTGGCCTTCAATCTGAAACTAAATTCTTTCATAGTAACTGCCTCAACAACTTTCTTGAATTCCGCCTCGTTCAGTTCCTTCAACACTAGCAATTCGTTGGCACTAACGCCAAAGATTTTGCTGGCCTCCTGATCAAACAAAGTGGCCCATAACTGTTCAGTAGCATCCATTATTGAACAGTTCAAAATATATCTGTAGGTAGCTTCACTATAATTAATATCACACTTTTCACACCTCCAAGTACCATCACCTTGGTCAATAATCTTTCTGTTACAAAGGTTATTGCTCGCCTCTTGTTTGTTAACACAGGCGGGATAACAGAAAGTTTCAGTCTTGAAAAAATTAATAGTTGCTTTAACACTGAAAAAATCAGGCTGTTCTTGAGCACCAAGGTTCTCTTCTTTCACCTGAGCAATGGTCTTTCTGTTCTTTATATAGTTAGCGGAGCCAGCGTTGTCTGCCTTCAAAGTTTGGAAAGTTTCATTCGACCCTTGGTTATCGTACCAACCCTTCAATTGATAGGCTTCGGGTGCGTCTGGGTTTGGTAAGATTGATCCAGTTTGAGTCAAAGTCAAACTTCTACCTCCAAAATCTTGGATCTTACAGCCTTTAAAAGCAATGACTGTGCCTTCACTCAAGTTAAAGTCAATTGCAGTGGCATTCCATAATCCGACGGTGATAGAGAAGTTTGAGTCATCGACGATATCGATGTCTCTTCTATCGAATGGCTTTCCAGTGCTTTTGGAAGTGATTTGAAACGCAGGCTTCACCTCTCTCAAGACACCAACAACATCAATTACCGTGTTTGGTTCGGCACTTTGAATCTGGTTCAACTTAGTGAAGTTAAATTTCAATTTTGGCACATTACCATTGTTAGAGAAACATTCTTCGACAATAGTGTCTCTATCCAAAGACAATTCGTATGGGTGACTCAATCTGGAGAATTGAGGTTTGGCCGCTTGAATCCTAGCCTTGCTAATGTAATAAACTTTACCTTCTTGTAAAGTTTCGTACATCTTTTCAGCAAGTTCGTTGAACGCAGTGGCTCTGATTTCATCTGAGTCATCCAAAAAGTTGACATTGAACAACTTTCCAGAACCCTTCGCGTTGTGCCAGGTTCTAAGATCACCCTTGAATGAAACTCTTGCCTTTATGACCCAATTGTTCTGGTAAGGTGACAACAGTTCAATTGAGCTAATTCTTTGACCCTGAAATTCATCAGCAGCTGAGCTTTGCTTGGAAGGGGCAGCGGCCGGTTGAGGTTGTTCCTTCTTGCTCTTGAAGAAGTTTTCTTGAGGGTTTTGATTGAAATATTCAGCAATCTTGATGGTGTCATGAGCTTCACTTTCATACTTAGGCAAAACCACTTCAGCGTCATCGATCAAAGTGTAGAATTTTTCTGGTTCAAAGCATGAGTGGGCCAAGATCTTTATGACCGAAGTCTTCTGGAAGCCCTGTCCCTCTAATTTGTCGACAAGAGACTTATCTAACAACCCGTGCATGTTATACTTGCCATCATACAAAATGACCCTAGATTTTCCCTCATAGTGTCTCAAGTTAATCACCTGGACAATAAAAGGCGTTTTAAGGTACTTTTCTCTTTCTTTGACTGAGTAGATCTTGGGCAACACGCCAAAGTCAACTACCGATTCAATAGTCATTATATTTCAAAAAAAGAAGCTATTAATTATGGTTGATTTAATACGCGGTTGTTTTCGCGTCTTTCTGTTGATGAGAATTGGCAATTCCAAAAATATAAGAATGTCGCAAAAACATTCGCTACTGTTATCTTGTATTCATATATACTAAAGTAATTATAACTTGAACTGCACATTCACGGCATTGAATAATTCATCTCTATCGTTCACTTTAACGGCACCACTCTTCAATAACGCCTTGGTCAAATCGTCTATCAAGTCGTCGCTATTCTCGATTCCGATACATAACCGGATTAGATCTTCTGGAAAGTCTCTCTCTTCTCTAGTTTTGGCATCGATCGAAGCATGGGACATTTTACATGGCATTGAAATCAACGAATTAACGCAACCGAACGAAACGGCAATCCCGAAAATGTCAGTGTTTTCAACAATCTTTTCCGACATCTTGATGTTTCCAGTTTCAAAACTCAACACCCCTCCAAATCCCCTACACATACTCTTATGCAATTCATGTTGAGGATGGTCTTTTAAGCCTGGATACCTGACTTTAAAGCCTGTATTGCTCAAAAACTGGGCGATTTTTTGACAGTTTTCTTGTTGTCTTTCCACTCTGATTGCCAAAGTCTTCAACCCACGGCACAAGAGCCAAGAGTCAAATGGCGACAATCCGCATCCAGTGGAGTTTATCACAAAGTATACTCTTTCAGCCAATTGGGCGGATCGGGTAGCAATGATCCCCGCCATAATATCGTGGTGTCCATTGAGATATTTAGTGGCAGACTCGTATTGGATATCAACTCCCAAGTCCAACGGCGTCATCAACACAGGCGACATCATGGTGTTGTCAAACACTATGATGATATCGGGGTTAATTTCGTGAGCGGCTTTAGAAATAGATCTGACGTCTACCACCTTGATTAATGGGTTGGTTGGACTTTCAAGAAAAATCATTTTTGTGGCAGACGAGATTTTGGAGATGATCAACTCGGTGTTTGTTGTGTCGTGATGGTGGACCTTTAAATCCCCCTTGTTGTTCAAGTAGGTTAAGAGTCTATGAGTACCTCCATATAAGTCATCACCAGCAATGACTTCATCACCAGGACTCAATAAACGGGTGATCACATCCAAGCATCCCATTCCGCTGGTCACAGCAAAGGCGTGTTCGGCCTTCATGATTCTGGCCATGTTGTTTTGCAAATATGTACGGGTTGGGTTTCCAGACCGGGTGTAGTCATACTCCCCCATGTTATCCAAAGAAGCCTGTTTGAAGGTGGCAGACTGATATAAGGGAGGAACTGACGCATTGTATTGATCGTTGCTCTTGGAGAACACCAACTCGGTTTCGAGGCTGTAGGCCTTCTTTGACTTTGGTGGCATCTTGTGGTGTAACTATGAAGAAAAAGCTCTGATGGAATTTATTTTTCTGAGTCAGATTGCGAATGAGCACAACTCACGAGACCTAGAAACCAGAATGAGATGGGGAAACAGATGTAAATTTATGACAACCATGGGTCTGATATAGATAGTGAGTGGATTGGGATATAAATAAGGAGTACCAGTTTCATTTCCTATCTGAACAAAGAGGCCGGCATGGCCCTCTTCCAAAATGTCGCTTGCTTCATCTAATGTGTATTACTATAAATATCGGAGTCAGGCCCCTATGCTATGTCTACAAGTCGGCTCTTGTGAATTTTCTTATGTCGGTTGGCTTGGCTCCCAACAATACTTTGGCTCCACTGTATGGCTCACAAGACTCTCTTCCACTCACTGGTCCACATTCCTTCAATTCCTTACCAGCTTGTAATTGCTTCAAAAGATCCACCGTCTTGGATCCGGTCAAATCTTCATAGTAGTCATCATTAACGGCCAACATTGGCGCATTGACACAAGCTCCCAAGCATTCAACTTCTTGTACGGTAAACAAGCCATCTGGAGTAGTCTGACCAGGCTTCACTTTCAAGTGGGAAGTCACAGCTTCCATTATTTCGTCTGATCCACATAACTGACATGGTGTAGTGGTACAGATTTGTAAGTTGTATTTTCCCATTGGTCTTCTATTATACATGGTGTAGAAAGTAGCTACTTCGTAGACTCTCATGGGAGGCATATCCAACATCTTGGCAACGTAGTTCATGACGGAGATGGAAGTGAATCCCAATTGACGTTGTCCCAAGTCCAATAATGGCATGCAGGCCCCCTTTTTGTATTGAGGTGGGTATTTGGAAATAATTTCATCAGCTCTCTTCAAGTTTTCGGAGGTGAACTCAAATGGTAAGCTGGGGTTGTCCACATCCTTATTTCTGTGAACTGATATGATAGAGGAGAATCTCTTACTGGAAAGAGACGTGGGTCTTGTCGCAGGTCTTGTCGCAGGACCAACGAATGTTTTTGCCAAAGATCTGAACATTTGTTAACTAAGTTGTTTAAACAGATTTTGGATTAGAAGTTTTTTTTTGGAAGTGCGTAAAACTGATTGACTCGCATTTCATTGGCTGGAGCATGGCTGGAGCAGGGAACCGATGTAGAATGGCACTTTTTAAGTGGGAATTTTATATGAGGTATTTCAACAGCTTGTAGACTTGGTTTGAAATCACTGGTACTTTCCCCAAGAGTATTCATGACCTTTTAGTCGAGATTGGTGACATCTTCCCCAAAGCCGCCCGGAGCCTCGTTCGCATTGCTTGCTAAAAGCAAATTATCTCTTCCAATGTTAGGATTCACGCCAGCTAAAGCATATGGTGGGGTTCGTCTATTCCCCGGTATTGCTGATGTTTTTTTCAGGCATTTTTAAGACCTTATGTTTCTTACTTGTGAGTTTTGGTATAAATATGTAAATTTCGCAGCCGTTGTAGCCAATTGCAAATTTTATAAAACTTACACACGGTGAAAATCCCACAACAAATGAATGAGAAGTTCGAGATATACAACCCACATGACCATGAAACAACTAAACGCTTTCAAGATTAAAATTAAAATCAATTCATCTGATTTTTCTACTTATACTAAGATATATACTACTGAAATTGTTTGGAGTAGATGATATATCTAAACACACAGTCTGTATGACCAGTTTATAAAAGTCAATTACGGTTACAGGTTGACCATTTTGAAGAGGGAGGATAATTATCACCAACACACCGAAAGGTGTAGCTTTTCTTCAACCCCTAAAATCGTGGCCTCATTTTGAGCATCCCATTGTTAACGGTTGTAAAGTCAATTGTTGGTTCAACACAATAAACGAATACATGCATATTGCTGTGCCATTCCAAATTGTTTGCAATGGTTCCAAGTCAACGTTCAGGCTTAAGATTCACATAGACACTGAGTACATATCATGTAAATGAAGTTTCAGACCCGAAGGGCTATTCTTTTGTAACTCATCTGACGAGCACCGCGGCAAGGGCTGCCCCCGCTCGCGCTAGCCGCGCTAGGCTAGTCCCACCGTCTATTGCCGGTCTATTGCGCAGCCTAATGCTCAGCGGTTTCGCGAATTTTCTCCTCGCAGGGTCAAAAGTGAAGGACAAAAAGAGATCCCACATAATCATCCTTGCTTCTTCTGAGGAGAGTATTGTCCATTTGAATTAATTTAAGACGGGACTGAAGACTGTTTTTGTTGAGGCATACTACAAACATTCCGTTGTTGCCTAACTCTTGATTTTTTTGGATTAATAACGTATCACATATCACGGTTTCCATTTGTGCTCACGTTTGCAGTGTCAGTTCAACACTTTGACGAATCACAAACGAACGTCATCTAAGGATGGACAGAAGAGACATATTGCAAACGCCATCGTCGCCGTCTCGTTCCACCAGAAGTTTGGATCCTCCCCATCCCAGAGACGGCTTACCGGCGCTTTCCACCTCTCCAAGGCGAAGAAATAACCAGAAATCTATATTCAGCGACAGGTACATTCCGAATCGGACTGGAGTAGATCTTCAGGCTGCATTCAGTTTAAGCAACAAGGAGATTCTTCCCAATTTACGCAACCGTGTTGATAGAACAGAGGATGAAATAGAGCTCCAAAAAGAAGAAGAGGCCAACCGGACATTTTCTACGGTGTTGAAAAACGAGCTATTCGGTGATAATGTCCCCATGGTTTCCACATCCACGGCGCCCAAAATCCTGAAACTGCGACCCAATAGCACCGGAAATTATACGTCTGGCAATGGGGGAGGACTTTTCATGAACCAGTCTTCTTCTAGATCCAGTGATTCCATTCCTATTTCTGCAGCTAACACTCCAATACTCAACCACGGCGGTGGAAGTAGTACCACTATACCCACCTCGGGCCGTATTACCCCTCCGCCTCGGACGAGCACCTTGTCTGACACTCCCAGTATGAGCCATCAAAGCCTGAACGCCAACCTTACGTCCGATGATGCGAACACCATCCACGACAGCACCGGTGCCAGCGATGTGATGAGCACTCCACGACAGAAAACCAATCTATTCACATACCAGTCACCCAGCAAAAACAGACCTATTTCGAGAGACATCCAAAGTGAAATATACTCGTTGTCCCCAGTACGGCAAGAATCACAAAAGTTGCTTTTATCACCACAAAAGAAACCCAGAAACATCTCCAAAGTTCCATACCGTGTTCTCGATGCTCCAGACTTACTGGACGATTTCTACCTCAACTTGGTGGACTGGGGCCAACAAGATATTTTGGCGGTTGGGTTAAGCAATAGTGTATATCTTTGGGACAGACTGACCCAGTCGGTCCATCGACTCTGTCTGCTCGACAAGGAAAAGATCACCAGTTTGAGTTGGATCGGTTCAGGAACCCATTTGGCTCTCGGAACCACCAAAGGATTGGTGGAGATCTGGGATGCTACGAAAATGAAGTGTATTCGGACCATGTCAGGACATGGATCTCGGGTCAGTGCACTTTCGTGGAACGAGCACATTCTTTCTTCTGGTTCAAGAGATCGGTCTATATTGAACAGAGATGTCAGAATAGAGCAGCACTACGTGAACAAATTTGAGCACCATAAACAAGAGGTTTGCGGACTCAAGTGGAATGTCGAAGAGAATAAGTTGGCCAGCGGGGGTAATGATAACAACTTGTTTGTGTGGGAAGGTTTGAACCCGACCCCAGTGCATGAGTTCAACCAGCATAAGGCCGCTGTGAAAGCCATAGCGTGGTCACCACACCAACGAGGAATCTTGGCAACCGGAGGAGGAACGGCAGATAAAACCATTAAGACCTGGAACACCATCACTGGAAATTTGCTCAATGATGTCAATACTGGGTCTCAGGTGTGCAACTTAGTATGGTCCAAGAATTCCAATGAGTTTGTATCTACGCACGGTTATTCACGGAACCAGATTATTGTTTGGAAATACCCCACCATGCAACAGATTTGTCAACTTACCGGGCACACCTTTAGAGTCCTATACTTATCGTTGTCTCCGGATGGAGAGACGATTGTTACAGGAGCTGGAGACGAAACATTGAGGTTCTGGAACGTGTTTGAGAAGAACAAAATCGATGAACCTCCGTCATCTGTATTGTTAGATGCTTTCCTGCAGTTGAGATAATCTGGTTTATCCTGATGGAAGCGTTCCCATATGTACATTAGTAGTTAATAAACTTTTCAAGAGAGTCTGACTAATCGGTTTTGCGACCTTTGTGGCCGCACAAAATGGGTGAGTAACCATTTCTCTCCGCTTATCTATTTTTTTTCAATCAACTACAATAGTCAATGTCTGAACCACAAGCTAAAGACCTTACCCACTTGTTCTCTGTCGAGGCCAAGTCTAGAAAATCATCCCCGTTGAAGAGTGCCTTCATTTACTACGGGAAGCCGGGAATGACTTTCCTTGGAGGTGGTTTACCCTTGGCAGAATACTTTCCATTTGAAACTATTAGTGCAAAAATCCCCAAAGCTCCGTTTCCTTCCGGGATTGGATCCAAGGTTTCTGCCGACGGTTACACTGACATAACTATCGACAAGGTCAAGGGACAGCCCAATCAAATCGAGTTGGCCCGGTCTTTACAGTATGGGTTTACCGAAGGACACACGGAAATCATGAAGTTTGTGAAAGAGCATCACAGACTGGTTCACGGGATGAAATACAAGGATTGGGACGTGATTGCCACTGCTGGGAACACCGAGTCTTGGGATTCGGTGTTGAGAACCTTCACTGGAAGGGGAGAAACGATTTTTGTGGAAGAGCATACTTTCAGTTCCGCTTTGGAAACCTGTAATGGGTTGGGTGTCAACACCTTCCCAGTGCCAATGGACACCGAAGGGATCTTGCCTGACAAGTTCGAAGAGTTGTTGAACAACTGGGTTGGACCAATACCCAAGTTGTTGTACACGATCCCCACCGGCCAGAACCCTACTGGATCCTGTTTGAGCGGTGACAGAAGAAAAAAGATTTATGAATTGGCTTGCAAGCACGATTTCCTTATTATTGAAGATGAACCATACTTCTTCTTACAGATGGAAACTTACACGAGGGACAAATCTACTAGGGCCGGTAAGGCTGTTCATGACCACAAGGAATTCATCGAGGCTTTGGTTCCTTCATTCATTTCTATGGATGTTGAAGGTAGAGTCTTGAGATTGGATTCCTTCTCAAAAGTGTTGGCACCTGGGGTTAGATTTGGCTGGATTGTTGGACAAGAAACCCTTTTAGAAAGAATCGTTAGACTTCACGAGGTCAGCATCCAAAATCCTTCTGGTTTTACTCAATCTTTGGTGAACGGATTATTGTACGATTGGGGTCAATCAGGTTACATTGATTGGTTAATCAAGATCAGAGAGGAGTACACTCACAAGAGAGATGTTTGTATCGATGCTATCTATGACTTCTTACCATTAGATTATGTTAGTTTTGTTCCTCCTGTGGCCGGAATGTTTTTCACCGTTTACTTTGATGCTTCCAAACATCCAAAGTTTGAAGAATTCGATAAAGATGTGTTGAAGATAGAAAAGAGCATTTATGAACAGGGATTGAAGCAAGGATGTTTGATGATTCCTGGCTCGTGGTTTAAGGTTGAAGGTAACTCAGTTCCACCTCAAACCGATGTCCACTCTAATCCTGCCACTAAGAATTTGGTGTTCTTCAGAGGTACCTATGCTGCTGTTCCATTAGATGACTTGGTACAGGGAATTGAAAAGTTCGGCAAGGCTGTTAGAATTGAATACGCCCTTGAATAGATAGATCAAATCAATTAAGTATTCGTACTATCATCAATGGTCTGTAGAGGTACAATATGATCATTTATATTTATTGATCCTACTCTATTTACAATGACTAGTTTACTTTTTCTTCATACCACCTCTTTTCTCCAAGAAGTCCTTGGCTTCGTTGACTTTGGTGGCTAAAAATGCAGAACCTCCTTTATCTGGGTGATTTGCCAACATTAACCGTCTGTGCTGCTCTTTCAATTTGGCCTGAGATAATGTAGACTCTTTCAAATTCAAAATCTGTAATGCTTCTTTGGCACTCATCTTCTGACCAAATCCTCCAGTAATAAAGGTCTTTCCGTTAAATCCTGGCTTCTTGGACTTGAACAATCCCGAAGCTGCGTAAACTATTCCAAAGGCTCCGATACCTGTGAGCCATGGGTGTTCTCCAACCCAGTCAGATGCTTGATCAAAATACCACTCGGCACTTCCTTCAGGGGCTTGTTTCCTCTGTAAGTGTCCCGTATACATATGTTGCATTTGCTGCTGGTCCGTGGGATCGTCTCCCGTCACCGCTAAAATTGGGGGCTGAATACTCGTTGGTGCCATCGTAGAGTGTTGAAGATGACTTGAAAATTTTCGAGACCAGGTCGCGAAGTCTGGAGGGTGAGATGATTAAAGTGATTGATGGTAGATTTAGCATGGAATGATCCAAACATGATCACGGAGACAGAAGAGGGCGTTTAAAAGATAACCGGTTATTTTGAATACCAAACATCACCAAAATGTTGATCCTATAAAACGTAAGCAGAGGCGCTACAGGCTCATTTACCAGAACTATTCACATTTCTTCAGTCATTACACCCCTACTCCTTTCTCAAACTTAAGAGTCAAAACGCCCCCGGTTCTATACTGATAGAGCCACTGCGTTTTCTATTGAGTCTGGGTCTCGACTGAGTTCGAGCTGGCACATTGAAGATGGATTTTGTCACAGTTATTTATGGAGTGCACATTTTTCAATCGGTGGACTCATTCCTGACAGACAAGGTAACATTCAAGTGGGACACATGCACAAGTTTGATCAGGACTCAATAGACTTGTCCTCTTATTTTGGTGACATTTGGATTAGGAACGAGTGATTGTTGTATAGTTTTCAGAAATGATTGTGTTTCTAATCTAGCTAGCGTCCTAGTAATATGTCACCTGCCAGATCACGTTTTCCAATGCTATCGATAGCAACCCCTATTCTTAGTAAGCTTTATGCGGTAGCAAATCCAGTCGATTTGCGATAAAGAAATGTTGCATCTTGGTAAAGTGTGTAAACCCCCTTAGTATACCACTGTTACAACCCTTAGGTGTGCAATCCACAGTGTATTAAAAAGACATTAGAAAGATAATCAAAGGAAGTTTCCTTCTTCTTCATAGACGTATTTTGTACTGTATTAACTCGGTAAACCCTGGCACACTCCTATCTTCTTTATATATCTATGCGGCTCTAAAGTAAAATATACGCTGATCAATCCAAGTATATGCAAGGAAATATATTGGCATATTTTAAGCAGAAAGGGCAGAACAACAATATTTAATTGGGGACTGTAGCAGACTGAAGACAGGGTAGATCAACTAGCAGGCTTGTATCCTTTTAGCTCCAGGTTTCAGCTTTCAAATTTGTTATTTAACGTTCAAACACACTAGTGTTTTTTTCTCAGCTGATGCATGCCAAGAACTTCCAGTTTATTTTCCGAAGTGACTTGCGCATGTCAAATGCGTAAGGACCCAAATCAAAGTTAGCTAAATATATCTTTTGCATTCTTTACTGGACAATACTACAGTCAGAAGCCTGTCGAGCATCATCCTACTCGTCGAAATTCCCATGTTACTTATGCAAAGCTCTTTGAAGAAAGGTAGCCGGTGCAGAAAGCACTCTACGCCACACAATCATCCACTTTGACACGGTTGAAAGTCTTTCGTATATATATTTGGCAAGCACAAAAAACACACTCTGCGCATTGGTGTAAAAAGTCGCTAGAACGCCGTGCGTATCTAATCTCAAACTCTCAACTCGCATATCTACGAAGTCGCTCGTGCAGCAGGGCAACAAATTCTGACCACGAATATAATAAGTTATAGTTTCCTCATTCTCAATATCTGTTCTTTACAATGCTGAAACTTGAATGTTCTGTCGATTGTACGCCGAATGGCTGCAAGGTAACACTACCTTCCAACCTGACCAACCTGCTGACACTCAACCTTGACTTTGACAATGGTAACGAGGTCAAAATCTGGTTTAACGAACCCATGTTATATAGCCAGAAAGAAAAATCTCTTACATTTGAATACACCCTCGATTGTACTCCGGATGGCTGCAAATTACTGTCCCTGACCAACCTGACCAAATGGGACTTTGATTTTGATGATGGTAAGGAGGTCATCTTCTCGTTTAACCAACCGTTTTTGTATTACCAGAAGCAAAAAGAAAAAGTTACTTCGGGAAGTAGTTCGACTTTCATGAACAACAAATGTTCAATTGTTTTATTTCTTTTGATGACCTCAATGTTCTTTTGAGTATTTGAGTGACGGTTTCTAATGCTTGAAGAAGCATTTACTATAGAGTTCATCTAATATAAATCTTTATGAAGTCTTTGTGCTCAATGATCTAAGTTTGTGATATACGACCGATCTTTCGGTCTCAAGTGCAATAATCGTGTGACTTTGACGGCACCGCGCGGTGGCTAAAGGAACATTTCCAAAATCTAACTCTCAACAGTGGCTTATTGATGATTGGTGATAAGGAGATTATAGGGTTTATAAGAGCTCTATTGCGTCTGGATTATATCCAAAAGCCTCTCCAGCGATGATAAGGAATAGTTCTGGATATTTGTTTTGGGAGTCTACAAAATGCAAAAGCGGCATCTTGACGGGCGTTTCTGTAGTTTTTTAAGTACGTTGCATAAAGCCACAATAACGTTCGTTTATTTTTTAAGAACGCTGTGCGAATTCGCAACAGTATTGAGGCCATGGAGGTGATTTCAAACAGATTAGAACGGTTATAGCCACCATTTCCAGCGATATTAGTCTAGTTCCAAAAGGAAGCTATATCATGCATGAGACAGACATCTCGTACTTTGAAAGAAGAGGGATCTACGGAATACCCCCGGTCATCATGTAACTTTAATTGTTATCGTAAGTAAATATTTTCGTATATTGCGCACACGAGAAGGAATTGCCGGAGTTTCACCCTTTGTCGGTTGTAGTGCGCTTCAAAAACTCAATTTCCTACCGAGATACACGACATCTTCCCCGAAAATGATTCGGGTTGTTCACCGACGATACTGTTAATCCCCTGCTAATTGAAGACCTCCCCTAAAAAATGTCGCAAGTGCTTTTCAAAGAATTACCTCTTCTTCTTTCTATTTGCGGATCACCTATGATATATTGGCATCAACAAGAAGATTATTTCATCCCGGACTCCTGTTGCAGGTGTCGTCTCTCTCCAGCAATTCCTGGTCGGTCTCTCCCTATTTATTATGGTTTCTAATTCTTATTTTTACGTTTCACTAAACTCATATTTGACCCTACTCTGGATATTTTTGGCGCAAGCTTTCAGAATTAAATGCTGGCCTTCCTCAATTTGATTGCACATATTAAAGTTATTAATGACCAGCTGAGGCGGTTTTAAGGGAATATGTTCGTTGGTGATTTGGCGCTGTCATAATGTGTGAGCGTTAGCGTACGCGTATTTTTAATACAAATGAATTTGTACTTCAAAAGAGTAACACTATGAGAACACTATCAGATCGAGATAGGTCAGCATAGGTCAATAGGGAATATAACTGGCTCTGATTAACTATAACTTTTAATTCCTTGAAATATAGGATTCTTGTTCGCTTAGTTGTTGGGTGATGTTTAACAGAAAATAATTTGAATTCAACTAGAAACAAGTGGTAAATATTGATGAAGATAATCTTGTCAATAATATTTACGATATGCGGATAAGCATCAATAATATACCCTATGTATTAATATCCACTCTTCTTTTGTCCTGGTTGACTTTTTGCAACAACAATCGTGCCTAGGCCACAAAAGCAGTTAGAGCTCTTCTTCGCATTGTTTACACATTAACGTATCACCGATCTGAAAACATACATTAAATGGATTTGGTAACCAGTGACCAACTTCTAGAGCATGTGCGCTCGTTATCAGGCCTTGATGAGTTGCAGAAGTCACAATTGGCAGCCATAAAGTACGAGGAAGCATCCATCAGTCTGTTTATTCAAAGCTATATTCCTGACTCCATAATAGTGGCTTACATGGATCCTCAGCACATAGCCATCACCAGTGATGTCAACAGTATACTCAATGAAGAAACTCCCCAGAAACTTGGAATACTCATCAAGCAAGGCGAACAAATATCCAGTTTAAGCCAGATAGAGTCGTTGATAATACCTTTGGACTCACTAGAGGAAAACGATGCTTTCAACAAGTTGAGATCCATAGTAAATTTGGGGCTTCTTCCTGTGTTTGAGATGCTCAGTTTGGGCAAGAAGGCTAACTCGGAGTCTTTCATTAACATTACCAGGAAAAAGTTCAACGAGTTGTCTGCTTCGTTGCAAAATTTACAAGAGAAGATCCAAGTTCCTGACCTTTTACTTTCAGTACATCCAGTCATCAAGCAATTCGATACAGAACAGGACAATTTCGATGAGGCTCTTTTGAATGATTCTCATCTTCTCAATGAAGTGACCAATATTGTCAATGGCTGGACAAAGCAAATACAGTCGATTACTAGCTTATCTTCAGATATAGCTAACCTAGCGTCTATATCAGAAGAAATCCAGTTTTGGAACTCTTTAGACATATCATTGACTTCTGTGGAACAACAATTAAGTTGTCCTCAGGTGAAGAACTCCATAAACTTATTGAATAAAGCTAACAGATTCCATATCACTTTGTCATTCACAAACGACTCAAATATCTCATCCAAAATAATAGAAGCCAAAACTAATCTCTTGATATGGAAGGACTTCCCATTGACGGAAATGACCAACATAAATCCCAAGGATTCTGATTGCTTGGGAAAGTTCAATGACCTGGTATCTGGCATATTCAATCACTTGAAGAGGCTAAGGACTATTAGCAATTTCCCTTTGAGTAAAGGCTTGTTATTGACAGAGTTGATATTGAAAGACTTACTTGCAAAATTTGCCCATTTAATTAACAGTTTGAACCTTATGAACCTCGAGTTTGAAGAGTTTCTTCGCATATATGAAGGTGATATATCTAATATCCTCAGCACTATTGACTTAAACCTTAAGTACATGGTCAATTTGATCAGAGAACTCTTGAGAAAGAGACAAGAGAAGTTCTTCATAGTGAGAGTTAATCAGGAGATGTTTGACCAGTTCAAGCACAGACTAGAGTTTTTGAAGACATTCAGGGTGAAACACGAAAACATCTTGTTCGTAATACGAAACTTTTTACAGGATTTCGACCAAGAGCCTAAATTGATGGATGACTATAATAGATTATCAGTGTTGAATCTCTTGGATTTTTCCAAGCATGGCGTTTTTCTTTGGTCTAGTTCAGAACGTCATTACAATAACACCTATTCCCAGATCCAAGAGTCAATTACTTCCCAACTCAACAATTTATTCATCCATTGCAGTAACTTCAAAGATTTTGTTACCGTGGCAGAAAAGTACAAATATTTGATGATAGAGAACACATTTGATATTCTGTCACTTATGAAAGAAGACCTAAGGTTGAAGATTCTAGACATAGCCAGAACTGAAATTTTCAACTTGATCAAATTTGATACCAACTACAATGATAAGCTCGAAAAGTCTTTGAACTTGTTCGTTAATTCATACCAAACTCAGGTGGAGGACTATACAGTTACTAGATTCTTGAGAGCTCTCGAGCGAAGAAATAAAGTCTCGTTTTATGATGACAATTTGTCTTCTTTAGTTGGGAAAGACTGGTTCAAATACTCTATAGGTGGAAAGTTGAAAGACCAGATGTCGAGTTTTTTGATAAAATTTGACCCCGAGGAGATTTTCAAGCAGTTTTTGTCCCATTTGAAGGAGTACACAGACAACAACAAATTGGAATTGAAGGGAAATGTATTTAAAATCTCAAATAACTCTGACCTTCTCTTGAACTTTAATCCTGAGTTCTTGGGGTTAAGAGATAATCTAAAGTTTTTTCGGGCAATAGGGTTCAAGATCCCAGTCACTATTTTGCTTGAGTTCCAGAAGCTCAATAGATTATTGCCAATGATAAACGATTTGAAAGAAAACATCTTAACTGTGAAACGAATATTCGATATCACTTTAAGAAAAGAATATTTCAGGAAATTTGATCCTTTGCTAGAGATTGACAAGCTTCGGTTAAGCAAGCTCTTAGTTTCGATGGCCAAGGTCCAATGGGAACACTTGACACAAGCATTTGAAATCCAAGATGTCATCCTTCAGGAAGAAAGTGAAATCTCATCCCTTGGAATTGTCCGTGAGTTTCAGGCTTGTATAAATAAGTTGACTCTCAAATTGAATAGCCTTTCCAGAACTCAGGTGTTTTTATCAAACTCCATCTATCATAACCTCAAGACTTGCAAGTTTGATTCTGCTTCTATCGAGTCTGGTTTGGTTATTCTAAAAGAGAGGATTTCTGAATTGTACAGCTTTGAGAGCACTGAGATTTTATACAAACAGATCAATGAAGATATCAAGGACATTCTTTTAGGAAGATGCAAACAAGAAATTGAGACATACTCGAGAAGTATATCAACAGACGATCTGAGTTCAGATGACGAAGACTCGCATGTCGCTGAATTCAGCAACTCAAACCATTACTTTTCAGTTGGTTTTCGCAACCATTCAATGGTAATGGAGCCTTCTACTGACGAAATCAGGAGCCGATTGCTAGCTAGTATCAATGACATTGTTGCAGTGGTGGAATATCAAACGTTATTGTTAGGTGAAAAGGTCGAGCTTAAAACTGAAAAACTTTCAGAGCCTCTTGCGAACGCATTGGCTCAAGTTGATCAATTATCTGAAAAGATTGAAGTCTACTTCAGTGACTGGGTTCGTATAGAAACCATGATCAACATGAATGTCGAAAATAATGTCGAAGTTGACAGGTTCGCCCCTCTTGATTCACTTGAGGATTGGTGCACTTCGATGCAAAGACTTTTAAAGTTGGGAGACTTATTTGACAGCGATATTGTCTCGTTTGGATGCTGTCACATACTGTTGAAGGAAGTTCAATCTAAAGTATACTTGAAATTCACCTCATTTCAAAGATCTATGACAAAGGTGCTTGGAGAGGTACACTACCTGGAAGTCAACCGGTTTGATAAGAAACTTTCAGATGCCATTACTTCCTTGGGCTTTGACACAATGGATACCAAGAATTTTACTAAGAACCTTTTGACATTTATCGAAATCAGAGGCTTTATCACTGGTGAATGGAAGAAAAAACTAGACTTATTGGTAAATAGCTCCAAGCTCTTACCGAAGTTCAACTTCAGATACCCACGTAAGTGGATTTACCCAGAACAGATAGAGAACAAGATTGCTTCTATAAGCTCGATAATGGAGAAGAAGCAGTCCATTATTGATGAAAACCTCGAATTTATTAAATCCAAAATCGTAGGTTATGTGGATGAGCTTTCAGATCACATTTTGAAATTCAAAGACGACTGGTCTTTGAATAGACCCATATCCGGGGAAATGAATCCAGTTTTGGTTTTAAATTCCTTGAGTAATTTCAATCGTGTATGTTCTACTTATGTCGATACAAAGGTGGAGTTGTCTGTAATCACCGAGGCATTTGAACTTGACATTCCTGAAGTAGATATTGAAGTTTTAAAAGGTATTTTATCCGAAATCATTGATTTCAAGTATGTTTGGTCCTCAATCAATTCATTACATGATCAGATCGATAAGTTGAGAAAAGTCAAGTGGCAGGATGTGAAGACAAGGGATATAAGATTGAAACTTGAACATTTGTTGGAAGAGTGCCGCCTGTTGCCCATAAAGGTAAGACAATATGCTGCTTTTGACGAGGTCCAACAAATGACCAAGAACTTGATGAAAAATCACAAGCATCTTGTTGATTTAAAGAACCCGAACTTGAAAGATCGCCATTGGAAGCGGTTCCTTTCCATGATTAGTTACAATGGCAAGAACCATCGTTTACTTACCTTAGGAGATATCTGGGACCTCAATCTCTCCCTTCACGAAGTTTCAATTAAGTCCATTATCACACAAGCTAATAATGAATACACTTTAGAGGAAAACATTGAGAAGATCAAAGAGAATTGGAATCAGATCACTTTCGAATATTTCAACTTCAACACTAAGTTTAAGTTAATCAAGTCCTGGGATTTGTTATTTGAAGAGTGTAATAAGGACTTGAACGAATTGTCCAGTATGAGAAATTCGTCAAGTTTCGGAGCATTTGAACAGGAAATTTTTCAGATAGAAACCAAGTTGAACTCCTTGTACGTTATTTTGGATTCGTGGATCGAAGTCCAAAGACAATGGGTATACTTGGAAGGCATCTTTGGGTCCAAAAATAACATTGCTAGTCTTTTGCCTGTCGAGTCTGCAAGATTTAACAACTTGTCATACATTTTCTTTGATTCAATGAAGAAAGTATACAAGATTGAATTAGCCATTGACGTTCTTCTTATTCCAGATTTTGGAGGAAACTTAGAAAAATTGTTGGAAAGCTTCTCCAAGTTACGAAGATCTTTATCTGATTTCTTGGAAAAGCAACGTGAAAGTTTTGCTAGGTTTTATTTTATGGGAAACGAAGATCTATTGGAATTGATCGGAAGTGGTGTTAATTTCCAGAAAATAAATACTCATATCAACAAGTTGTTTTCTGGTGTTGCTTCTCTCCAGTTTAATAAGGAATCATCTTCAATCATATCGGTTTCCAGTGCACAGGGAGAGATTTTGAAGCTTAGTGAGCCAGTCTCCTTGATCAAGTATCCAAGTTTAGTTGACTGGTTAGGCCAATTGGAACTCGAAATAAAGATATCTTTAAGATCTTTGGTGAGCAGTAATATTGAAGGTGTTCAAAAGTTCTATGAAACTCCAACCATGGAAGCTATCAGTAAAATTGTGGACGATATTCCTTGCCAGGTTTTGACTTTATGTTGTCAAATTATTTTCACTAAGATTGTTGATAATGGAAATACTCCCAAATCTACCATAAGTCAAATCATAGACATTTTGAGTGGATTGGAAACCCATGCATCTTCTTTGAAGAGAAACAAAATTGAAAACATTATTGTGGAAGTTATTCATCAATTGGATGTTATTTCGCTCTTGGAAACCAAACCAAATGACAAGTCAAATATATTAGCAAGTGAGCTCCTATATGTCTTGGACAATCAAGAGTCTGATCCATTGAAAAGCTTGAAAGTGAAGCAGTTTGGGTATTCTTTTGAATATGGGTTTGAGTACTTGGGTGTACCACAGAAATTGGTTCACACTCCCTTGATAAGTAACTCTTTTGTTGCTATGACACAAGCATTGGGACAAAAACTAGGTGGTTCTCCATTAGGGCCAGCTGGAACTGGTAAGACCGAATCAGTGAAAGCTCTTGGAGATAGTTTGGGTAAAATGGTTACAGTATTTTGCTGCGACGAATCATTTGATTTCCAGGCCATGAGTCGTATCTTCTTGGGACTTTGTAAAGTTGGTTGCTGGGGATGTTTTGACGAGTTTAACAGATTGGATGAAAAGCTATTGTCAGCTGTATCTTCACAGATAGAAACAATCGAACTAGGTTTGAAAAATCAATCAGCCTTGATTGAGCTTTCAGGGAAGAATTTGTATGTCAATCCTGAAACTGGAATATTTGTAACAATGAATCCAGGATATGCTGGAAGAAACGAATTACCAGAGAATTTGAAGAAGCTTTTCAGGAGTTTCTCAATGGAAAGGCCAGATAAAGAGATCATTGTGGACGTCCTATTAGCATCTAGAGGTTTTAGGAACACCAAAGAGATAGCAAAGCTCATAGTTCCGATGTTTCAAGATTTTGAAAAGATGCTATCGAAGCAGAGCCATTATGATTTTGGACTCAGATCCCTTAAGTCTGTTCTAAACAGCTGTGGAAAGTTGAAACGTTCCACAATGAACGATGCCAATGTGACAGAGACCATGATAGTATTGAGAAGTATTCAAGACAGTATACTCCCAAAGTTGACCAGGGAAGATGAAGTAATTTTTAACTCTTTGATTACCAAGTACTTCTCTGATACAGGAGTCGAAGATTTTGAAGAGGAAAAGCTTGTTGAAACCATTAAAAAGTTGGGACAACTCAAAGGGTACAATATGAGTGGCCCATGGTTAAGGAAAGTGTTACAACTTGAGCAAGTTCGTACTAACCATCATGGTATAATTTTGATGGGTGATGCAGGAGCAGGAAAGACCAGTTGTTGGAAGCTCTTACTCGAGTCTTTGAAAGAATGTACCGGTCAGGATTACCTCAGTTACAAAATTGATGCTAAGGTATTGAATAAAGAGACCCTTTATGGAAAGTTAGACCCAGTTACCAGGGAATGGACAGATGGCTTGTTGACGAGTATTTTGAGAAAGATCAAAGCCAATATGAGAGGTGAGATGAATAAGCTATCATGGATTGTGTTTGACTGTGACATTGATCCAGAATGGGCAGAAAACCTCAACAGTGTTCTTGATGACAATAAGATCTTGACTTTGCCCAATGGTGAAAGGTTAGCACTTCCAGATAACGTCCGAATCATCTTCGAAACCGATAATTTGAAATCCACCACACTAGCAACCATCAGTAGATGTGGAATGATTTGGTTTGACAAGGATGTAATTGATACCTTTTCACTTTTGGAACAAAAACTACACCAGTTCTCCCAAAAGAGCTTGCTGATAGACGAAACTGAAGGGGACGAGTCTCAATGGTTAAAATATCAGAGAATGTTCCTGGAGAGAGTCAAAATGGTCTTGTTGGAAGGAACATTAGGCACCATAATCCACGAGTCTACTAAACTCGATCACATCATGGATTACAACATCCACAGATATATCACATCATTTATTGATTTCATCAAGTCTTACTGCCGAAAATTGATCAAGTGTGATTCCAAAGAAGAAATCCCCGACCCAACTAAGTTCATCAACAAGGCAATTCTATTATCACTTATTTGGTCGTTCGCAGGGGATAGCTCTTCGAAAGAGAGGGAAGGGTTTGGAAATGTGATTCAGAAGCTTTCATGCTTTCTGAATGTTGATTCTTGTGATGGTGATTTTGCTGACAATGATTTGGAAATTGGTACTGGTGAGTGGATTAAATGGAGCTCGAGGATCCAGCCTGCTGATTTAGAACCTAGCCAAGTATCCAATCCCAATACAGTTGTACAAACAACTGATACAGTTAGACACAAGAGCTTGATACACTCGATTATGAATGAGCACAAGACTTTACTTCTTTGTGGACCACCAGGTTCGGGTAAGACTATGACATTCCTTGAGGTTCTTAAAACAGCACCAAACCTCGATATTTTACAGTTGAACTTTTCTAAAGAGTCTTCACCAGAATCATTAATGAGATCATTGAAACAGTATTGTGAATATCAAAGAACTTCAAACGGTATTGTATTCTCCCCCAGAGTTTCTGGAAAGTGGGTGGTTGTATTCTGTGATGAAATAAATTTGCCAGGCGTTGACAAATATGGCTGCCAAAAGGTAATATCGTTGATGAGACAAATGGTGGAGCATAGGGGATTCTGGGATCCAAAGGAAATGCAATGGGTAGAAATGAAAAACATCCAGTTTGTGGGTGCTTGTAACTCACCAAAAGATCCTGGTCGTCAAAAGTTGTCTAACAGATTTGGACGTCATGTCACTTTAATCATGGTGGATTACCCTGGTGAGACTTCATTGAACCAGATATACGAAGAGTTCAACTTAGCCGTCATGAAGTGTGCTCCTGACTTGAGAGGCTACACCAAGTCCGTCGTCAAAGCAATGATTTCTGTCTATTTGAAGAGTAAAGAAAGATTGACTCCTGATATTCAGTCTCATTATGTCTACTCTCCACGTGAGTTGACAAGATGGACAAGAGGATTATTAGAGGCATTAAAGCTGAAAATTTACACAAATCTACCTGATTTCATTAGAATGTGGTATCACGAAGGTCTTAGATTGTTCTACGACAGATTGGTTTCGGATGATGAAAAAGTTTGGACAAAAAGTCTTTTCGAGGACGTTATCAAAGAATGCTTTCCATTTGCTGATACTATTGTAATCATGCAGGAGCCCGTTCTCTTCTCCGACTGGCTCTCTCTGAGCTATGAGTCAGTTAACAAAGCAGAATTAAACAAGTTCATTTCTCACCGTCTTATGATATTTAGTGAAGAAGAATTTGATGTTGATTTGGTCTTGTACGAGGATTTCTTGATACATGCCCTCAGAATCTACAGAGTTTTGAACCAGCCTCAGGGTCATATGATTTTAGTTGGAGCGTCTTCAAGTGGTAAGACCACATTGACAAAATTTGTTGCTTGGATGAATGGATTGAAAAGTGTTCAATTGAATGTTCATTCTAAATATAACATCAATGATTTTGATAAAAGCTTGAGAGAAATCTTGATCAGATGCGCAAAAGGTGAACGGATATGCTACATTATCGACGAAGCCAGCATAATGGAGACTTCTTTTATTGAGAGAATGAATACCTTATTGGCAAATTCAGAAGTGCCTGGACTTTTTGAAGCTGACGACTTCAAGAATCTAATGAATATATGTTTGGAAGAATCCCAAGCCCAGGGTTTACTTTTGGACTCAGATGAAGAACTATATAAGTGGTTTGCACAACAAATATCCACCAACTTGCATGTTGTTTTCACATTAACTCAATTGAACAACTCAGACAGGTTGCAGATGATATCCTCACCTGCATTATTTAATAGATGTGTTTTGAGTTATATGGGAGATTGGTCTTCCAAAACTTTCCAAGAAGTTGGCTCAAGGAAGATAGAAAGTATTCCGGTGGATGTACAGAACTTTGAGATTCCCGAATCTTTCCCAAAGAACATAAGCAGTTTCCGAGACATCTTAATAGATAGTCTTCTATTCATTCATAAGTCAGTCGAAGATATTCAAACCTCACTAAAGTTGGAACAGTATCCCAGTCAGTTCATGGCACTTGTTTCTCATTTTGTATCAATATTTGAAACCAAGCAATTTGAGCAAGAGGAAATTCAACGTCATACAACGACTGGTCTTAACAAGCTTCGTGAGACAGTCTTACAGGTTGCTCAATTGAAAGAACAACTTTCAAAGAAGCAGAAGGAACTTACTGCTAAAGACAGAGAAGCGAGAGAGATGTTGAACGCGATGTTACTAGAACAAAATGAAGCAGAGAGAAAGCAAGAGTTTTCCATAACTGCACAACAGGAGTTGAATAAACAGGAGGTAGAGATAGACAGAAGAAGAAAGATAGCATTGAAGGACTTAGAAGATGCTGAGCCTGCGGTTTTGGAAGCCAGAAAGGGAGTTCAGAATATCAAGAAGCAACACTTGACTGAAATTCGAAGTATGGCCAATCCTCCTGCTGCTGTGAAAATGGCCATGGAATCCGTTTGTATCTTAATTGGATACCAAGTAGCCAGCTGGAGAGATATCCAGCTTGCTATACGAAAAGATGACTTTATCCCAAACATTGTCAACTACAATGGTGAGCAACAGTTGACAGCAGACATAAGGAAGTATATGACGGAAACGTATCTTTCGAGACCGGACTATACATTTGAAGTTGTCAATAGAGCTTCCAAGGCATGTGGACCATTACTTTTGTGGGTGAAAGCTCAATTGACGTATTCATCAATTTTAGACCGAATTGGGCCTTTGAAAGAAGAAGTCGATATCCTCGAGAATGGGGCCAAGAAGACGAAAGCACAACTCCATGCTTTGAAAGATATGGTTGGCGAATTGGAACAAAGTATCGAAAAGTATAAGAATGACTATAGCTCTTTGATTCGTGAAACTGAGCATATTAAAATGGAAATGGAGACAGTGGAGGCAAAGGTCAACAAGAGTTTCAAGTTGATGAAGAGCTTGACCATAGAAAAAGACAGATGGAAGAAGTCTACGCAAGAATTCATAAAGACCAATGAGAGAATCATAGGTAACTCGATCTTAGCGTCTGCCTTTTTGATATACTGCGGTCTGTTTGACCAAAAAACCCGTCAAGCTTTGATAAAAATCTGGAAGAAACAGTTGGATAAAATTGGAGTCAAGTACGACAATATGATATCTATTTTGAATTTGCTCCCTTCGAGTGCTCTTTCTTTGGAGTTCTTGAACGAGAGGTCATTGGATGATTTGGTTATTGAAAATGCCACTCTTGTAAACAACAGTCGGATTCCGCTACTCATTGATCCAAGTCTCCAAATGCTTGCAGTGTTGGAGGGGTTTATGCCAAAAGATAAGTTGGTCGTGACAAGTTTTTTGAATGAATCCCTTGTTAGAGATTTAGAGAACGCCATTAGATTTGGTGGGTCGATCTTGATTAAGGACTTTGAAAATTATGACCCAGTGTTGGATCCAGTATTGAGAAGCGAGATCCATAGAAATGGAGGGAGAAGAATGATCAAGATACGGGGACAACTCATCGATTATGACGAGAAGTTCAAGTTGTATCTTCATACGAGAAATCCTTCTGCAAGACTAACACCATTTATCGCTTCAAGGGTGACCACCATTAATTATACCATCACCAGCACAAATCTTGAATCTCAAGTCCTCAACTTAGCTTTGAAACACACAGAGCCAGAAATTGAAGAAAAGAGAGCTACTTTAATTGTGTTACAGTCTCAGTATAGGTCTAAATTGAAGACATTGGAAACTGAGCTATTGGATGCATTAGCAGAAGTTGGAGGGAGTATTCTTGATGATGATAAGGTGATTGAATATTTGGAGATGTTAAAAGGAGAAGCAAATACTATTGATGACCAGATACAAGAGTCTAAGGTTGTTTTGGAAGCTATCGATAGATCAAGGAGCAAGTTTTTCGACGTTGCATCCCATTCATCCCTGATTTTTGAGCTTTTGAAGGAAATGATTAAGTTTAATCCCTTATACAGGTTTACACTTGATACTTTCACCAGGATATTCTTGGATGTGTTGAACAAGACCAAGGAATTAGTCGATATGCAGTCAATGATTTTGAATTTATATAAGGAGGTGTTTGCAGTCATCTCTCCATCATTGATGGGAGTCGACAAGATGGTTTTTTCTTTGGGTTTGGTATTACTGTACTACTCCAAAGAAATCGGACCCCATTTCACAGTCTTTTTCAAAAGCATTTTCAGGTTTGCTAGTTCCAGAAAAAACCTTGATGTGGAAGAACTCTTCAGGACGCTCTTGATAGAGTCAGATAAGAATGAAATATCGGTGATTTTGGAGGATAACTCAGAGAACGAAGTAATCAAGTTGTTGAGGCATGTGGTTTTGGCTGCAAACAACTTCGAGGCCTCACCATCTAACTTTATTACTTCACTAGAACAAATAAGCACCTTTTTGTTTTCCGGCATAGGTCCAAACAGCTCCAAATATGGCCTTGAATACTTTATCGAAGTAGTCCACGATCCCTTACTTCTAAGCTCAGCAGAAGGTTATGACGCCACATTCAAAGTGGAACAACTAGCAGCTAGTATGAACAAGAAGCTCGATATCATATCCTTGGGCTCTAAAGAAGGTATCGCGTCTGCTAAGAAAGAGATCCAAAATGTATCTATGAGAGGAGGATGGCTATTAGTTCAGAATATTCAAATGTCTCCTGAATGGCTCAACAGCTTGGAGACGCTTTTGCAAGAAACAAGTGGTTTCCATGAAGAGTTCAGGCTTTTCTTAACTTGTAACTTGGATTCTAGGATTCCAGTGACCTTAATTAACAACAGTCAAGTGATTGTGTTTGAAAGTCAACCAGGATTGAAACGTGCCATGATCGAGACTTTTAATGCTTATAGTGCAAGTGCCCTTGAACAAAAGCCACCAGAATATAGATACATCTATTTCTTGTTGGCTTGGTATCATTCGCTTGTGCTTACTCGAATGAGCTACGTTCCAGTGTCCTTTGCTCAGAAGTACGATGTCAATGACTCTGATTTCAGTGCTGGTATGAAGTCAATTGACAAGATCCTTGAACCAGAGATGAAAAATGGTGTACAAAATATATCATTAGAGCTGGTATCGTTTGAAAGGATAAGCTTTATAATCGGTAAGATCATTTACGGTGGAAAGGTTGATAACGAAGGAGATTTGGAATATTTCACCAATTTAGCTGAATACTTATTTAGTATTTCATCTTTTGGAATCGATTTTAATGTTCTTTTCAATGACACCAATACTAAATTGCCCAAACCAGACGGAATCTCCGTACAAGTTTACCAAAAGTGGATTGAAGAGTTACCTGATCAAATTCCTTTAAGCTGGATTGGTCTAGATAACAATGTTGATAAGTTTATGGTGATGAGACAAGGTAAAGAGATTTGTGATAAAATTGTTCAACTATTTTGAATAGAGATAATTTAAACAACCAATTTCCAGTACTGTAAAATTATGTATTTGCTTGACTATACATATTTAACATTATAATTTACAATGCTTTTCTTATTATGTCTTTAAAAATATTTTTGAGTAATTAGGAATAACATTTAATAATTTATTCGTCATCTTCTAAGGTTTGAGCAGCAATACGGTCCAAATCTCTTTGACCATCGTCAGAGATCTTTCTACCACCCTTTGGAGAGATTTCAACAACACCAATCTTTTCCAAAGCTTGCAAAACTCTTCTGTTGACAGAACCAGAAGCATCAGCGTGCTTGTGTGGTCTGAAACCTCTGTTGATAGCACCACCGTATAATTTGTTCAACTTACCGACACCGACTTGCTTTCTCAAGTAGATGTGTCTGGCAACAGAAGCAGCTCTTTGGTAGAACCAAGTTTCAGATTGTTGTGGTGGTAATTCGTTACCGGCAGAAGTCTTGACAATGTCAACGTAACCTGGAACTTCCAACTTACCTTGACGTTGCAAGAATTGAGCATAAGCGTTGATGAAGTCTTGAGCTGGAACGTCTCTAAAAAGAATATGTTAGTAAGAGGTCAACTTTATGATTGATGTTGGACATAGCGTGGGAAGTGAGGAGGGGATTCGTTTGGAAAACTTTTCTAGGTATTGCAAAACATCTACTGACCATGAAATGTCCACAAGGTACACATCACATTGCATGGTGAGTGATATGGGTCTCAAAACGTTGGGTTATAGATCAGTTTTTCATGTTTTGTTGGTGGGTAGGAAATGCTATGTGGCCAGGAAGGCCCAAGACAATTATAGTGGTCAGATTGGGAAAGGGTCGAGTTCCTTGTTCTCACTTCTGTCGTATGTCCAAAGTCAACTGTTCTAGTAGTTTACGTACCTAACTGATACACCGGCCATCTTGATAGTTAATTATTTCAAGTATGAATCTATGGATTTATCTAAATTTTTTTTCAATGAGACTTGAGGGTTTGAATTTTTTCAGAGACGTGGACGGTCCAATTCCTCATTGGAAAAAAGCAGTCACAGTAGCTGTGTGTGTTCGTGGTTGCGGCACGTCGAACAATTGCTGCAATTGCAACATGATACACCTAATCCCAGATATTACTGCGTTGGCGTCTTCGACGAGCATACTGTTCAAGTTCCATGAGTGATGACTCTACGCTCCAGAAATCCAAAGAGATTTCCGTGTTCGGGTCGACCGCTGGCCTGAAAAATGTTCCAGAATAGTCCACCAGATACTCGAAATAGAGTCGAAAGTTGGGGGTATGTACCAACAGACGGTGCCATGGTTTCAATGTCAAGAAAGACTTGGGCAGAAGAGCTGTTGAAACTGACACCAAATCGGGCTCCTCCAAATAAAGTTTTCTGTGGATATAGTCTCTGAATGCGGCTTCGTTGGCTATGGACCACACTTGTTCCATAGAAACAGTATTGATTTGCGAGCTGAGAAAGGTCTCAGAGAAGAAATTGACAAAATCCTTCAATGTCATCAAGGCTGCAAGATCGGACTGGGACATCGGGTCTCCGTATTGGAGATTTATATGGCTCACTCCCAAAGATTTTATGAGTGACGATAACTTATTTTTGAAGTCCTGGAGGAATACAGGCACGAACAACGACCGTTCGATGATGGAGAGAATCCTTCCAGTTGAAACAATTGGTTGTTGAGGAGTTATGTTGGTGAAGGTCATATAGTTGAGGATGGATACGTCGATGGTGATATGCTCGAGGGTTTTGCACCCATTAATTGCCGCGATAAAAGCATCGCCGTTAGCTTTGTCCAAATCGTAATGGTCATACACAGCGCCGTCGTAGCACCTACGGATCTCTCGTAGAGATAATTTCGTCAACAGGCATTTGCACGCTTTGGAAATGATATCCACTACTAGCGAATATGAGATGCTAGACGGTTCTTTTAAAAACACATTGAGTTCCGTGAGATTCCACATTTCAAGCGACTGACTGAGGTAGACAAGATGGTCAGGACCAGCATCATGAAGGTCTACGAACACGTCAAGCCTTGTGAGTGAAGATAAAATGGAGGCAAATAACGGGAGGTGGACAACATTGAGGCTCAAGGACCTAACGGTACTTATAGTGGAGATATCAACAGTGGTTAAAGAGCTGGGATAGTCGAGAAACTTCAATGATTGCAACCGGGGAAAAAGTCTAAGAAATGTATCGTACACCGGCTTGTCACACTCAAGATAGGTGACAAAGTTGTTGAAGCTGAAGAGTGGGTACCGAAAGTGTAGAGAATGGTACCGAGCTGTCTCCAATATACCAATGACCGCGTCTTTATTGAATTGGGACGAGCTCACTTCTAATATGGCATCTGTTTGGTCTGCTCGTATCAAGCTGCAATTGTGGAAAAGACATGGACCGAGGTACTCCCGGAGCCAGATACAAGTAGACGATAAGCTGAGGGCATCTGAGTAGCCTGGGAGTGTGGAATTAGGTTCAAATGTGAATGGTGGGTTGTGATTGGTGACGCGATGACCGGCACCCCAAGTCAAGAAATAGACTATTCGGTCAAGCACGTCAACAGCGAGATCAAGGAGACTGGTAGTAGTCAGTGACAGGTTGACAGATGCCACAGAAGCGGTGAGCTGGCATCGTCGTGGGTTTGTGGCCATCGCTTTGTTAGTTGCAGCCATTTTTAAAAAAGAGAGGCGAACTCAATTGTTCGCATTACCAAAATTTCCATACCAATCTATTTTACATCGTAAATTAATGATATCTTGTACTATATAAATTAGATTACCTTGCTTAGACCTTGAAACCTCTAGATCTTCTTTTACCTCTGGCTCTTTCGAACTTTCTTCCCTTGGATTGAACCTTAGGAGCCTTGTTCTTGTGAGGACCCATACCGAAATGTCTAACGGCTTCTCTGGCGTTTCTTGGACCTCTCAAGATCAAAGTGTTTTGACCCTTTGGAGCTCTCAAAGCCAATTGATCCAAAGTGATGGCTTCACCTCCGGCCTTCAAGATAGAAGCCTTAGCGGATTGGGTGAATCTCAAAGCAGCAATGGTGGCTTTTGGGAAGTCGACCAATCTGTTGTCATCGGTAACGGTACCGACAACAACAATGGTCTTTTCAGCAGCACCGGTTTGCTTCAAAGCCTTGGCGATTCTAGAAACAGAAACTGGTGGTCTGTTGATCTTGGACAAAAACAACAGTCTCAAGATAACCTTGTTGAATGCAGCATCAGTACGACCTAAGATATAATGTTAGTATGAGGTTTGACATCTGCTCAGAAGACGCACAAGATGTCCACTCGCCAACCAAGGCGACGGCTCTGTACTCGCAGAACGAGAGGCATTCACCAGGAACACCTCCCAGGTACCGAGGATATGTTGGGAATATGATGTATATCTTGTTGTTCATACTTTGTCAGTATGTCCACTGACGATGAAACAGAACAAGAATCCCGGTCTATCGACTCAAGGTACTTATTAATGCAGCCAGTGATAAGCTGGAGCAAGAACTAGAATGAAAGTAGTCAGAAGACCAGCTTCGAATACCATTTGAATCATCTATATGCATCTTCTAAGTCATTGAAAATTTTTTCGGATATCGAGTTAAGATATCATTTTGGGAATATACATACGAGCCAAGAAGGTGTATAACTTGACCAACAACTTCAAGTAGACGTTGTCAGACTTTGGAGCTTCTCTGTGACCAGATCTCTTGTGTTGTTTGGTGAAGTGATCTTTACCCATTTTGTTAGTTAATTTGAGCTTAGTTGTAGAACTGAAAATTTTTGTGCGGTTTTTGAGAGTACTGGTGCGATGGTTTGGCGAAGCGACGAAAAAAGTGGGAAAGCGCACGACTTCACTGAGGCATGCACAGTCACTGCCATTAAGCACGTGAGCTATATGGGGCAACAGCCCCGGTATCTCCCATGATCAGGCGCGACTTGGTGAAGGCAATAAACCTAGCCTAGCTGTGTTTTGTGAATTGTAATGGCACAATTGACGCCCATCAGGGGTTTTATAAATACGCCAGTTTCAAGGTTGGCGTGCATAGTGTTGACGGTGCTGGCACTTTTAGTTTCGATTTTCCAGATCAAGCACCTTTTCAAACTCACTATAGACCCGTTCCTCACAGAGTACCATCAGTATTGGAGACTCATATTATTTCAAATATCGTTCGTCAATGAAAGTGACTATCTCTTGGCGGTGATATTGGCCTTTCAGTTCAAAGTCTTGGAGCGATTCTACGGATCCAAGAAATATATGTCACTTGTGGTGGTATTTGCTCTCTACAACGGAGTTTTGACTTTCTTGATCATGAGTCTAGGGCAATTGTTGATCAATTTCGGCTCTTTTTTGGCAAACATTGTTCTAAAGAGACAGAACTACGCGTTCCATACGACTTTCTTGAATACTATCAGTCCGGGCCCATTTGGCATAATATCGTCGTTGTACATTTGCTTTGGTCATTATATTCCCGTGAGCTACCAGTTCAAAATCGTGTTGTCGAAGGGTACCTCCAGCACCTCCACCGGATCTGACACTGTTTCTGAAGGTGAAACCGAGGCTCTGATTGACGCAGATGACTCCAGATCACTCATTTTAACAGACCACTTTCAAATCCACATAATCTATACCCTATTCCTTCTCAATAACGGTGTTCAGTCATTTATTCCTGGTCTCACCGGACTTTTCATCGGTAAGCTTTATGTGGAGAATCTTCTTCCTGGCTCCAAAACGTGGCTTTTACCCACAAGTATATTCAAGTTGGTGATAAGCCCTCAGAAAACTTCATACAATCTCTACCAAAACTTGAGATCCAGGGTGTCGGGATACCTGTCCCTTCAAGGAGGCGAAAGCAGTGAGCCGTTCACAGAAAATGATAATGACAATGAATTTAACGATAACGATGACCGAGAAGAAGTGGTGGAGGATGAAAGGAACAATAACTATAACGAAATCAGAGCCGAGACACCGGTGCGGCCATTAGCCCGCCAGTTTTTGGATACATTCAGAACTGGAGAATAAATACAGCTGACAAAGTCAATATGCACTTGGCGTAGCATAAGGTGTTTGGGCACGAACTTATTCATAAATTATACAAGGTTTGTTTGAAACGAACGCTTCGAGGGGAGATCAGTGTTGAAACCGCTGTGTTCAGGTATTTTGACTACTATCTTCATCGCTTTTTTGAGATTCCGACCATTTAATTTGGAGCACCAAAAATACTAGGGGACATCCAATGTTTGAAATAGATACCTGATAGTGTTTTATTTGGTAAGCCACAAGAGCATATATTCATACCTAGAACACCTAATTAATACTCACTCTTACGATTACTGTGTCTATATTTTCCTTCTCAGGGCCAGCTTTAAAAAGCTTGGAGTTCTTTACTGAAACATTGTTATCATAAAGCGTTCACCGATAGCACCAAAGACCCGAAAATGTTGATGTTATCACTTTCAGCAAATAGTGTCTTGTCAAAGAAAATGTAAACTGCATTGAACAAGAAATCCCAAGAAAATTACTTTTGATATACTATTCTTTCCGTTTCTTCACTAGTTTTCTCCATTTCTCATCATAAATTATCCCTAAAAATACATAGATAGAACTAAACTTTGGTCTTAACCTTTCTGAACCGTGAAAATATCAGCCTCTTGCTGACGTGCAGCTTGGTGCCGTCTGAAGTGAGTGAGAACGTCGTCGACAATGGAGTTGTAAATGCACCCAGCTCAACCCTTGGAGTAGGAGGTTCAATGATAAAACCCCTTCTCTTATAAGGAAGTGACGCTTCGTCTTCATAGTCCATTTCAATTTCGTCATTAATGGTACCGAATCCAAACTGTTTCTCTTCTTTGATAACCGAAACTCTAGAATTCAAGTTCAACGACAAGTGTTTGCTGTTTTTTGACAATTGCACAATGTCATCAGCAGAAGTTGTAGTAGTCATAAACGAGTGCTCCAAAGAATTCTCTAATGAATTGTTAGTCAAAGAACTGCTTCTTGACATTTCAACGTTGGGCTCGGGAAGTGTGTCAGATGCGCTCAAGTTGGTACGGGTACCGTAATTCTTGATAATAACTTCAAACATCAAGTATCTCAAGAACCGTTCCCACAACTGGATCTCATACGAAGACTGGCCCGAGTTGCCAAATGTCGCCTTGAAGTTGTCAATAATAGTTTCAATAACCTTGTTGACCAAGTTTCTGTGAATCTTGAAATCACTATCATGGTGAATGCTCATTGTAGAATTGAGTTCAGCCTGGTTGTCGAATAGATCGTAGTGCAATTCGCTCATGAGTTTCAACCAATCGTAGTCAAAGTCTCTCAAGTACAAGAATCTGTAGGTAGAAAGCTTCTGGTGTTCGGTGTCAGACAATCCACTTAAATTGCACGACAATGTCGACACATTGAGTAAAAAGTGTTCAATGACTTCTTTGTAGAACGTAGCTAATTGGTGCAAGCTAGGCAAGAACTCGAAGTAGTTGCTGGTGGAACTCAATTCCATCATGTTAAATCTGAGTTCTTGGTAAATATCATTCCAAAACTGGTTGGATTTGATAGCCTCTTTAATGGAGTGGTTTTTTGAACCCCAAGACTCATATTTCAGGTAAAGCGAATTGAAGTCCGTCAAATCGTCGTGTTCATATTCATCCTCGGCTTGTGAATCATCGTCAGTTAAATTGTCATAATCTCCCATCTCACATTCCATACTAGTCAAGTTATCAGTAGAGAGATTCGGTAAGCCTTGTACGGGAGCTTTGTCTCTGGCCTTGATTTCCTTTAGTTTCCTCATATACTTCAACTTGGGAACATTATTGGTTTTGGCTTTCATGTCCTTCAATATTTGGTCGTAGTCGTTGGTGAATTTGCTGAAAAAAGTATACCGCAAGATATTCAAATTCTTCTCACTGAATAAATCGTCGTGAGCTTTGGAGTACTTGTTGAGGTCTTCGTTGGCATCATTATATTTGGAGTCCCGACAAAGCTTTTTGTGAGAACTTTGGTACCTATGGATTCTCTTGTCAAAATGGGAACGAGAAACTGGTACATAGGAAGAAGTATTTATGTCAAACCTCATTTTTGGTTTGGAACTGGACCTGATAGAACTCATTGAAGAGCGGGAAGACGTGCCGGAGGATTTGGTGGAAATAGATTTTGAGTCGTCACCATTTCTCTTCCGTCTCTCTTTTTGTCTTTTTATTTGTTCATTTCTTTGATAGTTTCCACCTTGATGAGCCACTAGGAATAAGTACGCAGACATGGCTTATAGATTAAGGAATGTGATTGATAATTGGTTCATTCAAGAAGCCACAAATGGGGTAATGTATAAAAAAATATCCAACTTTCATTTGATAGTTTTTGGCGACAGGCTTTATATAATAAGAAGAGCGGTAGTCGAACGATTAAAAAAAACCTTGCTTCAGAGGCTCGAGGAACAATAGGAGGTAATATGCACTTGACACAAAAAAGGCTAATTGCATGCCGTCTTGTGCCGATTGCAGGAGTATATACAGTGGCTTATGCATAGTTGGTTTTATTGCGGCTTAGCGATATCATTATCGTCAAATTCGCCGTTCGTAGGGATGTCAATAGATTCTTAGAAAAAAACTCAAATGATTTCCAGAACCCGGGGTTTTTTTTGAACCGGAGGCTGGGTAAGGCTTTGTTTACCTATGGGATATTTTGGTATTGAGCGCAACTTTCAGGCACCTTTTCAGGCACCTTTCTGGGGATACTTCAATAGTCTCTCATTTTCATCATCTGACCACTGCACTTACGCAGGCGCAAATATCACACTGGTACACATGGATGCACAACCTAAGCGGCATGCACACTGCTCAGGCAAATCTTGACAACACCGGGTTATTTTTTCCAAAAAGTAGGTCTTTGGCAAAACCCACCTTGTCGGCACAGTTTATTCTGTTCTGGGACAAATTCCCATGATGCGAGGGCGATCAAACACCAATTGAGGGTCACTCTACCCCTAAAGTTAGCCATTAATGTACGCGGTTGCCGAAGCACCATAAATTAATTCATAATCCCTGTGATTTGCCTATAGTAGTCCAGTCTAATAAAAAATATGATTAAAGTTGGAGGCAGCAGCATAAAGTTGCCTCTAACAACCACACCTACCTTACACGAACGCGAAGCTTACTGCGCACTATTTTGACCGAATAAGTCATAACAGGTGCCACACGCTAATGTCAGGTAGTGGCTGCTTGAGTGGTGCCGTTTCCGCCAGTACAAGCGTCCGCAACCACCTGCGACGTACCGGCTGCACCTCCCGCAAAACCCATTGTCGCACTCAACGGTTTTTTGCTCGTTGTTTTTAGACTAATGCACCTCTTCGCTCCGGTTTAACAATGAAAGGAACAGAAATAATCCCCAGGATTCGCATTGGCTATTTTTTGGGGCCAGCCAGGACGAGCAGTATTTAAACTTTCGTGCACAGTGCACCTCCTGTTTGCAAGTTAAGGTTTATTGACATGTCTCGGTGATACGTTTTGAAATCCAATGTCATGGATGAGAATTGGTGATCTTTTTGGGCTGGCCCCTGGATGATATGATGTACACATGTTTCGCTTTATCTTTTACGTCATGGCAATACAGGTACGTGTAGGAACCGGGCCAGATGGAATTGTCATTTTGCAGAAACAACTATAAAAATCAACCAACACCAACTCAACAGCCGAGTTGGGTGACTTCTTATTGAGATGACAGGAGGAGAACATTTACCAGTGAATGTGAACAGAGGCCACCGTCTTGGCTGAATGGAGGCTATGGTCTGGGCCTTCTGTGGTTTTTATGTGAGAATCGATGGCATTTAGGAATCGCTGATTTTTACGCGGCAGGCGCCGCATTGTCTATATTTGATTTCATTGGCTCTAGCCGTCATTTCGCCTAACCGGCAAAGAATCCAACAAGCGCAGGCCCAATACGGCATTACCCTTAATAATCTTTGTCATTCGGAGTTACGCAAGAGAGTCAATTATTTAGGTCTCCATGAATATCGCACCTTTTTCACAAGAACCACTGCTGATACTCACGTTTACTTTACTGGACTTTCTGCCAACTCATGAAGCTGGATATCATAGAATTTGGGCCTACTTATAATCTACAAGTCTAAAGTACAAAGTACCACTCTCCTATTATCCCCAGTGGCTTCTCTCTGCAAGAATGAGAGCCTTTCACTGTACCTGTCATACAATGGCTCCCCATCCAAGTTACTCATTTGAGACACCACTGCCCAGGTCTCATTGGAATCATATTCTCCCTGCACTTTTTTCAGACCTAAAACCACAAACTGGTGGTTTTCTAACGGTAAGAGGCCGTACAAAGTGTCATTGAGATATACGAGTTTACCTCGTGCACCAAACACCTTTGCTTCCAAATTGTTGATTTTTCTTTTGTGCCACTTTGTGGAAGAAGCCATTTTATAATAGTGATAATAGCGGCCGTATTCCCTTCCTAACACATGAACAGCTCCAGTCGGGTCCACACATTGACCTTCCTGATTCATGATACCTGAATACTTGGGAATGAGAACCGCTAAAGTATCTTGGGTAACGTCAACAGGGACACTGAGTTTCTGCCCCGTCGTGTTGTACCACGAAATTCCGTTATCGGGTGAATACATATAATGGAGATCATGGTTGTTTTCTGGCCCATTCGGTCCTGCTTGAGCAGTGGTATGGTGAGTGGCTTCTTCAACTCTATCCTCAACAAAGTCTCTATAAGTCCAAGTAACATGTAGAATGCCATTTCTATAATCGAAGCCATGCAAGTATGCATTGTTTTGTACCCCATGAATGTATGGTGAAGCGACGGTATTCCACTTGTGCGACTGGCTGCAAAATCTGTAGATGCAACAATCACCCAACCCCGATCTGCCATCTCTAAACTCCAAAAGCACATCACCGTTATCCACTGTCTGAAAACGGGGATATGTGATTTCGCTAAAGGTAAAATTCGTTGTATCTGATGGGAGATAGTTCATTACACTTGAAAATGAATCCACCGTCCAAGCAGTTTCCGTTGTCGTGACCCGAGCGGGCGCGAGTCCCGCTACTGAGCATCGATAGTGGATCTCGTCTCCATGCATATCCCAGGCCAAATGTATAATCCCATCTCCACTGATTCCCATGGATATAACATTATGGCCATCGTCTTTGGTTTGGATATAGTCGTCAAAATATATGAATTCCCAGTCGGCACCGTTCACGGGCTTTCTGCCTATACAAGTTACTCGGGGGCCGGTGGGATCGCCACCACCACCACCACGAGGCTGGGGCACGTACAACGCCACATACTGGTACTGGCCCGCGGTAATCAAGGCGTCCTGCTGGAACGAACAGCAGTTGATTCTGAAGCCATTTGGATCCAATTGAAGTGGTTGAATTTGAAGGGAAGACATGATAATTGAGGGAATGCGGTGGATGGGGGAACATATATTGGAAAGTCGGGGGCGGGGAAGTGGGTGTATGGGGGAAATCTCGCAGAAGCGTTATCTGCAACGTTGCAGTCACTGGCCCAACGGTGCGATCGGCTTTAGCGACGGTTTTAAAAGCTCACCCCACCGTGACCTTGGTGGGGGATCCAATCGCCCACTATGTTTACTAATAACCCCTCAACCTCCGACATACACATGTCGAGGCGGCTGAGAAGTACAGGATCGTCAGCTAAAATTAGAGCATGTATGCCCTGGACATATTTTTCGGGAATTCGAAGGTGGGGGGATCTGCATACTAAAGTGTGGGGCAACATATGTTTCTCCACCATAAATCCCAGAGATTTGCCTCGGAGAGTTTTGCTAACAACAAAATCGATGTCGCAAATCCAAAGTTTGCTTGACGAGTTAGAGCCGAAGCTCTTTGCTGAATCCAATGTTGCTAAAATATGGGGGGTCGCTCAACAAAAACTAGATGACCCACAACCTCCCATCGAATATCCAGAGTATTCCTTTAACCGTTACTCTTACAGACCAGTTGACTACTGGACGGCCGGGTTCTTTCCTGGATCTATTGCTGCTGTGCTTGAACGGAGTGAAAAGTATCCCCACAAGTATCCTCACGATAAACTTCACGCAGTGAAGTTGGAGTACGCAGCCAAATGGTGGACTGAGGGATTGATGGGACAAGTACCTAGAACCGATACTCATGATCTTAGTTTCATGATATACCCGGCTTTCCTTAGAGAATACCAACGGAGCAAGAGCCCCAAAACCTTTGAAAGCTTGAAAACGGCTGCTCATGCCTTGGCTAGTAGATTCAGCCCTAGTGCCGGGGTGATCAGAAGTTGGGATACAGCAGTTAATAAGAGGTATTCATTCACAGACCTTGACGCTGACTTCATTGTGATCATTGATAACATGTGCAACTTGAACATGTTGTACTACGTGGCCAGTCAGACGGGAGATTTGCTGTTATCTACTATTGCAACCACCCACGCGGAAAATACTTTGCAACACCATTTTAGACACCCAGAGTGGAGCAGTTATCATGTGGTCAACTACGAGCTGCTGACTGGAAAGCCAAAAGCCAAGTTCACCAATCAAGGCTACGAAGATGAGTCCACCTGGTCCCGGGGTCAATCGTGGGCAATTTTGGGGTTTGCTGAAACCTACAGTTGGACCAAACAGAAGAAATTTTTAGATGCTGCGATCAACTGCTGGGAGTTTTTCGCAAGCAAATTGCCGCAAGATGGAGTCCCACCATGGGATTTCGATGCTCCAGACCCGGAAAATAGAGATACCAGTGCGGGATTGATCGCTGCGTTAGGGTTGCTTACCATATATGAAACCACAAAACAACAAAAGTATCTTGAAAGTGCTTTGAAACTCGTGGCTGATATCGTCAGGTTACTGTTTGTGGATGGGGCTAAATTTAACGAGGACGGTACTGTAGATTTTGGCGAGTACGACACCATCTTGAAAGATGCCACTATCAACAACAATCCCGACACCTTCAAGAAATTGGTGGGCCATGGACTTGTATATGGAGACTATTATTTCCTTTCAATTGGAAATAAACTCCTTGAATTAGGCTTATATAATTGAATGCAACGTCACATTTACCACCATATTATAAATATGAAAAGTTAGGTGGGGGTTTACATGTAGGATCGGGGAAAATGTATATAAACCCGCCAAATCCCCATGATTTTCAATTGTGGAAAAAATGGTGGACAAGAAGAAATTGTACACCCATCTTTGTGATCCTAGCGTGGTGCAAATAAACAGACTTCCCGCAAGAAGTTATTACTTACCAGATGAAAAACTCACTTTGAACGGAACATGGAGCATCACCTATAGCGACTCACCTTTAACTGCACCAGTTCCTGGAGATGATTCCCCCATTGATGGGACTTTGCAGGTTCCTGGTCATTGGCAGCTTCAGGGGTATGACCTGCCCATCTACACAAATGTGCAATATCCTTTTAATGTAGATGTTCCTTATCCCCCTGCACGCAACCCCACAGTGTGCTATATGAGACAATTTTCGGTACCTGCTGGATGGTCCTCTGACCGTTTCAGGCTCAGGTTTGAAGGGGTAGACAATTCTTATCACCTCTTTTTCAACGGGAAATTTGTCGGTTTTAATGAGGGGAGTCGCAATAGTGCCGAATTCGATGTCACTGACTTGGTCCAACCTCACAATTCGATTTTTGTGAGGGTGTATCAGTGGTCCAACTCCAGCTATATCGAAGATCAGGACCAATGGTGGTTGAGCGGGATCTTTAGAGACGTATGGTTCTTAGGATTTAACAGTGCAGGTTTCATTCAAGATTTTGTCGTTGTCACCGACTTCGATGATACTTATACAGACTCAAATTTGAAGTTAAAAGTCGATGTGGAAGCCTCTGATTTGAGTGCGGTAGATATTCAGGTTGATATTTACAATGTACTGGAGTCTTCTAAACTGAAAAAGGGTCCGCAAGAACTAGTTTCTAAGAAGTACCCTTTGGCTGCAAATTTAATTGAGGCTGAGATTGCCATTTCCGCACCCCACAAATGGACAGCTGAAGACCCATATTTGTATCGGTTACAGTTGAGTGTGGTCAATAAGAAGGGCATTACTATCAGTAAGTTATCTCAACAGTTGGGGTTCAGAAAAGTCGAATTGGACCAAGGGCTCATCAAGGTCAATGGGAAAGATATTTTAATTCGGGGGGTTAATAGACACGAGCACCATCCCGAGTATGGTAGAGCCGTTCCCCATGACTTTGTGGTGAGGGACATGAAGTTAATGAAAGAGCATAACATTAATGCCATAAGAACATCCCATTATCCTAACGACCCCAAGTTTTACGAACTTGCTAATGAGCTTGGGTTCTGGGTTCTCGACGAAGCGGATTTGGAATGCCATGGGTTTTTTGAAGCAGTTAGAAGACCAATTAATGGCTCTGATGACGTCGAGTACCGGAATGGGAAACTCGAATTGTTTGACAAGGCGAAGGATTTCACTTCTAATAATCCTGATTGGGAAGCTGCTTATGTGGATAGAGCTAACCAGTTAGTTTCCCGAGATGTAAATCAACCGTGTATCATTATCTGGTCTTTGGGAAATGAAGCATTCTTCGGTAAAAATCATGTTTCCATGGCCAAAGAAATTAGACGGTTGGATACAACCAGGCTACTTCACTACGAGCCAGACTTTGATGCTGAAGTTACAGATATGTACAGTAGAATGTACCCGTCTTTGGAAACCATGGTTCGTGAGTTTGGTACCAAAACTGATAAACCGTTAATTCTTTGTGAGTATGGCCATGCTATGGGTAACGGCCCAGGATTGTTGAGACAGTACGAAGATTTGTTCCATAAGCATAAGAACTTCCAAGGTGGTTTTATATGGGAGTGGAATAATCACGGGATCTTGGCTGATATTGATGGGATTCCTACTTACTGTTACGGAGGTGATTTCAAAGAACCTATTCATGATGGTGTTTTTTGCATGGATGGCCTAACCAATTCAGTACATGATCCTACTCCAGGTTTGATTGAATATAAGAAAGTTCTTGAACCAATCATCGTCAATTTCAAAGACGAAACCATCATTCTCAAAAATGATTTCGACTTTATTGATTTGTCTAATTATGCTTGCAGTTATTCATTGATTCACTACGAAGGGGTAAAAAAAGAAGTTTTGCAGGAAGGAACTTTGGTGATTCCACCAACACAAGCTCAGAAACATAGCGAAATTCCTTTCCCAGATTTCTGGGTTCCAGTTGAAGGAAAGTGCTTGTTCAATGTTGAGATTAGAACCAAAACTTCCACCAAAGTGGTTGCAGCTGGGCACTTGGTTTCATGGGCTCAGCATGAAATTCCCCTGGAAAATTATGCCAAAGACCAAGTTTTGAGACATGCTGCTGTCCAATATCCTGTTGATAACGAAGTTTCGGTTGTTGAAACAGATGGCGAGGTCAAAATTCAAAACTTGAATTCTCTGCTTGTGTTCGACAAAATCAATGGTAAAATCAAGACCTGGTCAGTTAATTCCAAATCGATTATTATTGATGGTGAAAACAACTTGACCTTCTGGAGACCTGAAACCAACAATGACCAGGCCAACGATGGCCCATACTGGAAAAGATTTGGCTTAGACAGAATGATGACTCGAGTGATTGATATCAACGTTAAGCCCGGTGATAATCTCACTATTTGTACTATTGAGGTAGTTTCTGCAATTGGTCCACCGGTTTTGGCATGGAGGTTTGAGTGTCTGCAAACATACATTGTGAGTCCTAATAGGATTGAGCTTAAGACATCGTTGGTTCCCAAAGCCTTTGATGAAACTTGTTATCCCCAATACTTACCAAGATTAGGGTACCAATTTGGAATCAACAAAGGCTTGGGAAGTACGGTTTCATGGTTCGGACGGGGTCCTGGTGAAAGCTATATTGATAAGAAAGAATCTCAAAGAGTAGATATCCATAGAAGCAAGTTTGAAGAACTTGACTATAACTACGACGTCCCCCAAGAAAATGGCAACCATGAAGACACTGAATGGCTTAACTTAGAGACCAGTGATCAATCTGGTTTAATAGTCACCATGAAGAACAGAAGATTTGGATTCAAGTGTTCAACAGAGTACGGAGTTCAAGAAGCTTCCCACCCACAAGATATCAAGCACGGTAACAAATATGTTCGTATTGACTATAAACAACAGGGTCTTGGATCTGATATCTGTGGACCTGGAGTTTTAGATCAAGACCGGGTTTTGATGAAACTGAGTTCCAAGTACGAATTTGAGATTGAATTATTTTTGAAAAATTAGCTAGTGTAATACAAGTATGAAATTAGTTCTTACAGTAGATAAAACATTAAAATAGGTACACAAATATTGCTATCTATATAGAAGCTACTTGCTAGTGTATTCAACTTCTTCCACTTCAGCTTTGGATGGTTCTGAGTCCAAGTCATTCTCCTTGCCACGAATAGCTTGGTCAGCAGCAACAAGACCTTCTGTGACATCTTCACCGAATACTTGAGCAATTTCTTCGAGACCAAGTCCTTTCGTTTCAGGGAAAATAAAGTACACAATACAGATTTGGACCACCAACCAAATACACCAAACGATGTAGTACTTCCAAGTAATAGCATTCATGGCAATAGGGTTGACATAATTGTTGAAGAATCCAATCACATTACCAGACAATTGGTAAATAGTGGATCCTTGAGCTCTCAAGTGGAATGGGCAAACTTCCATAACATAGGTCATAGCAACAGGTGATGCAATATGGTAGAAACCTGAAAACAAGTAGATCATGGCCACCACCCCTGAACTTAAAGATTTGTTTTCGAAGTTTTGCTGTTGGTTAAGTGAAGAAAGAATAGTCCAAATCACATAAGTTACACACATGAGGGCAAATCCTGTCATGAACATTTTTCTTCTTTTGAACCTATCAACGTTTATTCCAACACCTACCGACCAGAATAAACCATAGACGGTCATACCGATATTGATTTTCAACTGATCGTTAGAATCGGTAATACCGATGTTGGTCAACACAATCAGCAAATAGTAGGAAATCAAAGCATTACCACATAATTGAACCATAGCTGGTACAGCAGCAACAATAAAGAGTCTTCTCAAACGTTGTTTAGATCTGAACCATTCAGTAAACTTACTGCTAATCTGGTTTTGTTCTTGAGCAAGAATTGCTTTAATTTCAGCCATTTCAAAAGCCACAAGTTTTGAATTTTCATCTCCTCCAGCATGGTACTTAACAAAGAAGTTTCTAGCCTCGTGTTCCCTTCCTTTACTGATCAACCATCTTGGAGACTCAGGTCCAAAAGACACAATCAAAATTTGAAGAAGAGGGAAGAAACATTGCAAAATAGAAGGAATTCTCCAAGACCAATTATTGTATTTCAACGAAGACCTGTAAGGACCCCAGGTTACCATGGCTGCCACAAATGATCCAAAAGGCCAAGAAGCCAACAACAAAGCAGTAATAGCAGGTCTTTGGGTTGGGTATGCGGTTTCACTCAAAAGTGGCCCAGCAGCAGCAGAGGAAAGACATGAACCAATTCCCAATAATATCCGGGCACCGGTGAACATTCCAAAGTTTTGAGCAGCCCCCTGTATCACAGCACCAATAACAATAATACAGCATCCTAAAAGCACCACTCTTTTCCTTCCCAAATAATCAATAATCCAGAAACTTAAAGGAATACAGATCAACGTACCAATAGAGGGCCCATTTGACATGGTTCCCAAGATAGCCCCTTTAGGATGGTCAAAGTATGACTGCCATGAAGGAAGACTCTGAAGCCCATTCATACTCGAACCATCAAAACCAGAGGTAATTTGAGCCAAAATAGATCCGAATAAAAATATATCCAATTTAATTAACCACCAATGTTTGTACCAAGGTTTATCAAACTTGGGCACTACATCATTCAAGATCAAAACTCTGTCTTCCAAGTTGGTATAGGCTTCAAGTTCGGAAGGGTTAACCTCCTTTTCGGTTTGCTTTTCTACGTTAGCCATTTTGTATTTCCCCAGAAAAGACCCCGGTTATTACGCAGAGCTTTTATACAGAGTTTGAATTCGGGCTGAGGAGGAGGAGCTTGGGGTAGAGTCACCTTGAAGGTCTGCTACATACGAATCAGGAACACCATTGCAGATACATTAACGGTGGGGGCGCATGGCATATGGGTATGCAGATTGTGGGGTAGGCCTATTGCGGAACTGAGATTTATTCTCTCAGGAAAGTGGGTGACTCCCCATCTTTTAGGGCTGTTACGAGCGGCAGCGGAGTAGAGCTATATACAAGAACCAGGCTTTTTCGAATTAAACTCTGAATTTGTTCTACAACGTTACATTTGGATGAAATTCCAGTTATATTTGTTTACTGATTACAGAAGACCCGTTTTAGAGGACCAGAAGCACCTTCGAAGCTAATGTTGGCCTTTTTTTCGGCGTTTTTAATATCATCGATAGAAAACGACCCATTTGCAAGAAGGTTAGCACTGATAATACTACCAAAAGTGACCTTGGAGTTGGGTGCAATTATACCGTGTAATTCTGGAATAAGCGCCTTGGAGAATACAAGATTGGCATTGGGCTCAGTCTTACACAATAGGGTTGTTCTTTCACCCAATATGTTGCATATTATACTGTAATCGGTGGCAGTAGTGACCTTACTAATGCGTTCATCAGTTTCTCCGTCACACTTATGGCTGTTCATATCCACTGCAAAACCACCTTCTTTGGTGAACAATTGTCTTGATGTTCCATTCTCAATCGTATGGATTCGAATATGGTACTCATCACCTGGAATAAGATATGATTGCACCGTGACATCATACGTTGGGGACCATTTACTCACCATAACTCCATTTGCAGCCACCCAGGCCTCATAATATTCTCTAACCCAAAACTCTTTATTATTGAAACTGAACCCTATCATATTATCCAAATGGGCAGACTTGAAGCTTCGGTGGTTAGTGATCACCCCGAATCCATATCTTGAAGAGTAGGCAAACTTGCTATACTTTTCTGGTTGGTACTCGTCGTGCCAAGGCCCATTCACCAACACAATAGAATTTTTTTGGTGATGAGAAAAGTGCATTCCAATAATGTCCATGTATTTGGTGTCTAGGTGGTGTTGTTGGGGTGTGGCTGTCCAGAAGGGGTGTGATTCATCCATTAATAAGCCGGTGAATGCTTTCATACTCCAATAAGGTGATTGCGGTGAATTATACAATTCTGTCATGAAGTTATTGGGGTAAGCATACCCAAGAGTTAAGAGCTTACTTCCGTAATTGGAGATTGGCTGCTTCGACCACCACTTGAAGTGACTCAAGTAGACGTATTTAAGAACACCCCAAGGAATAGCAGGTGAATCATTGATGTCTAACACTGATGCGTACAAACCCCAGAATCCAACGGTTGCAAATTTATAGTTCAAGGATCTTCCATATGGAATAGCAGCACCTTCAGAGTCAAACCAGTGAATATACTGCTTGGAAAACTCGGTGGCTCTTTGGAGATACCGTGCACATCTTTCGGGATCTTCGTGCTTCTTGAGCTTATAGTAGATGAGACCGTAGTAGTGGAAGGCAAACCCATTATAGTAGTCAATTCTATGTTTCTTGTCTTTACCATCTCCGTACCAGCCATCTCCAAGGTACATAGATTCGATATCCTCCAAATATATTTCGGTTGAAACTGTTTCAATGTCAACCCCTACTTTCTCAAGTGCAAGGTCAACAAGAACCTTAAAGAATTTCCAGTTGTTCCCGGCAAATTCTTTGGTCCTAACGTTCTGAAGATATTCTATAACCACCGTTTTGTCCAGAGGTTCTAACGGATCCCAATAGTGGTCCTTACACCTACAAAGTGCATAGGCTACTGCTGCCATATCCACCAAGATCTGGCTATAACCTTCAGGATCTCCCCAGTATTCATCGCCTTTTGGATCACACCCACTGACCAACCCCTTTCTGTATAGTTCCCAGTACTGGAACTCACCACCTCCAAGCTGGTACAGAACAATCCCCCATAATGGTCTCAGATATCCTTCCAACTCCGCTGCTGCGTACGAGCACGACGAGCCTCCGGCTGCAATTCTAACTCTGGCACCACCTTTAGAAAAGGTTGGTACCAACGGCTCGAAAAGCTCGTCATGAGCTTCAAATAAATCTCTCTTGGTTTCAAACTTGTTGTTTTTCCACGGGAACATGGTTAGAGAGAAAATTGTTCAACTCCCGACACATTTGCAAATGAATAACACCGCATACTACCCCCACATTTTACGAGTCTAGATTGGGAACAGGCGTCAGGGCAGATTACCGATATTTGAACCACCATTAGGAGGGGCTGAATTTTGCGGTTGCGAATACCGCATATGGCATACCCCACCATCGGCGTTATAACCTCGGCGGGGGTTGGCAATAAACTGTCTGTAAATTTCAGTCACTCATAAATGGTGGTCCAAATGGTTTGATCTTTACCCAATTATCGTGGAGAGTTCTCCATAAGCTCGAATGATCTCTGAGTATGTCGTTTTCCTGGAATTATTAAAAATTTCTTGGCTGATAATTGGCGTGTCAATCTGCCCCTCCATGTTTGTGGAGAAAATAATTTCCACAGATCACTGTAACGTTGCAGCATGTGAGCTGACCATTTACTATGATGATTTGATTGGTTTGCTTTGACCAGTCTCGTACTACTGGCATTCTTTGTTAGCCCTATTACGCGAGGACTACTTTGTTCTCGTTGAGTTGAGCACAGCTCATCTGGACTGGTGGGGAGGCACAAGGTACTTACACGTTTTTTAATCTAACTAAGATGCTATCACATGAACTTTGGTCTGATGACTTTGAGAACTTCGAATCCTATCAATAGTTGGCTGGTTCCTTGTATTACTCGAAAGCTTTTAAAATCAGTACCGTTCTCTTATAAGTCTTTGAATATCGGTTGAGTAGATAGTTTCAATAACTTTATATTTAACCAGGTTAATCTGCTGGTCTGCATCACAAAAGGTGTAGCAACAGAAATGTAGTTGATCTATGCTTCATAAAAAAATTCCGATGCCGGGAGTCGAACCCGGGTTTGCTGCGTGAAAGGCAACCGTGCTAGCCGTTACACTACATCGGAGTAGATGGATATTAAACAGACCTATATTGAAGAGAACCGATAAGTTGGAAACAGAAACACCTCTTTCCTACACATACAGTCTTCATGGCATGCATTCCCTACCATTTAAGCTTGCAATAGTTCAAATTGAACATCTTGTGAGAGATTTCATGCAGGGAAAAATACATTTCAATCAACGCTCTTTGCAGCCACCTCATTTTCTCAGCCCTCAATGCCACCAACACCGCCGTATGCAAAATAAACTCTCAAACTGATACGAGAGAACTACATGAGAAATTATGGGACAATCACTTATCGCTGCTCATTTTTGGCCAAACCTAAACCCTTGTCAAATAAACTAACCATGATGGAATTTATCATCAAAGAAGGCCAAATGGCCCTTTGCAGAGAGTATACAAGCAGTTGAAAGAATAAATATGAATTGCCTCTAAATAGTCTTACTATGGCCATTCATGTTAAGTTTGTATATACCTAAAATGTAGGATACCCTGGTGACCACCAAATCAATAGCCATGTTAATAGAGTCTTTGACCAAATCGATTTTCAGTCCGTCTATCTCTTGCCAGTTGACAGGAAGTTCCTTCATGTCAATGCCCTGGTATGAAGCAAGAAGGAGAATTTCCACATCAAATATCCATCTTTCTGTGTGCATATGAGGAAAAATCCGCTTGATACTGTTAAAGTCAAACATCTTAAAACCACACTGGGTGTCTTTCACCCCATGAATCCCAAACACATACACTAGCGTATGTAATCCGTACATCAACAAGTTTCTGATGAACGACCTTTTTACAACCGCTTCGGTATTAACCATATGGGCTCTTGAGCCGATTGCAATAGAACCGTATGGATTCGTATGAGCCTTTAAGTACTCGAGTAAGTGCTCCAGGTCACCAAATTTGGTGGCTCCATCAGCATCGGCAAATAACACATACTCACCTGAGGCATGAAGCATACCATGAGTCACAGCACCTCCTTTTCCACGGTTTTTCGTCAATTCCACCACCTTAACGGTGTGAGGCTTCAACTCGTACTTGCGGGCCAACAGCAACGCGTAGTCGGGGGTTCCATCTTTGGACTCATCATCGATTATCAAAATCTCATACGTGAGATCGTGGGTTTTGAAGTATTCCACACATTCCTCAAACATATTGCCCAACCGTTTCGTTTCGTTGTAACAGGGAACCACCACGGTGAGCTTCACGCCATGGTCAACATATTCGGCAGCTGGGTCGATTCGAGTGGGCAAGTCATAATGTTGGTTGTTGGCATCATTGGTTCTATACTTGAGCTCAGAAGGCGTGGGGAGCCTCGGGGAGTGGGCAAAAAATAATGCAGTGGAATAGACCATTACCAAGATAGTGATGACGGCCGCTGCCACGAGGAACAACGTCGTTGTTTCCATATTGGGTTTGTATTGTGATGTTTTGCAGGTGTTTCTACACGTTGAGATTTTTCGCGGTCGAGTGTATTTACACCAACATTTCAAACATTTCAGCACTAGTGATTTTCTCTTGGTTAACATCCTTTTTTGGAGATCTCTCATTTTATCCAAGCATTCCTTGACTTGAGTTATTGTCAAAGTATCTTACCTCTGAAAATGTCAGTACTAAACTGTTTATTCGACTTATATATACATATTATACTTTGGGATCATTTGGCCAACTTGGTGACCCGATTGTTCAAAGACCGGGCATTGTTGATAAAAACCTCGACCAATTCCTCGAACCTAATGGCGTTTGTACCGCTCTTGAACATATCAAAACCTGCAAATAGCTCTGCCACATCGATTTCAAGTTCTACCTCATACGACTTTTCGTTATCAATAACTCGCTTGCCAGTTTGGGTATTTTTCAGCTCCTTGGGCGATGTCACCCTCGTGAAGTCGAACTGAGTGATGGTGGGCCGGTGGGTAAAAGTATTCCGTTGCTTAATTCTTACTTTACTAGGCTTCAGTTTCTTCATGATCAGCTCGATTTCCTCGTTTGGTACGGGGTTTTCCAATGAAAGCGACAAGCGTAAGTCATACATTGACGAGGGATTGTGTATGTACAAGTCTGAGATCCGTTGCTTGTTAATTGCCGTGTACCGTGGAGGATTTAAAAGATTATCTTTTGATATTCTCACCGATTTGGGCTGTTCATTTCTGCCTCGCGTGTAGTAGATGGAGTCCGTGACGTCGGTTTCAAGGATGTTGAACTTTCGACGAGGCTTGCCGGGAGGCTGCAGTTTTAAATCTTCTTGGTACGTTTTCTCTAATTCTTCCAAGAACTTGAGCATATCTTCGAATCCCACTTGATGGATGCCACTTTCAAAGAATATGCTCGATGCGTCCGTGTATATACATTCGGTTGACACCAGAATTGCGATTCTGTTCCGGGAGACTTTGTCCATGATGGTCCCAAACTTCAACTCAAGCTCGACATACTTTCGATTTGCCTCGTTGATTTCGATGAAATTGGCGTAGATCCATTCAGCAATTCGTCTGGTGACACTGGGAGGAGGTATTATTCCGGTAATGGAACATTCAAGGTCTACACTGCTGGTGGTACTGGTATTGAAGATAGACTTTTCGGACAACAGAAGCGAATCCATCGACTCCTCGGGGTTGCGAGCAGCCAGGTTATTGGACAGCTTAGTTGTCCATTCCTGTGCCCAAATGGGAGGAGTTTTATATCTCTTAGGCTTAGTCTTTCCTTTGAGTTTAGTTAATTTCTTGATTTCGTCCTCTTCTTGTTCCTCAGACTTCACATGGCCATTGGCGGGAGGTGACGGCTTCGTGGCACTTTCACTGGTTTTGAAAACAGATCGGGATTCACTGTCTCCGGCTTGAGTGAGTTGAGGTTCTTCTTTTATCTCTTGTCTCAAACTGCTGGAAGAAGACTCTTTTTCTGGAGTAGGTGTTTTATCGTCGTTCAACAAGCTAACAATCGAGTTTCTTTGTCTGGGAGGTTCAGCCGACTGAACCAGCTTGGGAATGGCACTAGTCGGCCGCGATACCTCGGTATCACTAGGATTATCGTCATTTAATATCGACCCAACGTTCATTGCTGAGTTTAAAGGTGCGAATATAACTACTGTCAATTCGTTCCTGAAAGTTTTTCTAGTGCGACATGCGAATAATTTAAGATGTGATAGAAAATAGGTCAAGATAGACAACTTAAGGTAAAGGTGTGTTGGAAACGGATAAGCTGGTCTCTCGTTAAATGTCAACGAAATTATAATTCGGTTGGATAACTGAAGTTCGAGCACTTGAATACCTGAGACGCAACTGTGAAACAACAATAGGTCTGCTGGATCGCATAGTAGAAGAGCAATACATTCAATAAATAATAGATAACTAGGCCAAGTTCTTGTCCAATCTAACCTTTACAGCATCAATAAACTCCTCAGTGGTCACATAAGAAGATCTGTCGGTCTTTCCCTGAGTCAAGGCCAAATCCTTGGTCATGACGCTGTCCAACGCAACTGTATCAATGACAGCCTTTTCCAAGGCTTCGCCGAATTGACTAACGTCGGGGGTGTCATCCAACTTACCTCTCTGGATGATACCTCTGGTCCAAGCAAAAATGGAGGCAATTGAGTTGGTGGAGGTTTCCTTACCTTGTTGATGTTGTCTGTAATGTCTGGTGACGGTTCCGTGGGCCGCTTCACTTTCAAAAGCCTTTCCATCTGGAGTCATCAACACCGAAGTCATCAAACCCAAAGAACCAAATCCCTGGGCCACGATATCAGATTGCACATCACCATCGTAGTTTTTCATGGCAATGACATATCCACCTTTAGACTTCAACATTTGTGCCACCATGTCATCGATTAATCTATGCTCATACCAGATACCGTTCTTCTCGAATTCAGCCTGGTATTTGGATGCATACAACCCTTCAAAGATATCTTTGAATTTACCGTCGTACCTCTTCAAAATGGTGTTCTTGGTGGACGAAAACAAATTCAACTTACGGTCCAAGGCAAACTTGAAAGAAGACTCAGCAAAGTCGGTGATGGACTTATCGGTATTGTACATCGACAAGGCCACTCCAGCACCTTCGTAGTCAAACACTTTGTGTACTTGAGGAGCACTTCCATCAGCAGGCTTAAACACCAATGACAATTCACCTGGTTGGTCAATAACCACGTCGGTGGCCTTATACTGGTCCCCATAAGCATGTCTACCAATGATAATTGGCTTCTCCCAGCTGGGTACAATTCTTGGAATGTTGTCGATGACAATAGGTTCTCTGAAAACGGTACCCCCGAGAACATTTCTCAAGGTTCCGTTGGGAGAGAGCCACATCTTCTTAAGGTTGAATTCCTTAACTCTGGCTTCATCTGGTGTAATGGTGGCACACTTGACACCGACTCCGTACTTCAAAATGGCGTTGGCAGCGTCCATGGTGACTTTGTCATCGGTTTCATCTCTGTACTCCATACCCAAATCATAGTACTTCAAATCCACGTCCAAATAAGGTAAGATCAACTTATCCTTAATGAACTGCCAGATGATTCTGGTCATCTCATCACCATCCATTTCCACAATGGGGTTAGTCACTTTGATTTTTTGTGCCATGTTGTAACTTGTAAAATATCCTGATCTCCTCAATTTTCGACCACCGTCCCAGTATTTATAGTCGTAGGTGTCGGGGTGGTGTACAGGAATTATGGGGTAATACGTGAAATCCCGGGGCGCCAATGAGAGCGAGCGCGAACGTCAACCGCTACATTTGTGGCACGGAGGGTTCGGAGCTATGATAGGCCCATATCAAGGGATGGGCTATCCAGTGGGTTGGTGGGATTGGAGGTAGGTGTCTTGAGTTGATAATTCTAGCATTTATCGTTTCCGGTAGTTGTTTGGCCCGGGCGTGTCTCGGTTAACTGATTTCCCGGGAATATTCTTCGCGGGGCAGGTGCGGGATGGTGGCACGGTCTTTGGTGTAACAGCGGAGACGGCCCGGTCGGGGCAACAGAAGTTCTACATATTTGCGTTCCGGTTCTTCGATATGCAGTGGCGCATGGGGTCCATGTTAGATAAAGAAGCGCGATGATTTTTAGGGTTTGGAGCAGCTTACAAATGTATGAAATTTGCGGATTTGACCTTAAACTCACCGGTAAAAAAAAGAGTTTCTTGGGTGCAAAACCCATAAATAAATCCAGAACAAAATACAGTGCATATATAACTGAGCAACAGACCCTTATTAGACTCACCAGTCAACGTAGTCCCTGCCCACAACTCTAAATACCCGGACTTGCCCGCTCTTCATCTCACTCATCTTGTAAGTTTCCCTCTTCAACTGGCCATTGGACACTTCAACCACTTTGAACTTGTCCTTTTTGCTGTCATACTCATAGATCACGCTGGCAAAAATCTGTTCATCTCCCACAATAACAGTTTTGCTGCCCAAGCCTTTGTGTACCAAAAACTTACCGTTCTTGATACATAGAATATCACCAGGTCTGACATCGTCAACCTTGGAAATGCTGTGGTTGTTTGAGCTTCTGTAGACGGTCACCCCAAACGATTTGTTTCCGATGGGAGGCAACGCACTCTTGTCGAGATGCTTGAATATGTGGTCTATGATGCTCTTGGTACCTACACCACTATTGGCACTGACTGAGTTCAATATTGCCGACCCATACGTCTTATAGTATTTATCCAACAAGTCTTTGCGGATGATAGGTATGCCTTTTGTGAAATAATTGGTGAACTTGACACTGGTTCTGGGGTCTTCTAATTCGTATTCCAACTCAAATGTTATTGAACTTAAATCGTAGAACAAAATGTAGTAGTCCTTATAAACCTTGGTTCTATTGCCTCTTTTCTCTATAGTGTTGGAATCAACCTCATAGATCAAATCACTACCGATTCTGGCCGCCAAAAATTCAGGCAACAAGCCTTTGAGCCACCAACTTGAAGCACTGTTGATATTGGCAATTTCCACCTCAAGCTTATCAAACACCGACTCCGCTTGGGTGCTGTCCTTTCTTCCTCTTGATATATCGGTGGAGCTTCTTCTGATAGACCCAAAAGAGCTACCGGTGTTATTGTAGGTCAATGGAGAGGAGATATCCGTCGAAGTTCTTCTTGGTTGAGAAGGCACGGCGGATGGTGGAGGAGCTGGAGGCGTCCTCGTTTCTGGAATGGGTGGTGGTAAGTTTGGTGGAAGGGTATTTGATCTGGGTGGAGATACAAACTGAAAGTCATCGTCGTCTTTAAATGCTGTTTCTTCATAGCCTTCATTTTCTGAATCACTTTCATCACCAAACTCCTCATTTGGTTTAATGAATACTTCGTCAGAATCGACAGGCGTGGGAACTGGTGGTACAGAACGAACCGGAGGTGCGGGTGGTACAGAAGGAATGGGAGGAGGTGCTGGTCTCCTCACGGGGGAATCTGGAACAGGAGGAGGTGCAACCTTTTCTCTCACTGGAGATTGTGGCACTGGAGGTACCAGTGGTACTGGGGGAGCCAGAGTCCTCGAAGGAACGGGTGGGATCTGTGGAATGATAGCATCCACCTGCTTTTGGCTAGCCTTCCTAACAGGAGTAGACTCCTCAGAAGTGTTGACCAACTTCTCGACCTCCTCATCAGCTTCATAACCAGTGTTCTCTCTTTCTATTGGTACTATAGCTTCTTCAGCAGATTCAATTCCACTGTCACTTTGAATAACACTTCTCCGTTGGTTATGGGGACTCGTTGGGATTGGTGGGGGTCTATTGCTGATGTCAGGCTCGGTATCATGGTCTTCTCCCATAGAAGAATCTTCTTTTGCAGGAGCATCTGGTGCATGGATAGAAGCAGATTCTGATTCGGTAGGATCAGAAAGAGAAGCCTTTCTGAGCTTCTTCAAGGCGGCTGGGTCAGCAAATGGCACTATTGGCACGGGCTTTGCGTCCTCATCAGACTCCTCTTGATGTTCTTCTTGAGGTTCTTCTTGTGGTTGCTTCTTGACTTCCTTCTTAGCAGCAGCTGGAGCTGGAGCTGGTTGCCCGAATGGTGACATACCCATCATACCAAACATGTTTCTTCCTCCCGAGATTTTGGCCATTCTCTCCACCAACTTCTGTCTCTTAAGCTCCTCCTCGTCTTGTTCATCACCACCATCAGACTCTTTCTCTTCTTCCGCACCAGGCTCATATTCATCTGGCTTTTGTGGCACTTCTCCTTCTTCTTCCTGTTCTTCCTGCTCATCTTCGTCTCCCTCTTCTTCGATAACACCAGAAGACTCGGCACCATACTTCTTAGATGCACCGGTATGGGTGGTTTCAATAGACTTAATATCACTGTCGGGCTCTTCAAGACCCAGGGCTATTCTCTCTTCACGTTCTTGCTGTTCCCGCAATCTTCTTTCCTTTTCCTCTGCAGCCTTTTGTTTTCTGGCTTCTTGCCTCTTCAAAGCGGCAGCTTCACGTTCAGCCTCCTCCTGTTGACGCTTCTGCAACAACGCTATCCGCTCCTTCAAGCTCAATTTCTCTTCCGCGGGAACCTCCTGCTCTTCCTCACCCATATGCTCGCTGTATATTTCTCCCAGGTTGACGGATTTATCCTGGCGGGAGCCGTGACCACCGACCAAGAAAGAGTCGTCCCTAGGTTTGAACTGAGGAACATATGACGACTTTGCGCTGGCGATAAACTGCTTCTTCACCACATAAGGATCATCTCTCTTCTGGGAGTTGGGGAATAATGGGAGCACAGGCTTTGGCTGTGGCTTGGTAGTTTCGACAGCGGGTTGCGGATCGGGGTGTTTCGTAGACTCTTGAACGGGGGAGGATGGTTTGGGCACTTTATCCACTTGTTGGGGCTCAATTGGGGAAACCGTGGAAGGGGGTTCCTTGGTGGGCTCTGGTTCCGAAGCAAGTACTTCTACAAAGTTTCTGGGGAACATCCCTGACTTTCCATTGAAGACACCACTAAACCAGTCATCATCTTCAATTTCGGTGACTTCAATGATACTTCCCACGGGAAATGGTAAATCATCTTCATAGTCAGATTTGTATTCGAATACGGCCCTCACTTTGAACGGAGGTGCTGGCAATGTCATAATTCAAGATGTATTTAGCGTACTGCCCCTATAAACGAGACGAATTCTGATCGAAAAACAATGATGCGCGGACCCGATTTGAAGTTGCGAACTCAATCTACGAGGCTGTTGGAGGCATAGAGTGGGGTACACTTAAAAATACCTTGGTCCACTATTTAAGTGATGGATCTACTTATTCACCCCTGTCATGGCATAACCCCCGTTTTTTGGGGCCAAAACTCTATCTGGAGTAAATCCCAATATTTCGCCTCAGGGTGCAATGGGCCCCTAAGATAGTCGCGTTTCCATTCTCGAAATAACATTGAGCACACAGTATCAGCAGCATTTGGAAATGTCCAAAAAATCCAGCTCCACCATCTTGGTAGACAGCCAGACACTTCTGTCACTCATGCCTCGAAAAACCTTTGACTACCATCTGGGTGCTCTGATTACGTCGCTCAATTTCGATGACTCGGGCCAGTACTTGATAAGTGCTGGCATCGACAAATCTATCCAACTTTACGACGTCCACAAAGGAATTCACACAAAGGACATCCAATCGCAGAAGTACGGCGCTCATCTTGCCAAATTTACCCACAAGGACTTGAATTGTCTCTATGCATCGACTCCTGAGGCAGTTCCCCAAGATGAGCCCATTGACCACGCCATAAGATACTTGTCATTGTCCGATAAAAAGTATCTTCGGTACTTCAAGGGCCACAAAAGCCAGGTGGTGTCCTTAGAGGTGGACCCTGTTCACGACATGTTTATAACCTCGAGTTTCGACAAGTCCGTCAAACTATGGGATCTCAGAACCTCCAATCCAACTGGAAGTGTGGAAGTCGGCCAACCGGTTCTTTTGGCGTACGATCCTCATGGCATTGTGTTTGTAACAGCTAAACTCCCCGGGTATGGCGGAGGTGATGGTGTAGGCGAGTTGGAATTCTACGATACAAAGAACGTCCACCAGGTACCTTTTTTGAGGTCTACAATCCATACTCGGCCTGAGTGTACGTGGACTAATATCGAATTTGCCAACAACGGGAAGTACTTGTTGCTCTCCACCAACACCAGTGAACACTATTTGATAGACGCTTTTCTGGGACGTCTTCTCACCCGGTTGGTGATGCAACATCCAAACTACAAACTTAATTCCCATTACCCGGTGTCACACACCTCGTGCTTTTCTTCGTGTGGCCGGTACGTGATTGCCGGGTCGTCGGTGCTGGAATTGCTGGTTTTTGATCTCGTTGGAATCCAGTCTTCCAACGGTTCAGCTACTGTCAAGGACTCAGACAATCCGTCCACCCTCTCTCCATTTAAAACCATTTCCACCAACCAGGGCATCCCCAAACTAATTGCATTCAATCCCAAGCTTTTCACGGTCGCCACTGCCGACAACTCTGTCACGCTATGGCAGCCCAGCTAGTATCTGCACTCTCTGTACTATAGTTTAATCTCAATAAACATCGCAATTCGCACCCAAAAAAAGTTGCACTACCGTTGATGCTTTCAGACGTTTTCCGTAAACTAGTGCCTGAGGCCAGCTGGGGCCGAATACAGCAGCCAGGTTCGGCTACCCTACCTCTTATTAGTGCCAGTAACTTGATGCTACCACCAAAACACAGCTTACACCCACCGAAATATAAGACGGCAGGCGAGTTTACAAAACACTATAACCCTCCAAACTACATATACAGTGACCAGCTCCCTTCCAAACCCACAGATATCCGGGGAATTGACTCATCTGGATACACATATCTCAATCAGAGTGCCTATCATAAGTTTCCGGTGCTTTCAAGCAATGAGTATCTTCAGCTCAAGTTCTTCCCAGGAAATCACTTTATTTCGAGGATACGAAAGTCCAATATAGCGTTGGGAAATTTCAACAATCCCATTAGCCTCCTTAACGACCCTGTTCTAGAAAAGGCATTGAAGTCGTATAGGGGTAAGTATTCGGAGAGTGGGTTTTTCAACGAAAGATCCCATCCACTTTCTACTGCGGTTGGAAGAGCTCGGTATAAGAAATTTGTGAAGCAGTGCTTGTTTGAAAGCGTTATCGGGAAAGACGTCACAAGAGTCAGGGGGTTCTACTTCGTCAGGTATCACAAGGTTCCCGTCACTGAACAGGACAAGGCTTCTTTGAAGGAATATATTTCTAATGCTGTCAGCAGAATCAACAACGACGATAAGCTATACCAAAGCCTCGTAAGGACATCACAGTCATTAAAGACACCACGAGACTTGAAGAAAAATGCAAAGTTGTACAACTGGTATGGAGCCAAGTGGGAGCCCACCTACTATCCCAAGCTACCCTTTTTATAGTTCACACCAACTGGGTACAGGAGTCTGAAAATCAAACGAATTACTGGGATCCTCCTCACATTTGTATTTATACCGGTGAGCATGTAAATAAATAGACGATTTGTCACGTTCACGTTCATGTTCGAACAACGACCGGCCACAATCTTGACAGGTTTTGTTTTTGTAGCCCTCGATGCGTTCTGACGCGAGAGTTTTGATAGTGTTGAGCATTTGTGTTATTACACCCTCTTCTTTAATAAGAGTCTCCAAGTCAATAGTCTGCTCACACTCACCAACATCGAATACCTGAGGGTAGCTCTTGGACACCATGTCATATATCTTGAGCTCTATATCATTTTTGAGGCGATTGATGGGTGTTAATTGTGACAAATTATTGTACACCCAATCATTGGTGATGGGGAATCCTATATTTCTTAAATGAACCCGAATCTGGTGCATTTTGCCCGATATTGGCGTACACTCTACTATACTTTCATCTAGAAAAGTACTGTATTGTAGACGCTTGAACTTGGTAGTGGAAGATGTCACTAACTTCAGGAGATTACCTGGCATCAAGTAGCCTCCATTGGGGTTTACCAAAACAATAGGACATTTATAGGTGTATGTATCTGGGAAATACCCTTGCACCCGGGCAAAGTAGGTCTTGGTGGTGTGATCCAGCTTATGTTCGATGATTTTCAGGAGCCGGCTGCCTGTGTCTTTGTTCAATCCCAAGATAAGTACTCCCAGAGTCACCTTGTCCAAGCGATGACTAGTCCAGATGTTTTCCAACTTTAAGTCAAATTTCAATATTTCGCTGACAGAATTGTAAAGATAATTCAGAGTGGGATGCACAGGGATACCAGCAGGCTTGTTGACTACCAAATAGTTATGATCATGGAAGATCACGTTAATAAGCGTGTTGGGGGTATTGGGTGATATACTCATATCCACCACCACCAGCGGCTCGTGCATATGCCGAATACTGAAGATCACATCGTGTTTCTGGATCTTACGTGACTGGAGTAAATCCCATCCTTTGACGATTTGGGAGGTTTTCTTGCCAAAGTCTTCAAGGACATAGATTTTGGAATCGGAGATTTCTTGGGTGATAACGTCTGGTGGCTGGCCCAACTCGGTAGAAAACACATCCAAAATTGTACGACCCTCCCACCGGGTCTTTATGTGGGTTTTGTACGACTGATAGTAGGGTAGGACTTTGCGGAGGCCATTTTCTATCACGTAGGATGGAGCTGAAGACATGAGGAAAATATTCGCGGCCTTTTTGCAACTTCAAATTACTACTACTCTCTAACTCAACGTTTATTATCATTACTTTTATAAATCAGGTGTCAGCAGCAAGCACATTTTCAGAGTTCTCCCCAATCACATTACCGGGAGGATCATACTCACAAACCACATAAAGTCCCCAGTTTTCGGCACTACAATCCTTATAAGCACATCCCACCGAAGTAGAACCCTTCCAAACCACCTGAGTGAAATGGTCGTAAGTATTGGCCGAAGAGTAGTCATACGTCAGTCCTTCGGCGTACCAGGCGTCCACCGCAGCCGAGCCCGTTTTGAAGCCGGCCGCCAAGTTTTCTCCGTATTGACCGTGCGTGTGGGTCAAAACACCGGAACAATCGTAATTATCGGCGTTATTTTGGGCGTACTGGTATGCAGCGTTATTCCATGTCAAGGCAGCAACGTTGTGGTCGGCACGGTACTGATTGTGGGACGCCAAAATCGACTCGGCGAATTCTTTATCCGATCCTGACACTTCTTCGGTGCTAGACGCATCGGCAGATGCGACAGTAGTACCTGTTTTGATAGTGGCGGTCGAGAGTGTGGTGGGCGTAGCACTGGAGGCGGCGAGGGTATTGGCGGACGTTGAGGTGGCGGCCGATGTTTTCTTGTTTGCAGTGGTGAACCAGGTGAACAAATCGTCGTTTGTGGCTGCGGTGGTGGCCGCAGACGTGGCTACAGATGTGACGGCTGCGGTGGTGGTGGCGGCGGCGGCGGCTGTGGTGGTATCGTCGTCGTCAAAGTAGCCAAGGAGCTTACTGAGCAAACCGCTCCATCTGGATCCACTAGAAGCTGCGGTGGTGGTAGCTGCGGCCTGGACTGCTGCCGTGGTAGCTGCGGTGGTGGTTGCTGCAGTGGTGGCAGCGTCGTCACCAAAAAGCTCATCCAAAAGGGTGAAAATGCTACCGTCTTGGTTCAACACTTGGGTTGCTGTCCTCCAGACGGTCTGTGCGGGAGCAGGAGCTGCTTGAGCCTGTTGCCATAATGCTAGGGCAGTTATTAACAATAATGGTGTGACTTTCATTAGTGAAAATACCGGTGGAAAACTTTTGCCTGAGTATTGAAGAATGGAATATGCGTGCTTATATTGTCTGGGGAAGATGGCCCCTCCAGGGCCAAAATTTCCTATTGAAGCAAGGTTTATAGCTGCAAAACTAAGAGCTGAGGATGTGGAAAAAATTACACTGCGTGAGAAATGCCTAAATAGGAAAGATTATTAAATCGAATTTCTACTTCAGGAAAGGTAATTAGGCAATGTCAACAATACTTACTTACCACATAAGGTAAACCGTGCATTAAATATTCATTGCCATAAGTTAAAATTTGCCTTGGAATATTTCCCCCATCGCCACCGCAATGATCTCTGCAACCCCTTCTCCTGTACATTTGGCAGTAATTTCAAAGTGCTTCCCTTCGGTACCGACACTCTTGATCGAAAGCAATACTCCATAATTATTGGTTTGGGTGTGGAGGATACCAGCAGCTAAAACAAGCACCTTGTTCGGATCATCTTCACTACTGCTGAATACAATTGAGAACCTGAGTCGCTGCACAAGTCTGACAATGTTGGAAGCAGTGTATTTGTACGCAGTGTTGGGACGGATGGTAAATTCTCCCTTGTTATTGGGAAGTAATTGGTTAATTTGAAGCCATCTGGTCTTGAATTCCTCCACAAGTAACGTCGTGGGAGTGAGGGTCTTCAATACGTTCACGGGGAATTTCAAATTCAATTGGTTGAACGATCCTCCACAACTAAAACTTATAGATAGAACCGGCGATTGTTCCACGTCCACAACCCCACGAACCTTGACTTCTATTTCGATCAGGGACTTGTCCAAGATGATCTGGTCGGGTGTTTTGGTAAGATTCATGATGTAGCTGGGGTCGACTGTATTCGCATTACTCTTCAATTCCAAAATCTTGAAACTCGTGAGTTGATTCAGAGTCGATTTGTAGGAGTTATTGATGACTTGAAGCTTGTACAACAACTTGAAGTCATCAATACGGTCAACTTTATAAGTAATTCTCGCCAACTGGCTTTCATAAAAGATACCTGCATCGAAGTGAAGCATTCGGTGGTAACCATTATACCAATTTGGAGACAACACCAATTTCTCTTCCTGAAATGGATTCTCAAAATCAGCTTCCGGTCCACCCAAATCGATCAAGCTACCGTTGCCGTTTCCATTTCCATTAGTCGTCTTCTTTTGGATTTTAGCTGCATTCACCATGAAACTCGATTTGTCGGTCCCTACTATGTGGTTAAGAGTCCCAATTCTTGACAAAAGGTGGTTTTTCTTGGTTTCAAATGGAGGAAGAGGCCTGATAATATTCGATAAAAGACCCTTGGAGTTCATGGTAAACATGTTCAAATATTCATTGGCTCTGGACTGGATTTCAATATCAATCGAGTCCTTCTCGATTTCAAATAAATCAATGATATTTGGAATGAAATCTTCATCCGGATAGCAGTTGCAGAACTTGATAAAGGTGGAGAGTATCATGGATCTCGATACCAAACCAGCAGTGACGTAGATCTTGTAGAGAGCTTGGAACTGAATCTGAGGAGGGAATTCATTCTTAATTAACGACCCATATTCACCAATCAAAAACGCTGACATTTTCACCAAATTTTCGCTCAATTGATCACTTCTGATCAACTTACCCATTAACAACTTGCAGGTTTTGACATGAAGCTCATCGTTATTTACGATAATCTGAATAATCCTCTCCCAAATCTCGTTGTTGAGGAACTCTGAATTGGCAGAAGACCCCGGAATCGACAACAACCTTATCATAATGTTAACGTACCAGGTCGAGTCTTTTGCGAACTTCTCAGCCAAGATGGCTATCTTGATTGACAACTCCGATTTCAATTGATAATCCAACATCGGAAAATAGTCAAGCAATTTGTTGATTATAACCTGGTAGTTCAGGTCATTCGTGATGATGTAGAATAAGTCCAAAGTTTTTCTCTTGATACCAATGTCCTTATCATTGAGTAGATGCTCAGCCACTCCCATCCGGTCAAAGATCAACCCATTGTATGACTGGGTCAACTTCTCGTCTGAAGATCTACTTATAAGCTTGATCAACACGTCTAGAGCTAAGTACCTTGTGTTTGTATCGGTAGACTTCAAGAGGTGCAACAAAGCGTTTATAGCCCCCAAAATCGACTCACTAGAAGCATTCAAGAATATGGCCAACCCCACCGACTGAAAAAGAATGGAGCTCTGGATATTCTTATTGGACAAGGCGTTAATGGACTTGGTCAGCTGGTTAATTGAAGTGGAAATCACCTGTTTCAACGTCTTGAGATCCTTTGGGTTTAAGTTAATTACCAAAGACGAATCCATGAGAAAGCATGTTTCAAGCAATTGAAGCAACCGTATAGTAACCCATGGGGCCGGGATTCCATAGTAGAAGTATGACTCATCGCAGTTTGCATTGATCACCAACTCTTCAAGGTTATTTGTGAGAGAAGCCACTAAATTCTTCACCTGAGTGGGTTTCATCCCAACCACCAATTCTGCCACCGGCAATCCGTTCAAAATAATCGACAAGTCGTTGTTGTAGTCCACCAAGGAGAACAACCGGGGGATCCAGTTGTCGTTGACGACCAAAAGATTGGGATATAATTGGATAAGCATCTTCAAGCATACAAGAGACTTCTTCTTCAAAAGCAACGCAGACATCGGGCTAATTGCAAACGAGTAGACCTGGTTGGCTAATTCAAGAAATTTACTGATCACCACACTGGTTTCCGGTAGCTGGTAGCCCGGCAAATTGAAGTTATTAGCAATAAACTGAAGTGCTAACGCGTTGAATATCTCATTGTCAATCTTCAAATCGTGTGAAAGTTGCAGGTACACCGAACCCAAAAGTTCTTCAAAGTACGTATTTGTTCCCTTGAATCCCGTATGGGCCGTGTCACTATGACTGGTAAATATGATAGATAATGTAAGGTATCCTAAGGACTTCTCCTGGATGGTTTTGGCGCTGATTAGCGAGAGACTCTCTTTTACACCCAAATCGACTAAGTCATCGTAGCCCAGCAAATATATGTACATCAACTTACAGATGTACTTCTTCCGTTGATAAGTGCTCAAGTTGGAGGAGAATTTGGTACGAATATTATTGATTTCAAGGTTTATTCGCTTCTTCTCCTGTTCGAAATCCTGGGAGTTTCGGATGTCTATAATGAATTGGGTCAAGCCCTTCATGGGAGAGGCGGACATGGGTACACGTGACCGCGGCTGATGAGAGAGTCCGGTTATCAACGACACTTTGGCAGGTATTCACTTAATGGGATCTAGTGGTGATCTACCGACAGTAGTGCGACATGCGACACGACGGAGCGCGAGGGAACCGCGAGGTTGGTGCGGTAGGTTTGTGGGGGATGTGCACGACCGTTTTTCCATTGGCCAATGAATCGACACTGCGAACAAACTGCGAGTGGAAAAAAAGTTCGGGAAACACATTACACCTGCTAAACATGTCTTCAGTAGCCAAAGCCGTCAGCACCAAAGTCGAGTGGGCCACCATCATCTCCAAGTTGGGATTGACTGGAAGCACCGCCAGCTCCTTGAACGCCTTCAAAAAGAGACACGATGAGGCCAAGAAGGAATATCTCACCTTGTCCCAACAACCTACCACTGTTGATTTCGAACACTACAAAACCGTTTTGAATAACAAAAAAGTGGTCGAAGACATCGCCAAAAAGGTTGGTGAATTCAAGCCCGCCACCTACGACGTGTCCAAGACCCTCAAGACCATCGAGGTGTTTGAGGCCAAGGCCATTGAAAACGCCAAATTGACTGAAAAGTCTGTGTTGGACGAAATCAACCAATTAAACACCACTTTGAAGGACATTGAAAACTCGCGTCCTTTCGACCAATTGACCGTCGACGATGTGGCTAAGGCCAGACCCGACTTGGACGATAAGGTCAACTATATGATCAAGAACGGTAAATGGAACGTTCCAGGATACAAGGAGAAGTTCGGTGACTTGACTGTCATGTAAGTTTCTGTTTATTATCCTCATCATATTACGCTCCATGTCATATATACTGAATATTAGGTTCTACCGAAGACTATATATTCCGTCATCAATATAAAAAATTCGATCAAAATACCGGAAATATTCGCCGGGAAGGTACGACACTGTCGATACTTGATGGCAGGGTGGGACCAGTTGTGCCACTGGGCGGGCGTAGAATCCTCTGTCAAATTGTCGACTCCAGCTTGTCACTACAACGTTACATTTGTACTTGCGCTTCAAAAGTGCCAATTGCTTCAGCAACTGCAGGAAGAGCCCAAGCCGCCCGGAGGCCTTTAGTTGCCAGTAGAACCTTGACACCCCATCCACCACCACGCACACAAGATGCTCATGTGGGGTGAGGTTGGAGGTCACGTGACCCACCTTCTGGAGGAGGTCTTCAAAGGTGTCGGCAGCTACATGCGCACCTGGCCAGGGCAACGTCTGCAGGCCCCCGCACACAATGACGATGGTGGCAGGTGTGTACACGTGACGTGAAATGTACTGTTTCCTGGCGTCTCGGGTCTCAAACACAAGGTGGCACGTCTGGCCCTCGAGCGGCTCGGACAACTCCGTGCACTGGGCCCCCGCTACCACGATCTCGCGTAAAGGCTTGGTATAGATCATTTTTTATCCCCGAGACCCTTGTCACCTGTTGCTCGTAATTAAACACGTAGTATTTAGCGAAGTCCGACGCGCGCGCGTGGGTGCCGCAGGGACCGCAGCAACTGACACCGCGGTGCTGGGCCCATGGGGCGAGGATGCCTCACTGACTTCCTCGCCGGTTGCCTCGCAACAAAAATTGCGCGCCATGATAGACGATACTGCTTTCTTCGTAATAAACCCACGTACCGACTTCTTTTGACAAACACCCAACCGACAAATCCAAATTGGTTTTTTCGTACCCATCATCCCTTGACCATAGCCTTGACTCCCAGCCCTGTATTCTAACCAAGGCCTTTTCTGCGGGTGTGTGCTGCTTCATCCCTTTTGTTTGTCTAACTGTGCCAACGCACTTATGTTGTCTTTCAAACGACGGTTCTATCTCCCGATATCGTACGCAAAAATACTCATCTCGCATCTCATCCGATGCTGGCTCAACAACCGAACACTCCTACAAACAGTGGTAGTGATTATACGAAATTGTATTCCCTTATGTGTATGGCTTTTGCTTTTTAACACTATGAACCTTATTCCCAACCTGGTAAAACCCCGAATTAACGTGCGACTAGTGATGCGATTAGATGACTACGTGTTCCAGACATGGCAGGGTGGCGTATTAACGGTGCTTTGCCTTTTCCTCGGTGGTATATTGGTATTTGGGCGATTTTATAGTCCCACCACTGTGAAGAGCGAGCCTAGGAGTCATGTAATTGCTCTAAGTGACTTGGAGGCCAACAAAGCGGCGCCAGTGGGACAGGTCCAGCCTTCCCAAGACAACGATACGGCGGTAGCATCGCCTATCTGCAGCTGGGACCGATTCCCCGTTTACCTGATGATGCTTGGATGGGTTATTCTCAATGGAATCTACAGTTTCAAAGATCCCATCAACAAGGCCAAAAACATCGTGGCCCTTGTGTTCTACTTGATGGGTCACGTCCTCGTGGTGCCCGCGACTGCGTGGTACCTCTACTTGTTTCAGCCGCTGCGTATTCTCAAGTTGTTTGTGATTGCAATTGGCGTGCAGAGCATCTGCGTCAACATTACGCACTTGGTATTCCCCAACGTGCCACCCATTTATATTCAGTACTACGGGGAGAACAAAAACGCCACATATGACCTGCCCGGGTACTCCGAAGGGTTAACACGAATTGAGTTGAACTTCCCGTTTGGCAGGGTGTTAAACTTTTTCATTATTTATGTCAAATCCATTGAGTTTGGTATTCTTCCATCGCTTCATTCGTGCATGTCACTTACTAGCGTTTATTTTCTTGTGAACCTTATAAGTATACGGGTGATGAAGGTGGCATTACTTGTGTACAGTTGTTTCCAAATCTGGTCGTCACTTTACTTGGATCATCACTGGCGAGTTGACATTCTTTTCTCGGTATTCTACTCGATGTTTTCCTACTTGATGGTGAAGGATAAGCTTGTGTCGATTAGAAGCCAGTTCCGGTACGACGCCAAGTTTGGCCGGGAAACCACCATGGGTATGAGGGTATTTCATGGGACGGGACTTGAATGGTGGTTTACCCCCACATAGTCATTTTATAGAGCATAGTGCATAGATATGCAACGGTTGATGTGGACGTAGTGTTGGATCTAGCGTAGTGTTGGATCTAGCGTAGTGTTGGATCTAGCGTCGTGTTGGATCTAGCGTGGTGCTGGATCTAGTGTGGTGCTGGATCTAGTGTGGTGCTGGATCTAGTGTGGTGCTGGGTTTACCGTGGTGCTGGATTTACCGTGGTGCTGGATTTACCGTGGTGCTGGATTTACCGTGGTGCTGGATTTACCGTGGTGCTGGATTTAGCGTATCGTTAGCATAATGAGCACAGTGCCGCCTGGATGGTGTGTGGGTGGCCAAATTTCTTCAACTCCATTAGCAACTCTGTCTATTAATAGGTCCTCTCCTATCCTCTCAATACGCGGAATAATTACCCCACCGTCGCTTCCAAGATTTTTCATCAACTGCCATTTTCTCCACAAGAACCAGTTTTGTGTTTTGTGCTTAGGATCTTCTCTGCCGCACTGGTGGCCTGAGGAAGAGATCAAACCAAGTCAACCGCGGGCGCGGTACCCGGCGTGGTGTCGTGGTGGTGCGGTGGTGGCTGTGGGTGGACCCACCTTCGTCATGCACAATCCAGCTGTTCTCAGCCTTGGCAACGCTACATCTCCTTATGCACGCTCACCCCCATATGCGCTGACATAATCGAGAACATCCAATGGTTAGTATTCTTGAGCGTGAGCGTCAACAATATTCAGCCTCGTTAATAGGAGTCGTACGTACAGCCTCGTTGAAGAAGCTCAGCACGCGCTCGATCTGCTATCAGGAGATTGATGGGGTTGACCGGTTGGGTGTTTTTGTGTTGTTGGTAATGTTGATATTGTTGGTAGTAGCAACCCCCAGATGATGGGGGGTGCCTGAATAGTGTTGGGCTCAGGGGACAAGAGGCTGAAATATACCTTTGCTATTCAGGTGCCTGATCTTATGGTTGTGTGCAGGAATCTCTAAGATTGGGTTTTTCTTCTCAGATGGAATCAGTGACGTCCCAGATCCAAGACATAACCAGAACTGTAAGTATATCATGTTGACCGAAGGATCTTGTAGCAATATCCACCCTTCAAATACAAACTCTTACGGATATTGGAACACCAATATTTCATTTGGCGATTGCCTTTTCTGTGCCCCCATCCAATTCTCGCATCGTGAAATTTAGCCTCATCTTCCAAACAAACCAGTTTTTCTGGTGCTGCTGTTTCGTCAAATTGTATACAAATAAGAACCATTTCCCACTCACGTTATTTTTTTTTAAGCTTAAGGTTCTAGAGAGCTAGTTTTTGCCAGATCAGTTTTGCATTTTTCAACCTCGTCATAAGCTTCTGCATTTATCTTAGTACTGCTCTTTGTTATTGTTCGTTTGTTGACAGCTCATGACACCATTACCTCGGTTGTACAACAAGAAACTCAAGTTCTGGCTTCCGCTTTTTCTCGTGGTGGTATGTGGATTGTTCCAGCTCCATGCAGTGCTACTCACACCCGTCAACCAGCAGCGGTTGGACCTTGAAGCCCTTCATCTCCAAAGAGATTCAGGGTTCAACCCCAAATTATCCACCTACAGCTTGTATACCTTCATAAACAAAGTTCATGATGGTGCCAAGCTTCATTTGCACTGGGACGATCTCGTGGACCTTCTGCCAGGTTCCCTGATGGTGGCTCAGTTCCGTCAAATTGATGATGAAAGTCGGTGTTCGGCAGAAGTGGAAGCATTTGGATCCGTCAATTCCTACTGGCTCGAAAGCTACGAAACCAAAGTCCTTCGTAGCATGGCCAACTTGTTCTGCCTTAAGGACGTACCGGATCGGGTGTTTGTTCGGTCACCTACCGGCTACTTACTGGTGCCGGTGGAAGGCCGTCGTCGGTATGGTAGTTTACTCAACACCCTGTTCAGCAACAACGACTTCATGAATGAGTATAACTCATTGGACGCCAACGTCAACCACTACGACTTCTACCCCCTCAATACCCTCAATAAGTCGGTGGATATCGACGTTAACCAATTCTACTTTGACCCGGAGTATGAGATGATCAAATTAACCCAACTGCAAAACAAACACCAGTTGAGCCCTGAAGACCTGAAGTATCTTGGGTTTCTCAAGTACGCCAACTCCATAGTCGATGATAGTGATCGGTACTTCAAGTATCCGTGGATTTACTCGGATGTGGTCCAGGGAAATTCCCATCACTTGGCCCACCCGTTCTTCAAGCGGTTTATTTCCATCCGGGAAAGACAGAGCATCATCCAGCACATGATTCGTGCCTGGTTCGAGTTTGCAGAGGCCATCGACGTACCGTCTTGGGTCAACTACGGCTCCTTACTCGGGTGGGCCTATAACGGTGTAAACATGCCATGGGACACCGACGTGGATATCCAGTTGTCGATCCGTCACCTCGACTATTTGCTGCGGCACTACAACAACTCCTTGGTGCTTGAAAACCCCCAGTGGGGAAATGCAAAGTACTTGCTTGATATCAGCCCCACGTACGTGCGTCAAGGTAATGGCCGTAACTTCATCGACGGTCGGTTCATCGATATCAACTCAGGGTTATACATCGACATTTCGGCCTTGAGCCACACCAACTTCAATCCGCCTTCCACCTTGGCTGGTGATGATAACGACATATTGGTGCACTGTAAGCATTTTAACTGGCACTCCCTTTCAGAGATCCTTCCACTCAGGCACACATACTTCGAAGGGTCTTCGGTGTATATTCCTTCGAATATCTCGTCGATATTGGACCGTAAGTACGGTAAAGAAAGCTTTACCACCAAGTTAAACTTCATGGACTATAACTACCAAGATGACATCAACCTCTGGGTACCTGACAGTGTATGTGCCAAAAGTCCCGAGATCAACCGGTTCCAGTCGCTGTCCCGCACCCTGTTGACGTTGCCCGGCGCCTGTGACTCCCGGATGTTACAGGATGAGTACAACATTAACTATCAGTTTGGTCACAGACACTTGTTGTTAAACGCCGACATCGACCATCCTGTTGACTATAACATTAAAGACTTGGGAGATTTACCCATCACCAGAAAAGATACTTGGTCCTACTACCATGACTTGCACAATGGGCTTGTCCATAACGAAAACTGGTTTCACGAATATAATGACTGAGTATTTGCATGTATAATAATATATACCACATTTTTTTAGCAGCCTAAAGGTCGCGATCGCGACTGCGAGGTTTTTGTTAACATGGATCCAACCTCGTTTGCAAGTGTGTTAGAGGGCGTCAAGCGCATGCGAGAGCAGTATGCTGATGCCAGCGATGATGGTGATGATGCGGACTCTGCCCCCAAGCGTCCTCAAACCGACAGCCCGCAACCCGATCAACTGCTCCCTTCATCTGCAACTAGTGCAAGTGATGCCACAAACACAAGAATCACAAATACAACCCTCCCCACACAACCCATGGTTCGATCGCTGCTACTGCCGCTGCCGGTGGGTGTCGGGCAGAGCTCTCGCCCGGTCTCTCGCCGCATTCAGCCCGCAGTTCAAATGTACTCCCAGATTCAAGTGGCCCCGTCACAGAAGGGAAACCCAGTCTTCCAGAGCTCCTTGCTTAAACAGAAGCCTATCGCGTATAATAAGGAAATCTTGTCTGACTACTACATAAACCCCACGCTCCAAGTGTTGTTTCTTTCAATGAAGTATCATCAATTACACCCCGAGTATATATGGCGAAGGTGTAAAAAACTCAACCAGGGTTCTACGGTGCTGACCATTAAAGACAACGCGTGTAAGATTCTTTTGGCAGTAATCGACATCGAGAGTCCGCAAGAAGCGCTTCGCAAGTTGAACAATATCTGTATCAAGCAAGACTTGACGTTACTTATAGCATGGTCTTTTGAGCAAGCCGGTAACTACATCGCCATGTTGAAGGACAACGAGCTTTCAAGAACCAAGGTGAACTTGACGATCCGAGGAGCCAAGCAGAGCGACTTCAAGTCCAATTTGACCGATACTCTCACGAGCATTCGAGCTATTAACAAGACAGACGTCATCAACCTCATGACAGAAATCGGCTCGTTCAAGGACATTGTGGAGGCTGATAACATCAAAATCCATGGTTTTGGTGACAGAAAGATCCTGAATCTCAAGGCCACCTTCAGCCAGCCATTCATCTTGAATAAGGAACAAACTCCAGATAATGAACCTGAACGACTGCAATAATGACCATCTGTGGTCTATGTACATTACTATATAGCTCTAAGTCAGGCAGCCGGCTTGGCATTCTCCTTCTCCATTTGCAACACCTTTGTTCTCAATGCCATATTTAACTGATTCAATATCTCGTTCTTCTGTACCAAGATTTCTTTCAACTTGGCGGAGTCTTCATTCAATTTGGTGATTTTCGACGTATATACCCGCTTGGCATCCTCGCTGGTCTTCTCCACATAGTAGCCAGTACCAATGTCTACCAAGAACTTCTCTGGGTCTTGTACCTTGCCTGGCAAATACAAAGAACTTGTCAAAGGTACAAGCAACTGCTTGTCTTGCTGAGATTTCATGTTATCGATGCTGCTTATACAGTCTTTTAATTTAGACTGGGCCGTCTGTAATGCTTGTAGTGAGGACGTGAAGTGTGTGACCTCTTCCTCGGTGGACTTCTTGAGCTCTACAAGCTGTTGGGGGTGAAGTTGTCCCAAATCTATTCTCTGCGACATGGTGGACTTGGTTGAGGGTTTGGAAAATTTAGTTGCGAGATTTTCAGCCATGGGAAACGATGGAGGGACTATTGCAAAACGTCAGGATATCATCAACTTGTACAAAAAGGACATCGAGAAGCACCGTGGTGATTTACCAGAGGATCCAGTAGACTTATCCAGGTGTGTGCTTTCGCACAAGTCGTTGGTGGATGAAAAGGTAGTAGGAGACTCCAAGGGTAACATGATTCTCAAACAGCTGATACTTGAATTTTTGTTAGAGAAAACCTACAAAACAAATCAGCTGTTTGCGCACCTCAAGTCTTTGAATGATGTTCTCGATATAAACCCGGTTTTTGAGCACGGCCAGTTAGTCTGTCCTGTGTCAAAGTCGTCTTTAACGTTTGTCTACTTGAGGACTTGCGGGTGCGTATTAGATCACAAACTTATAACAAAGCTTGTGGAGCTTAAGAGCTTGAAGTGTCCAGCTTGTCAGACACCGTACGAAGAGGTTGACGTGGTAGTGATAAATCCTGGGTCTCAGGATGCTGAGGCGAATGAAGAACACTTGAAACTCCTTCTGTCGCAAGGCTTGCACCACACCAAGAAACCGGTGAAAAAGGGCAAGAAGTCCAAACGAAACCACACTACGAGTCTGCCGACAAAGAAACGTAAATTATAGGCTATGTACATAATAAGATATTGGGGCGTCTAGTTTTCTTTGGTTTGTTCAGGGTCAAACTTCAACTTGTTTCTGTTCATTTTGGCATAGTCGGAGTTCATGTAGATGTTGAAGGAAATAGAACCAAGTCCCACCACACAAATACCCACCAATCCAAGAACGGTGCTTCTGTGGATGATATCTGTTGCTCTGACTCTGAAAGGAAGTTGTTGTGACATTTTGAAAGTAGTGATGAAAATCAAGTGATACAGAAAACGAGCAGAGATTGGTGCGCACTGAGAATTTTATATTCTATAAACACAAATTATATCAAGTACTTGATATACTCGTGGCCAACCAAGTCGATCTCCACGAGCACCGGATTGGAATATACCACTTGCAACAACCAGCTGCGATTGTATAACCTGAAAATATTGACCAACTCGTCGGCATTGGGGAACTGCTGAAACTGGCTTATTATGTAGTCCAAGATATCTTTGGCAAGTAGATTGATTTTGTTCAATTTCAATCCCGTGGAACTGAACAAGATCTTGCTATTTAACAGCTCTAATGACTGTTGGAACTTGGCAGTATCAATCGAGCCGATAGGCAATTGTTCGTTTATATCCCTCTTGTCCACCACCACTTTCTTCTTCAATGCCTCATAATTGGCAACATCAATGTCAACCGCAAATTGTCTGGGCTGAATGCCTCTGATGATGAACTTTTTCTTAGGGGGCTCTACGTTTTTCAACATCACCACCATAGCTTCAGAGTTCGGAAATGCATTCGTCACATTCTTGATAAAGTCGACTGCTGGTAATAATTCAGGAAATTCAGCCAACTTGTTTTTCCAGATGGGTTCAAATTGTTTCTCGTAGGCCTTCCACAAAGAAATCTGGGTGACTTCACCAATGACACCTTCGCTGGGGGTGTCATCATCGTAGCTATCGTTGAAGATAGGTTCATAGCAGCATCTCAACCAAACACTCGATCTCATTGGCTCGGGAAATTTGGAAATTATATCATACAAGTTTGAAGACAATAAAGGTGGTTCCAGGGGAACACTGGAGTGGTTTGATCTCTTGGCCAAGTGTTCTTCGATTTTATGTTCGGTTATCGGTTCGTTCAACATCACGTCTGTAGTCAACAACACGGGTAATTGTTTTAACAAAGTGTGCAAATTCTTCTTGCTCGAGTTGATTTGTAAGAGTGTACTCAATCGGTTGAACTTAGACTCTTTTAAGCTTTGGTTCTTATCAGAAGCACCCGAGTTCAAGTACTGTTTTATGAAGTCCAATACCGAAACATTCAATTTTGGGTCATTGAGCAACAAGTAATTCAAAAAGTGCTCAAGATGCTCTTCTGTAAAGTTGTCGATACAGTTGTCGTAAAGCGGTACCAAACTTTCATCGCCTGATTTAGCATTATTTTGGTTGTTAAACTCTTTGTTCTCGTTATCAGAAATGGTATCGGCCTTGGTAAATAACAAGTGAGTTAAACAATTCAAAGAGCCAATAATCAAGTACTTGTCAGACGAGTTGGTGGAAATAAACAACATGAGGTTAAACAACTCGTCAGTCTTTGGGTTATTGATATAGTAACATGTCAAGGTGTCCAAAATATCGATGGTGTGGAAAAGGTACTCGACAAATTGGTCTTTGTACCTACCCAAGCTAAATCCAGGGCCATCTTTGTAAATCCACTCCACCAAGAGCTTGAGTACATCGGCGAGGTCCTGCTTGAACTCATAGATTTGTGAAAGCCATTGCTGGTTGGTGATATCTTGAATGGAATTCCTGATACTCAATAAAGCATCCAAGCTCAAGTTGACGGTTGAGTTGGAGATTTCATCGGCCTTGCCGTCTTGGATCAACCGAAATGGAACCATAAAGTACTTGATCAATTGTTTCCCCAAGTACTCGTTTTTCTCGAAATCTATCGTATCGGGAGCCACAAAAGACTGCTGGTAGGTTGACGCCAACGCCCACTCTACTTCGGAAGCGACATTTGACTTGAGCGACATGACGATTCTATCCATCAACGTGGCCCCCATATGACCGTTTCCAATGAGATTCATCTGGTTGACATTGCCGTTGATGGTGCTGGTGGAAGACGTATAGACATTGATAGGAACTGGTTGGACCGACATAGCAACAGAAAAATTGTACGGGTTATAAGGCTGAGTCTCAGAGGGCCAATACAGTCGATAGTTAATACTGTTGAAGAAATCAGATGGTCTCAACAAACACAAAGGTAGTACACGGTGGATTTCAAACAACTGAGCAGGAAAACTGGTCGCGGTGGTGGGCGCACTCCTTTACCATCGCGCTAGCACCGAGCACTGAGCACCGTGTGTGCCCGCACCGCAAAGAACGGCTCTGATAAGGGAGAACAAATATAAAGTCAGTCATTCCACTAGCACAAGTCAATTGTTAAAGGTGCTTGACGAACTGTTCTTAGATACCATTCGACTCAACCGTATAGTGTCATGAAGTTTTCGGCACTCTTATCGCTCGCTATGGCCACCAGTGCCGTCAATGCTGGGTTTCTTTCAGGGTTAAACCAGCACATCTTCAGTAATAACCACAAAGTTATTGACACCGAAGCTGACCACAAAAGCACCAATTCTTTGTTGCAGAAGTTAACTGTGGAATTAACCAACCCCGAATATGCCAAGGTCCCGGAATTGGCCGAGGCCTGGGCGTTTATCTCTGAAACTTTGTCTCCCAAGCAGATACAAAGAAAGGTTGACCAGTACACAAAACCTGTTAGCAAATTCAACAACAAGTTCAGGGGCCTCAAAGGTGTCAGAGAAGGATTCCAGACGTTGTCCCATGACAAGTTTGAAGGCTACTCCATTGATATCAAGCAGAACCACCCTGAAGCACTAGGTCTTGATACCGTTAACCAGTACACTGGATACTTGAACGTAGAAAAGTTGGGTAAACACTTTTTCTTTTGGTTCTTTGAAAGCAGAAACGACCCTGCTAACGACCCGATCATTTTGTGGATCAATGGAGGACCTGGATGTTCCAGTACCACTGGGTTGTTTTTTGAGTTAGGCCCTTCTTCAATCAACTCCACCATTCAGCCCGTGTACAACCCTTACTCGTGGAATGCCAACGCATCGGTGATTTTCTTGGACCAGCCTGTGGGTGTGGGCTATTCGTACACCGAAGGTGATCAGGTCAAAAATACTGCCACTGCTGCCAAAGATTTTTACGTTTTTGTCGAATTATTCTTCCAGAAATTCCCTGAGTTCAGAGGAAACAAGTTCCACATTGCTGGGGAGTCCTACGGAGGCCACTACATTCCCAGCTTTGCTGCTGAGATCATTAACAACGCTGATAGAACCTTTGAATTGTCGTCGGTGTTGATTGGAAACGGTATCACCGATCCTCTTATCCAGTACAAGGCGTACCGTCCTATGGGATGTGGAGAAGGAGGATACAAGCTGGTATTGGATGAAGAAACCTGTGAGCAAATGGATAGTGACTACCCCAAGTGTGCTGTATTGACTGAGTTGTGCTACAAGTTCCAAAACCCTCTTACTTGTGTTCCTGCCACTGTTTTCTGTGAGAAAAAGTTGTTTGGACCTTATGACGAAACCGGCTTAAACCCCTACGACATCAGAAGACCTTGTGATGAACCCGGTGGAGAATGTTACAGCGGCATGAATTACATTGATGAGTTCTTGAACAGTGAATACGTGAAGGCTACCGTCGGAGCTGAGGTGGATATTTTCACTTCTTGTGACGATACCGTGTTCCAAAACTTCATTTTGGATGGAGATGAAATGAAGCCATTCCAACAGTATGTGGCAGAATTGTTGGAAAAGGACGTTCCTGTATTGTTGTATGCTGGTGATAAAGACTATATCTGTAACTGGTTGGGTAACCACGACTGGTCCGATGCTTTGGAGTACTCTGGACATCAAGCGTTTGAACTGGCACCTTTAAGAACTTGGGTTACTAACAACAACAAATTCGCTGGACAGGTCAAGAATTACAAGAAGTTTACGTTTTTGAGGGTCTACGACGCAGGACATATGGTTCCGTACGATCAGCCTGAAAATTCTTTGGACATGGTCAACACATGGATTCTGGGTGACTATTCTTTTGGCTATTAGTGTATATGGTTGCAATAAATGATGCGCAGGGGGGGGCTGGAGCCCTCCTCTTTAAGTTTTGGACCCGAGCGTCGGGAGAAAAGTCGTGTGTTTATCGCCCGAGATTTTTCACCTCATTACCTAAAGACGAGCGCAGAAAACTTTTCAGTTATCCCAACTATACACAAAATGGCTACGTATGTAAACCACCCACCAAAGACCCCTTAATGTTTGTAGATATCAGGCATTAGCAGAGGGCATGAGAGACGAAGCGAATATTATTATCCTTTCCTCCCAAGAGGCCAAGGGAATTCAAGATTATCTTGCAGCTGATTATTCAATTACACTCAAAGTGCCGATGCCTGATAAATCTGTTTTCCTCTGAGTCTAAACAACCGTACCGGGGATGTGATTGGGAATGAACGTGGCTGTTCAGTTCCTCAATCGACCAAGAGTTTTTGTGGCTCTGGAAACATCCTGATGGTACTGATATTATGGACTAAGAGTAAATAGGTTTTCATCCCCAGGGAGTCATTATATGACTTTTTACACCTTACTAACTATTCACAGTACCTTGAAACCAGAAACCTTGATCAAGAAAAAGAAGACCGACGAAAAGATCTTGAAGCAAAGAGCTGCTGACAGAGTCGTCAGAAAAGCCGTATGTATAAATTTTCAACCCTAGTTCTTGATATGGTAGTTGATAAAACCCATATATTTTTGAAGATGAAGACACCAATCTGTATTCGGCTAGCTACGGCAATGTTGTCAATCGTTAACCATCTTTCGGGACTGAGAAAATAGAAGGATCAAAAGAACTATATCATATATGATTATGTTACTAACAACCTTTAGGCTAACAAGGAAAAGAGAAAGGCCATCTACGAAAGAAACGCTGCCTACACCAAGGAATACGCTGAAGCCGAAAGAGCCATCATCTCTGCCAAGAGAGATGCTAAGGCTGCTGGTTCTTACTACGTTGATGCTCAACCAAAGTTGGCTTTCGTCATCAGAATCAAGGGTATCATGAAGATTCCACCAAAGCCAAGAAAGGTTTTGCAATTGTTAAGATTGACCCAAATTAACTCTGGTGTGTTTGTCAAGTTGACCAAGGCCACCACTGAGTTGTTGAAGTTGGCTGACCCATACATTGCTTACGGTTACCCAAGTTTGGCTACCATCAAGCAATTGACTTACAAGAGAGGATTCGGTAAGGTCAACAAGCAAAGAGTTCCTTTGTCTGACAATGCCATTATCGAAGCTAACTTGGGTAAGTATGGTATTTTGTCTATTGAAGACTTGATCCACGAAATTTACACTGTTGGACCAAACTTCAAGCAAGCCAACAACTTTTTGTGGCCATTCAAGTTGTCTAACCCAACCGGTGGTTTCAGATCCAGAAAGTTCTTCCACTTTATCCAAGGTGGTGACTTCGGTAACAGAGAAGAGTACATCAACGCTTTGGTTAAGCAAATGAACTAAGTTGTATAGGTTTGTACATTTACTACACGTTAATCACTAAGTTGTGAAGTAATACTTCTATCTTGTCTCAAACCAGTCTCCCATTTGGTATGCCAAATACTCGAGCCACTGAAATTCTTTCCACCAAACCATTGAAACTGGGTACTCATCCCCCCAGTGGTTGATTCCATATGTGTCGTAGATATACTCAGCTCCTGAATTGTGGTTGTTAAAGACATTCAAGGTAATGAAATAAAAAATCCGTAGAATCGTCATGATTATAATACAGGTGATGATTAAGGTAACAACATTCACAAACACAATCCCCACGTTCTTGTGTTGTTCTTTATACCTATAATACATTCTATACTGTTTTAGTAGCGGGATCTTGAAGAGAAACTGTTGTAATTCCTCACTATGGTTGTCAGACTGCAACCTCAACTTACTTTGAAGTGAGTCGATTAACTGGTTCTGCTGCTCCAAATTGGCCGTCAAGTTTTTGATGACAGAGTTCTCTTTCAACTTCTCAAACTCTTTCTGATACTGTTCACACATGCTTTCTAGTACTTTTATAGTTTTGTCTCGTTGGTTGCACTGGTTGATAAGGTCTCGTGTCACCAGGTCTTGGGACTTATTACCTTTGGTGGAGGTTACAATGGACGTACTCCTTGCCTCTTTTTCGAGGGTCTCGATATAGTCTTTCAAGCTCTGGTTTTGTTTCTCGAGACTTCGTATCCTGAACTGATGTTCTTTGTTCAGGCTCTGCAAATCACTATTTTCACGAGAAATCAATGATATGTGGTCCTCCCTTTGGTTGACTTGATTCTCCTGCATATTCATTGATTTGAAGGACCCAAGGCCTCTTTTCATGAATGGTCTCGACATGTGGTTAACAGTTTGATTGGGGGATAATGGGTATGATTTGGAAGGATTGGTGATCAATGAAACCAAGTTTGCTCGAGATATACCAGTTCGCTCTGTTAGAAACCTCAAAAGACTTGTATGTTTTACAAGCTTCAACACGAAGTTTTTGAGTTCCAGCTTGTATAACTTTAAGGTGGGTTTATCTTGAATCATCTCGTTCAAAAGTTTTGTTTCATCATGTTTAAGAAAGTTCTGTCCGTTCAATTGGAGCTCCAATTCCGATATGAGCTCTCGTAGTTGTAGGACATAAATGTAATCTTTCCCTTTGCTGACGGTGTCCCAGCACTTGTGCACAAAGTTATCCACCACTTCTTCGGAGTCCATTTTGTTTTGAGATGTGGTAGCTGATAGATATTTGTGTACGCGAAACAGCGCGCACCTCGACGAAGACGTGTTGGCTGCAAAATAGAACGGTACGAGGCTATTATACATAACCATCTATATTGTCGTTATATGGTTTCCCAGTGTTACTGATGGGTATATTTAACTAATGGTTGTTTTTTGAGCAATTTACGTTTGATTTTGATGGAGTTGTGGGAGTCTTCAAAGTCTTTGGTGGATTTCACAAGATTTATAAGAACTGTGAGTTTTGTATAATACAATTTATATTACAGACATAAAGATTTGTTACCCTTTATTTTCGTAGGGATTATTGTTTTCAAATGTTAAGTTGGTTTTCAGTTTCACAAGCGGTGAACCGTTAGCTTCAGACTGGTAGGTGTTACCATTGGCTTCATTTGTTTCTGGTTGCAAAATATCAGGTCCGTGAACTTCAGGTGGTATAACAGCAACATGATTTTCTTGAGGTGAAGTCTTACCGGGAAGAGCTACTTCTTTAGTTACTTCAACATGGTTTGAGACTGAGAAACTTGGAACTTGAGAGCTTGGTTTGGAAGCTGGATCAGAATCGGGCATTATATAGTCAGCATCATTTTGACCAGATTCAAGTGGAAGAGCAAGGGTTGCAGGTTCTGGTAAACTAGTTTGTTGTACTGTAGCTGTAATATCTTCAGTCCTCTCAGTATTAGTAGCCGATTCTTCCAAAGGTGGTTCAATTGGAGTATCGGGTGTGTAGGTCCTCGGTTGGGTCTCTGGTGAAGTGTGAAGTGCTTCCTGAATCGGTAACAAGCCAAGAACTGAATATGATGGTGAGCGAACAGCAGCAGGCAATGCTACATGAGGCTTTTCAGAGTCGACTTTGGAGTAAGGATAAAACAGAATCGTCAGAGACCCTGAAAGCCCAAGTTCTTCAACTGGAGCCGATTCTTCAACTGGAGCAGGCTCTTCAACTGGAGCAGGCTCTTCAACTGGAGCAGGCTCTTCAAGAGTAACTGGTTCTTCTATTGGCGCTGGTTGTTCAACTGAAGCTGGCTCTTCAACTGGAGCTGGCTCTTCAAGAGCAATTGCCTCCCTAACCGAGACAGGTGGGTCTTTGGCAACCTCTTCTGTCGAAATTTGCGGTAATTCAACATGCTGTGGTACTTCTTCTCTTTTTTGTGAAACTTCAGTCATTTGTGTGTAGTCTTGAGACTGCCCTACACGAGTAGTTTCAGGGTGAAGTTGTTGGGTAAAATCCATCAAAAGCTGCACTTGCTCAAGTTCAGAATCATCTAAAGGCGTGGACAATTGTGAATCCTTGACAACTTCCTGCTCTAAATGTGGTTCACCTTCGGCCGCCGAATTTGGGTGTGATACACCATTATTTATAACAATATTGGTGTCAAAGTCTTGAGGGTGTTCTTTAGTTTCATTTTCCAAAGCAATTACCTGGTTGGGGACAGTCAACTCTTGTTTTGCAACCAAAGAAGCCTGGTTCTCTATTGTAAAATCTTGGTCATGCTCGCTATCTGGAAGAACAACGTCCACTTGGCTTCTATCAGTTTCGGGAATTTCCTTATCGCCTCTATCAAGATCTGTCACGTTGGTTTCAGGCACCACAGCTTCCGTAACACGCGACCAAGCAGCTTCCAGGGGTTTGCTCAACTTTTCTAGATCACTAGCACTCTCGTTGAAGTCTGTAGAAACATCCACGGTCTCAGTTTCATCAAGATCATTAGCTGCTTCAACTAGAGCATCTATTGGAGAGTAGCTGATGTGGTTCTGTGGACTTTCCTTTGACTTCACCGGTCTATCAGGGGAACGTTTTGCACCAGTGGGTGGTGACTGAGGAACGGCTGACGGAGGAGATTGGGCCTGTGTTTTGTTCCAACGTTGATACTCTTCAACCCTTTGTTTTAAACTTTTTATTGACTCGTACTTTCTGATGGAGGTTAGCAACTCGTAGTACAAGTCCTCAAGAAGAATAGCAGCTCCATAAACTTTCCGAAATATGAAGTATAACTGGCCAAGTGTCTCGTCAATGGAGAGGTCCAGCTGTTTGATCCTAGTAACCTGATGGGTATATAGGATTCCTGCCTTTTGTACGATGTTATTCAACTCCACCAACTTGAGGTACTCTTGAGTGGGGTGGATTTGAAGTCTCTTCATATCTTCTGTGAACTTTATCAAGTCCAACAGGGACATTTGCTGAGACATATGATTGTCTTCGTTCTTACCTGAGGATACCAATTCACACACCGGACAAATGAAAACTTCGTCATCATCAAGCTCGTTTTCTTCGACCTTTACCTCTTCTTTTTTGAGTTTCTTGGATTCTCTCTTCTTCTTAGCCTTCTCACCACTCTTAGATTTCTTTGTGTCTTCCGTCTTTTCCTCTTCCTCGACGGTGATGGTGTTGGAATCGTTAACGTCTTTTATACATGAATCATGGTACCATTCTTTACACTTATCACACTCGATCATTGTTCCGAATTCGTATTCCCGACAAACACAGTAGATTTGGTGCATGTTGATATCATCATTGTCATGAAGAAACAAAAACGTAGTGGAGTTGGGGTAAGTGTCATCTTCGGTAGAGAAGCTTATATGGCATTTTCCCATAAACTTCTGTAACAACTTGATGAGCTCAACCGAAACAGCTCCTTTGGTATCAGCATTTTGCATGTCAATACTGGTGGTTGTCACCAAATTCAAGTTCTTGAGTAGCTTGGTGTAAGTTTCAAGGAATTTTTCTGTGGCCTCGATAGGTTCATCGATCAATTTCCAGTCTTTGGGGCTGATAGGAAGCTTGGTCTCCTTTAATTCTTGCTGAAGCTTTTTTGCTTCTTCAAACAGGTACTCCTTTTCACCAGTTCGAAGATGATTGTTGAATTCATACAACCGTTGTAAAGTTTCCAAGGATGCCTTGAAGTCCAAGAGTTCATCGAACCTGTTGATATCAATAAAAATCCGATTTTCATTAGGTAATTTGAGCTTTTCATCGATCTCATCGATTAAGTTATCCACATCTTTGATAGAGGATATATTGAGCTCCTCGAGGGCTAAACTGTGTTCCATTCGCTTGGTAATAGAATGGCTGTTTTTGATGGTTTTTTCAATGATCAGAATCTTGTCAACATCTTTCGAGCCAAGAAGCTCTAAACCTTGCTGATAGAATTGTTCCAAGTCCTTTAGGGTAAAAAGTCTCTTTTTGTCTTTGAGAGGCTCACCACCAGACACAATGATATCAAAAGTCGCCATCCACTTCATTCTATCCCTTATCCTCATGATGAACTCAAGCGAGCTTAATCTGATCCCAAAAGACTTGCCGAAATTGATCAAATCATTGAACTCTCTGAGGGAGGGGTTTTCTTTGGATATCAACAACCGAGTGCTTCTTTCGAAGTTTTCAATTTCATTCTTGAACTCGATAATTTGGTCAACTTCCACACAGTCAAAGTTTAACGAAGGGATTTGGGAGATTAACTTAATCATCTGGGGAATTATTTCATTGGCGTCCGACAACACCTGTTCATCATCACCAGCATTTCTTATTCTCTGCTGATGTTTGATTGATATAATGGCCTGGCAGTCTTCAACAAACTTATTGGCCTCGTTTATAAAAGCTTTCAAGGACGCCAACTGGTGCTTGAAAGAAGTAACCATGATGGATTCTTTTTCACCGATTAGCCTATTGTAATGCTGAGCAACACTAAGATTGATGAGTATCTTTTCCCCATCTACAAGCAAAGCCTTGTAGTTCTTCAAAGGCATGGAAAAGTTTTCTTCCATCACCTCTTTATATTGCGACATCCACCCATTATAATCATCAGAATAGTTGGACAAGATTCTGCTGAACAGCCTTAACTTTTCATCGGAAACAAACAAGTGTAATTCGGCCCTTATTGACCCATCGTTAAGGTCGGGGATAGTCTTGGAATCGAGGTGCTCTTCTGCTTTGTTGATATCCAAGTACTCCAAGAAGCTTTTTATAGATATATTCAACCTTTGGTTTGTGTGCACATCCAAAAGGACAACTTTGGAAGGAAACACATTAGCCAATGTGTCGTCCGATATGTAGGTGGTATCATTAAGCGATTTTTCGTCGATTGTAGTCTCTCTTATGGCAATCTGGTTCCGAAGTTCGTTTCTGAGCTCGAGTTCTTCCTCATATAGCTTGTTATACAACAGAGACACACCACTGTGCACAGAAGAATTTAAGCATAATTTGGAGGAAGAAACGGTATTCAGGTCGAAGCTCAGGAGCAAGTTAACAAGCAATCTGAAGGTTGAGAAACTGGGCAAAATCTGATGCTGAAGTAACCACTTTTCTCCTTCAATGGCATAATCGAGCCAAAGTGCGGACGCAAAGTTGGTTTCCTCACTTATACTGAGACCTAAAGATACGTTGAAGGCATAAGTTTTGGGATAGGTGATGATATAATCTCCTGGTTTCTGGAGCACTGTGTGGAAAGTGATACCAAGCTCTGTCAATTTCGAAGGGGAAATGAACAGATCCAAAACTGGGGGTTTGGAGGTTTTGTGCTCAATTAACTGTTGGAATACTCGGTTGGAATGCTTCAATCTGATATCGTCAGCGTCTGAGCTGTACAAGGATTGTTTCAACGCTTCGAACTTGATACGTTTATTCTCATTCGTATCATCGAAATACTTCAAACATTCGTCTGTAGTGGGAACTGCTTGCTCTTTTCTGACAGACTCCAAGTAGTTCTCAAACTTCTCGAAATCCAGCTCAGGCACAATGTACCATTTCTTGAACCCGGTAAGTTGATGGTTGATTCGGAGGGTAAAGTGATCTTCACAGCGCCAGGGATCTGTGGAAAACGTCATTCCCACAACCACTGTTGGGTCTGTTATTCTGGAGTTCAAGTCGTTTTCGTGAAGTGCGCTCAATAAGGAATTGGGTAATACAGAAACATTGCACAAGCTCCAAGGGCTCATTGAATCAGCTTCAAACTGGGTCAGGTTGGATAAGGAATCGTTTATATTGGATCCCAACCCGCTTTTCCGCAAAGGGACTCGTATGGGGTTGAGTGAGTGTTGGTTGAAGTCAGGTATAGTAGACCAGTATTGGGATTCAAGGGCCTCTAGGGAGATTTGGGAACCTCCAGTAACGAAATTTTGGAACTCGGCGTCCTCTGCTATCACCAGTTCCAATGTTGAACCAGAGACACCACGGGCAGTGTCGTCGATATTTATCAGGTTGTCCAATACGCTTTTGATGTGGAAGTTCAACTGCGAGCATGGGGAAAGTGAATTCTGCAGAATTTCCACCAGAACTGGAGATTCTAGAAGAAACCCTTTTTGGGATTTGACTTTCACCGACCGCTTAAAGCGCTTGTAGGAACCACAGACAGAGTGGAGCATTCTTTTGCCGGTATTATTCATTTCAAGCGAGTCCATCTGGCTGGCTTCAAATTTTAACAAGTAGGTGGAATAGATAGACTTGACTGGCCGGTCATTAAACCGGATCGAAAGAGAGTTCCATTGCGATTCGCTGAGTTCGGAGAAACCACCTAGCTCGGTCACAGTCGCGTAGAGCTCGTACAAATCGATTGGTGACGGAGCCTTTTCAGGCGCAGTTGAGGGTGAAGTTGATGGTACTTCAGCCTGAATCATCTTATGCCATTGGAGGTAGCGGTGGCAGAACCGGAGACGGGATAGGATGCTGACGGAGGATTCTGGGGATTGGAAAGGGTTTTTGGCATCAAACTGAAAGTTGTTCAAGCTGACGGAATGAGGGTGCCGATGGGGTGAGACCTTAATTGCACCACCCAATTTCCCTTGGCGGCCGTACCGCTGTACCACATCCACAGGATCCTTGCACGTATCGGTGTCGGTCGTAACGTGCACAATTGCCGTGGGAAGAGAAGGGGTTTTGGTATCGTCCTTGATGGCTGCGTTGAGTCCGTGTGAGCATGGTTGAAGCGATGGATGTAGATTGAGATTCAGAGGCACTGGAACCAGCAGAAAAGTTGTCAGAGATCCTGAATCCGTATCAGTCACTACTCCTGTAGGGCCGGTACCAATATACTGCGATGCTGGAGTTACCACATTCTTGTGTTCATTGGATCCACACATGTAGCGGTATAGTGAAAAAGTCAATGCGCGCTTTCGCACTTGCACAAATACATTTGCAAGTGGTATGTCCCTTCTAATACCTACCGCACAGGACTACAAGGACGCTAGGGCTGGGTACGATCTCCTACCCGCGTACCGTGAGCTGCTAGAACAACGGCGCCACGAGAAAACTGACGAGGGAAAGCCCAAATTTGGATGGGAATTCAGTGTGGAGCCGGGGTTCTTCCACCAGAGCGACGACAGCACTGACGACCTAAACTTCAACTACGCTACACATGATTTCGGGCGCAAAGAGCCGTGGGACGAGCTCACGGCGCGGCTTGCGCGATTGAACGGTCAGTCGGCCACCACCAAATACAAGCTTTTGTTCCTTGCTCGTCATGGACAGGGATTCCACAATGTAATTGTGTCCAAGTACGGGCTGGCGGAGTGGCACCGCAAATGGCACCGGCTTGGGCGCGACGGGGACGTGGAGTACGCCCCGGATCCGCGGTTGACTCGGTTGGGTGAGGCCCAGGGGCGCGAGAACCACGCGGTGTGGCGCGCCCAGTTGGCGGCAGGGTGCCCGCTCCCCACGCGGTACGTGGCGCTGCCGCTTCAGCGGTCGTGCAATACATTGCTACTCACAATGGGCGGGTTGTGGCCCGAAAACACGGCGGTGGAGGTGGTGGAGTCGGTGCGAGAAATCATCGGCTACCACTTGTGCAACAAGCGGTCAACAAAAACCCAAATTCTCGAGCGGTTTAGCAGCCATGGGTTTGTCACTGAACCAGGGTTTACCGAGGAAGATGAGTTGTACACAGAGCAGGAAGAGAAATTTGACGACATGTGTTTTCGAATGAACGGGTTTTTGCAGAGGGCTTTTGATGAGTGGGATGATAGTGTGCTAAATGTGACTTCACACGGCGGTACAATCAAGTGTCTTTTGGCGGTGGTGGGCCACCGTAACTTCACGATTTCCACTGGAGGAATGATTCCGGTAGTGGTGAAAGCCACTAGAACCCAGGAGAGGTTGTAGATGTAAATAGACATACAATGCATAAGATGATGCACGCGACGGGAGTTGGGTAAAAACTCCGCATTAACCTGTAAATAAGGTCAGGGACGGAATGCGGAGTTGAGAAAGCCCGAGCAAGTGGTGCCGCCGCTGGTGCAAAAGTACTGCGGAGGATCGCGGTGTTAGGCACATGATCGGGCTGATTTTCACATGGTGCGGTCGTTCACATGATTGAGATGCCACTCCGAGGAACCGTAGGAGAGATGAGGCCAGTAGAACACTCAATTACAAGGCTTGAAGACAATTCTGAATAGCATTACCAGAATCATACAGGTACATACATCTACCTAGCGTTTTTTCGGGCTCCGAAACTCCCATCTACACCCACCCACGGGTTCTGTAAAAATGGCTGATGGTTTCTGTGAAAATGGCTGATGGTTCATTTTCACAGATGTGCGCGATTCTCCACAAAATGCTGCTCAACTATATAAACCAACTGATATATCACATACACATACACAAACAATAAATTCACCATGACCGTCACCAAAGTGGTCAACTCCAGCGCTCCTCCGGCGCCCAAAAACTTTATTCAGGCTGAGCGAGACGCAGCCGTTTTCAACCCTGAAGTCATGAACTACTTTCTCGAAGGATCGCAAGAACGGTCTCAAGAAACAAAAGCCATGATTCAGCAGATGGAAAGAGACCCGATCTTGGCAGCCCGTTCCAGTGACTATGACATGACCAAGGCTGAGGCCAGAGAAAACACGATTGCCAAAATCAACCGGTTGCTGAGATACATTGAAAGTGAGACATTTGATGAATTTGAAAGAAGAATGTCATTAATCTCGGTATTTGACCCCCAATTACACACCCGGGTGGGGGTGCATCTCGGATTGTTCATTGGATGCATCCGAGGTAACGGAACCTTTGCCCAGATGAACTACTGGGTGTTGGAGAAGGAAAGCGCGTTTATCAAGAACATCTACGGGTGTTTTGCCATGACCGAATTGGCACACGGGTCCAACGTGGCGGGATTGGAAACCACCGCCACCTACGACGAGGACAACGACCAGTTCATCATCAACACGCCTCACGTCGGTGCTACCAAGTGGTGGATCGGAGGTGCAGCCCACTCGGCCACACACTCTTCTGTATACGCCAGATTAATTGTCAAGGGCAAGGACTATGGTGTCAAGACGTTTGTGGTGCCCTTGAGAGACTCCAACCACGAGTTGATGCCCGGGGTGACAGTGGGGGACATCGGGTCCAAGATGGGCAGAGAAGGAATTGACAATGGGTGGATCCAGTTTTCCAACGTCAAGATCCCCCGGTTCTTCATGTTACAGAAATATGCCAAGGTGGATTCCAACGGGAACGTGGAGCAGGCAGCTCTCAACCAGTTGTCGTACTCGGCGTTGTTGGGTGGCCGGGTGGTGATGGTTAAGGATGCGTTCAGATGGTCATCGCGGGTCATCACCATTGCTACTCGGTATGGAGTGGGTAGAAGACAGTTTCAAGCGGCCAAGGCCAAGGAACTGGACCCGGAGAGTCAGCTCTTGGACTACCCATTGCACCAACGGCGGTTGATTCCGATTTTGGCCATGTGTTATGCCTTCTCCAATGGAGCCAACGTGTTGGCCGACTACGCCAAAGAGGCCAACGAGATCTTGGACCTGGCGGTGGCCAACGACGACAAGGCCGGTATCGACCGCGGAGTCGCCTTGGCCAAGTCGTTGTTTGTGGCCAGTGGCTCGTTAAAGTCCACATGTACCTGGTTGACCTTGAACAACATTGATCAGTGTAGACAGGCGTGTGGGGGGCATGGCTACTCTGCCTATTCGGGCTTTGGAAAGGCCTACAACGACTTTGCCGTGCAGTGTACCTGGGAAGGTGATAACAATATCTTGGGAATGTCTGTGGGTAAGCAATTGGTGAAGAATATCAAATCAGTGTTGGAAGGTGGTGAAAAGCCTGAGGGAATCTTGGAGTTCTTGAACAATGCTCCCAAGTACATCAACAACAAGGATGCCATTTTGGACTCCGATGCGTTGTCAGACACCAGTAAGCTTTTGCAGGCGATTCAGGTGGTGTTGATCCGTGGGTCTTATCAATGTTTGAAGGCATTGGAGGCCAATGGTGAAGATTGGGATTATATTGGGGCTGACTTGGTGACGTTGTCCAAGTTGTTGGCCCACTTTTTCTTGTTGAAGGCATTTTTGGACAAGATTGACTCCATGAGCTCGCCTGACGAAAAGGTGTTGGTGGAGATTTTGGATAAGTTGGCACAATTATACTCGGCCACCATTGTATTGGAGGCATTTTCCGGGTTCTTTTTGTCTTACTCGGTGATTCTGGCCGATGCCATGACCACCTTAACCACCGGTAGAATCCAGGAGTTGTGTAGCCAGATCCGGCCACACGTGATCCCCTTGACGGACGCGTTCCAGTTGTCAGACATGATGATCAACTCGTCCTTGGGAGGTTATGACGGGAACTTTTACGAGGAGTACTTTAAGATTGTCAAGGACAACAATCCGGCACCGGGAAGCTTCCATGCTCCATACACGGCCTCGATTAAGGCGATGTTGCAGAGACCTAGTTATGATGATCGGACGAGACAGGAGTTTACTGATGAGACAGCGGAGCTGTTGGACCCGGAAGAGGATGATTAGAGTAGATAGTAATGAATTGAAGAAGAGTTAGTGTAGGTGAGTGACAGTAATGACAGTCTAGTGATAGTAATGACAGTCTAGTGATAGTAATGACAGTCTAGTGATAGTAATGACAGTCTAGTGATAGTAATGACAGTCTAATGATAGTCTAGTGACAGTAATGACAGTCTAATGATAGTCTAGTGACAGTAATGACAGTTTTATGACAGTAATGACAGTCTAGTGAAATTTTAATGACATTAATGACAGTCTAATCTAATGACAATCTAATCTAATGACAGCCTTTTATTAGCCTACTGACAGGGTCGCAAGGCGGCAAAACCCAAACCCCCAAACCCCAAAAAGACTTCTCCTCCGCTACTCTTAGACATACGCGATACCGATGCTTATTCTAAAAATAGGGCTTCTAAATATAACTGCGATGACAGCCGCTCGACCTCGATTCACCCCTATATATCTCCTTCCACGATCCAGACCAATCTATAAAATCAAAACTTAAAACTAAGCTCCCACCATTAGGCCTACACCGGGTGGTACCCCTGAACCCTGGAAGGCCCGAGGTGCTAACATGAAAAAACTGTCATCATCTCCAGCTCCTCTGGATTCGACTACCACACCCCACTGTAGATCGCCATAGTAAGAATGCCGTTGAGTTCGTATACCAGGCCTTCCAGGCCTTCACCAAAACTCTATCTCTGTGCCTCTTACCTGTACCTCCTACAATCTGTATCATCTTCCTCAACTAAATCCGCACCGTTTTTATGTGCGTAACTTTTCAAAACAGCTTTTTCTAGTTTATTGGTGGCACCTTTTTAACCACAACACTTGCCGCTATCTGTACGATCATCCACGCCTCCAGTAAAGTATCTGACTGAGCTTCCACCATCAACTCCAATCAACCATGGGAAGAAGAAAAATCGAAATCCAGCCTCTAACCGATGACCGGAACAGAACCGTCACCTTCGTCAAGAGAAAAGCCGGATTGTTTAAGAAAGCCCACGAGTTGGCTGTTTTATGCCAGGTCGAACTCGCAGTCATCATCGTGGGAAACAACAACAAGCTCTACGAGTTCAGCTCCGTCGACACAAACGAACTCATCAAGGTATACCAAAATACTCCCAAAGTTCATGAATCAAAATCTCCTGCCAACTATGGGAACTACAAGAAAAAAAAGTATGTGAAGACTCGTACCATGATCCATGACGACGAGGAGGTGGACCACGATGACGACATAGAAGAAGAGGATGGTGATGGTGATTATGACAGCGATACGCCAGAGCCACCGAGAAAACGGTCCCGGCAGGCGACACGTGAGACCAGGCGAGTGCGGCCGCCGGCACCCAACCATATCTCGTTGACCAACGTACCAACGTTTAATTCGTTCCGCAACCACGCCATTAAAGAGGAAGACGAAGAGGACGTGAGGGTCGCTCGTCGTGGCTTCCGCCCTGAGTCCACCACCAGGCCGGTGCTACGGGTGCAGATCCCGACCGATGCCAAGGGCCAATCAGCTGATAGTGCCAGGACTGTTACGGCCCTTGAAACAACTCATCCAGTGGGAGGGCTTCCTTCCAAACTGCTGCAGATGCATACCAGTGATACCCCTGAAAGCTCCAAAAGTGACATGCGGGCAGCGGCCCCAGGGCTGGTGGGATCCAATGGATCTGTCAGTGGCCCTAGTTTAAATACCCCCAAATTCCTGAGTTTTGGAGCTTTTAGATCACCTGCCACCGCCAAACATCTTCCTGCATTGCCCATTCCTATCCACCTGAAGTCCCAGACACTGCTGCCACTGCTGGCCACTGCTCCTCAACTCCCAACTGGTGGAGGTGGTCCCGGTCAGTTCTTCAATACTCTCCCACAACCATCACCCTCATCGCAGTTCCCTCCAGGATCCATGCAAACACCCATATTTAACCAGATGTTTGCCAACGACCAACGGTACCGCTTCCACTCTCTGGCGTCTATTGCTGGTGCTAATGGCAACAATGGACCCAATGGGAACCCAGGTGGTGGGGGTGCTAATAATGGTGGTGTCCAACCATCGGGTGAAATGCCAATGCTGGCACTCCCATCCCGATATATTAATGACATTTTCCCGTCGCCGTATAATTTTTACGTGCCACTGGACTGGCCTCAAAGTGGATCCGGTATGACTCCCTACCATAGTCTTCCGCAGTATTTCATGAATATTCCTCCCAACCAAGGCTCATCTCGCGGTGGTGGGAATGGCGGGCTTGGACTCGCGGGTGGTAGTGGTGGTGGTGGCAGCGGGGGCGGGGGTGCCCCCACTGTTGGTCACGATATTGGTAGCTCGACCAACCAACTGGTCCCCACCATCCTGACAACTGGAACCAAAACTGGGACAACCACCTCCTCATCGGCGGGCCTGACCCTGACCCCGTCACAGCAGAGTACTAACCTGGCACCCCTGCTCCCTCCTCCCAGTGTAGTTCAGCAGCAACAGGTGCCGTCGTACCAGGATCCATCATCATTGCTGTTTATGGGACAGCAGTATCAGCAGGGGAAGAAGAGTTGATGTAGTTATTAATGTACTATAGACCTGTAACTAATAAATATGAACGAATTTGCAGCCATGGTGAACATGATTAAAAGTCCACGCGTGAACCACTTCCTACCAGGGCTGGTGCCCCTCTCCCACAGTCACGGCGCCCACACGACCCTCGCACTTTTTTTTTCATCGCTCCTTAATCTGCAGGTTCGCAGTCCGTCTTTCTCTCGACCTTTACTGAGATTTTTTTTCAATCAAAACTCATAGGATAAATTTTTATTACTAGCTATACATCAAATATGAAGGTATGTTTCCTATCCAACCTATGCTTAGAAGAATTTACACTATGTGGCTCGTTACGTTCATGTTCAACCCCCTTTATCCCCACCATTTGAAGACCGCCTCCACCCTGATTTATTTGTATGAAAAATTCATCGTGAAAATTTTTAGTCGATCGTATCCTATTCATTAATGCCCATCCCAAGTTCTGACGCCATACGTGTTCTTTGCCGACGAAACTCATACTAACTCCTCTAGTTAAATATTTCTTATCCAGCTAACGGTACCCAAAAGAGTGTGGAAATCGATGATGACCACAAATTGGCTGTGTTCATGGAAAAGAGAATGGGCCAAGAAGTTGAAGGTGACTCTGTTGGTGATGAGTTCAAGGGTTACATCTTCAAGATCACCGGTGGTAATGACAAACAAGGTTTCCCTATGAAACAAGGTGTTATGCACCCAACCAGAGTTAGATTGTTGTTGACCAAAGGTGCTTCTTGTTACAGACCAAGAAGAAACGGAGAAAGAAAGAGAAAGAGTGTCAGAGGTTGTATTGTTGCCCAAGACTTGGCTGTCTTGTCCTTGGCCATTGTCAAGCAAGGTGACAGTGAAATTGAAGGTTTGACCGACGCTTCTGTTCCAAAGAGATTGGGACCAAAGAGAGCTAACAACATCAGAAAGTTCTTTGGTTTGACCAAGGAAGACGATGTCAGAGAATTTGTTGTCAGAAGAGAAGTCACTAAGGGTGAAAGAACCTACACCAAGGCTCCAAAGATCCAACGTTTGGTGACTCCACAAACCTTGCAAAGAAAGAGAGCTTTGAAGGCCAAGAAGATCCAAAACGCCCAGGTCCAAAGAGATGCTGCTGCTGAGTATGCCCAATTGTTGGCTCAACGTTTACACGAACGTAAGGCTGAAAAGGCTGAAATTAAGAAGAGAAGAGCTTCCTCTTTGAAGGCTTAGGAATGAAGAATGCAATAATAGGAATCTATTTTTTTCATAAATAAAACCGAATATATAATACATGTTTATTTATCAGAAGGCCCCACTCGCTTGACGGTTGTGCCTGGTACCGGGGCTGATCCTCGTTTACGGGACAATCGCTTGATGTTTTGGTAAACCTCATCGTTTGTCAAGTTACTGCCGTACCGAAAGTTCTTGTCAATGTAGTTCTTTTTCTGCTGTTCATAATTAGGGTCTCGGAGAAGAATCCGAATGTGTTCGTCAAATGCCAGCTCGGCAATGGCCTTGCCGGTGATGGGACATTTTATCGTGGGTTCTTTGTCTTTGCGCTTGAGCCGAGATTCTCCTGCCAGTTTGACCTTCATGCCTTTGGGAACCGTTGAAACAGCTTCAAGTTCGGGATCAGGCCCAGCGGTGGCTGGTACTGCCACGGGAGGCATCTCTATCGCCTTGGCCTTGGCCTCAAGCGACCGGTAGATCAAGTCTTCTCGTTTTAGTGGCATTGCAAGCTCTGTTACCTTGTCGATATCATCAAACTCGATCTTCCCGACAATGGTGAAGTCCTGCCAGTCGACCGAGGCGTACCGCGTCTGTCGTGCTAGCCGCTCCTTCTTCTGCGTGTCGTGCTGGACCTGGTTCAACTTGCTGTGTTTGGCCCGGTGGTACAGATCTGGGAGTAATGGCACAAACAGCGAGTTTTGGAGGAGCACCTCGATAGTCCGTTTATATTGGTGCAAAAACACTTGGAACACGGGGTACAACGAATGGGATGTGTTCATGAACTCGAACTGGGCCTTGTTTCCCCTGGAAATCTGGTGGTGGGAGAGTTCTTGTTGGTATTTGTCGCCATTATGGGCCACAAACAACGCCGTGAGCTTGATGATAGTCAAATCGTACGGCGAAACCGTGGGGAGCTCGGACAAAAACTCCAACGGTGGTGGCTCTGGGAGCTTCTTGGTGCTGGTGGTGCTGGCGGGTGTTTTGGTCTCCACCTGGTGGCGTCCTAGCTTCCACTGGTAATATGGATAATGGGCATCGGTGCTAAACATGAACGGGAACTTGGTGGTCAGGTCGGCGTTGGCCTTCAAACGAGTCTCAAATGAGTCTCCGTTCTTGAGAACGTACTCAGCTGTCTTGTCGATGACCGCCCGCACGTCTGGTGGTGGCACGGTGATATCTTCAGGAATGCCATCGCCAGTCATTGTGTATCAAGCAGATTTCGCGACTTCGTATTTCCACCGCGGAGGGACGGGCACGCGCGCCATCTCCTAAACTTTCGCACCACGATGTTTCTCATACCGCCATGGAGAAGGACGTTTCCACCACCCACCAAGACCACGAGTTCCCCTCCCAGCTGGCGTCAGACGTGGAGTCTATCTCGTCGGATGACTCGTTCACCACTCAGCTCGACCAGATTGGCCGACTCAACCTCCTAAACTCCCTTTCCTTCTCATCCTATTTGCCCAACTTGGCGCTAGAATTGCCATCTTTTGACTACAAACGAATTCCCGACCTCAGTGACACCCGCAAGTTTATCCGCAGCTACACCTCTGCCTTCTCGAGCGATGGGAACCCACATCGACATATCAGCTCCATCCGAACAATTATCTCTTCTCGTCTCCAAATGACAAACATCCTCAACGACTTGAACTTGGGGATTTCGTTGGCATCAGCCATCGACCGGCTTCAGCCGCTAAAGGACGTGATCCGCGAAGCCGTTATGTTACCGGTGGATGACGACTACGTTCCCGCGGGGCCTGAGGCCGAAGTGGTGACAGAACCGACAGGAATCGCTGATATTGTCAGCGAGCAGGACAAAACGCCGTTTTTGAACGAGTTGGTGATCCCCGAAGAGGATCTTCGTGAGCACCAGCGGCACCACCAGCGGTACCATCAGGGGAGTAAGCGGCGGAAGCGGGCTCGCCAGGTGCGGTCAGCAGAGTCCAGCCGTGTCAGTAGTGAACTTGATATCGAAGGCTTGAGTCTCGAGGAAACCCGGGAGTTAACCAACTTGGACTCGTTGGACGACCTTTACAAAGAGCGGGTGTTGCGTAATAAGATCCAGAAGATTCAACGATTGGATGCCATCAGCCAGGTGCTGAAGAACAAGTTGGTGACCCGACTCATGATGGGAAACTACTACAAATATGTGAATGAACGGTTATCGAAGGACGACCAGATCCTGGATTTGAGCCAGTTGAAGTTGCCTTCTGACAATGAGGACGAAGAGGACGATTACGGCGAGGATGAGGATGAGACGGACAGCTGCTTGGAGCTGGCACCATTACCCCACGACGAGATCGAGGTGTCGGAAGAAGATGAGGTGATGCTCACCGAGAAGGACAAGCTCCCGTCGTACCACGACGCCCACCACCAGGTGTTGGGATGTCCTCACTACCAGCGCAACTGTAAGATCGAGTGCCCCACCTGCTTGAAGTGGTTTCCATGTCGATTCTGCCATGATCAGGTATCGGATCATAAGCTTGTACGAAGCGACGTGCGCCATATCTTGTGCATGTTCTGTACCACTCCACAAGAACCCAATGAGCAGTATTGTATCGAATGCGAGAAGGAGCTTGCCAATTACGTATGCTTCAAGTGCAAGCTTTATGATAACGACTACAAAAAAGACATCTATCACTGTGACAAATGTGGCATTTGTCGGCTTGGGCTTGGACTTGGTAAAGACTACTTCCACTGTGATACTTGCAACATCTGCCTTTCAATAGACTTGAAACACAGCCACAAATGTCTAAATGATACCACCCACTGTGACTGTCCCATTTGCAGTGAGTATCTCTTCACGTCGGTTACAAAAGTGGTGTTTATGAAGTGTGGGCATCTGATCCACGACTTGTGCTACAAAGAACTCACCCAGCACTCGTACAAGTGTCCCATTTGTAAGAAGACAGTGGTGAACATGGATACTCAGTTCCGGATCCTCGACCAGGAGATTCTCCAACAGCCGTTGCCGTTGCCATATAAGCTCTGGAGGTGTATCGTCAGTTGCAACGACTGTAAAGGCAAGTGTAACGTTGCCTACCACTTGTTGGGCCTCAAGTGCAAGTACTGCAACAGCTATAATACCACCCAACTCAAGCTCATCAAACCAGAGGAAGAAACAGAGGATGAGGTGCCAGGTAATGATAGTGTGGACCGGATGAAGTTGGTGCAAACGAGTCTTCTGGACAACTTTTTGATCGGTAATGATGTGGACCATGACGGTGAGGGTCATAACCGAAGCTTGACGGAGGGTGAGCTGGAGTTGGCAGATGTGAGTGATGAGGATGATAAAGCCCACGAGCAGAATTTGGTGAACATCAAGAGATTCACCCACCGGCTCCTCAATCGATCTGGAGATAATGAGATGTCTTATGTGACGTCTCTCTTCCAGCGGTACATCAACCAGACCTTGAAGAGTGATGGTGAGACAGACACAAGTAAAGAGATGCCTAGGGCATGAAGAGTGATGCTCAGGGCATTAGAGTGATGCCTAGACCTTAATAACGATGGTGAGACAGACACCAGTAAATACTGCCGAGGGAAGAAACACTGTCCTTCTGTTATGACATATATAATTCATTAGCATCTATATACCTTTGTGGTTAATACACTCCGAATTTTCATGCGGTTGCAATTTCCTCTCAAGATTGAATGGAGGTCATCCGGGAAGTTGCAAATAAGTATGGACCTCTTAATATTACAATTACTAGAAGGAACATGACCCCTATTATCAGGGTACCTGGTTGTACTTTTATTTTAGCACCTGGTTCTACGTCTCACTTTGTAGAGCGACATTATTAGATAGGCGTGGAGGGCACGGGTCAGATGACTGTGGATGTACGGATCAGAAATCTGGAGAGTTCTGTGGGTGTACGGGCTAGACACTTTTGTGAGTGATCATATTTCTCAGGGTGTACGGGTCAGACTTACACCAGTGCCGTTACACCCAAAACCCATCAATTCCATATTACCCAAGTTGCCAAAATTGGCAACACCCAACTCCGCTTTGTTGGGTCATTTCGCAATCGATGGGCCACGACAATGTCGCGCGGGTCCAATTAAAATCACCGCCCATGCTACCTGTTTTCTAGCTTTTGATACACCTGCCAATTAATTTATATCCATTCCAGCAATCCCATCACCCCTTTTGCTGCCACCCCCTCTAATAATTGCATCCCCCCATCCACGCCCCGCCGTGATCCCATCACCCGCGTGATCCCTTTGTCGCTACCATGAATTCCGTCAAGGTTCTCTTCAGCTCCATAGACAACTTCATACCGAACCAGGACCCACCGGCCGACCCGCCCGCGGACGAGGCCTCGGCTGAGTTGAGCCAGATCTACGAGGACAACGAGGGTGAGAACGAGGCCGAGTCCCGTGACCTCTCCGAGTCTGAGTCTCCTGACCCCCATAACCCCAGTGCATCCGATGTATCTTCTGTCCACAAACTCGGAGAAGAAGATGAGCTGTTGAACCCCCACTACTCCCTCCACGTTCTTTTCCAGCTCTTGCTCCGGCTCCCCCACCTCGTGGTGATCAAACCACTAGCATTTTTTTGGAGGTTGCTCCTCCACCCGTTTAGCCTCATATTGAAGTCAGTAGACTTTGACTACGCGTATCACGTGGACGTCCAGGAAAAAATGGACCTCATAAAGCACGAAAACATCCTCCTGAACTCCATCAAGTCGCCCACGGCTTCATCCAAGTACATACTCCCACCGCCGCAACGACTCTTCCCTCTCGTGCGAAATCCTGGCAAGGCCAGACGCCGCAAAACCTTAATTCTTGATCTCGACGAGACCTTGATCCACTCATTATCCAAGGGCCTGCCACGATCGTTGAGTGGCCATGACCTGAACATCATTGAAATCAAGTTGAATAGTGTGGCCACCTTGTACCATGTACATCGACGGCCATACTGTGATTATTTTTTGAAAGAGATCTCCAAGTGGTTTGACTTGCACATTTTCACCGCCAGTGTGCGGGAGTACGCCGACCCCATCATCGACTGGCTCGAGAACGAGGCTGCGAGTGACGAGAAGATATTTAAAAAACGTTACTACCGGAATGATTGCACCTACCGCAATGGCGTGGGGTACATTAAGGACTTGACCAAGTTTTTTCCGGTTGAAGACCTTAAGAACGTGATTATTTTGGACAACTCGCCCGTGAGCTATGCGTTGAATGAGGACAATGGAGTGATGATCGAAGGGTGGATCAATGATCAGAATGATAAGGATTTGTTGAATCTTTTACCAATGCTTCACAGTTTGTCTTTGTGTATTGACGTGCGGTTTATTCTTGGGTTGAGACAGGGAGAGAAGGTATTTGAGAGTTACCGTTGAGAAGGAGAGAAGGTATTTGAGAGTTACCGTTGAGAAGGAGAGAAGGGGTTGGAGAGTCACCGGTAGACATCTGGTACTTATCTCCCATCCTAATGACACTATATATGAAAAATTACAATAGACAAAACGCGATGCGAAATCCAAATCACCATGTCCACGGAATTGAGTACGACCCAGCAACACGCCATCGACGCCGTACGGGCCCGCAATGACACCCTCGTGCTGCTACTGGAACTAGGTACCCAATTACGCAACCCCGACTTCCGGAACTCCCCCCAAGTATTAGAACTAATCCCCACTTTAGCAGACATCTTCGTCGATGACTGCCACTCTGAACCACTAACCCTAGAAGCCCTACGCGTGCTCATCAACTTGACGGCCGATAGCGACCGCAACCGGTGCCAGATTATTACACACGCCCACCTCTGGCGCCGTGTTCTCGGTATGGTTGGCACAGAAAGAGTATCGATTCTTCTCGCCCAGTTTGTCAGGAACACCGAGTGCATTTCTAAGTTTTCCCAATTTTTCTACAAGCTAGGGATCCATGAGCCGTTGGTCAAGAGTCTCTTTACTGGTGGTGAGGTGGACGTGGCGCTGGTGGAGTTTTTGGCCGGGGTGTTGGTGCCTGAAGTGTTAACTCCTGAGTTTGTGCCAGTAGCCGAGCGCTATTTGCCAGTGTTTGTGGACTTGTACCGACCCCACGACGACCTCGACCACGAAGACACCGCCGAGTTGTACGAGAGTCTCCTGACTCTTTTGTACCATCTCACCCAGTTTGACGACATGGATACAACAGTTTTGCCCCAGTTATACCCGCTTTTCGAGCAGTACACTGAGAGTTCGAGTGTCAGCAGGCAACTTTTTTCCACCGTGGGCAACCTCCTGTCGATGCACAGGTTTGGCACCATCGCCGACGTACACACGGCGTTGCAATGGCTCCCCCGGGGTAATCTCTACCGCCAGGCGGCCGCATACTTGGTGGTGGGAAATTACGTCCAAAGCCAGGCCCAGTGCGATGAGGTCAACGCCCTAGTGGGCGACACATTTATTAGAGACTACTTCTCCACCGCGTTCTCCGACGTGGTGCAGTACCAGTCGCTCCACGCCATCAAGAACCTTGTCACGAGTGCCACCAGTAAACAGGTGCTTGACCACCCCAGTTTCATGGGGTTCTCTAAAGTGCTTATCGACAACCAGAGCTACTACCAGGAAATCTTCCTCACGTACTTGGCGTGTGTGAAAAAACTCGTGCGATTGACGTTTAACGATGTATCCACATCCATCTACGAGTACGAGCGGTTGTGGAGTTTGGTGGATTCAGACGAAATCTATTTGTGCATTTGCCCATTCATGGACAGAAGTGAATGCGATCTCAACCAGCGACTTTTGACGAAGGTGTTTTGTGCAGAAATGCCGGTGGAGGCCACCAGAGTACTTGACCGACTCAAGGCTCAGGCGGTGGTATTAAAGAACAACGTGGAGATGGTTACAAGGCGATTGGGTGCTGATTCAAACTTCAAAAATGAGGTTTTGGTGCGGTTGCAAAAGCTTGGGGAAATGGTGTCGGGGTCTGATGAGAGCCACCCGCAACACCAAGTGGTTGCCAACAACGCGCGATATGTGGCGGGGGCGATGATGGCGGTGGGCGACGCGGAGGTGGTGGCGGCCGCGCGCCAGATGTTGGTCTGACCGGTGAGTTTACCTCGAATTTGCGATACGCCCTGGACCCCCGCCACGGTTCTACGCCACGGGGTTGGCCGCCACCACCCTCAGCCTGTTCCGGCATCGCCTATGCACGGCTAAAATAGGCAATCCCCGGCATCGCAAATTTTTTTCCTATATAAGCCCGGACCCTTCCCAGATCTTCCATTAACTCTAAATATGACTTCCGGATCCTTCTACGACAACGTGCCCCTCGCCGAAACCGACCCCATCGTTGTGGTCTTGCAAAAGTACGCTAAGGACCCTAGTCCTAAGAAAGTAGACTTGTCCATCGGAGTCTACAAACCAGAAGATGGTGATATCAAGTACGTTTTTCCATCGGTGAAAAAGGCCAAAACTGAAATCTACAACCACGATGAGGGCCATCCTTATCACTCGATGGCTGGGTACCCCCAGTTTGTGGAAGGTGCTCAAAAAGTAGTTTTTGGTGATGATAGACCCCGGGAAGGCCGTACCACATCGATTCAAACAATCTCGGGAACTGGTGCTATCCACTTGGGAATTGAGTTTGTCAAGCGTTTGGGCTTGAAGGATTTCTACGTCGGAGTCCCCACCTGGGGAAACTACCAGGGTATGATCGAATCGGAAGACTGTAACGTTGAATTTTTCAATCACTACGATAAGGCATCTGGAACCGCTGATGTGGACGCAGTTTTAAGTACCATCGATACTATGCCTGACCACTCGGTGTTATTGTTGCAGGCGTGCTGCCACAACCCTACGGGAGCCGATTACACACAAGATCAGTGGAAACAGATATGTGCCAAGTTGAAAAATAGGCACATTTTCACCTTCTTTGATATTGCATACCAAGGGTTTGCGTCTGGAAACAAAGACACAGATGCATGGGCCATCCGCTACTTTTATGACCAGGGCCTTGAGTTCTTGGCGGCTGAGTCGTTCTCCAAGAACATGGGATTATACGGAGAAAGACTAGGTTGTCTTCACGTGGTGAGTAAGAACCCCAAAAATATTAGCAGCGTACACAGCTCCTTGGTTTCGATCTTCCGGTCTCAGTGTTCGTTTGGTCCATTGTTTGGGGCTCGAATTGCCTCCTATTTGTTCACGGATTTCAAGGAAGAGTGGGATCAGGATGTGTTGACCATCAGTGACAGATTGAGCGGATTGAGAAACCAGATCTTGAACAAGTTCAAGGCGTTGCAGACTCCTGGGAACTGGGAGCCTGTTGTTCGTCAAAATGGGTTGTTTTGGTTCAGTGGGTTGCTGAAGGAGCAGATCGAAGACTTGACAGAGTCCTACCATATTTATATTCCGCTTAATGGGAGATTTAATGTTGCTGGATTTAATGACTCTAACTTGGACTACATTATCGAAAGCATCGATAAAGTGGTGAGAAAGACCCAAACCGAAGCTAGTTTGTAAAAATAAAAACTGGTTGGGTGTTGGTGTGTATGGATGAAAATGATCAAAAAGCATTTTGGAGTTTGTTTGTATGGGTGTCTGGGTCAGATATCAACTTCAGCAAAGGATCAAGGAAAAGCGTCCATATCCAGGAAGTAGTCGTGGCCAAGACCTAAGCTAGTATGTAATTAATGCAAAAGTGATTAAATAGGGTGGTATGGGTGAAAGTAATTAAACTTTAAGCTCTTTGGTGTATGGGTCAGTGTCTGGGTCAAATGTTCAACTTAGCCAATGGAAAAGTCAAAGCACCCAAATCCAGAGAGAAATCGTACACGATTCAAGTGTTGACCCATACACCCAACAACTGGATTTCTTGGGAAGCTTCTTAATAAAACCTTAACTTCTTCCGGCTGAGCCATTATGCTATTTTTACACATCTGAGAATATCAGCAAACACTAATGAACTACAGACACTAATGAAAAGTAGTACGTGCTATCCGCAATGCCCACCAGTGTAGTCATGTTCATAATATTCACCCTCGTAGATCCCTTACCGGCTGTAGCTCATCACCCAACTACTAACCAAAATTTCAAACTGAATGAAAATCCCAAATGCCAGTTTCCACCCCACAGATCTGAACTTCGATCAGATGTAACAGCCTTCGTGGAACCGTATGTATATGTATTCCAAGTTCTCTGATGACTTCCATCACCGCCGCTGATCTCGTTTTGTACCGGATGAGGTTACTGTAAGCAGCACGTTTCAGTCAAAGGTCTGGTTCCACCACCCAACTTAAGCATCCGGCTGCCAATACGCCCACTGAAACTCATGGATGATGTGCTAGTGAGTTTCACTATCTCCAGTATACACTTTTCGACATTTTTTCGAAATTAAAAATCTGGACGAAATTACCCAAAATGGTATATTTCACCCAATACAAGTAGGTAGCCGCCAGAATGCAAATTAGCAGTAAGCTACCGCCAAAAACCCACAGCCGCCCCACACCGAACAGTACTTAACAACCAGATCAAGGCTGAACTAAAAATACCTAAAATTGCATGATTTCGGGATTTTGATGATCCACCGCATAAATGAAAAAATCGTCAATTGGCGACAAAAGACGTTCACCTTCTCCCAGGCGGTTGGATTCTCTCTGTGTTTGTAGTTTAACCCATACACCCACCGATGATTGACATGAGCACCTCGTGGTGATTCAGAGATCGCATGCACTAAAAGCACGAGCCGAAAATGTTAGTGTAGTGGGTGTTCATTATGGGCGTAGATGTTCATTGTGTAGTTGTATCAAACTATATGCAAATAAATCAGATGATCGAATGGATCTTCTTCAAATGGGCTTTTAGATTGTCTTTACGATTAAACCTCTTGTTACAATTGGGCTGATCACATTCAAATGGCTTCTCCAGCGAGTGTGACTTCATGTGTCTCTTGACATGCTCGGGACGATGGAAACGGGCGTAACACAATGGGCATGCGTGTTTCTTCTTAGGATCACTAAGACTCGAGGCCTTGTCGGTGATTTTGATGGGCAAATCGGGTACAAACGACGGATTGATCTCCTTGGCTTGCTGCAAGCTAGCAGGCAGCAACTGATGAGGAGGCTGGACCATGGACGCCAGGTGCTGATGAGGATGATGCATGGATAAGGAGAGAGGTGTAAGTCCAGCTGAAGCAGGTGCAGACATCGATGCAGAGTGATGGGGTGAGGACGCCGATGGGCCGGATACGGAGGCAGGGGCCGACGAGGCAATCGACGTTAGCGGCGGGAGCAAGCCCGGGGGGTTGGGTCTATTGTCTGCAGCAATTGAAGACAAGTTGATAGAAGCTGGGTACGATTTAAGCGGATTGAACTGCGACTGGAGCAACAGGATATTTTTCAGATCGGACGGGGTGGCGAGCAGGGCGGCTGCCTGGGCCGACGTGGGAGGTAGGGCCTGGTGGTTCAAGTCGTGGGAGAAGCTGGTGCTCTGGGCCTGGTAAAACGTCTGTCCCACGGTACGAATGCTGGTGGATGACTTAGCCCGTTTGAGCTGTTTAAACGCATCGTCATCCTGATCCTCAATTTTGATGGAGTCCAAAGTATTTTGTCGCCTTAAAGTCGGCAGCACCTTGGGGTTAAACAGCGGGCTGGTGAACTGGAGATTAAAGTTAGGTAAGTTGGCAGCAGCCATAAGAGCGTGATGAGCATTTTCAGATTGCATGGGGGTTTGAAGGTCATCATTGTCAAACGAAAGATCAGTGTATTTCGGACTCACAAACGAGTTGGGAGTGTAGAACGGGTTTAGTCCGGTGAGCAGCGTGCGGTCGACCCGATTGCGCGAGAGCGACCTAGAGTGACGGTAGGGAGTTTTCAGGACTTTATATGCGTTTGTGGAGGAGGTGGAGGCCGAAGACGGCGACGTGTTGGAGCGTAACGGCGTCGACAAGTTGTAGGAGCCGACTGAAAGTGACTTGTTACGGGTGAGTTTTCCTGGCGTATTGGCGACCTGATGGAGCTGAGGATGGGGAGGATTTAGCGCGGACAGTGGGCCAGGTGCCGCCATCAGGGCCAGGCCCAGTAAATCGTGAGCCAGCTCGGCCCTGGCGTGGAGCTGGAACGATGCCACCATCGACAACAGGTGGTGGGAGCCGGACGCGGTCAAGGGCGGAATTGACTCCATAGAGTCGGACGTTGGTAACCGCCCGGCCATCTCACCCACCGACGATATCGACACGTTGTGGTGGTGGGCTCGGGCCAACGACATGTTGTCGGTCAATGACAGCGGCGGCAACGGCGGCGGCGCCAGCGGGTCGGCGCCACTGGCGCTAGCACTGGCAAAATGTTGGTGGAACTCGTCGTAGTAATTGTGGAACTCAGCAAGGTTTAGATCAAGCAGCTCTTTTAAATCGTATGGGTCCAACTCCAAGTTGGAATACTCGTAGTCGAACTGTGGATTACGAGGTGAACTCATCAAGTAGTTTTCCATTTAAAATACTCTGGTTGATAATGTTAGCAGTGAAGGGAGAAAAGTGGTGATCCATATATTTGAATCAGCAGATTCAGGGTGATGCGAAGGCGGGTGCAAGCGGAGGGAAACAAGCGAGGATGGGGTTGAAGTGGGAGATGAACTATCACCGGGCGATAGAAACTAAAGGGTCTGGTGATTTGTTGATGTGATGTATTCCCGGGCTAGATAGAAGAAGCACCGAAACCAATGAAAAGGGGAAAAGAAAAATCAATAAGCAAACGGCGGTAGAAAACAAGAAAACCCTGATAGACAAAATATCAATTGATATTTGAATGAAGCCAAGTGTATGTTTATATTTAATGAAAATAAAAGACGGGACAGTTCAGGTAATTTTTTTTATCATCTCCAATGAAATGGTGTTAACTTTAAAACTGGAAGAAAATAAAAATAAAAAGTAAAAATAAAAATGTGCGGTGGATGAAAAATTTAAGACGCATCTTGGTGGTCGCGACATAGAAACCTCTACTTAGGTATGGGACACTTCAGGACTGGTGCGAAACATGAAGATTTTCGCCATCAAATTTACCCGTATTAGGAAATAAACCCGTGCCATCAGGATTTGAGGTCGGTCCCAGGCCTCTCGATACCGGAAGCGCACGCCCCCGCATTATCGGGCGGAATATCCCCCAGCCGCGACATTTCCCTCGCCACACCCGCTATCCATGGTCCTGCGGAACAGCGGATGTCCCAGTAGATGCCCCTAATTACTTGCAATCCAACCTTACAACTACCGAACTCTTGCTTTAGTTCCTGTTTAGTTAATATTAGCCGTTTCTTGCCTCATATCGTTAGATACATTTGAGTAAGATTCCGCTCTTTTTTTCTCCTAATGGTGGTTCCACATTAATGATTACTGCCATGTACATGGATCAGATCCTGAGTGATAAAAACCACTGACATTGGTGGGCCATAATAGATATCCCATGTAACCCATAAATATAACCCTCTACCACATCGATATGCTTCCAGAAAACTTCCATGCGCAAAATTGAATGCACCTCAATGGTAAAACAATGCATACAGTTTTAATTGGACGACAATACACAAGGCGCCGAGAGAAAAAAAATTAATGTGCACGATAAGTGTGTAATTTTTGAGAGAATTTGGGGACCTAGACCTCGATGTGAGTTTTCTTAAATCAAATCATCATTTCTTATTGATACCAGATAGATTTTCAGGGGGGCCACGACCCCCC